GAAAAAAAAAAAACCGAAAAAAAAAAAATAATAATAACAAGCAAAAGAGCTTCTCCGATCCAACCCCCCCCACCACCCGAACCTCATCCGTTCGGCCGGTGCCCGTAAGCGTACGTACGCACGCACGTATTGCCGTTAAAACAATGTGCCGGGCGTTTGGCGGCGACGTACGACGGGCGGCAGACGTGTTATTATCGCCACTGTTATTGTTATTATTGTTATGATTGTACACACTCTGTAGCGGCGGTTCGGCAGATAATATTATTGTTGTGCGTTCCGCCGGGTCGTCGCGACGCGAACCGTGTCCGCGAGGAGGGTTAGGTTAGGTTAGGTTATGACCGCGGTCGCGGTATACGCGTAAACGCTCGGGTTCCACCCCTTTCCCTACCCCCCCCCTCCTTCCCCACCGTACCCGGCTACATTGCAGGTAAAGCGCGCGCGAGCTTATTTGCGAAAATGTCTGCGCTGCATCATCACTCGCGCACGGATGCGTTATGACTGCACCGCGAAATAACAACAGGTGTACGCGGAATTTCGGGAGTCGTTAACGCACAGCGTATTGGTTTCGCTGTGTAATAATAAGATGTGCGGTTTTTTTTTTCCCCCGTTCTTTTTCCTCTCGCCTCCTGTATGAGCCGGAAAACTTTTCCTTCCGCCGGAGAACTTAACTTGCTCCGGCTCCGGCCGTTGCCGATTCGCCGTTCTTGGGCGCGGTAGTTTTTAACGGGAGATTTTTTTTTCTCGTACACAGTCCGGATGGTCACTTTTGGATTTTCCTCGTTATTTTCTTAATAATTGCGGGGGGAGGGGGAAACTTAAAGAAAAATCAGGAAAGTGTACTACGCAATACAACAGTTTTTCGATATTTTCGAATTTTGCGGTTTTTTTTTTTTTTTTTGCTGCTGCCTGTGTGATTATCGGCTCGAAATAATCATTAGAGACCGTATTCATGTAGCACTTTGTAGACGCGATAGAATTTTTGAAAACATTCTAGCTTTTTTTTTTAGCTCTTTGTAGCCCTTATGAAATGTTCGAATTATCGTTTTAGTTTTCATTTGGTTTCGTGCGTTTCATCCGTATTTTTGTCTTTATAGGCCGAGAAAATTATTCTCAATATGTATATATATGTACACAAGTGAAAATCGGTAGGCGGCATAATTTTCGTTCTGCAGTGCACACGATTAAATAAACACAATAAAGACCCGAAAATAAAAACTCACTGTTTTACAAACGAATATTATAAAAAAAAAAAAAAAAACAAAATTACGTGATTCTATATGAGCTTGTCCTGTAAAATATCATATGCTTAGGGGTCCGGATGGCAATACGATATTCTGTCCGATAAGGTTTTTGATTTGAATAAATATCCGACAGTATTACCATGCTCCCCACACACATCGATCGACGCGAGTATAAATCATTTTAAAATTTCTATTCTTGTCTTAACTGCACTTTGTTGTTCGTATGTCACGATTTCCTATGCATTATATACTGATTATTATCGAGTGAATGCAATAAGTGGCTTTGCACAAATTAATTATACGAACGGTTACCGGTTGAATAATATTTAAGGTAATCATAATAAATTGTATATGTTGCTTACAGCAATTTTCTCACATAAATTTATTATGCAAAACAGAGAGATATTTAATGTGAAAAAGTTGCATTAAAATAATATCTAAAATTATACGTGGGCCAACAAAACTGCAAGTATCCATGCAGTTTTTCTAAAGAATTTGGAAACCGATAAGTCGGTTTTAATTTTGTTGATTTTCGGGTTACCTTGGTTACAAGAACAAAAAAACGTGATTATATAATGCTTTACTACATTATAATAATATAAGCATACCAATTTACCAATTTTCGTTCGGAATCATTTTTTGATTGCAATGATGTATCGTTGCTGTCAGTACAAATAATCACTCCATATTTTTATACTTTCTCAACTTCTCACCAACAACAGTATGGTCTGTCCATTGTACGAAGCATGTCCAGCTTTTCGATTCTGAGCAGAGCGAGGAACGTACTACAATGGTTTTACAATGGTATTTATTTTTTTTTTGTTTAATAATTTTTCCACTAGAAATTTTGCTCGTATTTTTTAAGCGTAGCGCCTTTCCTGAAAAGTGTCATTGTCATTTTTTGATTTCCCCGGGGATTTTCATAATAAATGGAAAAAACGAGAAAATTTACGAAATATTTCATTTTCAAATCGTAAATATTAGATTAACCGTTGCTACAAATATACACACTAAAATTCTCCTTTATATCCTACGCCTTCCCAAATTTTCACCTCAAACAGTGGCCCACTCGTCGTGCGAAATATTGGCCGAAAGTACCGGCTATTTCTATGTATCGATAGGATATCATTTTTTTTTTTGTTTTTATTCCTACCTTTTATTAAAACAAGTATCTACCTCTGTACGTTATATGTGTATATGTTTACAAAACGACCTTGAATTTACGAAATCGCAGATTGAAATTCGTATAAAATGCTATTTTACAACGTTTACGTCTGTGCAGTCCCCCAACAGATTATAACGTGGCGTACAGGTACGGTATACGATTTATAAATTATTGTAAGCAGTCGTTTTATAAACACGCGGTAGGGCATTTTCGACCAATTATAGAACCGAAGACCTTGTTCAAATATTGTTAAATAACAATGCGCGTGAAATAGAATACAAACGGGATACGCAATGTTCGCGATGTCGGTCCGGCGTAATAGACCCGGTGGAAGGAAACGCCGATATGGCGATACAGATTAAATGATTGGCGGGAAAAAATTCGGCGTTACACGCGCGAAATTAATTACAAAATAGTTTATAAAATGTATGCACATAAATTATAATATAATTCAGTAAAACTTCCGTTAACTGTCACCTCTAAAAGACGGTCACCTCTGTGTAAATTTTTTTTTTTTTTTTTTATATGATCCCTTCAATTGTTATGCCTCTTCTATAGGAAATTCGGCAGAATGTCCGTATAACAAGTGCACTAAACATTCGACGAGAATATAATTGCATTATGATCCGACGGGCATATTCGAAATCGAATTCGCCGTACAATTATACGATGAGATGGTATTATTATGCACGGGATTTTTTTTATTTCTCCGGTTTATTCGAGTGCGAACGATTTTCATGAAGAATACAAGTTGTCGAGTTCAGCGCTCGAAAACGTCTTGCGATTAGGAGTTAGTCATGAAGTATATTGCGCTGTCCGTAAAAATATGAATTACTGCTGGAAACCGCCTAGTTTTTGTCTCGATTGTTTTACGCAAAGCACAGGTACCAGCGATTCGCGTTTACAATGTTATATAAAAAAAAAACTAATCGTAAGAATAAGATAACGTTATTCTCTTCGTGTACCGCAGAAAAATAAACTGAACTGGACGGATCGTTTTCGCAAAAGTGGCGCATTGGTTTCGAAAAAACCTAATTTGAGTTTAAAAAACGTTCGCCTACGAACAGAAAACCATACGCATACCACGGCTCTATTTGAAGCATCCAGCGGCACTCTCATCATCTCCCGAACAGTTCGAATTGTCTTTTTAAATTTCGGTCCCGGCGATTTAAATTGTCTGTGCGTGGACGGACTAGGTGTTAAATGAACGATATCCGTTGTAATAATTACGGTGAGGGGGAGGGGTGAAAAGGGCATTGGGGAAATGTATTTCCTCGATAAATGACTTTGTTTCGCATACTGTGTCCATAATTCATATTTGGGTCATTACGTGTTATTTCTTTCGGCGAACAAACGAAGAAAAACAGGAAATCGCGTTACAATATCCGTAAAATAGCGTATATTATAATATAGCAATTGCTCGAGTTCGCTTTATACGCGTACAAAACATTAAAAATGTACGTTTTTTTTTTTTTTTTTTTTTCCCCTGTAGACGTTGTACAATCATGTGTGCATAATACAACGCGGATTTTTGAAATTCACTTGGAAAAATCCTAAACAACGCCGCCGTATATTAATTCATAACGTCGCGTTTCTATGTACTTTGTAACAGGTATGGTTCTTACTGGCGAAGAAATATCCGAAACGCGCCGAGGAGCGTCTTGCAGAGGAAAAAAAAAAAAAAACGAAAATATTCACAATAACTACACCGTCGTGAAAGGAGTTTACGGCTGCGGCGCGGCGATCCGCGGACACGGTTTTAGATAATATTAAAATTGCGAACACGCGCGTAGTTCGCAAACGGCAATTCGATCGGACGGCCGCCAATTGTAACTAAATTGCAATAATAACCTATCCGTCGACGGTAAACGTATACGAGCGCGGGGATATATTTATAATAATATATAATAGAGAATTAACGATAATATATGCACGCGTATATATAAATATATATACATATATTTATATATTATATATATATATATATGTGTGTGTGTGTGTGTGTGTGTGTATGTATAAATATATACGCTCGCACGCGCGCGCTCAAAATAAATCGGCGAACATTTTGACGGAGGCGAGTTACGCAACGAGCGCGCACGTCGGCGATCGGCCGAATATCAACCTGCCGTACGGAATCGCGAATTTCCAAGGCGACCGGTTTTCGGCGGCGGTACGCCCGCCGACGTCGTGGTGCGGTCGCGGCGGAGGCGGCAGGAGGTGAACGTACGCGGTTTCGCGCGCGGGGTGAGACCCCGGTCGCCATCGGGCGAGTGGGTGCGGACGTCGGGGCAGCGTCCTCGTCGCCGCCGCCGCGTCGAAGGTTCGTCTGGTACCCCCCACCAACGGCCGGGCCCTCCTCCCGCCGCCGCCGTCGCGCCAAAGCCGGTCGCAATATTCGCGGGCGCCCCCCGCCGACCGCCGCCGGCCTACGGGCGCGCGCGCCGGGCGCGGCGTGACGGGGGCCGCGGGACCCGGCGTCTACTAAGCGGCGTTGTCAGTTCGGGCCCGCCGACGGCGCGACGTTTTTGCGCGCGCGTCCTATACCGCCCGGCCTGTTCGGTTTTTGGCGCCCCGCGTAACGGCACCAGTGCAGTGTACGCCACCGCTCACAGTCACTCGATCAGTCGACCGGCAAAGTCATCGGAGGCCGGTTGAACTCCCATCGAAAGCGCGTGATAACGCACACGCACACAACACACACACATTACACATACATCCACACACACACTCTCTTACAGAAAAAAAAAAAAAAAACACTACATACACTCACACATACACAGTCACATACACAACACACGCGCACGACATAATATACGCGCGCGAACAGAAATATTCGCGAACGACGCGATTAGTGCGCTCGTCATACGCCGGCGACGTGTTATACCGGTTTGTGAAAAAATAATAATTATTATAATAATAAATTTTTTTTTTTTCTACCGTTCCGTGTGTCCTCACTGTATTTATCGAGTGCCGCCGTGTTACACACACATACACACATATACACACACACCGCAGGCGCCAAAATGAATTCATATAGCTAAGGTATTAGAAAAAAAAAAAATTAAATTACAAAATAAGTACTATTTTTACTTTTTTTTTATTTTTTTTTTTGTAAATTTTTCATTTATATTAAGTTTTAACAATTTATTATACATTAATATATTTATCGTATATTATAATATAATATAATACTATATTATTATGTTTGTTATTTTCTCTTTCTCAAAAATAACGTGCGTATATTTCATCACTATATTATATTATTATTATATTATAAAATAAAAAAAAAAAAAAAATAAAGGTCGTTTCGTTTTATTAATTTCATATTTTTTTATTCCGGTGTGCATGATGTTCAGTGTGTCGAATTAGCGAAAGTGCAAACAAATTCAAACAATAATAATAATTTTAAAAAAGGCCGAAATCGTGTTTTGTCGGGACCCACGACAAAACTTCCGTGGTATTTTATTAGCCGGTGTTACTAATGGTGTTACGAAAAGGAATTTCGCGAAGGACGATAACTACTAACACACAGTGCGTATATAAAAAAAAAAAATTTAACCAATTATAATATACGAATTTAAAAAATAAAAAAAACCTCCTAATATTAAGTGTAATTATTTTGCATGTAGGCATATACTGTATTGTAATAGATATTACGATTATTATTAATATAATTACTTTTTTAAGCGGTGTATAATGGTATAATGTATTAATATGATATAAATAATAAAATATTCATAAACGTTTTATAATATAATATATTCGTTTTCCCGTGCGCGAATTTTTTTTTTTTTTTTTTTTTATTAATAATATAATATTATTGTATGACGTACGATCGTGTTTTATTGCGGCACATAAAATAATTACATTTATTATAATATTATTAATTCTAATCGCAAAATCGCCATTTGGCCAATGTACGTAATATTATTGTGCCGGTGTTCGGAGATAATGGCGAATCGTTAATAATATGATATACAGAAACGCGGTATAATCTTATCAGACGCTTTCCACGCGTTTTCTTCTTATCACCGCCGCTGATATTACGCCCGGTACACCGCAGCACCTTATCGAAAACAAATAATCGCGTTATCACCGTGTATTATTATTATTATTAATGTATATCGCGTACGCACACGTATAATATTATGTTATAAAACATATCAATTACCGGAAAATTCGTTCGAACGAATCGTTTACAATATTAGTGTTGGTGGTTTGTTTTTTTTTTTTTTGCTCTCTCAAGAAAAGCGGGGAAAAAAAATGTCTCGAAGATATTATGATGTCGTTGTTTTTTTTTTTGTTATTTTTTTTATTAGACTACGGACATGCGCGTCTTTAAATTGCATACACGTTACGCCAGTCTACGGAAATGCATCGCCCGTATCTGGTATAATAGTACATCGATAAAAGTGCGTTTTTTCGTGTTGAGCGGATGATTTTCCCGCATTATCACGATCTCTGCTTGGGTCGCGGGTTTTTCCATTTTAGTAAACCGTATTAGAAAATGGATCCGTTTCGCTCTACGTGTAATTGAATTATGAAATCTTATCTTGCATATGTATACATGTTTAATGGACGGAGGGCATACAAATGCACGTTTCCACGATATCCGAGTGTTATTAATGCTTTTGTGCTTAACATTTATAATTTTCCAGTCAATCCGATCCAAATCAACGTAAAATGTACTTGTTTATAATACAAATTTTATAGTTTCGATGAAACCGTTCTATTTTTAGTCGGGTATTTAACAAGTTTTTGTTTAATTTTGCTGAACATTGCCCAAGTCAATAGTATATTCTATCGCACATTTACGCCTATAATATAGGTACCTATAGTCGATTAACGACCATATTCGTAAATATTATCAAAACAAAAATGAAATTTGTGGTGTTTTTTTTTTGCATACTTTCAAAAAATTATTGCTTGCTTTTGCATATTTCAAGGACTTTTAAGAGACATTTTCAATTCACATTTCGTCAATTTTCGGTGCATATTTAATTGTAAGTTTCGTTGTGCATTAATTTCACATCCCTACTCATTACTATCTTACTATTTATAAGTATTACATCAATTATTCGAATTATTGTTCAATAAATAGCTATACAGAAGATAATCTCGCCATGTCGAGATATTGTCTCGCGAAAATCGCACTTTCCGGTAAATATTTTCATGTTGCAATACACGCTATAATTTTATAACACTAATAGGTGGCGTGCCCTGCATTAGTTTGCAATGGAAAAGGATGTATGGTAAATAATAATCGCGATTCGTGGTTAAATCGTAGAATCTGCTTCTGTTAAACCTAACCCGTCAATACGAATTTTAAAACCAGATCCAAAAAAAAAAATACAATTTGTATTCAATAAATCGACTTCCCTCCGTGTAATTCGATTAAAATATAACCCCTATCATCCGGCCTGATGCTAATCATTATATTGATTATGGTACATCGTTATATTTAATAATGTAGTAAAAATACATCGCATTACGTTATTTCGATTACAGAGTTTATTCGAATCGCGTGGTAGACCAATGCTTATTTGGGCATACGATATCGTATTTTTTTTTCTCCAAATTTAAGTGCCTCTATCCTATACACTGCAAACCGTCAAACTCTGTATATACGCGACGAATCAAGGTTATATACACAAATACTATAATAATCGTTATTAATCCGATCGGTTTCGAATATAGAAAGTAATCGCGCGGACATAATATTATTATTTCGCTCGGGAATAACACTAAATCCAGTATTCGGCTTGGTCATGGCCGCTAGACTGTGAACGCGGACGGGGCTCCCAGTCGTGTTCGTGTCTGAGGGCACCTCAGGCCCACGAGATTTATAAAATATTGTCATTTAACTATACAGTTAGTGTAGTTAGCAGTTAGCATTTTGTGCAAAGGTTAAATACTTGACGTATTTGTTTAGACTTAAGTTGACTATTGTAAAAATAGCAGTAAAACAATATAATAAAATAATTTATTATTATAATAATTGCGTGAGCTAGTATAAGTTTTTACAGCAATTACTGAAAACCGAAATGTCTAAAAACTAAAAATCGCTTTTGTGAATTAGCATACTCATTATATATAATACATATAATTAGGAATTTTCCTAACCGCGAAATCCGTTATTTTTGGAAATATCATTCTTAATTATTAGACGCCTGTGTCTTTCCACCCAGATTTTCCACCAAAATAATTTCAAAAAACATTTTAATTATATATTTTTCTAATTATTACACCCTAACGTCATATTGATTTTATTCATTGGTACAAATAAAGGAGAGAGCCCTAGAAGATTTTGATTCCCCGAAAACTCAGCCAAGCCCCCCATAGTAAAGCCCTCTTCAAAAAAAATTTCGACTATTTGTGTCTATGATTTTTGTGTTAAGTTTGATTTCAATAATCGTTGTCCCCTTTTTTAACACGAAGATCTGCGCACGCTTATGCCGATGACACTGACTTTCGACCCAATATCGCACTGAATTTCATGGCCTTTGTATTTTTCATCTCCTTAAAAATAATGACTCCAAGTGTCTTCGGTGTGTCAGACCGAATAGCCTAACCGATATAGACTAAATCGTTTATAAATCAACTACTGCAAAGTATCGGACTTTTTCAAATAAAACGATTTGTCTTACAGTGTTATCTTTATATAGATAACCATTTTTTCTGTTTGATCGGGTTTTGTGCGAGGGGGATACATATGTTCAAAGAAAAATTGCATTTTTATTTTCATACCTAAATCACTGAAAAAAAATACTTTTTAAAATTTTCAACAGCCATTTTGTAAAATATATTTTTCTAAAAAATTTAATGTATCATTCATTCATATCTGATCAATAGTTTCTTAGTTATGGTGACTTTAATGTATAAAAAGTAGGCGTGAAAACAATTAATATTCAATAGAAGATAAGGAATTACCGTGCTGATTGTGATTCCTTATCGCGTAACGTGTTATTTTATTGAAAATTAATTGCTTGCACACCAATTTTCTAGAAATTAAAACGACTGTTACTCAGAAACTATTGATCGGATATGAATGCATGTTACATTCAAATTTTTAGAAAACCAAACATCTTTTACAAAATGGCTATTTTGAAAAATTTGAAAAGTGATAAAATAAAAAGTTTTTTTTTTCAATAATTAAGAGATGAAAATAAATATTTAATTTTCTTCTACATATGTGACCCCCTCGCATAAAACCAGATTTGAAAAAAAAATGAATATTGACAGAATTATTAGCATAACGGTAACTCTGTAGAACACTCTGTATATTATTGTACAATTGGTATAATTGGTACAATTGGTACTGTATAACCATTTATTTTAGAGGACACGATTATAAATCTCACACATTTTTTGATAATAGTCTTTAACATTGACCTTTCAATCTGAATTAAAGAATTACGGGATTCGTTCTCGAGTCCAAAATAAAAAGTATAAATACGTATTGGTTCCCCATAAAAATTATATAATATCATAAAACTGTTTAAATTGGTTCTTGTACGACAAATTAGATTTACATAATAAGTTTAAATAAATTTAATCGCGTTTTATTTATCTCGGGAAAATAATTAGGTCGTTCTCGGAATATCGTCAAATCCTAATAAACATTATGCAAACTCCGTTTTCAAAATTAAAATCCGTAAAATCCAAACCCTAAAGTTTTGTCTGCTTTTTCAGTCTAAATACCATTTTTTTTTTTTAACGACTGAAAACGCCAGATTTTTAAATTCTGAGTTTAGAAGAATGTATTGGTTTTACAAAAATGTTTTTTGTTTGTTTTATGTGAACACTTTTTCCACCAGAAAGCATAATCCGATTATCAAATATAGCACCTTTTCCGAAAAGAAATGTTCTCTGGGTGATACTTTTTTTTAAATTCTCATTAATATTTGAGCTAATAAGGAAAACCCGATTCTTTAGATTAAAAAAAGTTGAAAGATTAAAAATAAGGTTGCCATGACAACCGTTTTTACTTATTTTTCCGTTATTATTAAGTTTTTATTATTTTAATCATTTTTAAACAATCATTGTTGTCATAGAAATGCACGTTATAATCATTTTACCATAACATGACATATTATATATTGTTGACAAAGCAACACTATCAACTAAACTCCACTCAGAATTGTTTTTTCGTTAGTAATGGTTTATCGTTGCTTACAGATATACAATCAATTTCCGTCTGTATTCTACCTTCCCAACTTCCCACCGACAACAGTGGCTGCGCCCACGTACAAAGTATGGTAAAATTATTACAGCAATGCGCGTTTCCACGACAAAAATGATTGTTTAAAAAAGTTTAAAATAATAAAAACTTAATAATAACAAAAAATAAATAAGAACGGTTGCCAATGGCAACTTTATTTTAATTGTTCAAACTTTTTTAACTTTAAGAACCGGGTTTTCTTCATTATCTTGAATATTAGAATATTAATGAGAATTTCAAAAAATTTTCAAAAAAAGTATCACCCAGAGAATATTTCCTTTCGGAAAAGGTGCTATATTTGATAATCGGATTATGCTTTCTGGTGGAAAAAGTGTTCACGTAAAAAAAAAAACATCTTTGTAAAACCAATACATTCTTCTAAACTCAGAATCTAAAATAATAACAATGCGACATTTAATACACTTTTTATTTTTAATTATTTATCAATAATTTTTTAGTGTAACAAATATATTTATATTGGAATTGTAAATATAAACTATACGATGTGATAGTGAATTTTCACATTCGTTAGACATTTAAAACGAATTTATTGAGAAAAAAACGGGTAGGGTTTAAACCCCATGACCTCCCCCCCTGTGAATACGTCCATGGTGTTATCTGTAAACCACCTGGGAACCAATTCTATAATTGGAAACAAACTCTTATTGGACCCTAAAATTATTACCTATTAGTTATATATTAATATAAGAAAATAAGTAACTTGTATTATTATTGTATAGTTTCGTATCGCTTTCATCTATTTGACTTCCTATATGACGTACTTCTTTAAAATTTGAAAAAAAAAATTTTAAATTTAAGATGCGTAAGTGTGCAATTTTTAATTTTACTTTATCGACGTTGAAAATACATTTTTTTTGCGTAATTATTGTTTGTCAAATTATGAGAAAATATATTGATATACATTAATATATAAATATAATCTCGCACATAATTTAATGCGATCTCAGGGTCGTAGTTCAATATTGAAATTATTAAATTGAAAATAAAATTATTTGGTATAATACTATTATAACTAAAGTATAACTCTTAAACTCTTAATAATGAAAAACAAAACATGCGTCATTAAAGATATATGTGTATATTTACTGTATATTATACAGACCTGTAATATATTTCTTTACCCTGCGCTCGTCCCTTAAGACTCGTCATTTTGTATTTAGAGAATCTGCCATTATGATATAGGATAGGTATGTAAACTGCAAGGTTCGGAAAAATTAAATCTCTAAATTTAGGTATGGTGAAAAAAAAAAGGGGATTTTGAAAAGAGCATCCGTATTAGTCGTCTTCGGCAATTGAGCAGCGCAGATTAGAGCCTTTTATAGAATTTGAAAAGAATAAGCGTTCCTTTCTTTTTATAATTTTAGAATGTTTTAAAATGTAATTAATACGTCGTCGTATAAAACTTAATATTATTTTACGTGCCCCAAGATTCGTATACAATTCGCAAAGTGCAGTGTATATTAAACAGTATCTATATAATATTATATTTGCAAAAGACGTATTATACGAAGAAACATTATCAATATTCTTCTTTTTCTTTTACCAGCTTGTATAATTCACGAAGGACATTTACCGCTTCCGCCAAACCCTCCCCGAGATAAGTATTTCGTTTGGCCTTCGCGGTCTTCCAACATATTCTTGTCCCTCTGTAAACATTTTATAATTTTAAACATAAATAATGCATCATTTAAATACATTTCAAATTAACTATTTAATATTTCAGGTTTTATAAAAGCGTAAAATGTTATGCTTACAATTTTACCTTTTTAACTTTTTAACATTTCATTAAAAATTTTAATATAAGACTTTTAAATAATTAATATTTTACCAATTCTTGCTTTTTATTATATATTAAAAGTTTAACTTTACAGATTTGATAGTGCGTTAAAAAAGTAATGTTTAAATGAATATTATCATTGCATTCATATTAAAACTTTTTAATTACATTCATATGTCAATATCTAAAAATTAAAAAAATTAAAGTTCAACCAAACCTTCCATTTTATTATCTTTAGAAGATCTAACTGAACAGATTTAATTTAACATTTAAAATTGTGGAGCAAATCCGTTGTGAGCGTATTTTTATAAGCCCACCCCCCTTAAAAGGGTTGAGAGGTGAAAGAGGATGTTGCACGGGAAAAGCATACTTTCGGTAAATGGAGTATTACTTAAAATAAATTTCGGTGTTAAAATTTTTGATTTCCATTGATCCGTTGACGAGATTTCCCACTTTTAAGTGCTCCGCTACTCTCCCTCTACCTGTACTTAAAAGTGAGATGTCTCGTTAACGGGTTGATGGAAATCAAAAATATTAATAGCAAAATGTATTCAAAGTAATACTTTGTCTATTTATGGAATTTTTAATATAGGTTCTCATGTAAAAAATCAAAGTTAGTATCGTCACAGGATACTCCCGAAATGTTGTGAATATCTAAATATCGGCTTTAATTTCTTTTACAAATTCCAACAATCAGAATTTGAATTAATGTTAAATTTAACCAAATAATGGGGTGAATACGTTTAATGAAACATTCTGTATAAGTAGTATGTCATACGTTATTGTTTGTTTTCGATGTTCGTACAGAATCAAAGGCCAGTTTTCACCATCGTATAATATCGTTTCTATCATATACATGTATAGTTAAACAGGTATAATCGAATGGTTCTTTTGATCAATAGGATTGTAATAGCCCGTAATGCGTATTTACTAGGGATTTAAAAGGGTGACACCCTCCCCTAGAAATACGTGATTTCTATAATATAAGTGGGTTTGGTATGATTTAAGTGGAATTAGCGGTCTAAATTGTGTCAGTGCATCCCTTCTCCCCCCCCACAAAAAAAAAAAAATTATAGAAGCTATTATAGCTATATAGATGGGTGGGTACCTTCCCACCGAGTGACACGAAATATTATTCAGTTTAAATTCGATAGCGATTTCTACCGCGCGCATTCGAGGTGACGTCTTGTGCAATTACTATCTGTTTGTGTATTATTATATCAGGTATACGGCGGCAGTGTTGTAAATTTCGCGAATTGCTGAAATGTACGTATACGCACGAGAGGAAGAACCAACGATGTGCAGCTAATATAAACGGTCGGCAATACAGAATTTTTTATACTATGATGATGTTTTTAATATTGCGAGCCGTAGAGTTACAAAATAATAAAATCGCGGTAATTTTTTTTTTTTTTCTTCTAATCAAACCAGATTATTTATACGCGAACCAAATTATTTATTACTTATACACAGTCGTACTGTATCTATTTGGAAATTATTCGTATTACAATGTTCTACTATTTCTCTCCTGTGCTATTACGCTATATATATATATATATATATATATATATATATAATATATTATAATCGCGCTTTATCGATTTATTTCATTTGTCGGTTTTTAATTTTGCACACAGGTATTATAATAGTATTAAAACACGAACAAAATATATAAATATTCCATTTGTACAACCTGCTGCATTTTTTAGTCGTATTGATTATATTAGGAATCTATTAATAGCACGTTTTTACATGTACTATAACGCGAGATTATATAGGAAACAAAATGTGTCGTACCTAATAATTTTTATTATAACTATTTAAATAATGATTAGGTCGGATTCATTGACAAATCACACATATTAGCGTGTTAGATGGGTTTTACGAAAACCGACGCGTAATTATAGTTTTTATTGTGTATAATAACATATTATGAAACGACAAAACGGACAACATCAATAAACCCATCACGGTTTTAGAAAATAATCTAACTTATTAGTTGTTAGCTTACTGCAGAGGCAGTTAAGTTAACATTTTATTGACGATCGCTGTAGATTATATACCCCTCCTACTTATTTGAGATTATAACTTAATATATAATCAAATAATATAAAAACAATACAATACAATTATAATTATCTGAATGCAATTAAAATAAATTAATACAAATTCTAAAACCGTAAATGCTATAATAAGCACATATAGACAATTGTTTTAAGTAACAAATTAGAAAAAACAGCAAATTACGTTGATTAACCTATCAAATATTTATTTATAATTCGATAGAAACAATTTCAATTTTTGTTCATACATATTCATGTACCCGACGTGATTTTGTATAACAAATCTAGGGTTGTACTTGTTTTCGATTAAATTTCAACATGAGTTTATTATTGTAGCTCGTAATACAGTTTTGAAATAACTGAGGTTTTGTGTTAATTTTTTTTTTTTTTTTATCATGCTTATAGGGGAAAAACTGACTCTATCACCATGACTGCCAGGCTTTCCACATAGGTACATATAAAGTTAGGCTATCTAGTTGTTTTATGTATCTAATATGGATAATACTTACTATTTATAAAATTTGTCGAATACCGAATTAAAACGTTTATATCCGTTTTGTCGATTTTTTCTGTCCATATTTTAATTTCATAATTTTCCTTAAGCTAAATATTTTATAATAACATATATAAGATATTGTTTCTCCGTGTAGTTCAAACGCGAATATAATAAAACGCGTTTAAATTGTTCCTCTTTTCTCCAAGGAGTCGTTCCGGAATTAATTATAATAATTGTTAGATATATGCTACTTAAATTGAGAAATATGATTATTAAAAAGTTTTGTTTTTTTGAAATTCGATACCGTTGGGCACCGCCTATTGTGATTTGCTATTACGTGATAATGATAAATGATACTATTGTGTAGGCGCGTCTGGTTTTCCTTTTATAATATAATTATTAAAATTTTCTAAACAAACTTTCGTAGAATAAAAATCAAATTCACACAACATACGACGTTACAAACAATTTTAGATATTTAATTATTATAATTAATTTTACGCTGCAATTTTTTTTCAGTTTTAATTTAGTATATCATTATTATATACTATACAAGCATATTAAAATGTTAAGTAATTTAATTATACAGTTAATAATCACAGTTACATATTAATGATAAATTGATGACTTATTATTACGAAAATTAGAATTTTTGACGTTTCAATGATAGTAATAATAATTTATTGATTAAGGGGCTTCGTCACTATATCGTTTGATTCATCTGTCTGTCTAATGCGTAATATAGCAATAAAGATCATTCTGCATTTCCACAACTGTGTCTCTCTGGTTGGGCTTAGGGAAAATGGATATATGACACATTTTAGAAAGTAGAATATTTACTGTGGATCATCATGCAAATGATTTTTTTTTTCTAATGTATATTTTTAGTTTTTTCATGTGCGCGTGTTTAAATTAAATTAAATTAATTTTAATTTTAACCATTGTAACAACATATTGAGGAATTTATGTATTTAAAAAAAAAAAAATCATTCGAATTCTTTATAGTAAATACTTTTCTTTATAATATGTATAAACCTTTGCCCTAAACTCGACTAAAGAATCCCAATCATGGAAATGCAGAATGATTTTATTATTTATACATATATAATGCGCGTGACAGACAGAAAAAACAAATGTTATAGTGACGAGGCTCCTTAAAACTTATCTATATATTTCAAACGATTTTAATTAAAAATAATATTATTGTTTGCCTACACGAAGGCAACATTGTTTTTAAAATATTTTGCACGTTTAACTGCAATATTGACCTATTTTTTAACGTCTTTTTATTAAAGCTTTGCCTTTTTTTTTATAGATAAATTATCAATATAAATATATTAACTACGGCAACTCTAAATAGGTACATTTTTAAAACTCATATTTTTTACCAGAACTGTTTACTATTAGTCTTTATAGCTTTTCTTGAACTGAAGTTGTGTTTAGGCCGTTTAGGATCTAATACAATAAGGAGTGTTATATTTACTATATGCTATGGTATTACGTCAATATTTTTCACGCAACAAAACTTATGAGTTAATAATAATAAGATTATCACGACAATAAATTTCATTTATTACTCGTAATAGAATATATTTTGTGTGACATTTTATCTTAATGATTGACGAGGCTATAGTACGTAATTGAAAACGACTAGTTACAAAACTAGCTTTATATATTGGTGTATCTACTAGTACTATATTACGAATTATGATAAAAGTCTTCTCAATATTTTCGATGTTAACGACAATTTTTAATTATTTATTGATTTGTTTGAATTAACTTTTAATACAAATTTTTGATATTAAATTTTTGCGTGAACTATTGCTGTATTCAAAAAATGTATGCGTACAAATTGATCATACGTTGTCTGTCCGTCTCTAGTATTAACTTAAAAAAAAAAACGTATATCGTATACGTTTTAATAAGCCTTAAAAATTGATAACAAAATTCGCAAAGCGACAATATGTATTTAATAATATCCTAATATATCCTACTCGATCGCGTGTCTTATGAAATACGCATATTCGTGTAATAAATTTACTGGATTTAGGTGTCAGGGAAAAATCGAAAATGGAAACACTTTCCCCGGGGAAATCCAAGAAAGCGTGCACTCGTGTTATATAATCAATATGACCAAATTGTCGGGAGGAGTTTTAAATTAAATCATCTACCTATTGGTTTTGTTACAAATATAATTATAGTATCTATTTTGAAAATAAGAAAATAATAAACAATATTTTTGGAAAAATCTTCGAGGGGGGCCGGAATTGAATCCTCCAAATCTCGTCTCTGGTGCGGCCTTGTATACAGAGTGTACTCTTATCCACAGGATTGGACAATTTCCTATATGTAATTTTATAGGAAATGGTCAAATCCTGTAAATATACGAACAATATAAGTATTATGCGACAGATATATAAAACAACTAAATAGCCGATTCTGTGTTAAAGTCTCATGAGGCCTATGAAGTCTTATAGCCATATGCGAAAAGGGCAAAATACGATTGATTAATCCATGAAATATTCAATGACTCTGTGGATTATGTAGACAATTATAACAATATTGTCAGTTATCGCCTAAACGGCCGAACAATGATTAATATTTTTTTAATAATAATAACTAAGAGGACGTCATAACCGCATCTACAATTACGGTCTCAATCCAACTACCGGGTTAATATAAAAAAAAAGTTTATGTAGAATAAGTAAAACTAGCTTAAGTTTGATTTTAGAAATAAAGGACCTATTATGAAATTTAGAGAGAACAATATTTTGGAGGGAATGTCTTAGGTGTTTTTTTGAATTATAAACTATTAAAAAAGAAAAAAAGAAAAGCTTATTTTTTATATCGAGTTGTATACTTTGAATAATACAAAAACTCTATAACATTCCCTCAACAATATTTTTTTCTATAAATTTCAAAATAGGTACTTTTATTCTAAAATTAAAATTAAATTAGTTTTACTTATTCTGCTTAAGCATTGTTTTTGCATGTTACCCGGCAGTTGGACTAGGTCAGTCGATGCGGACATAACATCCTTTTAATATATATTATAATTATAGATTTATATATCATCAATAATAGCATGATTATTATAGTAGTTACTAGTAAGTCATAGTTAATACTTAACGATAATTTAACGATTAAATCTATGCAAATATTTTACTTGTATCTGGTGTTGTGTCTGTGATTTGATGTAATTAAATGCTTATGATTATAGAATTAAATTAAAACGGATAAATTGTAAATAAACTTAAAGTCCTTCACCTTAAATTAATTATCGAATGTTAACCAAAACAAGTTTGTATGTCGGATATATTATTATAATCAAAAATTGTTATTGTTTTAATCACCGATATATTTCATGAAACAGTATAGAATGCCATGGACTAGTCAATCGCATTTTACCCTTTTCGTATATGGACGCTACTTCTACTTTATTCGTTGAGTCGACTATATAGTTGTTTTATAGATCTATGGTTATTATGCACAGTAAACATATAATAACAATATGTTCTGCTAGTAATATAGTATTATCCGCTATGCAGGACTAATTTATAGTGTGTTTGTCGTTTTGCATGTGCAGGCTGTCTCAGACATGGGAAGCGAGCACTACTGTCTTCGTTGGAACAATCATCAGAACAACCTGCTGGGCGTATTCAGTCAACTGCTCCAAGAAGAGTCCCTTGTGGACGTGACGCTCGCTTGTTCGGAAGAAGGACGTCTGATCCGCGCCCACAAAGTGGTGTTGTCCGCGTGTAGCGCGTACTTCAAGGCACTGTTCCTAGACCATCCAACCCGGCACCCGATAGTGGTGCTCAAAGACGTACAGTTCTCTGAGCTTCGCGACCTGGTCGAATTTATGTACAGGGGTGAGGTCAACGTTGACCACAGACAGTTGACCACGTTGCTGAAGACGGCCGAGAGCCTGAAGGTCAAGGGGCTGGCCGACATGGCTCGCCCCAACGACGGCGACGAAGACACGGTCGGCGACCGTGTCGAACTGGTGCCCGCCGATCGAGATGACGAGCCCATGGAACCTGAAGACCTGCGGCCGTTGAGCCGGTGCCGAACACCGGTGCCCACGGAGAGCCGCACGCCGTCGCCGCCGCCCACCGAGAGCGACGACAACCTGTCCATGCAAAGTGAACCCAGCGACATGACCACAGTCGGCCGGCACGATCCGCTCTCCCCGTCAGGTTCCGGTCTGCCGCCCGTTCAGCAAGTACCTTTGGTGAGTATTCCTATATTACGGTGATACAAACTCTGCATGATTGCGTTTATTTCTCGTTCGTCAACCGTATTCACCGCGATAACCGTGCGAGTAGACGACACGGCAACCGGCGCACGATGCGATTTGTAATTAGAAAAAAAAAAAAAAAAAACGAAATATGTAACCAAAATATTATTATACCCACGGTGTATTGTTGTGCTCGCTATTCCGATAATATTATTTTCGAGTGCGTATACACTTACATAATATACGTTTCGAGCGTGTGTGGGTTAATTTTATATATATATATATGTATTCTTTTTTTCGTATATACCGCCATCGGCTTCTTTCGGTATCGATCCGGCCTCTGCGCGCGTACAAACCGGCGAGCCAGCCATCCGGCCGGGTTCAAAGGAACTCATTTGTCGGCCCGCCCGCGTGGTATAATTGGATTACGTTGACAAAATATCACACGATTTCTTCGGCCCGCGGGCGACCCGTGAACTAAAACGTATACAATATATCGCCGTTATTATTCTGTAACTATCGCATCGCGCGCGCGCGCGTTAAAAGCGAGGACGTTTAAAAGCAATATACTAGATACCTATGTATGTATATATATATATATGTTTACGATCCTAAAATGTTTGCCGAAAAATCACAAAGGCGCCGCGTCGTCGTTCGCGATCCCCGCCGCCTCCGTCCTCGCTCCCGGCCGTCCGCCCCGCCACGCTCCGCCCGACCGAACGGGTTTTTGCCGTAACCTATTAACGCGTGTCGATTTTACGCACGGTTGTATTGCTATAATGTTTTCCAAAGTCTCTGTCGCTGTTACGCGATTAAAATAATAACGTTACGATATACAACACCGTCGTTATTAGTGCCGGGCCGCGTGTAAACAGCGTTGGTCGGATGATTGTCTATCGGTTCGGCGAAATCGTCGATCAGATTTCGCTTCGTTTTACGCGTGCGGTATTTCGTTATTACCGGGGCTTGGGTGTCGAAAAGGGCCAATCTCAATTTTTCAACCGATTTCCGGAAATTATAAAGAATCAAATACATTTTCGGGCCTTTTCGATATTGCAACAGACATTTTTCCAACGAAATTGGTCTTTTCAAATCTCACAATAATGATTATTGAGCCCTTTTACTACACCATTTTACCACTAGAAAAACCATGTATACATTTATTCAATTGAGTCCGTATAACTCATTTTTACCAAAAGGTGGCATTGGCCCTTTTTGTCCAAGCCCCAGATTTAAATAGAAAATATGTCTCATCCGTATTCTTCGTTCATTATAATTATCAATCATTTTATCCCTATCAAATATTTTACAGAACTATAATAATATAATATGCACGAACAAACAATTAAAAGCGAATAGAGTTTGGTTTAAATTTTAAAATCCAAATCATCGTAGTCTTCGGAAGTAATATGATCTATTTCCAAACCGCCTTAGACATTTTAAAAATCTTCTGACGACGAGAACAACGAAAATTATATTTCATTTATATTTTATAGTTTTTATATTACCGCAGGCAGAAAAACGTCTCAGAGTAAAACAAGACAATTAATTTACGGTTTTACGTGATAACACAATTATAACTAAATGATATTCGGATATGTTCATTAAATATTTCGTAGATTAAACAATGCTTAAAGTTTTACAGAACCGAAATCAGTTCAATAAATTAATGATCCAATTACCACGTGTTTGATAACGTTCATTCATTTTGCGATCGGCTCTGTTATGTCTCAATTGACCCGGCAAGAGTAAAGAATAGTCGTATAATAGGTATAGGCACGCGTGTATTTTATAACAATTAATACAAATATCGAATAAGCAAAGAAATATTATCATACCGTGAACTGTATTTGTGACTTTGAACAGACTGCATTCGTATAGTATGGTAGTTTAATATTATTTAAATATCCACTGTATATGCCTACCGTTTGCAGTACCTAAACGTTTAAAAATATCGTGAAATTTAAAATTATCTCTAGAGTGAAACATACGGTTTAAAAAAAAAAAATATGTTACAACACCTTTGTTGTCATAAATACCATCACTGCCAAATCAAACATACGAAACATGAAATACATAATAATTTTATTATTATTAATCGGTAAAAGAAAACTTTGAATCGTTATGATGTGTGTAACAGAATTATAATCACCGCAAAGAACACTGCAATAAGCGTAATAATGTTATATTATGTATTCGTTTTTAAGTTGTTCGATATTTAAAGTGGGGGGAGGGCAAATAATCAAACACAATAATGTACACTCGTGTTCAAAATTTAAAAAAGTAAACATGTTTTAATTGGCAGCCGTCATATTAATATACGGGGGAACTTTTGAATCTTGAAACCTGTACTTATTATAATATAATATATCAGTTACTTCAAATAGATCGGAGAATCATTTCTTTGCCATAACAATTATGGTGGTTTAAAATTGTTTTTCGATTCGGTCAGATTACTCAGATTTCGAGTATATAACTTTTATATCTACAAGAGTCGTTGATTGAATTATCCGCGGTTTTGCGTGATATCGACAAAGCTGTTAAATTTTAAATGCATTAAAAATGACATGGTTTTTCACCCCTATTCACAATGACGAACTCCACCAACACTCGTCTACGAAGGTGAGTTTATGATAATATTATCGTCTGACAATAATGCAATGTAAATAATATTTACTACATTATACGATTATTATTACAATATAAAAAAAAATCCAGTATAAGCAACAAGTGTCTATAATTATATCGTGTAAGTAAAAAATGAGAAAAAAAAATCAATTATTTTAAACATTGTTAACGTTTCCATCTTTGTATTAATATACTGTTACGTTATGTTTATTAATTAAAAACTCTTAATAATGTACTGCAGTGTCATATTTTCAATTTTCAATTAATTCTATTCGTTTTATCGGTTATACATGTTTCAGTAATATTGAGTAAATGGTATGTCTAAATTGGACATTGGTCTTGTTTGATTTTCTGTGATCTATATATTTGAAAAGAGATAATTTTTGATAATTAATTATAGATAAGCCTTACCGAATAGTCTTTTTTTCGAACAATCTCTTGATTTACTATTGTCATCAATAACTCTACGACAAAACCTATTAACGTCGATCACTGTAAAATATAGTTAGCGTTTTTTTATAATTAATATACAATTTAAAATATTGCGTAAGATCTATAACAAAAATATAATTTTCAAACAAATGAAAAATATAGGATAGATGGACGGCTGGAAAATCCCGAAAAATGTTTGTATGAACTATAAAATTCCAGAATATAAATTTACGGACAAGAAAACGGCGGACTAAAAATCCGGAAAATGAAACACCGTAAATGTCCGGACTGTAAACGGCCGGAAAAATAAATGTTCTGACCAGAAAGTCTCGCATTATAATAATCCAAAATACAAAAATACGCACACTGTAATGTCCCGGACGAGAAATTTCCGGGATGTAATACCCCGGACAATTTCTGGAATGTCACGCACAAGAATAATCCAGAATTTCAAAAACACTATTAATACTGATAATCGTGACACCGAGTCTGAGCATGTCTATCCATCTTTGAAAACAGCCATAAAATCATGAACCTTCTTTAAATCTTAATTCGTTGATTCTGTTTCTACCGTGTATGCGAAACATTACCATCTATCATTTTTTTTTGTTAAATTCCAGAAAGCTCTTGTCCGGAACATTACAGTGTGCGTATTTTTGTATTCCGGCTTCTTATAATCGGATACTCTGTTATTGGCATTTATGCTTTCCGGATTTACAGTATAGAATATTCTGGTCAGAACATTTATTTTTCCAACCGTTTACAGTCCGGACATTTACAGTGTTTCATTTTCCGGATTTTTAATCCACTCTTTTCTTATTTGTAAATTTTTATGCTGCTAATGATTTTTTCCCGGAATATTACTGTAGTATTGCAGAAAAAAAATCATCTGTATGATTACTGAAAATTCCCTGATTTTTACAGACCGTCTGATTATTTTCCGGAAAATTCTAGTTTAGCAGATAGGTATTATAGTTACCTATACTAATATTGTCGAATTCCTTCTGAAAATAGAAGCTATTTTTCTTTGTATTGTGTTTATTATATGTATACATATATATTTTTCTTTAAGCATTTGGACACTTTAAGTGGCTCCCTCCGACCAAAAGAGCTAAAATTCGGTAATTATAGAGTTGTTTTATTGACGGATTGAAGTAAAGTAATTTTGGTTGAATTTCATTATGAGTTTCAGCATTTTGTTGCGGTTGAAAGGTTTATTATAGCTATTTGTACACTACCACAGACTTTTCAAATAAAACCAGAGGTATATGTAATTGTGTATACCCACGATACGTATAAGTACCAACAGTATGTATTTTGGTGGTTTCAACTTTCAACCTTTGCCCTAACTATTTGTGTGCTCAGATTTAACAGTTTTATAGGAAATACTGTAGAATAAACATATCCTTACAGACTCATGGACGTAAATAACTTGTTTAAAATGTGTAACGTATAAATCGAATTGTAGTCGAGGTGCGTGCCTTTAAAAGGTTCCAACTTCCAACTCTAGATCCCACCGTCTGTTTGTGTTTTAGCAAAAATGTCGAGAACTATACTTTACTTATTTTGATGAAAAATTGTTTATTTAATTCCTTATCATTATAAAAAAAAAAAACATTACATATTGTAACAACAACAAGTCAGCTAGAGGAAAATTTAACTTCAGTGTGGAACCCTGTAGCTTATTTTTTTTTTCAATAGGTTTTTAATAATTTAGTTTTATTCCGAAATAATGTAGAACGATACTTAGTAGAGTTTCATTACGACATAAACAAATTACTACTTGAGATTCCCAATTGGGCTAAATCGTATACAATCTTGTTTTTTCATATTGAAAACACTCATTTAAAGACTCATTTGAATTGTTGTTTTCTTCGTACGCAACAATTAAAATACCAGTGGACTGGTGACTATATTAATTTAGTACCAATTTACAATAAAAACATCGATTGTATATTTTTTATATTCACAATTTATTAAAAATGAATGCACAATATAATTATAACTATGACCGTATAAGGGGGATAGGAGGGGAAATTATCCCAAGTGGCAGTAAAAAACATTGCTAATTGATAGGCTATTAATGTAGGTGGGAAGTTGATAGGATAATTTATTTAATATATGTATATAACAATTAGCATACATCCATTTTGAATGCAGTTCAGTTAACCATTTCTAGTTTTTCCTGGATTTACTTAATATTATGAAAACCACTTGGAAAATAAAAATATAACCTCCTTCAATTATCACCCAGATAAAATTTCAGAAATGGTACTAAATTTGAAAATTGAAACAAGATTTCCGATACCAAAAATGTTCACAGATAAAAAAAAAACATCATTTAAAACCAATAGGTACATTCTTCGCTACAGTCTGCATCTGAAATAATGTTATATTTATTATCATAAATACATATATGTATATACATACATATGTTTTATGTGTACTGAATTTCGTCTTATAAATATTTGTTGAAACTTATAATTATTTTAGTTTATTCATGGTTTTTCGATTAGGGTCTTGAAAAATGGCACCTTTTACCCTTTAGGGACTCCAAAATTAGTTAGCTCTTATAAATTGGAATAGACAATTAAGTAAAACTTCATGTATTGTGAATAACAATAAGTATATTATAAATATATTTTTAATTCTTAAATCTTAATATCAAATTGGGCCTTTTCATATATAAATATAATATAAAATGAATCTAATAAATCTACATCTACAATAAACAAGTTTTTGCGTTGGAAATAAAATGTCAGCTAGTTAGCCTAGTTATCTGTTATAGGTCTAGGTCAATTGACCGATAACTAAAATACCGACCGATAGTGACAATTCACCAAATTACTACCTTTTAAACATGTATAATCAAACTCCGCTCAGAATCGTTTTTCGTTAGCAAAGATTAATCGTTGCGTAATCGATTTTTAAAATAAAAATATAAATTGTATGATATTATAAATTATTTTCGATCGACTGTGCATCTCTTGTCTATTATTATTATACAAATTCGCTGTACAGGTGTAATAGCAATAAAAAAAAAAAAAAAAACAAAACAAAATCATAACAAAAATACGATAAGGATGTAATAAACCCGAACAAAATATCAAAATTATATTTAAAATACCAATGCGCAAGCTCATGAAGAGAAATCGATAAAATAACAATCTTGTTGAAAAAGGAAGAGTATTAACTTTATAAAATATTTATTGCTTTAGTAAAATTAATTTATTTTCGTTGATAAATATTATTTTGTTACAATAAGAAAATATAAATTATTAATTTATGATGAATAGAACATTGGCTGCATATAATATATTTAAATATTTTTCATAATCGTATAATTACATGATTATAATTTTATAAATTATGTACTGCAATAATGTTGTATAAGCGAATGAATTCAATATTAATAATTGTGTACAATAATAAAACAATATAATTAAAATATGAAATAAAATAATAACTTTATAAACAAAGACATATACGCCTATATAGTATTATAATATACGAAAGTTCTGTATCGCGTGTAGCTATATCAAAAGCAAGATCATAAGTTACGACTATGAAATTACTAATGACTTTTTTTTTTTGCATACTTTATAACCAGGAAATCCTTCATGCGTGATTTATTATGAATATGCATTGAAGTTTAAAAATGTAATTCGGCAACTCAAGGTACAGGCGCGTTTCATTAAAACGTGAAATTCAGAGGGCAGAAATAAAAACGACTAGAAATGTACGATTGAACTGGGGTACTTATATATCTACCAAATTTATCTTTTACACGACCTCGAAATGTAGGAGAAATTAATTTTATTATATCAAAAAAATATATTATGATCTAAAAACGAAAATTTACAACTTTAGAAATACCAAATTATTTACTTTTTTATTATATATTATAAATTATTAAATAATAAATAATTTATAGGTAATAAATGTAGTAAAATTTTAAAAAAAATTAAGCAATAAGCGCCGATTCATTTAACCTGTTATAGACATATTTTTAGTAGAATTGTGTAATTGAGTTTTATTTTAAATAATCTTGGTAACAGACTGTATGTAGATATTACATATTATTCTATTGTGCATGTAAATATTCTCGTTTCAAGCGCTAAAATATTATTGTTTTACCCAGTGGCGCCGTTTCGGATGGCTTAATTACGGGAGTGGGGAAGGCTCTTAAAAAAAATCAATTATTTTATGTTAATATTACAAATTAAAAATGTATGAGTCTCAGGAGACACTTGTAGTTTGTTTAATCGATTATGCTATCGATGGAATAAGATAATATCGAACAAATCAATATCTATGACTATGTTTATAGTTTACATGAAAAATGATGTATGGGTTTATTACTATATGTTGAAAATAAAAAGACATTTTATTTAACTAAGTACAAAACAGATATTTTATCTCAGTCGCTTGTGATTTTTTAAATAAATTTATAAAAAGAAGTGTGCAATATAACTAGATTTGTGTATGATTATTTACGTATTTTTTTTTACATTGTCTGGAACATTTTTAAGAATTTCATCTAAAATTCTTGACTTTGCTACTGGTCTTACTGTCGAAGCTTAATGATTAATATTATTGTTATTTCATGAATTTTATAATTATTGTTATTTAAATTTTATTATTAACAAAATTAAAAAAAATAGATTATTTCAGAATTTAGAGTTATTATTTGCTATATCAAATAATAATTCAAATAAAGTTTATCGTACTTATTTAAACTCGTATATATTTATACAATTTCGACTTTTATAAACTACTGCAGGTATTGTTTTCAGTAATAATTATTAACTACATATTCTTATATACTTAATTGTAAAAGTGAACGAATTCAAAAAATTAAATTTTAAACGTATAACAATTATTCGACTGAAAAAACTACAATTTACAGAAGTAGGCATGATATAATGCACCTATATATAAACATTTTATTTTCCATGTGCATATTGAAAAAGACGTCCTAAAATAATGAGACAATGAAAACGGGCGCAGCCACTGTTATAAGCAATTTAATATATATATATATATATATCTGTAAGCAACGATAAACCATTGCTAACGAAAAAACGATTCTGAACGCAGTTTAGTTCATAGTGATGCTTTGTCGACAATTTATATTTTATATTATGACATCTATAGGCATTTTTTTTAATGATATTTGTTTAATTTTGTACCGATTTTCCTATATTTTTTCCCGGTTTTCACATTTTATGGGAAAACTATTGGAAAAATCCAAAACTGACTTCCCTAAAGTACCTCCCCTGTCAGATTTCCTTTTAGAAAAAATGCTATCATTTTAAATCGGAGCAAAATTGCTGGTAGAAAATTTGCACCCAGAAAGAAAAGGCCATATTTTTATACTAATACCTTTATTTAGTATATTTTCTGTTTTTCAAACATTTTCTCCCGATTGTTTAATTTTTTTAAGTTCAATATTTTTTTTAAATTTTTAATCATCACCAGCCACTTTTAAAACTGTAACTAAAACGATATTTTCTGTCGTGTTCTATTTTCTATATGGTAAATGTTTATAGAAGTTGTTTCTGTAGATCGGCTAAAAAAAAAAATACAATGGGGGGTATAACCCCTAACCTCCCCCCTCTTTGGACACGCCACTGAATATAAGTATTTGTATTAGCAATTGTATAATATATAGTGTCTAAGTATTGAAACAATATACATACATATTATACATTGTAAAAAAATAATAAGTGATGCAAATTATATACCTGAGACCAACTTATTATACTGTCACCGTTTTTAAATTCAATCCGAAAACTACTTTTTTTTTTTTTTATTATCAATGACAGATAAATTATATTAAAATATAAACGTTCAAAACGAAACGGCAAACAATAATGTTGGGTTAGAGTTCGAGTTCACGACACCCGACCCTTTTTAAATCCTCAAACTGGTATTCGTTCTGTACATCGCCTATATTTTACTAAATGTTAATTTTCGTTTCGATTGTACCTACTCGTATTATTTCCCCGTAATGATTTTCTTGTTTTCAATTTTTTATTTTTTATTAATTTCACGATTTCTAATTTACACTAAAATATACAAAAACAAATAGCCAAATTATGTATTTTAATAAATTATTGTATTCTATTAAGTATATGAATACAAAATAAAATATATCGAAATAGTAGAATAGACATTTCAATAGTATAGAGATTATACCGCGCGAGTGTGAGATTATTGTTGTATGGGCGTATTCCATACGGACGGTGTACAAAAAATTAAACAATTAATGTTTTGCTATATATTTTATACTTTATATGATATTATATGATATATCATATTATACGTCAAAAATAATATAATATCATGAAATATGTTATATTTACACAAATCAGAACTTATTATGCCATTTTTATAAAAACAACCACTATACATACGTCTGCAACACTAACTCCTCTACACATAATATTATATGTTGGCCTTGTTTGTTCTTGTCTAAGCATATGTCTTCGTTTATATATAATATATACGTAACAATGTATAAGTATATTATGTAAACTCCTATAACAAAGGTTTTATATACGACCTTGAAATACATATGATAGTACTATAAGAACATTCGCATCACGTAATAGATCAAATTTCCTAGGGTATATAACTCTACTTTTATAATACGAGTGGATATTTTTATAAAAACGTACTTGTAGGAATAAATTCGTCTTTTGTATAGAATACGCATTATGCATAATAGTAGAGTACCTTCTATTCTAATTATAAAAGCGTATGTATAAATGTATATATAGATATTTTGTGTAATACAAATTATCATGGTTATGAACTTAATACCTACGCGTTTATACAATACCTAAATTCGACTTTTTTTTTTTATATTTTAATAAAAATAATAAAAGAGCCGAACATACTTTGCACCGTTGGTGTACCACTATTGTTGTAGATGGAAAGTTATAGGACATACAAAGTATTTTACTATTATATTTATACTAACGATAAATTATTACACACGAAAAACGGTTCTCAACGAAGTTCGTAATTTAATAAATAACATGTTTTGATAAATCGAAATTGAATATTTTATTAGTTTCTAACGATAAGATAAATTATAGTTGTTCGTGTAATAAACGAATTTAACATTAATTTGTATATAAAACAAACGCTAATAAAAATAAAATCAGAAGTATTATCCAAATAATTAAAAAAAAAACCAGAATATTTTTAAAATTGCACCACGTCTATAAAGTGCAAATATAAATATTCCATGAAAGTTGCATTATGTATTTATGATTATTAGATACGGAGAGTAGCAAGGGATCTTATGGTTTTACTACGGTGTGTGTTTGTCTATGAGCAACTTTTCTACAAGAAAACTTGCTCCTAAGTATCAAGTGTAGCATTTTTTCTGAAAGATAATTTTATCGATGTGATACTTTAAGATGGTAATTTTTAGATTTTCTAAGGGGTTTTCAAAATAATGGGGGAAAACCCGAAAGAAAATTATAGGTAAAACGGTAAATATTTACGGCGTGCGTGGCATGTCAAGGTTTTTAATTTTTTTTTTTCACTGTTTTGTACCATAAATACTGCTCCAATTGAAAAATGACTTTAAAAAATGATTTTATTTCTTTGAATATATATAGCTACTAACAAAGAAACTCATTTTTTGATATCTAAAGTAGTTTTCATAATAAATGGAAAAAATCAAAAAAGATGAAAAATACGATTTTATTTTTTTTATTACCGCTCAACGATTTCAGTATTTTACATTTATACGGCTTATGTTTTCTACCATAAATATATCTCCAATTTAAAAACGAAAAGAGACCTTTTATGTTAAATTTTAATTCTAGTTTGTAACCAAGAAAGTCGTTTTTTGATTTTCATTATAGTTTTTTAATTAAACAAAACAGAAAAACGTAGAAAAAACAAGAATACTTACGAAAATAATTCTTTTATTATTTTCAATTTTGTTTTTTAATATAAATCAATTAAATATATTCAAAACATTAAACCATTTTTGAGCTATTTATTTTATATTATTTTGTGAATTTTTATTTGGTAGGTATTCTATGGATAAAATCGTTACACAGAAATGCTTGAAAATTTGACAGGAGATTCATTAAAAATCGTGATTTGTGGTAAAAAAAAGAAGAAAAATCGAGTGTAATATGTAATTTTATTTTTTCATACATTTTTAAAATAAAATTTTGATGAAAATATAGTAAGTATTATGGTCTTTTAAAACATGGATTCACGAACTTTCGCTTCGAATCGTTTTTCGTTAGCAATAGTCTATCGTTGCATAAGTTAAATAACTTTAATTTGTATCCTGCCTTCCCCAGTGGCAGATTTTCGGGAGAGGAAGAGGGTCCGAAGGATATGCAAGCAGCAATTTAATTTTAATAAAATTTCCTCCAAAAAAGAGGCATATATTATTAGAAGTACCTTCTAAATACGTATAATTTTTCAGAATCTCTCCCAGAAAAATGTTGAAAATCCGCTACTGTCCTTCCCAACTTTTCACTTACAATAGTGGCTGCACCCTTCCTCAGTATCAGCTCTTTTTATTATTACTTAATTATAAAAAAAAACAAAAACAAAACCGAAAATAACAGAAACTATTTTTCTGTTTTTTTCATTATGTATTTATTAAAAAATATACGGACAAGCCCTTTACAAAATAGTATTATAGTACAAGAAAAAAAAAATATCACATCACGTCTTTGGTGAAAATACAATTATTGAAAACCTTCCTCAACCCTCCTCCTTTGGCCCAACAAACATCTAAATTCAAGATGATTGGAGAGTCAACAATGGATCAATTTTTGATACTAAGTTATATAAATAGCATTATTTGTAAAGCCCTTATGTTCTTAGGCTTCATTTAAATAATTTTTTCTGAATTAAATCTTTCTGGCTCGCTTAAGTCTCTTTACTTTACACTTATTCTGACTGGTACTAGAATATGGATCGGTTATTTGGGGCCCTCAGACAAATGTCTATAGATACATTACTGGAAAGTGTCGAGCGGAAATTTGTTTATTTTGCAAACTTATTCACAAAATTTTATTCCTCGAAAGACTCATATCTGGTTTCATCGATTTTCCCTTTCCTCTTTCTCTTGTAACTTTTAAATAACGACCTGGAGATAAATTCCATTTTTATTCTTCTTCATTTCGTTAATTATCATAGTAATGAGACTTTAAACCACTAAACCCCATAATAAAACTTGCCAATGGCAATCCTTCATTTAATTTTGTTTAACCTTTTGTTTTTGATAGGTACACACTTCATTTTTTTAAAATCTTGTTGTGTTTATTGTTGTATTTATACAAATCAAATTGTACATTGCTAACTATTATGCGCAATCCTGTAGCTCATTTATAAATAACGTACTCATACTATTTACTTTCATATTTTACCTATATAATTTGCGTGAAAATGGAATAAAAAATATGTCCCTGATTACCGTTATAGATAATTTAATGTACACCTGTAAGCAACAATAAACTATTGCTTACGAACAAACGATTCTGAGCGGAGTTCAGTTAATAGTGATGCTTTGTCAACAATATATATGTCATTTTATAGTAAAATAATTAAAAATTCAATAGAATTAATTAAAAATAATTTATATATTTTCTTTAATAATATTCGTTTAATGTTGTACCGATTTTCTCAGTTTTCCCATGTTTTATTCCGGTTTTTCACATTTGCTGGAAAAACTCTTGGAAAAATTGAAAAATAACATCTCTTAAGTACCTCGCTAGTGAAATTTCCTTTTAAAAACATTACTATCATTAAAACTAAGAGAACAATTTCTGGTAGAAAAATTGTATACAGAAAAAAAGTATGCCGTAATGTATTTCATCTAATACCTACATTACTTATATTTTCACCCCTCAGGGGAACACTTAGTGTTACGGGTATATCGAACCTGGGGCCCTGAGCTGAGGCGTAGGGAAAGCGGCGCTCCCATCGCCCAATACCCCTTAAATCGAGTACTGCAGTAGCCCTACCCTTACCTTAATTGGTTGGGGTTGTCTGGTCCTCCAGGTTGGGGGTTGAGATAGACTTGACAATCTATTTCACAAAACAAGTTATGCAGAAGGCAAGGGGAAACCACTGCATTATCATTCCCATTAAGCACCTATGAAACACTCTTTTATTATTATAAACAGTACTAATCATGAACTCGGATATTCAAGATTGGGCAGGAGGAGTAAGAAGACTTCTTAGGTCGTCAGTCAGCGAAAACCTTTACATAAAACAATAAAATCACATAATACAAATAAGTCAAAAGTAATTAATATAGGAACATGGAATATGAGAACAATGTTAAGAGCAGGAAGTTTGGAACAAGTAAAAAAATATAATGGCAGAAAGAAATATTGAGATTTTAGGTCTATGCGAAACCAGATGGCAAGGCAATAATGATTTCAACAGTGACGATTTCAGAGTTTTAACGAGTGGAAATGAATTTCAAGGACACAAAGGTGTAGCTCTCATCTTGAGGAAAAAATGGGCAACTAATATTGTAAAAACTTTACATGTAAGCGATAGATTATTACTATTAAAGATAAAAACTCAGACAAGAAGTCTTATCATATTGCAAGTTTATTTCCCAACATCAAATAGCACTGAAGAAGAACTAGAAAATATGTAAGAGCAAATCGAAGATGCCCTGAAGCTGACTAAATCTGGGGATATCGTAATAATTATGGGCGATTTTAACGCAGTAATTGGCGACGGGTATGACAATAGAGGGTCAGAGAAATTTGGCTTTGGAATAAGGAACGAAAGAGGGGAAAGGTTGCTAAACTTTTGTAACCAATACAACTTAATGGTGTCAAACAATGTTTGAAGTACCAATGAGAAGAAGATACACATGAACCTCCCCAGGATAAACCGATATCAAATAGACTATATCTTAGTAAAATCAAACTTCAATACTCTAATAAAATCATGTTATAGCTACCCTGACGCAGAAGTGGACAGTGATCATAAACTAATAATAGCAAAGTGCTTTTTAAAACATAAAAAATGTCAAGTAAAAGGTAAGAAAACGGTAAAGTGGGACCTTCAGAGTCTAAAAGACGTACAGATAAAAACCTTATTCGCCAATAGTATAAAAGAAAACTTAATAAGAACGGATGAGCTAATTAATTGGAGTTCATTTAAAGAAGGTATATTAAATGCAGCCAATATAATTCTGAACAGTGTACAATTGGTACCTAGGAAACCGTGGATAACAAAAGAAATTCTGGACCTGGTAAAAGAAAGAAACACTCACAGGAAAAAAGGAAATTACCAATAGTACAAAAGATTAAAAAATATTATATCAACAAAATGTAAAGAAGCAAAAGAAATATGGATGAAGAATATTGCAGAGCAAATAGAAAATATGATACATAAAGGCCAGACGGACAGAGCATATGATTTAGTTAAATCAATATTATTCAAAAACAGGACAAAAAGTAGTCTAATTAGATACAAAAACGGGAAATTTTGAATAGACGAGTTGGAGATATATGATAGATGGAAACAATACTTGGAAGAATTATATAATGGAGAGAGTATCACAGAAGAACTGCACTACATTGAACTAGAAAGTGAAGTAGAAATAGATTCAAAAGGACCATCGATTATTAAGAGCGAGTTTAACGTCGCGCTGGAGCAGCTTAAAAGAAGCTGGGTCAGATTTAATAAAAAGTGAATTGCTGAAGAATGCTGATGAAGAAGTAAAGAAGATTCTCTACAATAAGATACAAAATTGTTATTTAACAGTATTATAAACTTTGATACGTGAAAGTGATAAGCGGGCGCGTTACGCAACTAAAGACACTAATAATGACAATAACGACATCCATCATGGATCTATTACTTTATATTTCAGATTACATGAATACGATGTATTGATGAGAGCTATCAAATTTTCATGTTTTCGTATCTAAATATGGAAAATGAATTTCCAATTAATCTATCCGAGTTTCAATTAATCGAAAAAATCGAACAGCCCTATATATATAAATATAAAATATTCAAACATTCTTATTTGGCGTTATTTTTCCGTATTTATTTAATCTATTCAACTTTAGCTGTGTTTGTAAATTTGATGAACAGAATTCTTGTTTTCTGGCAGTTTCGATCGTTGTATCCATCGTATTTCCTTGAACCTCGTTACCCCGGTTACCTATCAAAAAAAATTTAAAAAAAAACATAAAAATAATTATAATTAATACAAATATTATAGTATTTTATTTATTAAATTATGAATACATGGTAATATAGGTTAATTTTTAAAATACATAATGTTTAGCAAATAATAATAAATGTATCGCATATAAAAATCAGAAATTTAACAAATGCGCGCATTAAATGTATGTAATTTTTCTTAGTTGTTTTAAAACTGTATACAGGGTGAATTTTTATCATGAACCAGCAATTATCTCAGTTGATTTTAAATGAATTTGATTTCTGTTTTTTCTAATCATTATAGTATCTTGTAAGCTATATTTTAAAACCATTTTTATTTTTTTACCTCTACTCCATATACCTTTTTACCGTTTATGAGTTTATGTGTTATACATATATAGGCAATTTATTACCCTTCCCTAGTCCTTCAGTATAAACTTTAAACTGTTATAACTCATAAACGGTAAATCTGATATTAGTGTTATGTATATCAACATTTCTAGAAAAATATTCTCTATTCAAATCTGTGTACAAAAGGGGAGGTCCCTATTTGAAAATCAAAAGTATATACTTATTTACGGTATATGGAGTAAGGTTAAAAAATTTAAAATGGTTTTAAAATAAAGCTTAGATGATTCTATAATGATCAGAAAAAAAAGAAATCAAATTCACTTAAAATCCTCTGAGATAATTGCTGGTACATGATAAAAAAATCACCCTGTATACTGTGTATGTATATTTATATATATTTATATATATAACCATTATTGTTTATTGGTATCCTTCAGATATCGATTGGTATTAAATGAGTTTAAATATTTGCTCTATAAAATTAAATTATACGAGCATAGGTACCTACATCAAAATTGACTAAATCTACCACGCATATAAATTTTTTTCATTGGTTTTATAACACTTTTATTCCATTTATCGTCATCATCGTAACTAAATTACAAGATCAAATGTTCTATTTAAATCATTTTATTTTCATATTACATATGGATACTAGTATATTCTACATTAATACTAAAATATTTACAAATAATTTATATTATTGGGTTTAGTATTTTTTTTTTTTAAGTAGAAATATAGATATATGAATTGTGGAAAAAATTTTAAAAATCAAAAACTAAAATATTGAAAATAGCAAAAATTGTATCATATTATTTTTATTTTTTATCGCTTTTACAATTTTACTTCAAAATGTTCTATTTCGGTCATTTATATTGTGGCCATTTTGGTATACTATACAATATTACTATAAATCATATAATAATTAATAACTATTATTCAATATATTATTTTCGTATGCAATTTCAATTTTTTAAAGGTGCCATTTTTAACATTCCGACATGACTCTCTTAATTTATACGGCCTTTTATAAAGTATAATCAAATAATAAACTTCAACTCCAAATTGAGTTCTTATATGAAGCATGTTTCTACATCCACATAAACGTATCTATAGTGTGCATTCAAGGTGATGCGACGTTTTTATTATTTCTCGGCTACTATTTTTTTTAGGTTCTGAGCGGAGTGAGGAATATATTGGTTTCACAATAATGTTTATTTTTAATTTTTTTATGCGTAAACTTTTTCTACCAAAAACCATAATGCGATTATCAAGGGGTCGCATGTAGAAACAGGGAAAATAATCGTACATAGCGTAAGGTTTTAGACTGTAAATACTCAGATCGTATTTTCGCAGACTGTAGAAACCCGGAATTTCACAAACCGTATAGTTCCAGACTGTATTTCGGTAGAAAAATAAATACGTAGACCATATAGTTCCGGCCGTATTATTACGTAAATTTTTTTTTGTGAACCGTATTGTTCCAGACTGTATAATTCTTGAATTTGATCATTTTCATAGCGTATTTTTACCGACCGTAAAAATCCGGAAATTCACAAACTGTATAATACCAGACCGTATTTCGCTAGAAAAAATAAATACGCAGAACGTATAACTGACCGTAATGCTACAAACTGTTTTTTTCCTAAAATAAAATACTTAAATACCGTATTTTTACCGACCGCAGAGGTGAGAATGTAAATGCTCCGACCGTATTATAGCAATCAAATATCACAAAATCAACACTAGTAACACCGAATTTTTACGGTCGATAAAAATTCGGTATTAAAATTCTCAAACTCGGGAATAATACGGTCGGGATCTATACAGTCAAGAAATAATACAGTCTGCGTATTTTTTTTCCCGGCGAAATACAGTCTAGAACTATACTAGTTTATGAATTTCCGAATTTTTACATTCGGTGAAAATGCGGTTTACAAATTTACAAATTATTACTTTAAGAATAATACTTTCTGTTACTATACAGTTCGCATATTATTTTTGTCTACTACAATCCGGTTAGTGGATTTACATTCCGGACCTCTACGATCGGTAGAAATACTGTTTACATATATTATTTTCTGAAAAAAAATCGATGGTATTATGGTCGGCCAATTTTTTTTTGGATTTTTACGGTCTATACTAAAGGAAATGTGCTTTGAGTGGAACTACAGAGAAGACATTTTTTGAAAATCTCATTAATATTCGAGATAATAAGAAAAACCCGGTTCTTTAGATTAAAAAAAGTTAAAAGATTAAAAATAAGGTTTTCATGGCAACCGTTTTTTTTTATTATTTTAATCTTGTTTAAACAATCATAGTTGTCATGGAAACGCACGTTGTAATCATTTTACTATAATATGATGTTATTAGATAGTAATGGTTTATCGTTGCTAACAGATATACAATAAATTTCCGTCTGTATCCTACCTACCCAACTTCCCACCGACAACAGTGGCTGCACCTACGTGCAAATATGTCCGTCCTTTTTTTTTTTTTATAGTCGTATTTTTAAATATCGAATTATCAATAATAAGCTAGCAACTGTATAAGTATAATGTCATTTATTATTATACTTTGTAAACTAACAGTGGCGTCTGTATTGAAGAATCTGAGAAGGTTGCAACCTCCTATTCAGAGATTTCTAAGTAATAATATTTCAAATAAAAGAAGGGTGGATTCTGGGACTTTTGAACGTTATTTATAAAAAAAAAAAAAAACTGAGTGCCTCACTCCGGGAAAAATCTCTATTATACGCGCTGGTAAACTGAATTGGGCATATAATTCGTATACAACAGAATATCAAAGCCGTCGTTTGTTTAACACATTGAACGTTATAAAGTATTTGGTTTTTTTTTTTTTTTTTAAGGAATTTTGCTTTAACTAAAACCGCCATTGTGTGTTGTTTTTATATTATAGTTTTTGAAGAAAGAAGCTGACTGTGACAAGACTGATGACCGAAGCATTCACGGAGAAAGCTCTTCGGAATATCGGAGTATACCAGATCCGGTAAGCATGGCAAACATTTTCTATATTTATTATTCATTCCTTTGAAACGCATACATTATTATTGCCGTTGCTATATTATTATAATTTATAAGTGTATATATTGTAATATGACGAAAATCTAACTCGGAATAATAGAAAATGAAAATCAACGTTCATTTTTTTTACAACGAGACTGATACATGTAATATTTAGAAAAAAAAACTAGAATAAATAAAAAAAAAAAAAAAAATAGAAAATTAATTATTATATGTATAGGTATACCTATATTATACGTCGATGTACGGCCGAGAAACATCACCTATTTGTAAAATATTATATATATTTTTCTTTAACGAACTATATAAAGTGCAGTCTCAAGAAGTTGACTTCAAAACATTAAATTATTATAATTATAGTTATTATTATTATTATCATTATTATTATTATTATTATTATTATTATTATTATTATTATATTTTATAGGTTAGTTTATATTATAATATTATTCACTCTCCGAAACCTATTCCTATACAATATTATTGTATGGGCATTTAAAGCGATAAATATAAAATTGTGAGCCGTGTAATTTTTGTGTCGTGGGGATAACAATATATTATATACTTTCAGAACTGGATTGCTGCTGCTTGCCGCGCGCTTCGACGTTTTGAATACATTATAATACGTTATAATACGTTATAATGCATTATAATACGTTCATTAAAAAAAAAAAATAATAATAATAATAATTTGGACTGCTTAAGGTCATGCAAAATCAATTTTTATTATATGCCGAAAATAACGCTGTCGGTAAAGCAATATAATTATTATTATTTTCAAATTCTGAGCGTAGCGAGGAATGTATTGGTTTTACTGTGATGTGCCTATATTTTTTATATTTTTTATTTCTTTCTTTCTTTCTTTTGACACAACTGTTCAACTAGAATACTCTTGCTCCGATCGTTAACTTCAAGGGTGCAGTTCTAAATGAAATATAATGTAGTTCTTAAAAAGTATTATGAATTAATTTCCTCAGCAATTACAAAAAATAAAACTAAAGAGCATCAACAAACAATATTTTATTAACGCGTGTCTCTTAAAGTCATAATTTAACATATTTAATTTTGACTCATCTATAATATTTTTTAAAATAGAAAATGTTTAGAAAAGTACCAACAAAAGGCCATTAAATCGGTTTAAAAAAAAAAATATTGGACCTTTCCATTGAAATATTTTTCCAGCTAAGGCTTTGAAACAGGGTGTGCAGTTCTAAATTTTTCTTAGAGCTGACTCTACAGGGGTGGTTTCTCGTTTCAAATTTTAGCAATTAAATGCATTAAGGTCTAAGATGGTCATTTTTTGAAAAATAGGACGCAATACCTAACGGTTTCAGTTATTTATTTAATATTATTATTAATATTATTTTTTTTTTTTGGAATCTAGTTAAAAATAACTATAGAGATCTGAAATTTTTACAAAATACTTATATAACCCTTTCTAAACATTGAAGTACTTATAACTATTTTAAATTCTCTAGGTTTTTGTTTTTATTTGATTTAATGTGATTAAAATATTTTTGTTTTCTCAAAAATGTTTAAAAATTTAATACGAGATTCATCATAAGTTGTTCTTATGGCAATATAAAATAGTATTTTTTAACTTTTTAACAATTCACCCTTGGATTATTTATGATTTTTGATTTCAGAAACAATATTTTAGGTTGGAAAAATGCTCCAAATTATTCGCTTGATGCTCGTACCTACTTCATTTGAAATATCTTCTAGATTGCCAACAGTTTTTCTATATAATTAAAAAACCACAAATGTCAACATATGTTTTATTTTTGTCGATGTCTTGGTTAATTTGGTTACAAGAAGAAAAACACGACTACTAATAATGCTTCGCTCAAATTTATCGTTGTTTTTATCATATATAAATTAAATTACCCTGTTTTCTATACTTTTAAAACCTAATATAGTATCCTACTGATTTTGTGAAGTACGTCTGGCTTTTTAACTCTATATTAGATAATTATTTTAACGAGCGTATGAACGTTTACTAAAAATTTGTTTTTATAAGTTGTTTTTTCATTAATTTTGATTAGATAAATGATTTTATGCTCTATATTAGTCTTTTGTTTTCAAACATTTCTATTCGATTTCTTTTTGATTTCAATAACTACGCTACGTTAACAAATCATTTTGTTTTCTTTCATTCTGTTTGTACAAAAAAAAAAAAAAGAATCGTTTTAAACATCCAAACATGGGATTATCAGTCATTTCGGATTTTTGTAAAAACTTTTTGGCGGCGTGGCGCGTTGTAAACTACGTAAATTATATATATATAGACCCTTAATCTACCAATTAAAATCTTGTTTTAAAACACAAAAGAATTTCACGAGGGCATTAATCTTGTTATACTCACTAATTTACGATTTGTATACTTAAGCCCACACTCATTGTTGCTAAAAAGTAATAATTGTCTTGTTTAAAAAAACTCGACTATAGGAGATACGTATGTATATACTGATACTCTGTATATGGTTTAAATGTTACAATCGTAGACAATTTATTTTTATTTTTTCCTGTTATTATTGTTATTATTATTATAAACTGCATTTGAATGTTCGCGTATATTATGCATACATGATCGATTATATCACACGTTACGCGTCCAAGGACGATTTTAATATTATCATGATAAGTATGACGAGGGGGATTATACCTACACGCATATGATATGCATCATCGTAGATACGTAAATACGTTTAAGGGTGTTGAAATTGGTTTTCAAAATTCTCATATTTATATGACCACCTTACGGTCGGTTGGTTTTAAGCTATTTATGAACGCAAAAGTAGCTATACACCTGACAACAAGTGCGGTACTTACAGAGTAGTTCGGTTTTAAAAATAAAATTATGATTGAATTCATAAACAAGTTTAATTTGCATTTAAGCCAGAGCACTTTTTCAAATTCTATCAAACTATTTGTCGATTTTTGATGGTGAATAATTAAATGAACAATTTGAATATGACTAATGTGCTTCGACATACGCAAAGTAAACTTATTTATAAACTCATACACCTTTACATTTTTAAAATCAAATTGCAAGAAGTACTTCAAATGTTGACAGGTGTTTATGTCTTTTGACGAACATTTCATAGTGAGTGCAGTCACAGTGACTTTTATATTAGGGTCGGGCTCCTTATAGATACTAATAATTCGGTCTGTATTATTATGTTGCAACGAATTGGGAAAAAAAAAAGGTCAGCCCTCTAACGTGATGGTTATGCGATTTGCAAAAAACTCACCAAAGCGGAAACGGTCTCCGTAATACAATATTTTTTCACCTAAATTTCGCATTTGAATAATATACTTATAAATAACTGTGGTTTGGTGAAGGGCCAATATCAAACAAATTAATTGAAAGTTGAAAAAAAAAATTTTATTTCTAAAAATCTATGTAAAATCCGTAATTATTGTAATACATTTTTTTATTTTGTTTTCAACAAATCCTTGTTTCACTTAGTCACGGGTGTAAGATAATATTATAAATCATCTTAAAATATACTTTATAGCACTCGTTATCACCAATACAGACGTATCGTTAACCCGCATAATAACAAATTACAAAAATAAAATTGCATTCAATACACATGTATTATTATTATTATTATTATTTGTATAATATAATATACAACACCTATACTCAAAATATATGCGATATGGCGCGTATTCAAACAAATACTACGCGCGGATTGAAGTTTTCGAACGTAAATAATTACGAGTATTACCTACGTAACACAAATATATAATTATAATATATTTGTATATTTATTTATTTATATACCTACAAATATTATATACGGCCACGCCTGTAGCCAAAACAAAAACAACAAGGAAAAAACCACGTCAACTTCTTGTGCTGACACTATTTTTTGTCCTCCATATACGATATTATATACTTTTGATAGTATTAATATTACAAAAGAAATTTTTGTTTTGTTTTTTTGGTTTTTTTTTCTATACATACACATTACATACTCAACGAAATTTACCAGCGAAAAGAAGTTGATGAGAGTTTTTTTTTTGTTTTTTTTTGTTTCGGTTACAGGAACCCGACGGCAGGACTACGGCGGACGGCGGTACTGTCGTCGCGGTGGCCGCGTTACCTCCGCGGTTCTACACTTGCGTGTATTGCAACCTTACGTTCCCACATCAAAGCAAACTGACCCGGCACATACTGTCGCACAGCCTGGACAACGCGCCCGGCGTTGGCGGCGGGGTGAGTGCGTCGTTTACGGATCCCGGCGGCGGCGCTGTCATACAGCCGCTGCCGCAATTGTCGTCGTCATCGTCGTCGGCGCTGTCGCTGTCGCTGTTATCGTCGCCGCCGCCGCCGCCGCCGTCGTCGATGCGTTGCGACAACATTGCGGCCGCGATGGATGACGGCGGGGGCGGCACGTTGTGCAAATTTTGCGGCAAAACGTTCCCGGACGTGACCACTTTGGTGGGTCACTTGCCCGCGCACACCGGCGACCGGCCGTTCAAGTGCGAGTTTTGCGGCAAAGCGTTCAAGCTCAGACACCACATGAAGGACCACTGTCGCGTGCACACTGGCGAACGGCCGTTCCGTTGCGCGTTATGCGGTAAGACGTTTTCCCGGTCGACCATACTCAAGGCACACGAGAAAACGCACTATCCAAAGTTCACAGGACGTCACCGGTTCGTGTCGTCACCCAGTCCCGAAGAGGAACCCGGAGGAGGAGGAGGGATTGGCGGACCGGGTGGTGGGGGAGGAACAGGAACGGGAGCAGGAGTAGTTGTGGGAATGGGAAGCTTTGGCAGCGGGATGGCTCAGGCCGTTGCCACCATCGCTTCCGTCGCCGCCGTCAGGCCGTTTGACTTGACCGTCATCCAGCATCACCACAGACACGGCAGCGGATCACCGCCTGCTCCACCGCCTCCGCCGCCGTCGCCCCCATGACGACGATTGTTTCCTTATAGAGTGTAGTGAGAATATATTCGTCTAATACGCGAGCAGTCATAACATTATATTGGTGTATTCCGACGATAATATGATAATAGTTATTATATATTACTGCAATTTAATAATAATAATAATATTTACACGCCCTTATGGACGCTCTCCGAAGTTTTTAAGCGTCACGTATTATGCACACATAATACTATTATTTTATATTATACACATAGCAATAGATGAGGTTTCGTAATTTTCTTGAACGTAAAAAAAAAAAAATAAAACAAAATGACAACGACGATCCATAGTCAAAGGTCAAATCTCGATATACGATACTCGGGTAGCGTGGCGGGCTTTTTGTCTTCGTCGTTCATTTTCCAAGCTTTTCGTAGGTCACAATTTTTCCTCTTTTTTTTTTTGTTATACATATGTAATATATATGTTTGTACGTACTCTTTGACGAAATAATCGGCGGAACGTTTAAAGGCCTCCCCCCTCCATTCCCATCCCCTTTTACTAACTCTCCCCTTCCGAAGGTCAGGATCGTAATACGCGAAAACTGTTCAAATATTTTAGGTTAGAATCAATACCGCGCGCCGCTATATCGCATGCCGCACGGCCGTCTGCCGCCGTCGCCGCCGCCGCCGCCGCCTTGCCTTAGTCGTCGACTGTTGTGCTACTGACGATACGAGGCGGCGGCGATGGCGGTGGCGGTGGTGGCAGACTTGGCCTCGGTCAACACGACGCGTCGTCGTCGCCGTCGTTGTCGAGTTAAACAGAACGTATAAAACGAAATAATATTATTTATTTATTATATTATTACTTTTTTTTTCTCTCATGTTTAAGTATAATAATATGTGAAATTAGATTCGAACGCGTTCATCGATTCGACTTGGGTCGCGCGAACGCCTTCACCGCGGGCTTATATTATTATTACAGCCATCGTCGACACCACCATCACAGCCGTCACCGACTGTTATAGTAACGTTCTCGATAAAAGATCCATCGTTGGGCGTGTCCTTAAATGGCGAGTGTCGTGTCCGAAGTGCAGCGTCCTTAACCCGTCTCGTATAATTCAAATTTTGCGACGGTCTCCTATACACATTGCATACTCGTATGTACCGGCCGGACGAGCGAAAATTTCTTATGTTTTAACAACGTTTCGAACCGTTAGTATTTATAAAACCGACCGTTATTCGCTTACTCCGAGTATTTTTATGTCGATGTACAATGTAAAACCACGTTTCATCCGGTCGCCGTTTTCTACAACTCGCACGGAAGTTCCTGTTTAACCACGGAACACTCGTCTTCCCGTACATCATTTCCCGGCAAAATTTGTTAGCGATATCTTATCGTTCGCGAATCGTGTACAAATATATGGCGTGCATCACTGTAAATTCTATAAACGACTTGTTTATACCTTATTATTTTTCGTATATACGAGTATATTAAGTAATGTCGATTCTTCAGAACTCTAAGGTGGTTGGTCGGGAATTTAACAGCTGTTATTCTGTTAATATAATAATACGACGTACATTTAAATCAATTTACAAAAAAATAAAGCCTATTATTTGTCATCTGTAGTTCAGAAATCGCATAATATTTATCATATTATAGAAGTCTGACCGTGGATAAAGGATGAGTACATAAGAGGTAGTTTAGGCGTGGCTTCAATAGTAGACAAGATTAGAGAAAATAGACTCCGATGGTTTGGATGGTTACGGGGAGAGAGGAATTATATGAAACAATAAGAATTTTAGTGAAAATATACATAGGAGAAAAAAGGGTGGATAAGAAGAATGAAAAAGAGGTGGTCGAGTACATTTGAGAATGATATAAGGACAGCCGGTGGATGCGAGGTGGGAGATCGGATCGAGTAGAAGTTTAGAACGAGGTTGGCCGACCACAAATAGTTGGGATAAAGGTGAAGGAGAAGGTTGTTTGAACCCTCCAAACATTTTTTTTTTTTTAAATTATTTCATAACTAAATAAGAACATATGGTTTGTCTTATATTTTGGCATGTTTTGTAATTTTGCAATATATTATGTATTTCTCAGAAAACTACATCCTCCTTATAAGAGGATTTTGAGAAATGTAAGTAATAATTAAATAATTTTCATTAATATCTTATTTTGTATTTATATAAGCCACATTAATTCTACTTTTTGATCAAGTGCAGTTCATTTTTAAACACGTTTTTATACGGTTCATTGTAGAAAATGTCTTCCAAGAACGAAACAAATAACTGAAAACTTAATTAACATTCAAATTGTAAAGTAGTCTTCATACGCAAATATGTGGTCCATGTAGGGAGTTGTGGCCTCATCAACCCCCATCCCATTTACTAAGTTCATGTTTGCGATTAATGTTTACTGACATTTGCCCCATTTTTGAAATTCATTAACTTCATTACACCTCCTTCAAAATTAATACTGGTTTCGCAGTTCTTTGGTTCTAAATGTTAATAAAACCCAATAACCATAATAATTATCTATTTCGGACGAAATTTATAAAAAAAAAAAAAATAAGACGCCTATAAAATTAAAATTTAATTGTATAGTATTGTATACAGTGACTGAGCTCTGCTGCTCACGGGTGTTTGTTCAAAATATATTCAGGTTAAAATAAAAATGATTTTTTTTTTTTTTACGTTCAAGTTAATTACTTTCGAAGTCTTTATACTACCATATAAAATATTATGTTCCGACGGAGGTTATCCCTCGCTATAATACTTTTATAAAATATTAGTAACGATTAACGGTGTGTATAATTGGTCGAGGGTTCATGTATATAATAATAACGTCCGAAACTCCCGTGTGTACGTTAATTTGACACACTTCATTTCGTTGTCGGAACACTACGGAACGTTTTAGCGGAGCCGTTCGCAAGTCGGTAGATTTAATTTTCTGTGATACGTGTCCACTAAATTATATTTATAAATATTATTATTATAATATCTCTAATAATAGTACATAATATATTATGTATAGGGCATCAACACGTGTGCCAGCGCCTTGTAATAACAATAATATAACGAAAACGTATTGGCATTATTAAACACAAAATATACAACTTCGAATATTCGTTTTATTGCAATTTTTTTAAAAAAATTTTCGTTAAAATAAAACACGATTTTTTAAAAAAAAAACTATTTTTTCTTTTTTTAGTCCATTATTTAAATATATACATTTACATATGTACAATAATAATACATACCTACTAAACGTGTACAATAAAAAATACAAATAATATATTATAAATTAAATTTCAACGTAACTCTTAGATTGTAATACGTATACGCGCGGTATACGTATTATACTAAATATTCAAATTTTGTTTTAAACCGTAATATCGATTTTTTTTATTATGATTTTTATTTTTTTAATCCCTTTGTATATATTTTCACGTTACGAGTGATGATAAAAAAAAAAAAACAAAAAAACAAAAAAAATCCGGTATAGATGTAGGTATACATCGTAAAACGAAAAACGTCCGTGCGTACCTATATACATAATTTAAGATGATCGCAAATATTATTACTCTATAAATATTAAAAAAAAAAAAAAAGAAGATATTTAAATATATTTCGCGAATACACGTGTGCTCATTATCGTTTTATATTTATGTATATGTATAATATTTATAAGGATGAAAATTTATTTTTGGGATAAAAAAAACAAATAAAAACGTTCACTTTATAATAACATGAACTATACACGATTTAAAACCAGTCATTTCACCGTTTATTGTTAATTATATTGGCACTCGCTTAAACATAGTATATAAAATTATTTATAAAATCGTTAAACCTTTTTATTTATTTATTATTTGTTTTTTTTGTTTTTTTTTTTTTTATAATCTATACGTGTGATCAAATTTTCTCATTTCATAAAATTATTATTTTATATTTTATACTATATTAAAATTATTAATGAATAGTTAAACAGAAAAAAAAACCCTTATGTATATTATTATAATATAAGTTTTAATATTATTAAAACGTTAAATTTTCTACCAAGTACGTGAAAATATAGTAAGACGCGAAGGAACAGGAATGTGATATTTTTTTCGGTAGATGGTTAGAATAAAATAATACTATAAATAATACTTAATATTATTTAAAATCGTTGTATTATAAAAATATGAAATAATACAATTAAAAAAAAATAAAAAAATAAGATTTTTCTCTTTATGAAGTTAATAATAATATATTTATTTACGTATTGTACTTATTATATGTATAGACGTGGAATTATAGTTATACTTTATATAAAATATATAACAATATTATATTATGTACAATATCAAATTAATAATGATGATAATAATAATAATAATAATATTTATTTTAAACGCAGCTAATAAAATAAAACAATGAGATAGCGAGGTCGATAATGTAGTTGTCTTACACGAAAGGGCGCTAAAGTAACAGTGTCTCCCAGGGCACCAAGGTTAGGTTAGGTCTGTATGAGTAAATCCGAAGGAGTTATCGGCAGCCATATATTATATTGTACAATAAGAGAAAAATTGTTATCGATTAACGCGCAAAATATTTTGTTAACGCCATGAATTATGTGATAATATATAAAAAAAAATTTTGAAAACAATCGCAAGAATTATTGTTTCTAAATAATATTATCATTACATAATATTCATGGCATAAACAATAGTGTTTCACGGGTTAAATCAATACGATTCGTCCTATTCTTAGTGGGTGTAAATATTATGGCCGCGTGCAGAATTTTCGTACCTCTTTTAATACAGTCGGCCATGGCTGATCATGTGTGTACTGTGTATTTATATATATATAGGTTCGATGGCAAATTTGTGATGCGCGGGTGTCATGGCCGTCGCTTGCAGCGATTTATCCAGAGGGTAATGAAAATCAATGAACCGTTAATGTTTTGTAATAATAGAAATCTTTAGTAATTTAGCAGATAATCTTTTAGAAAATCTCGGTAACCATTAGGAAAATCATAGTATTCTGGAATCCGGTGAATACAATACAAACCGGTGATTTACCTTACCCTCTGGAATTTTCTTTTGATCATATCATTTACTTACTATAGAGCATTGGAGCTACGTGTGTCATACTCTGTCAAATGTGCCCAATATTAACCCGCATATGTATCATGCTTTTGGTGACACGTACCAGTGTGCATGCGCGCCGCTGCTGCCTGCCCATAGAGTAATGTACCGCCGGACCTCTAATAACGCTAATACGACCATCAATTTTGTTAACGAATTGTTATTTTTCCTGATTGGCTGCCCACTAGTTTGCGCATACGCATTTGCACGTGTCACTCGTGAAATTACGACAGTAAGATGGGGTGGGATTATTTTGGACACAGCGAGCCGTGGCTGACATCGCTCCATTCATCATAGTATACAAGGTGTCCTACGAAGATTCGACAAATGCAATAACTTTTGTTCTGTTCAACAATTTTTTTTTCTGAAATAATTACTAAAGCCTTATGTCCTATATGATTACTTTTTTGTATTGAATTTTTAAAATTAAAAATAAAAGGTTTCCATTTTTTAAAAACATTGTTTTCACAAAATCCAAGATAACCGTTTTCTAAAAATATTTTCGAACAGAATACCAGTGTTACAAACATGTATTAATCGTGGAGTTTCTAAAACATTTTAAAGGTCACAAAAATCATTAACAAAACTATTTTTCATTGACAAATTGGCGAGTCGATTCATGTTACTATCTATAGTAGTGACAATGAAAACGATTAAAATTATCTTAAACTTCAAAATATAATATCAAATCGTAGGATTTATCAGTTGCATGTACGTAACTACTATAGCACAGAAATTCGATAATAAAAACCAGTAGAGTTTTCTTTCCGTAAAATGTCGATATTTACATCGGTGATTGGTGTGTACACTGTTTATTATACCATACGAATGCGCAGTTCACAACCGAAATACGTCGAGTTGCCGTCATACCTAGTAGACTTATACATTTCATCGCGCAGTCGGCTATTTAGTTGTTTTATATGTGTATCTACGGTTTTGAATAACGATAACGATTATTAAAAAAAAAAAAAAAAAAAAAAAAAATAACAATAATAATATTAAACATCGTATTGAAATTAAAATAAAACATATAGGAATAATTAGATATTTTGTGTAATAATATTATAATAGGTATAGCTTTTTATTACCGCAGTATAAAGTATATATAGTATTTATTTATATAAATAATAATATAATTACCAACTAACATAGATTTTATACGAACGAAATTATTGTTATTATTATTATTATCATTTGTCATTGAAATTTCATTACGGTAAATAACTCGTAAATATTATCATGTAATATATAATAATATAATATTCATATATATATATATTATATAGAATGTATCCGATCCGTCTCGTATATTATAATATTATTATTAATTATTATACATTAAAGTTACTAAATACCTAATTTTTTTTTTTATCAAAAATATTTCTGTAATGATGACGAACCTCAATTTTGTTACATGGTACAAAAAAAATAATAAAAAAAAAAGTTATAAAAAAATATTATACTCCTATAAAATAACGCTATAATGAGGACTCTATTCGTACTATTATGCTACACGCGCGAGTTCATGATAATTCGGAATTGTATTGTTGATGGACCAAAACGAACGTAACGTATGACCTGAACTCGAACTGAGCAGTGGTATTTTTAATCGCTTTATATCTTTGGGCCCGGGAAACAAGGGCTTAATTCGATTTTGTACAGTTTTCAATACGAGCGAATTTAATGTTGCGAATATTGCCAAACGGCATGGTTGTTACACCTACCTATTCCTATATTTTGCAGAAATGAAAAGTACACCGTAAGTCACCACTGACTTGAGATGTTTTAATTTTCAGTGTAACGTGTGTTAGAATAGTATATGCATACACTTGTGCCGAAAAACAAAGGGGAAACAAATGTTACATTTAAAAAAAAACTTACCGAAAATTGACTTAAGTCTCTCTTTCCTGGGACCAAAGATATAATATATATGTACATCATTTTATTATAATACGGGCTTCAATAATTATTAAGAATATTTTAATATAATATATATATATATATATGTGTATATGTATAGGCCGTCGCGGTCGCCTCTGCGACGATCGCCACGGGGTTTTAGGATTAAGGTGTTCCGACTGTGATAGGCTACATATTGTATGAAATGTAAAAAAAAAAAAAAAATTAAAAAAAAATACTGTTATATGTAATATAATAAATAATATTATGTAAACGGAAGATTATTTTTGTTCGAAAGATCTCTGTCCCGCGATGCTGAATAAATTTTGAAAAAAAATAATATTTTGTCTTCGTCGTCTCTTCCGCATATTCATAACTGGTAAAATATTACCGAAAACGTTATCGATAACTAAAAGTCATATAGAGTCTTGATTTGTTTTTACATCCCCGCCCCCTCTCTCCCCATCTGATTTAAATCTGACATTACATCAGAATGTAATCACAACGTTTACGAACAGCAACACGGGGAAGGGGTTCTTCGGAAAATCTTCCGCCATTATAATAATTAAGTATGGTTGTTTTTTCCTTTTTTTTTTTTTTTTTTGACAGGTCTTACGCGCGTCTTAAGTGTTTCTTCTATAATATAATATAATTGTCACAAAAATCATTAAACGTTTTCAAAACGCACTTGTGCACCTTGTTTTTATCTTCTCGATCTTACGGCACAAAGGTGTGTTTCTCGCCATGATGTTACCCAATTATTATTATTATTTTTTTTTTTTAATTTTATTTCTATATATACCTAGTGAAACATTTATCCGTACCATGTTTATTATATTATATACATTTTATAGGCGATTTATTTTTTTGTTGTATACAATGAAAATATTATATTATTGTGTTAATTTTTTTAAACGATGATGTGAGCCCCGCGGTAGTGTATAAGAAATAACTTTTAGCAAATGTGATAACGAGACAAGTACGTGATATTTATCATCGATTATTTTTACTGTATTAGGTGCTAAAAAAAAAAAAAAAAAAAAAAAAAAAAAAAATGCTAATGAAAAAATGAGTTTTATTTATTTGTTAATTGAATCCTCACCGTATACATATACAAATATATCTGTGGATGGATGCAAGAAGTCTCAATTTCAAAAGAAAAATGTAACACATCGTTAGCTGGAAGTTGAAATAAATACATTTATTTCCAAAAGTCTTACGTGAAATCTATAATTATTATTATTATTATGTATTTTTTTATTTTAAGATTGGCCCTTCTTATACCAAGCTGTGTAATGTAGATATATACCTAAATTTGTTTAATTGTGTTCCCATCATTTTATATTATACATAGTATGTATACGACTATGATGGTTTCCTAAGTTTCCTTGATAAAAATAAGAGATAATTACTAAAATTACCATCTATATGAAAATTATTAATTAAGAACATAGGTAAACTAGATCAAAAAAAATTATAATTTTATTCATTGCGTATCATGAAACAACGTGCTAAAAGTAGTACAAGTGTACTAGATTTGGTACACGCTTTATTCGGTACACATCTATATTTCACTTAAAGGTTGTGTAATTGATGATGTAAATTACTAATTTATTTATTAAATCAGACAGCTTATTTCTCGTTTATCTAGATACAATGAAAAATAAAATTTATACCTATCTAGATAAATTAATCTGAATTAAATACAACACTGGATAGTCTGACCAATCCCGGGTCTTTTTACACTTGAAAGTTATAACATTTGATTGATTTGTATGTGTATTGTGTGCGAAATAGGAAGTCTGCTTGGTGGAAGGGGTGTTCAACACGTTGGCCGCGTACAGGTCGCAAGTTTCCGTTCTACAACAAGGATTTTCCGCTTTCAGTCGGTTCTCGCCTCTGCCGCCCGTTTTCAATACAGGTAAACAAGGAAAAAAAATCCATAATCCCCAAAAACTATTTCGCAAGTCGACATAACTACTGTAGTGCGATATTAGTGATACTATATTATGCGATGACTATATCGCGGTTACCCATTTTCTACTGTCTTAAATAATGTGTCAGCACGCGGCTAATAACTTACAATATAAGGACTGTAAAATTATAGGCATGTCTAGAATTTATTCGTAAATATGACCGACAGAAATTTTACAAGAAGCACCCAAAATGAAGTCAATATACCCATAGAAATAATCTAAAATAATCTTACAAGTACTTATTTAAAAATGTGTAAAATCGTTCAGCTCGTTTTTCACAAAACATGGTTTCTCTACTTGTAACACCATATAACGTTCTGATAGTTGAGATATTGTTTTAGATATTGTTAGCATTTAGGTTAAATTATGTTAAATTACGAAAATATAATAATTATGATAAATATGATAAAAAATGAGAAAATTAGTGATTTTTTTTTTTCTAATTGTACTGAAACACGAATTTTCATAAAATACATTTGGCTGTACCCACTATTATTATTCAGCCGTTGCTAGAATGGCCGGAACCGTAAACACGACTTTGGACTATAATAGTATACATATACACGGATTAGAGAAACACAAGTTTTTAATATCCAAAGTTTTACGAGGTACGGTTTTTTAAAAATATTTGAGTGGCTTTTAATGTGTCGTAAATCACACTCGATAATAAACTGCGGTACCTATACACCGGCTCGTATGCTTAATGGGTTGCACTTGTATTACTCGAGCGTTCGAGTTAGTTCGAACAAGCGGTCGTGTAGTTAGTTTTGTTATTGTCGATCCGATCGAATGGGAACAAATCGTACTGAAGAGATTTATAGCTATCCGAAAAATTTAAGTGCCGCTGTCCCGAGCTCTGTTTTTGAGCGCTGGAAAACGACGAGAATTATAGTTATTATTATTCCGATTATTCAACAATTCACTCGACCAGTGCGTACAAAATGCATCCCTGCAAATAAATTATACCTCAGTTTTCAATTTATCGAGCCGACACGAATAACTATAATCAAATAAATTTAACAAAATGACATGACCGCGATCTTTTATAATATAATATGCACACGCCACGCTGCAGGATTCAAATATGATTTCAGAATTTTTATCGCTTCACTACATCCATATCAATCCGTGGGTTACTCTAACCTAACCAATTATTGTAAAAAAAAAAAAAAAATACAATTGTGCTAATCAGATACAAGTACCAGTCCTCAAGTTTTAAATATACATAGACAAACGGCGTAATTCAATAATATGCGTAATGCGTATATGTGTCCTCGTACATTCGTAATTATATACGATAAAATACATTACTAATAACAGATGAAAAGATATTCTGTTCCCCTCATTATTGGATTGTTTTTCAGATAAGCGTAAAAGGTATTAAAAATTTACATGGCCGGGAGGGGAAAAGGGACTATTACTAAAAAATCGGGAATACACTGCGGACATAGAGCGTAGTAAACATTATACATAATTAGAACTCGGATTTAAATTCCCTAAAACTATTAAAAATTTAAAAATGGCGAAAATGCAAAATGCAAAAAGTCACGCTTTGGAAGAAGGTACTTGGTATTCGATTCGTTACTCGAATGGAATATTTGGAATACATTTCATCCTAGAGGGTATTCTGCCAAATTGTTCAAACTCAAAAATCGTATGATAATTATATGATGATCTTACTATTTTTAATTTCATTATTGCGTGTTGTAAAAAATACTATACTTTTTGACACTTTGGCCGTTTTTTTGTTCAGCCATTTTTCTCAGATTCGTTCTAGGTCAAATAAAAAAAAAAAAACAATTAAATCCATTTCACATTGAATTTCTGGTCCCGTGTAAAGCCATACATATTTATTATAACGTATAATGATGCACGATTTTGTTTGTGTACCGTGTGCAGAAACATCCGTATCGTTGTACTCGGTGCTCCAGCAGCAAGGGCTGATCGGCCCGTGCGTGAGCTCCAGTGACGAGGTGGCCAGTCGGTGCATGATCCGGTGCGCCATTTGCTCGGCGAGTTTCCCATCCACGTGGCTGCTGGAACAGCACACGGCCCTGCAACACACCGGGCAACCGGTACGTGGCCACGGCGGTGACGGCGGTGATGAGAAACCGTTCCAGTGCGACCAGTGCGGTCAGAGTTATCGTTACCGTTCGGCCTATCTCAAGCATCGCGAACAAAACCACAGGGCTCGTTTGCCGGCCGACAAGCTGTTCACGTGCGACATATGCGGCATGCAATTCAGGTGAGTGCAGGGCGGCCTAGCTGCGCGTTACCGTGTACCCACCTCCCCTCGCATACCCGACCGTACCGGACTTGAGTTAAATTATATCGACCGTGGCGTTTACGCGAACTGGTTTCCCAGGTGTGTCCGAATTCGCACGACCGGTTTCTCGCCAATCGCGAAAATTCACCACGTTATAATAACCGGTCCCGGTAGGTCATTTATAATGTACATACGTGTACGATAACGTGGCGTACAGTATCGCGAAAATCTAGATAATCCGATCGCGGATATTCCGTTCCCGTTAGTTCGGCTATCGTGTGCGCGTATCATATGCCATTTATCGTTCTAATACTCGTTTACCTTACGAATTCGCAACATGTACTTGTCGACCGACAGGTATTATAATACCTCAATACGCATTTATGTATTAATAAAATAATATATGAGCCCCGGTTGTCTGTAGGTACCAGTACTACGAGTGTAGCGGTCATTATTGTAAACTCGTGTTATTTTGAGTGAGGTACGGGATTATATCCAAGACGTAATTCCCAACATTGGAATCATACAATATTATTGCACAAAATATCCAAAACTAATTTCATTTTTGTAAACTTGCTTAGTGATCATTATTTGATTAGCAAACCAAAATCAAAATTTAATTAGACCGTGTGATTGAAATTTGATATTATAAAAATAAATAAATTAAATAGAAAACAACGGTAGTATTTCGCACGATGGATGGGCCATTTTTGTAGGTGAGAAGTTGGGAAGGTAATAGGTTAATAGGATATAGAAGGTAATTTAATTTATATTTATACGCAACGATTAATCTTTGCTAACGAAATACGATTCTGAGCGGAGTTCGGTTATACATGTTTAAAAGGCCGTAATATTTACGATTTTCGTCAAAATTTGATTTTAAAATTCTTATAAAAAAAAATAATAATAATAAAATATAACACCAAACTCAGCTTTTTCTTGTTGATCATTAAGTACAACATATAATGAACATCCTGTTAAATTTTTAATCATTTCTATTTGGTCTGACAATTTTTTCCACAAAGTACCTACCGAATAAATATTACGTAAAAAAAACCTTGCAAAATTAAAATATCTAATCGCTTAAATATTGCTCAAATGTTTTGAAAATGTTACCAGTCTATAAAATGTTTCTGTCAAATTTCGAGTCTCTAGGAATATTTTTCACTGAACTAAAGTAAAGTAAAACAAGATTAAAACTAATAAAAACATTATTTTCGTAAATCTTCCCGGTTTTTCTCATTTATTATGAAAACCTTGGGTAAATCAACTTCCCTAAAGTGCCAACCCAGGAAAATTTTCTTTTAGAAAAAATGTTATACTTAATACTTCGAACCAAGATTTCTGGTAGAATTTTTGTACAAAGTATAAAGAAGAAGAAAAAAAGTAACATAAAAGTAAAATAATAAAATCAATTTCAAAAAAAAAAAAAAAAAAAAACTCTTAAAACTAATAATAACTGTTGACCTGTATAAGTACCACTATAATTCACAAATATTGAGTATTTTGTCCTTGGTTATTATGAACGTTGGATATTTCGCTCGTCGATGTTACGTCCTTGAATAATTTGGACGATAACCGATATTAAATCGACTTTGACTTACAGCGTGACGAACACAAAACATTGTTAGTACTTGATTTTTTTTCTCCGTCCATCTCCCTACAACCCAACCTAATAGCAGCATAGTCACCACCTGCCGTTATTTATTCTATGATTTTATGACGTCACGGTAAGTGCATGGAGCATGTATGTATGTTTGTATGTGTGCGTGCGTGTGTCCATAGGTATCTCAAATCGTTCAAGAAGCACCGGCTCAACCACGCGCTAGAGAGGTTGCAGCGGGACGTACCGGCGGCGGTACCCGCGACGCACAGCGACGACAGCCGGGACACGGCGGCCACGCCGACCACTAGATCGTCGTCCGCGGCCACGGTAGCCGCGGCGTCCGACAGTCAGGTGACCAGCACCAACGAAGTGGTGTCCGCGTTGTCGCCGGCCCAAACGTCGGTGATCGCCGGACCGCAAAAGGCTGCACCGGACGACACGACCGTCCCTACCGCCGCGTCGCCGTCTTCGTTGTTCAATATACTCCGGTCTAACGTTCAACGGACGTCGCCCGCCGCCGTCATTACGGCCACACCAGCCGTCGCAGCAGCCGCAGTGGCCGCGGTAACCGCCAATAACAATAACAACAACAATAACAACAACAACAACAACAACAACAACAACAATAACCGAGATGCTAAATCGTTCGCGTGTCCATTTTGCGGCAAGTGCGTCCGGTCCAAAGAGAACCTGAAACTGCACGTGCGCAAGCACACGGGCGAACGGCCGTTCGCATGTCTGTTCTGCGGACGAGCGTTCGGCGGCAAAAGCGATCTGACACGGCACCTGCGTATCCACACCGGCGAACGGCCGTATCACTGCGAAATGTGCGGAAAGTGTTTCGCCCGGGCCGACTACCTGTCTAAACATCTGACCACGCACATACACAACAACCATCAACGTTGAACGTCGTCATAATATTATAATAAACACCATCATCGCGTAGTATTTGTTGTTGTTCTAATATTATTATTATTATCATTATTATTGTTACTGTTATCATCGTTATTATTATTATTATTATTATTTTCAATAAGAATTCCTAAATCTATAGAAAAAATCAAAACTATCCACGGCTCGGGCGCGATGGCTCAAAACTGCTATTTTCCCCTCTCTTTATACTCTTTATACTTTTTTTTTTTTTTGTATCTCGAACAGATTCTAAACGGTTTTGTTTTCCAGTTTTTAATATTCTCACTTAAATAACGTGTCGTATAATAGGTGACCTAACCCAATAACGCCTAACAGTAGCTATGCCGCCGACCTAGGTAAATTCGATTTTTTATTTATACGCATTCTTGTTCGAAGAAAACTACTCATTTTTTTTGTTTTTCAAACGTAATTTTATATTCCACAATATTATCGCCGCCATATTATAATAATATTTTGTGGAATTTTTTTTTCCGACAATTAATTACCGACCTATACTAACTATTAACTGTCGATTATTCTGGCATTTACCTATAGGCTCGCTGTACACGGTGCGATTATTTTCCAACGAAAATCTCAAACAAATTGCGCAAACGATTGTTTTGTTTTGACACGCGAAACGTAGTATAAGGAACACGGTAGTTTCCATTTTGTCTCGTGCGACTGTGCTTACCGGTCGAATTTCGGTTTCAGTTGTGTTATCACACGGTGTTTCCGAAAAATTCACGTTTTCTCTTCGCGACAATATTCCCGTAAAATTATCGACTGATTAAAATTCAGTGGCGCTCATGTGAGAAGGAAAATCGATTGCAAACCAGTAGTAGCTTGTACAACTGGTTTGAGATTTTCTTGTAGTAAAACAGTTGCACCGCGTGCGGAGCGCCTAAGTTTTCATAGTGTTAATTTTGAACCGATTGCATCGCAGCGAAAAATAAATCGTAGCAGACGAACAATTATTATTATGTTTAGAAACCTATGTAAATTACCGCGCACTGGTCTTGAAAGTAATATTTTATTAATTATAACGTTAATTCTTAACAATAACAATAATAATAATAATATTAATATTGAGAATATATTATAATATCGTATAAACACGCGAATCCGACTCAATATAATAATATTATTGTACACGTCACGAAAGAAAACAAAAAAAAAAAAAAACTCTAAATTTATTATTATAATAAATAAATAATTATTATATATTATTCTCTAGTCATATAAATTAACGTTTATATTTCCTCTAAAAAAAAGAAAAAAAATAATCAAAATCGTTTTTGTTTAAATATATCTATATAATATTATGATATATTATGATAATTATTGTGATCAGACGTACGGTTTGTTTTTTATTTCGTAAATCGTCGCTGCTTCTCTCTTTTTTGAAATATTTATAATTGTTTTCATTTTTGTTACTTTATGTAAGTACCTAAGTACACCTATATATTATTATTATTATATAAAAATACGTTTACTCGCATGTTCATGATCAGTTTATATGTTATTTTAACTTGCAAGTTTTAATGTGATAATTTTTTTTTTTCGTTTACCCTGAATGTGATAAATGCAAAAATATATTGCGAGAGTGATCGGGCGTTAAGGTGATTTTTAACTCCTATCGAACCGTTCGAAGCGATGCGTTAAAATCTCTGATTATTATTATTTACTTTTTATGGAAACATAATATTATTATATAGGCTATAATTTATTTTTGTAGGGCTTTTATGTATTTTTTTTTTTCGTCGTAATAAGCATATATTTATCTTGAAAAAATGTCAAGGAAATGTCATGTGATTGTGTCTGTGATAGAAACGGTTAGGGAAGTGATATGTACTAAAACAAACAAAAAAAAAAAAAAATAGATAATAATATAAAATATAATATATAGTATAAGTATATATATATATATATATATATATGTATAGGTAATGTGATAATTGAGAGTGTGATAATACTATTTCGCAGGGGAAACGAATTGTGATGCCATATTATGACGAATGAGAGAAGGGTGATAAATATATTTTTAACTAATGGTGTCGCGTTTATAAATGTAAGTCAGTGAATTATATTATAATAGTAATAATGTATATAAATATATATTTGTACGGATATATATTATTATTATTATTATTATTAGGATATGTGAGATCAGGTATAGTGAAATTTTTAGAACGAGGATGGCCGATCCCAAATATTTGGGACGAAGGCGAAGTAGTGGAAGAAAATATATTATTATAATGTTAAGTATGTTTGTATAACGTGTTTTGTATTATTCTGAAACAGTGTGGTCCGAGGGAAAAAAGGCTTAAGTTCATTTTTTTTTATAAATTTATCTTATGTAACTTTTTTTTTTTTTTTAATTTTTAGTCTACCGTACCTTATATATTTTCAAAATTGAATTTGTACGTACTGAAAACCGTACACAATTGACTTAAGCCCTTCTTCCCCGGGACCAAAGAATTATATATTATATATTATTACTATTACTATATTATTATTATTATCAAAATGGTGCATTTACGATACGGATAAATATTATTTTTGACTGAAATTAGGGTGGCAGACCTGGGAGCCTGAGAGTTATAACATGACATAATAATATTATAGAATGACATAGTGGAGTATCTGAATATTATTATTATTGTGTAATAAAACGGTATATTAAATTGTACTTTTGTGCTAAGAAGATAAATATTGCTCAAAAACAGTATTAAAAACAAAAAAAAACGCATAACCCACAAATCTCAAACACACCGCGTATACCTAATTAATTGATAAATATTATATATATTAAATAATAACAATTGTTATAGTCATAACATGTAACTATAATAGTACAATTTTTTCATGAATAATTAATTAATTATATTAAGCTTTTTTACAGCTCTACCTCATGAATATGTAATACAGTACGATGATATTTCACAAATACTTGTAACAAAAGTACAAAATAGCCAATTTTTTTTGTTAATTAACTCACCTCTTTATATATTTTTATTTATATTTAACCTTATGATTATCATATTATACTTATATTAAACATATATATTTTTTTTTTGTTTATTAAGTTTGTTTGTTTCCCAACCGAAATCTCGTTTTTTTCCTTCTTTTTTTTTTTATTTTTAACTATTATTGTAACGACGACGCGCGACGTCTTAAATACGTGTGTATGATAATTCTGTACAATTCGAAAGGAAAAAAAATAAAACGAAATATATAATAATAATAACAAATTCAAAAAAAAAAAAAATTAATTAAATACAGTTTTTGAAAATTTGCGAACAGAAACTTAAAAATAATAATAATTAAATAAATTATATATTACTTAAGCTTTTTTTATACCTATATACGTCTATAATAAAATATATGATTATAATATAATAAAAATAGAATAATTATAGTATAATTATAAAAAAAAATTAATTTAGTCATTTTGAATGTTGTTTGTTGTTCGTTAAGCGTTTTTCATATATATTATGTTATTTTTACTCATCCGATATAATATTATTACTTATAGCGTGTTAGAAAAATTATTATTATATTAAAATATTATCATTGTAGCCGAGTATGTAATATTATTATTATTATTATTATTATTATTATTATTATTACTTACTATATTATTATTATTATTATAGTCACGTCTGTGTATTTTTTTTCCATCATTATTTTATTATTATTCGTTATTACATTTTATTACTCGACATTATTATTAGGTATTGTATTTCTATAAAAGAAACATATTTAAGACGCATCGTTTTTTTTTTTTTTTTATTAATATTACTATTATAATACAAATACTGTTATGTGTATGTATATACGAATAATAATATATACACTCACAAAAACACATTTATATATTTTATACGTACGAATATGTAAAATTCTCTATTTTAGGATAATATTATAATAATATTATAAATGGTGTTAAGGGTGCATGCTCAGGCGTACTATCGGGGTATATATGACTCTTGCCCTATTGGACAAATTTAAACGATATATCTTTGGTCCCGGAGAAGGAGGGCATTTTCGGCATTTTTTTTATTTTTATTTATTTATTTTCCTTTTTTTTTTGTCTGAATTGCATTTGTATAAGTTTTTTTTTCGAAATTGGTGTATTTAGCGTGTTATTTTATGTACAAATGTGTGTATTTTTAGAATTTAATTTGCTTTTTTTGAAAACTAAAAAAATTTACTAAAGTCCGTTTTTACCTGGGACTAAAGATATATATAGGCGAGATTCCGGAACAATGGCTGTGTTTTTAAAAAAATTATTATAATACTTTCGTTATTAAGAGTAACTCAATAATATAATATGATGATGAATTAATAAACGAAATTACAGGTTGAGTAGGTTTGATTTCGATATGTATAATGTATAAAACCGAGTTCTACAGTAAAATAAACTAGTTTAGTAAATACAATATATTTTAATAGTATATGTACTTAAACTGCATAATACATATATATTCTTTTTTTCCTTCAAAATTGAAGGCAAAAAGCCAAAGTTTACCGTCAAACAATGTTGTTAAGAAGAGTAACTTTTGATGCCGAACTAGTTATTAACAAGTTACATGAACTAATAAAGAGATTATAATATAGTAACAAGAAAGAATATGAAATTAAAATGATTCCTTTATGGAAATGACTGCGTTAATACTATCGTAATTTATTTCGTATATTGTATACATTAAAATAGATTAAACAACGAGATACCTTTTAAAAAGTTTTCTATATTATGAAATACTATGTCTTCCATGTACAGACGTGGTATCAAAATTTCAACCTTACGATTCCGGATTCGGTACCTATTATAATTAATAAGACACGTGATAAATCCACGATAGCATAATAAAAAAACAAATCCTCGTTTATTTAATACTCAGTTTTATCATATTATATATTTTATAGAACTCGGTTTTATCAAATATATTGGGACTCGAGCTCTAATTTTGTATGATAATGTGATGAGAATAAATAGTGATGATGATGTTAGGTATACTATATTTATATACGACAGGAGCGATTTTACGGATGAGATCTGAACGAGACGAGATTATTATAATATTATAAGAATTAGTGAGATTTTTTTTTTTAATAAAATCCTTGTGAGATACATACACATAATTATTATAATATTTACATATACGTGTATAAATCGGTTTTTGCTCAATCTCGTATTGAGCATAATATAATTTATAATATTAATTATTCTTTTGCAGTTCGCTATATTAAAATAATAATATATGACTGCGTTAATCGAAGAGAAAAAAAAAAACTATAACTTACAATTAAAATTAGTAAAATATATCCTATACTTATATATTCTATATGTATTGATATTAATACCTTACTATATAATATTTAAATTTATATTTTGTTTTGTTTTTGCAAAAGTCGTTTCGTTCTTCTGGATCAGTGTTTTACTATTGTCCATTATTGTCTATCCATCATCTCCGGAACGACTGTACTTGCAAAAAACCCGATTGGGACTTTTTTCATCTTTCTCTTCCTCTCGCTCTCTCTCTCTCTCTCTCACTCTATCTCGCTCTCTCTTTATTACAATTTTTTTTTTTTTTACTGTACTTGCTCGAAAAACAAATGCGAGAGAGACGTTTTTGAGGGGTGTACCTACAATATTTTGATAAATGGAATCGACGACGACAAATTGATATTTATAATATTATATTTTATATATAACTCGTATAGGTAATATAATGTAATTGTAATAAAAATTCATTCGGATTTTTGAAAGATAAATTCGTATAAAATCGCAGCGCTGAATGTTTATTTACCTATATAATATAGGTATGCTCATAATATTTAGTAACGTATAATAATATGGTTTTAAAAAAAATATGTATATACATAATTACAATACCTATTATTATGTATTTAAATTCTGTAGATGTCGAACATTTTTAATACATATTTATACTAAATTCATTTTTAATACCATAATAAGGCGAAATATTATAATATTATAGAGAAAAAAACGATTCGTACCTATATATTACTAAAAAAAATATTTGTGTACCAAACAAGTTGTTTTTTTTTTTTCAATTATTGTTATCTATGTATTATTATTAATAATATCTCAATGATAAAATAAAAAATATATTATAATATTCATACGCATATTGTAAAATGTAACGGAGATCGGAACATTACGATACCTGAACAATTTAATTATTTCAATATCTAATTGGTTAAAAATACGAGTTTTACACATTGTCGATTGTCGAATTTTTCAGTATATATACGCGATTGTTGTAAAAGTATATGCAGTAACTACTCGTATGTAAATATAGGTACTGTTATTATACAAATAATTCGCATATTACTAATATTGCGTGTTGTGATTTAAGAATTTAAAAAAAAATAATAACAAAATCGGTCAAGAATATTGTACACCATTGAAAATTTCAAATCCGGGAGATTTTAAAAAAATAATAATAATGAATAACAAAACCTATGTATACACTATACAGTTCGGATGCCATCGTAAATATACAATAAATGTAAAAGAAAATAAATAAATTATAGTTGTAATAGCTAATAATATTATTATTTTTTTTTTTTTATAATCGCAAATATTATTATTAAAACAAATTCTATGGACATACGATTTTTTCCGATATAATTGCCGATATCAAATCAAAAAATATCTTTAATCTTTAACCAGAAAATAAATCCAGTTAAATAAAAATAATATTGTCTTTGTTCCCAGGGAAGAAGAACTTAAGGCTCAGTTGTGTATAGCGTTCAATACAAGCAAATTAAATGTTGAGAATTGTTTGATGATGTAATGGGATAGTTGCTAAATGGCTAAATATTACTAGATGATCTAACCTAAATGACCGTTTTAAATGGCTTGTTTCATATAATAAATATGGCATGTCTTTTTCGCCATACAAAAAGTACATCATTGTGACTTGGGATGTTTTCATTTCCCGTACAACACGTGTTATAATATATAGTATACACTTATGCCGTTTAGACCAACAAATAATTTGAACAAAATAACATAAAATACAATTATAAAAAGAATACCAACAATTTACTTAAGTTTCTTTTTCCTGGGACCAAAAATAAAACCATTGCGCACGCCGTATAAAGAAAACATATACGCAAACACGATCTCGAATGTACGATTGTTTGACTACTCCATTCATATTTCAACCAATTATTGGCGAATCACTTGAAACGTTTCTTGCAAAAATGATGCGCTAATATTTCAGTTCGGATATTGTTTATAGGTGTTGTGTTCGTTAACTGTAAATGATTTCAATAACATGTATACAGATGGCTGCGGTATCGATAAAAATAAAATTCGATTAAACCTGTAATAATATGTACATGGTGGTTCTTTTTTTCAAAGAAAATATTTTGTTATATTATATAATATTTATAAAAAAAATATGCTCAGAAAATATTAATAGGTATATAATTATTTACATTTTTTTTTTTTTAAAAAAAAATAAAATAATTGCATTTCTAAAAAAAATTAAATTTTTAAAATAGATAATAATTTAATTTCAAATCGTAAAAATCGTACTAACAGCTATAAGAATATTGCCTGCCGATTGAAAATATGTTTTTTTTTAATTTTTAATGTATGTAAAATGATTTCGATCGTTTACGCGTTATTTCCGTCTCCGTTTGTTGTTTACAATATGTAGGTACGTTTGTAAGTAATTTATAAGTTTTGTAGAATGTAATGCTTACTACGTTACGGTTTTTCAACACAAGTATAATATATTTATACTATATTATACATTTCTTTGTAATTTGTAAAACATTTTTTGTTAAAATACATCATCGAATAATACATGTTAATGAATTGTCTAAATGTCTTATATTATACCTAATGCGTATTTTAATAAAATTATATAAAACCGAGAAAAAAGTTTTTGCTCTAAATCATAACGTGTTTTGTTATTTATTAATTATGTATTACAAACATATATTATCTTATTATCATCACAGATAATATCTTATATTACTATGTTTTTATGATTACCTATACGTTTAATATCGGCAAGTCCTTTTCCTTCAAATGCTACTCTCTTTTCCTCAAGCCTATTGTTAACTTCTTCCAGATTCATTCCTATCAAAACTATATCATCTGCAAACATTCTACAGTTTAGGACCTACACTATGGTACCCGAATCTGTATCTTATTTGTAACTTTTTTCGTTATAATAGAACAGGTAAAGACTCAAAGACGAACATGGTACACACCGAAATCTGCGGTTATTCCACATATATATTTTACATCCTTCATACATATCCTCTATGAAATTAATACAAGATTTCAGCACTTCTTTTCTAATTAATGCCCACACTCTCTTGGAAATCTGTCACAATATGCCTTCTCTAAATCTATAAAAGCAATACTTAGGTTTTTATTCGTCTTTATATATTTTTCCATAGTTTGTGTCACGCAAAACACTGCTTTTATTTTTATCACTTTTAAAAATTCTCATCAACAATTTGTATACTTTTTAATAATAAAATTACATACTTTTACCTATATTTTTCACAAAATAAAAATAATAAAAAATATTTAGTTGAGAGTCAAACTGACACATAAGTTCGGGGACATTATAAGGATAATGTACATAAAGATAATTGTATTCAGCATTTACAAAACTTAAATAAAAATGTAGTCGGGTCTTCTGCTTTTGCACTTCACACAGTCTTCCATCGTAGGTGTGACCTACTAAGTAATTTTTCATTATCGGGTCTTCCTTAATTACTACTTTTTCATTTTTTCGTTAGGCATTCCTGACCTTAGGTAATCTTATTTTTTTAATTATATGGCGAATGCATGGATTTATTGATATATTCATTAAACAGTTTTTTATAAAAAAAAAAAAAATAATAATAAATAATTTGTTTTTTTAAATTGTGAAGTAACTATGAATAGATTATCTGGGAAATAAATATCAAAAATTCCCCTGATAAAAGCGTAGTAGATGTCGTCTTAAATTTGGTAAAATTATTTTTGTTTTAGGTCTTTTAAATGCTGAGTAATATTGAAAGTATGAAAATACATTTTTGTTAAATTTCCTGTTAGAATAGATAGAAATATACAGACTATAAAGACGGCAACTATTACTATGGAACCCTCTTAAGTTCAACAAAAAAATACTAAAAAAAGTTGATTTCAATTTCTTATGATACTATTTTAATAATTAATTATTTAACTATTCAATTTAATTAGATACCTAATGAACGGGCCAGGAGCATATAATATTAATACGTGCGACTAGTCACCAATATGCTCGTCAATCGTCCTGCACTATTAACTGCCGACTGTCCTGTATATCTGTTGTATCTGTTAAATATGTACAGTAAAACCTCTAAATAGCGGACACCCTTGGTCGCCGAATTTTTGTCCGCTATTCGGAGGTGTCCGTTACTCGGAAGGGTAAATTTTTGAAATTCATAAAGGATAATATATAAAATGAAAACATTTGCACTATGTTAAATTAAATTATAATGTTTTTATTGTCGTTAATCATCATATTCTTATCATATCGTTCGATAACTAGTTTGTTGAACGAGTTCGTTATCGTTAAACCTAAAGCAGGGTATACGTGTGCGAGTCGAACTACCGCGAACCGCTCGCGAACTAAAACCAACAACGAACCCATACCGAACTATCAGCAGTAGTGTTCGTACTTGTCAAAAACTGACGAACCTGTCAACGCACCGTCCAAAATTACACTAGGTTCGCGCTGTGTTTGTCAAAAATGACGAATGGTCTCTCGATGGATCGGCGCGAGCGGCTCTTTGGACGTTCGACACGCCGTCCAAATAATTGTCGCTATCGGTTCACAAGCGGTTTGCGGTAGGTTCGGCTCGTATATGTATACGCGGCATAACGCTGTCGCCGATTTGTCATTATTTTTAATAATGATCCACTGTAATAGGTGTCCAATATTCATAATCTTATCGAGTTCGTTATAGTTATTACGAGAGTACATACTAATGCTAATGAATATTAGTACTGTCATTTTTTCACTATTTTTAATTTAAGACTAGAACAGTGTCCACTATTCGGAGGTTTTCCCATTGAAAAGTAGTGAAAATGTCCCTGTTCCCAAAAAAACGTTCGCTATTGGGAGGTGTCCGTTAGAGGAAGTTTCACCGTTCATATAATGTATATATACATTTGTATCATTCAAATTAAGATTGTTTATGTAAAAAGCTTCATTAAGATGGACTCGATTAAATTTGTTTTCTGACTAAAGCTATTAACATTTTTTTTATACGAATGAAGTCTACCTATAAAGATACTCTCGTCAGTACAGGTAAATTTAATTTTGAAAATATTATACCATATTTCAAAAGTCCTGTTGAAAAACTAAGATCAAAATATAAAACTATAATGGATCCTATGTGTGATAAATTTCAACATTTATCATTTATCTCATAATAAAAAGAAACAATATAGTTATCTGATATTGAATATTATAGCTTATTTGAATAATTGAAAAAGAGGTAAAAGATTTGAATATTCTCCAACATGATTATGAATCAAATAAATTATACATATATTTATACAAAAAATAAAAAAAAAAGTTGTTTTCATTTCTAAGAAGCTACAGCAGGCGTCACAGTAACTTTTGCCGTATCTGTACATCTATTCTAACAGAAAATATAGCAAAAATGTGTTTTTGTACTTAGAATTTACTACAAAGAAGATAGTACTTAGAATTTAAACGACTAAAAGTAAAAATTATTCCATACAATTAAAGATGACTCTATCTATTATACTTTTACTTATTGGATATTTTTTAATACCTATTTTCCAAATAATCTATTCGTAAGAACTTCAGACTTTAAAAAAATAAACGAATTGTTTATATAGAAAATTGTATAATGAACATATTAAAAAATCCATGTTTTCACCATGTACCTACTACGAGGAAAATTAAGAAAAGATAAAGATAACTATCTAATGTGAGCCTGACAACAAAATGATAAAAGTAGTTAAGTAGGTAATTACTATATTGAGGAAGACCCGATAGAGAAAAGACCACATAATACAGTTTTGCTATATTAGATAAAATACATTTTTGGCCGTTAGATAGACAGAGACGGCAAATTTCTGCTTACATTTTGAAGATTATGATCAAGAGGAGAACTTTTAAGTACATTCAGTGACAGGAGAACTATATCCCCTCCACTTTAACTTCTGCTCAATATATGTAGGTAAGCGCCTATAGGTACCTAACTTACATTTGTGATACACATACCTATATTATACTCGCGCATATTAGCATAAAATATTATTTGCTGGTACACATTATATTATAGTATATAAAAGGTAGGTTACAGTCTCCTGTTACTCGCAATTAAATCTCGTTTCCGTAAAAAAGTTCCAACAAGCAAAAACACGTCAAGATAAGTGTTATCGTGTGTTACTAAAACTAATAAGTCATAAGAATAATATCACGGTTAACGGTTATAAATAGAATGGTTGCCCAATGAGCAGTGCCAACGGAACATCTAGTTTTTAAAATGTTTAGACAAATAGGCTCTATTTGAATTTGTGTTTAAAATTAGGGATTCCTATTTAAAGTGTTTATACCTATACACTTTTTTAAGGTAATTTAAAATAATATTAAAATAATAATGCTTCCATAATCATTAAAAAAAAAAAAAAAAACAAACAGAAATCAAATTCACTTAATATCCTCTGAGAATATTGATAGTTTTTGATAAATTAATCACTAGTGGTGAAATGTCTGGCTGCAAAACATGGCAACAAGTTGGTCACGGCGAGTCGGTCACTGGTGAGTCGTTGGTGTCCAAGTGTCGTAAACATACATAATACAAATCTGTGGTCCTAGAACCATATAAATAGTACTAATTAATAATTGTAATCAACGGTAATATTATTATAATATGCACAAACAAAATTGTCATTTTGACTGGTTATTTTTAAATCATGTTATTACTATTATTATTTTTTGTTGACCGACAAATTTCATTAAAAGTACAGTAATTACACAATTGTTACTTACTTAATACTACGATAACTAGAATAAATGGTTTATCATTATGATGCAAAACTGGGATCAGTATTAGAAGGTGGTCCATGAGAATCTGAACGATCATTAGGAACATGAGCAATAGCAGTATCCCAAGCGCCACAATTTGGTATTTATGTGACCCCACACCTGACACCATTGTTGTTGTGACCATGATTAGATCCGACGACCTCGGATTCTTTGGGTTGTTCTTACCTTAGGTTAAATTGTCGGCGAGATGTCACGAGCCGTCTGCTCGTTATTGTAGTAGTGTTTTATCCCGGATTTGGGTATTTAAATATGTATTCTAAATACATTATGTCAAGAGTGGTAAGTGTTTACCAATTATGATTTTATGTTTATTGTTTTAATAAAGAGGAAAACACTAAGTTACAACTGAATGTATTTTATTAGCTTAAATAAAAAGAGAGAGAAATATCTAGGTTACAACTAAATATATTTATTACTATACTATTATTTTAACGGTAGAACTCTGACTAAATTATAGTACAATAATGTGTTGCCGTACACGGGCCGTGCGGTCGTTATAACTGGATGAGCACTTATATTAGTTCATAACAATTTAGAAGGAAATTGGAAGATATATGAGGGATGTTAGTAAAGAAGTTAAAAAGAAGGCTTCTAGCACCCGCACAAAACTAAGCTAATCAGGTCAGGCTACCTCACCCTGGTATCTACCATGTACTGGAGCTATTTAGGCTACGCTTTCCTCCAAACCTAATATCTAAGCTAAATTACAACGTCCACCACATAATCGAGATATTTTTAACTAACTCCTATCACCGCTCTCATTTTGCAATAATAATAATCTGAACAAGAATCGCATTTGGTATACCTGAGTAGTACCTATACCTCGTAGCCATATATAGCACACCAGTTATTACTATTTTGTTCTACATGGCTACATCGACTCTTGTAATTATTGACATGGTTTTGAGCGAAGCTAAGTAATCTGGTAAGGTATTGGTCATGTTTTTTTTTTCAGAATAGTAAAGATAACATGTCTTTGGGAACATGAATTGGGAACTGCCACTGTTGTAGGTGAGAAATTGGGAACGTAATATACATAAGGTTATTTCATTTATATCTGTAAGCAACGATAAATCATTGCTTGGCGAAAGAAGATTCCAAGCGCAGTTCGGTAACACATAATTTGAAGTACAATAAGTTTTTTTTCAATTTTCGTTTAAATTTGATTTCAAAACATTTATTAAAAAAAAAAAGTTGTTCCATGATTTTTTAAAAGTTTACCATGTCTAGGTAAGTCCAATATAAGTATTATTACCAATTCTCAAGTCTCTATGTATATTTATAACCAAATTACAGCAAAAAAACTCCCAAAAATTAAAATTTTTTAAAAGTTCAAAAGTTTTGGCAATGATACCGTAAGAAAGTAAATCAAAAATGCAACAAAAAAGGTGTCTTATGGTTTTTCGATTAAATCGTTTTTCTGGTAGAAAACGTCGTCCGCGTTTTTATAAAATACTGAAATCGTGAAATTGTACAGTTTCCCACGTTTTTCCCACTTAAGTGCTTTTTTTTAAAAAATGGCGTCGAAAATAAAAATTAAAAAATGACCTCTTACATAAAAACTATGCTAAACATAAAAAGCGGAGCAAGTTTACTAGGAAAAAACGTGTCCACAGACTAGAACAAAGAACAAATAACAAAGAAAAAAAATAAACATCATAGTAAAACCAATAGCTCCCTCACTACGCTCGGAATCTAAAAGGTACAATGTATAAAATAAGAAATATTTTACTAATAAAAAAAGTTTTTTACGAGGAAAAAATTCATAGAACAAATTATACTTACCTTCTTCACTACATATTTTCACATTAGACCTAAAAGTCATTTAACAAAAAACTGGTACCTACTGTTAGTTTTTAATTTTAAATACGACTATTTGTCTTAAATAATATAAATTGTTCCGTAAAGATACAGTTTCAAAAGTGCGACATGTCGTGGCGACAAGTAGTCGTCAATATCTGTTTTTTTGAAAAGGATGTACCCTGGTTTACAAGACGCGACAGGTCAAATGTAAAAAAAAAAATCTATATAGCTCCCAACCCCCTCCACTAGTTGTACTACTACTAATAGTAATAAACAGTGGTGTTCCCATAGGGCATAGAGTAATTTATTGATTGATTGGATATTTGTATCCATCAATTATTTTGAAAACTATCAAATGAACTAGTTAATAGCTTTCATTCAGTAGTAGCACCATAGACCAGTGGCTGATTTAAGAGAGGGGCCCGAGGGTTCTTAGCCCCTCATTGATCCCTCCTCCAAAATTAAATCCTGGATCTGCCACTGCCATAAACTTATATACTTATACATCGAGATGGAACATTGCAATGAAAACGCATTTCGATGTGTGGTGTTTCATTTCGAAGACAAAAATACGTGAGATAATAAACGGAATGTTTTAATTGGCTGCCTTCGGAGTGCAAATTTACTCGATCTCCACTAGTCACTACTGTAGGCTTTAATCAGTTTATTTCTCTTGCTCTGTTCGGAATAATCACGCCTTCCAATCCTCGGGGTAAATGTTCCGTATTTATTATTTATCAAAGTATTTTATCATTGAAATAACGATTGAAAATAATATTTAGTTGTGCGTAAACCGACATTATTATATAATTCACTAAAACATTAATTCACTACTAATTACTACTAAGCCCTTCGCATTTTATAGAGGGATATTAACTTCAACAGCGAGGCGTCGTTTTTAAATTATTACCTATTAGCAGTGCTCGAATTGAGAGGGACGCAGGGAGACGGAGTACCTCAACTAATATTTCAGAAATGTAAGAGTACCTTTACTATTTTTTCGAAGTGTAACGCTTGGATCGCAGTGGAGGATACAAGGGGGGTGCCATGGTGATCACTCCCCTTTGGACCGTTTTTTTATGCAATTTTTGTATTATGCAATAATTGTTCACATAATATATACAATTTTTAATAAAATCCGCCTCCTTTAAACAACCCTAGGATCCGGCACTGACTATAATTGTAAAAATATTGTATATATTTTGAAATTTCATCAACATATATTTTCATTACGATTTGAACTTAAAGCTCTTATAAAACATGTAGTAATTTATTTTATACATTGAATTTTTTTCATATAACTGAAATGTCTGGAACGAGTGACTATATCTATAAAAGTATTCAGTGGAATTTCTGACCTCTACGATTATTTTTCATTGAGTAGTTTAAATAGAACAAAACAGAAGCAGTAAATGTAACAGTTACAAGTTTTCCCGACGTTTTTCTAGGGATTATCTTATAATTAAGAATACTGTAAAGAAAATCGAAAAATAATCTCCTTATTGCACCAACGAGACAACAATTTTGACTAGGAACCATCGCCTCTAAAGATGATAATTGGAGTAAGATTTCTGGTAGAAAAGTTGTTCACATACAGAAAAAGAAGAAACACATCATCATAATAGAATCATAATAATAACTATCATATTAGAATCTAAAATAAATTATTTCTACTATAATAAGTACTGTATAAGCAAAAGTTAGCCTGCAGTAGGTAGTGTTTGTTTTCAGAAATTATGGATTATAATAATTACTGAATTATATTTGAAAATTGGTGTGGGAAGTGTGGAGGGCTAGGACCCCACTGGTTGGGCTGAGTTCTAGAATTGCAAGGAACGTTAATTTTTTTTTTTATGTATCTCAATAGTCCCTCTTCTTTTATTTTATCAATTCAGGCACTGCCTATTAGTTATTATAACTATTATTGTTTACGAATACACACAAGACACAATATTATAAGAATTATAATGGTCTTTTTTACTATTAACATATTATTACTATCTAATAACTTATCTAGGAGGTACCTACCATATTTTTAAATACAAACATCCTTATTAAACAAATTAAGTATATTAGTATATAGGTACATATTACATAGGTAACCTATGCATACTTATACAAGTACATATAAGATATACACATCACACACACATTTTATATATTCGTATACACATGTACAAAATATACTGGTTGTTTGAACATAGTAACACACCAAGGTGAAATATTATTATTACAACCCAGTCATCAGAGGCTTAGCTAGAAATATTTTTCTTGTGTTAATTTTCAGAGAAAAGTGGTTAGGCTTGGTCTACCCGCTGGTTATATCAATGCCAGTTATATAAAATTAAAATCGAATAATATCTATGTTTGGATACACCACTTCGATATTCCATCACACTTAACCCTTAACAGGTTGACTGCTATGGCCATTTATACATACATGCTAAAATGTTCATGATATATATTTGGATCACACTTGATTTACAGTTTTTTTTCCGTGACTCATATGTGTGTCACATGGTAGATCTTGTATTTTTTTCATGTACTACTGGTGGGTCATGTTGTTAGTGTTTTCTGTATCAATTCTTTATCAACAAAATTGTGTAAATATATGAACACTGATAAAAACATGACAAAAACAGAATTGACAAAATCATTAACTATCTCAAAAACATTTTGGCAAACATCGTATGACGCACATAAGTCTCATAGCAGTCAACCTGTTAAACAGGCGTATGAGGGTCTATTTGACAAACAAATTTAATAATAATATAACATTGGTGGGTAGTTTTGTATTTATTTCTTTTATTATTAAATTTCTATCCATATTTATATATTATAATAAGGTAATCCTTTATGTCTATGAATTTTAAAAAATAGTCTGATAGAACACCACACGATTATAAACGTTAAAAGATGGCACACGCCTGCTAAATGAAAAAATATACCTAAATATTATCAATTCAAACATGTTTTCTCATACAACAAAGTTTTAGAAAATAAAAACCAAAAAATAATTCCTTTACTTTAAGTTTAATATGAGTCGCAAATGTGGAAGTGTAAAATACCTTTGTTTCTATATTACATGCGAGACAGACAAAATAAATGTTTATGTAAAAGCCCCTTAAGTTAGATGCTTACCTACTTTGTAAATATATATATATACTTTTATTGTAGGTTATTTAAATATATTATTATAAAGGTATTAAATTATAATGGATATTTACTCCTCTGTCTGACCCCCTCATATGTATAACACTTTTACAAATTATACACACAATGGTTTTTGACGTTAACTTTTTTAATTTATTATATAGATAATATAGGTTGTTTCATTTAAATAATTTAATAATTTAAAAATATTTAACAAATCCAAATTATAAGAAACCTAAAAAGTATTTATTACATTCAATTATTTTTTTTAAGTCTAATACAAAAAAAAAAATAATAATTTCTTCAAGTCACTTCTAAATGTATTTGAACACCACTGCAGTACGATCTTCAACAGTTTGTAATTCCAATTTAATAGGGCATTGTAGCCAATAGCTTAAGATTTCTTCCGTGTAACCAATCAGAAAATACATTTTAGTTACACTAATTTTTTGTACAGTTATAGCAGCAATTCGTATGATATTATGTTGTCTTTTAATAATTATTTCACTGGCAATCAAGTCGTGCCAAGTGCCTGTTATGAAACGACGGATAAACTCATCGTCTATTGCAGTTTCTGCAGGTCGCAAGCCATCCAACATATTACCTAGAAAAATAAATGTTTAGTTTACTGTAACTTAATAATATTACCCAAATACTATGAATTACATAGTATGTTTATATTAATTAACTAATAGTTTCATACATGTGTTCCATGAATTCCATCCCTTGATATGAGCGATAGTGTGAGGTGGACCAGCCATTTCATAGGTCAATGGCTTGTTACCTTTAAGAGAACGTTTATAACGTGCTGCTTGTACATGTTTACTCCGAACAAAAATCAAGCAAGAACTTCTGATAGGATGAATTCTAGCCAATGTATCAATAAACATCATCACCAATTTAATTTACTCTGTAATTATATTATAAGTACATATAGTTGTTGTCGCAGTCTTACAAACCCACAATATAGCAAATTTCTGTTCAGCAGAATCAATTTGTGCTTAAAGGTAAAAACATTATCTTGATACATTTTTTTTTTCCGGTATTTTTATTTTCAAGCGAGATAAAAAGTTTTTAAATTTTGATATTCCACTCATCTTTCTTAAATCTAAAATAACGAAAAAACCAACATACAAACCATAGAGTAATGAAATAGACACAGATAATTTTTTTCCCTTTAAGTTTGAAAATTAGTAATTTAATTTTAATATTTAAACTAACAGTTCAAAATTGGTTCTACTGAACGTACGTTTGTTGTATCCTCTTGTTCTCTTAAAATAAACAAGAAATAAAGATATTTAATTTTACTTACTTTAAATTTTTAAATGCAGTGATCAATTTTTATGTTTAATCAATCAACTAAATTTTTAACCTACTGTTATGCTTAGAGTAAAAAAATGCTAAAAAAAATAGAATATTATAATATGACTATAAAATATCGAATCATAATTAATGTATAGAAGAATGATTAACAGAAGATGATTATAGAAGATAAAGTTTGGTATGCTCCGCGGAATTGGTTATCGTCGCGTAATCATATTATCTACTACGATTTTAGATTATGATATCTACTATCAGTTTTGTACAAATGACGTTTAAATAAAATGGATATATTTTATATGGGTTTAATGATTCAATACCGTAACCTCAAAATAATACAACAAATTCAAATTTTATGGTTTTTTTTTATAATAGATTGTTTATTTTTTCTGACAGTTGTAATTTGTATCCGTTGTAGTTCCACAGTAGTGTAAATTTGTAATAATTATATACCGCGATATTGCCTTTGCCTTCTATTACAATTTGTATAGCTATTATTGTTATTAGTTACTGTAAACTGTTGAACTATTTAATTGTGTATTAATTTAATAATATTAAGTAAGGCCTTACATTTTCTCAATTAATAATAAACATTTTTGTATTAGATTAAATTTAAAATTTAATATTTTGTCATAATTTAAATTTATTTCATTTCATTTCATTTTTTAGTTGATTATTTTATAATTTTTAAACTACTACTTCATAGTGGTTAATATGATTGGTGAATCAAGATCAGAGTTTAGACTTAAGAACCCGCCAGAAGATGGAATTTCATCGGTGAAGTTTGGGCCTAATTCATCTCAGTTTTTATTGGTTTCATCTTGGGATTGTTCTGTTAGATTATATGATGTCCAGGCGAATAGTATGCGTACAAAGTATACACATGATAGGCCTGTGTTGGATGTTAGCTTTCAGGTATAGTCATAGTTTTTAGAAAATAATATTTTAAGATGTACTTAATAATTATTTAATACATTCATTATTAAAATATACTGCTAAGGCAGTTTTTTAATTATCTAATTAAAATATTTAATGAACATAATAATTTTTCGTGAAGTACCTACCTAAATAATTTTTAGATTCTAAGCAAAGCAATGAATGATTTGGTTTTACTATGTACTATATATGTGTACCATTTTTTTTAACCCAAACAGCTTTAACATTAGAAATCTTATTGAGGGGTGGTTTCTGATAAAACATTTGGTCCAACATATATATTTTTTTTACGCATTGTAGTGAATATTATCCACCTCAAAGCTTGTTTATTTTGAAAAACTACCTGTGCCTCTTTTGAGAGGTGGATAATGTAGTTTTTGCTTGTGTTCAAAGAGCTAATTAATCCTATGCTTAATTACAAAAATATGATTTTTGTCATTATAGGATGCTGTTCATTCCTTTAGTGGTGGTTTAGATAACAAGTTGAAAATGTATGATTTAAACAGTAACTCTGGTAAGTCGATTTTATGAATTCTAGAAACAATCTAAGCTATAATATTTTTTATTGAATTTTGTATTTTAGAAAGTGTCTTGGGTTCACACGATAACGCAGTGCGTTGTGTTGAATTTTCCAATGAAGTAAATGTAGTTCTATCTGGTGGTTGGGATGGTAATGTTAAAATGTGGGATACAAGATCTTCACAGTGTGTAGGAACCCTCCCACAACCTGACAAAGTATGTATGATATTTATTTTTAAATTCTTAATCTATTTATTCTATAATCATGTATCTAATAATACATGTTTTACCTTATAAGTCATTTATTCAGAGGGTAAATGACTTATGGAAACCAGTGTACCAATGTTTAGAAATCTTATTAATCATTAGGAAAATCATGGTATTCTAGAATTTGGTATACACAATATTAATCAGTGATTTTTCCTCTACATTTATTATTATTAATTATTAATATTATTTATCTTATTTTAAAATATCTTAGGTTTTCACTATGAGTAATGTTGGTGAAAAACTTGTAGTGGGCACAGCTGGACGTAAAGTATTTGTTTGGGATTTACGAAATACAGCTTACATAATGCAAAGAAGAGAATCTAATTTAAAGTTTCAAACAAGATGTATACGTTGCTCCCCAAATAAACAAGGTTATGTATTAAGTAGTATTGAAGGACGTGTTGCTGTTGAATATTTTGATACAGCTCCAGAAATTCAGAAGAAAAAATATGCCTTTAAATGCCATAGAATAAAAGATAATGATATTGAGTGTATTTATCCGGTTAATGCTATCAGGTAATAGTATTGTATAGAATTACTTTATTATCCAGTGGTATAAATATTAATTATGAATAATCACAAATAATATTTTAATAAAAATAAATGTAAGAAAAAAAGGAAACTTTAAAAACAGTTGTTGGATGTGATTGAGAATTATATGAAGACGGGTGGATGTGTACAAAGACAGTGTGGGGGATTGGGTCTAGTGAAAGTTTTAATTTGATGAGGGTGGTCAGCATTGTTGATATGAAGGCAAAGAGTAGTATAATGGTTACAATTTACAATCATAAAGATCGTATACAAATATAGGTAGTATAAAATGTATTTTTAGTCGCCCAAATAAAAAGTATTTAATTTATCCATAACTGAAAATTAAATTAAATATAATTATAAAATATTAATAATTATTGAGTAAATATTGTATATTTCATGATTGGTTTTGATTAATTGATGACAAGTGGAACTGAGTTTTTTTGATTTTTGTCATATAATATTTACTAGTTACAATATTATACTATTACCATTGATTATACAATAGATAGCCCACAGTATAGGAATATTTGTTTACTACCTTTGAAATGCAACGACTATGGAGTACTAGTCATTTGCTTGAAAATCAATGGCAACAAATCCAGTTTGCATAGCAATTGTATCCTACAGATAGTAGTTAAATATTTACATTTCATAAGGCTATCATGCTATAACCAATACATTTTCTAATAATTTAAAAATAGCTGACTATAATTAATTCTGTACAAATTTAATTTATCTTTATCTTACACAAATGGGTTTTGCTACTCTTATTCTTGTCCTCCACATCTTTGTCCATTAAAATATCTTCATGTCCTCATATCTACCCTATTAGCTTCTGCCCTCAATATTTGGCCTCCCTTCAGTTGTTTCCATAAAACTAATATCAAATTATAATTAATTCCCATTTAAAATATTTATCAATTATGTTATAATATAATGTGTTAATAGTTTTCATCAAGGATTTAATACGTTTGCTACTGGAGGTTCTGATGGATATGTGAATATTTGGGATGGTTTTAATAAAAAGAGATTATGTCAATTTCATCGTTACAATACAGGGATCACGTCTCTGTGCTTTAGTCATGATGGTAAGTAAAATATTGTATTTTATTTATTTATTTAATTGAGATGTAATATTAATGACTATTTTCTTCATAAGTTTTAAAAATTGTTTGGCCAAATTAAAATAAACTATGCAAATACAATAAAATCTAAATAATTAATATTTATTGGTTTCATTGAAGGTTCTTCATTGGCTATTGGCAGTTCTTACATGTATGAACAAGATGTGCATCCAGATCCAATACCCGAAAATAATGTTTATATTAGGTATGTTACAGATCAAGAAACTAAACCAAAATAAACAGTTTCTGACAAATTGTAAATTAAATTTGTAATTTATTAATTATTATTATCAATAGACTCTTATAAATCATTATATTTTTAATATTATTTTGTGACAATTTTAGGTTCAAAATCAATCTAAATAAAAGTTTATAATAATTAACAGATATTATTTATTATTATTTCAACAGAATTAAATATTGTACATAATAATTTAAATTTATTTTGAAAATTAATATAGTAGTATATAATATATATAAAAATTTATTTTCAAACTTATAAATAATTTTATTTATGGACATTTCCTCCTGAATCAATATAATATATAATATTACCAATATTTACCCGAAGTATCCGGGTAAACCTATTTTCAGCTAATATAGAAGGTAAACATTAAAAAACAAGGAATTAAATATTTTTGAAAACATCCCTGTTCATATTCTGTATAAGAATAAGAACGTATAATATATTGAAAGAATGGAATAATAAATGTACAACAAATGTATCAATCATCCAAATATAAGGCTTTTTATTGAAGCTCTACAGTTAAGCAACTCAAGCATATCTATTAAATTGTTGAAGTATAAAATAAGAGCTTTTCATAAACTTCATAATCCCATCTTAGTTTCTTCATTCATTGATTTTACTTTATTGCCCAAGCTATACATCAATTCCCTAATTTTCAGATACTTATTTATTTTATTGTTCTTACTTTTGTTTGTTATTAGTAGGACATGGATTTATATGCACTTAAAAAAACATTTTAGTCATTACTGTGGTCTGTGGATATATATCTTAATTTTAATTATTTAGTTGAGTAATGAAAAGGTTAAATTTTCAAAAAAGCACTTAGAATTATTTAAAAAAGGAAAATTGAGTTAAATTCCTCACTCTGACTGTTCTCACCCCATCGAATACATTTTTCTAATTCTTTATTGATAACTTATAAATATTTTTTAGAGCTTTTTTATGAATTTTAAGTGCATATAAATCCGTGCCCTAGTTATCAGATTTGATGTCTGACAACAGTAAATACATTTGTTTTCTTCAAATTAAAATAATATATATTGCTTAATAATTATTTAATAGTTAAATCATTACTAGGGTTTAGGACTTCTTGCATTTGCATGTTTTTTTGTAGTGGTCGTAGATTATTCTAGGTAAGCTATAAATTTGTTTTATGAAATGCCGAAATTAAATACAAAGTTTGAATTTCTTTTAATAAATTATTTTGGGTAGGTAAGTTGTAGGTGCATGTATTTTTATCTTTATCAATTAGTAATCAACTTTGTTATCAACAATTTTTATTATGTACTTAAAATTAATTTCCCCTCTATATTTACCTTTTCAGTTTTTCACCAATAACTGTGGCTGCACTTATCGGGAAGTTTATCCATTTTTTTTATTTCTATAATTTTATTTTTAATGAGCCAAAAATAAAGTAAAAATGACATCCTAGGATAAGGGGAACAGGTCCAGCCACTGTTAAAGGTAATTTAACATATACCTGTAAGCAACAATAAATCATTGCTAACGAAAAAACAATGCTGAGCGGAGTTCAATTGATAGTGATGTTATCACAGTGTTCATATTATAGTTAAATTAAATAGGCATCATATATTATCTTTAATAATATTTGTTTAATATTGATTTGATTTTCTTGGTTTTTCACATTTGTTGGGAACTCTTGAAAAAATCAAAAAAATGACCTCCCTAAAAACCTTTTTGAACAGAATTCCTTTCATAAAAAGTGATATTATAAATTGGAGCAAAATTACTAGTAGAAAAGTTGTCCACAGGATAAAAAAATCTTAAGGTTTTATTATATGTATTTTACTATATTATATTATTACTTTTATTCTTACATTTTCCCAGTTTTTTTTTCACTTTTTCACATTTGATGAGAAAATCGAAAAAATGAACCAGAAAAGTTGTCCACAAGAAAAAATAAATTTGTGAACCCATAGTCTGCTTCACTCAGAATAAAAAAAAAAGAAATCCACCTTTTTGAACATTTAATTCAATTAATTTAGTCTTTATATTAATTTAACTCAATCCAACTTAAAATATTACATATCATAATTAGAAGACAAAATCCTTAAAACTAATTTCAAAATATGTACAAATATATTACAAAGGCTATATTATTTTATAACTTTTAAGTGTAATTCAATTTAAATATTTATATAAAACATAGTTATTCATCTATATAATTATTTGGTATTTACATAAACATAATACAAGTGTATGCATAATAAAAGAATACTATAGAAATAACTGACTAAACATAATAAATGTATTAACTGTCTACAAATCTAATTTTGGTCTATACTGAAGTTTCAATGGAGGTTCTCTGAATCTCCATCTTGTAACATAAACAAATTTAAGAGTGTGATCTTTACCCAAGAGTTCATCATTACACAAAATGTCAATCTAAATAAATAAATGTAATTGTATTAAGTATGTTAATAATATAGGTTATTAATGACAAATATATTGTATTTTTACTTACATCTCTGTATTTATCAGACCCTTCTAAAACTTTTACAGCAATAAATTTTTTTAGGTGAGTAATAGTTGCTTGAGATGACACTCTTAAGAATTTTTTCTTTAATGACTTTAAATGTGATGCAACACATTCCAATCCAATATTAACCTTTATTGAGTAATTTTTATTTAATACTTAAGATAATAATAATGGATGATTAATGTTACTTGTTCATCTGTCCTATGGTAATCAGAATCTGCTGCTGCTTGATCTTGCGCTGTCTTATCATCATCGACTTCTGTACCTGCAGGCACTTCTTTGGGATATGGTAAACCTCTGATCCTATAAAACTCTCGTTCTCGCTTAATTTCATCTAAATAGTTATTAATTAATAATTATTTTGAATATTTTTATTGATGATTTTAATCATTCAGTTTACCCAATTGAAGCCCTGGTACTAATTTAAATACAATATCTTGCATTGTACGATCAAAACTTATATATTGCAATGGATGTGATTGATGTATAACAATTTGACATGTAGGACAGCTGTTGTTTTCTTCTAAATGTTTTACTAGACAACTTTTGCAAACTAAATATAATAACAAAAGTTATATACAATTTTCAATGGAAATAGAAATATTACTATTTTAATATACTAACAAGTATGTAAACATTCTGTAACTGTTGTGGCATCTACTAAATATCCTCTACATATTTTACACGTAATATGACAATTAAGATTTTTTAATTTAATCAATTTTTCCATTATTTTTCACTAAATTTATTTTGTAAATTGCAAAAAATGTAATTACAATGGATTTGTAAAAATGTCAAAAAGACAATAACATAACCATAAATACAAGACAAAACAATTAACTTGAGATTCTAATAAAGTGCTACCAACTTACTCTTATTATTAAAAAGCACCGATTTTTATTAGAACCTTACTTGCCTGAGTTTTATCAGTTACTCGTGCACTTTGCCCGGGTTAGAATGTTTGATTGTTTTGTTATAAACACGGCCTTAGACTATAAATATTTTTTTAATCTTTAGACACTTTTTTGTAAACAACATAGTAATTAATAATTGTTCGCCCCTGTAGACCGTGTTAAGTATTTTACATATTTATTTTAATAAAATTGAATTCAGATTGTTTAAAATTAATTAAATTACTATTAATAATAAGTTAACTATATAATAATGTACTCGCTAAGTGAATGGGAAATTTACCCGTAAAAAAAATTGAATTTTTATAGAAACCTCCTTTCACCACTGTAAAAGATGAATTTTAAAAAATGGGCTTGGGGTTGAATTTTGAAAACTTTTTCTTGGTGCTCGTCTTCGTTGCATAGGGAACCACAGTATAAAATGTCAAATTTTTAACAGCCTATCTTTGTGTGTAATACAAAATCTGTTGTGTGTAGTACGAAATTATTAAATGTATAGTGTTATAAAAAAATATATCTAAACTATGCTTTGTTGTTATAGTATTTTTTAATTGTTTAACAAATTTAGAATAAGTATTTTAAAGAGATTAATCAAATACATAGTATTTTAAAATGTATTATTTATTATTATGTTTTAAAACTTGTTATCTTAATCCTTGTTAGAATTAGTTTACTGATTTTGATCAAGGAATTAAACCCAGAGAAACGTTATTTAAACAAATTTGTTGAAAAAATAATGTACAAACTAATTGATATTATGTAATATTTTTTTTTAAGTTTATTTTTTACTTTACCCATAAATTTCTCCTTGATAAAGTTTAAACCTGGAAGTATAAGTATGTTTAAAAAAACAACTATAAGTGGTAGAAAAATTAATAAAATAACTGTATTTAAGGGTATGGGGGCAAATTTTATTTTAACAACCATGAATTTATGGTCTAAACTAAAAACTGTGTAATACGAAATATTACAAAAAATAAACCTTGGTTTCTAGCAGTTTAGACTGTGCGTTAATACCTCAGTTTATCCTTTTATATATGAAGTGCTCTGTGCAGTAAAACCAGACAGCTCCGGTTTTTAAATTTTTTAAGAAAATACATATTTAATGTTTTATATATATTACATAAGTGACTAATAATGACGCCACACACAATGCGTTTGTTTCATAAGTGGTCTAGTATAAACGCTATATTTTTCACAGTTGTTACGATATAACCAACTTTGGTTATTGCCCTATAGTTACAAATACGTATTATTTTTCATTGTTTTGTAATTATACTACTTATTATTTATTCAATATGTATCGAGTTCTGACGAAGAACTATTTCTTCTACTTACCCTTCAAAATAATAAAAGAAAAAACAATTTCTTTACTAGATTTTTTTAACCTTGATGGGATGTATCGAATAAGAACAAATATTTTCTAACTTTTTCGATCAAAATTTCCGTTTCTTCCACCATATTATAAATTTAATACAACAATTTAAAAAATGTAAAAACAGATCGCCAACTGCCAGCGTGGAATTTTGTAATTTTGTACGACTTAATCGCCTGTCGTCGCGATCTTATTGTCCTGCCGTGAACAAACCGCCTTCTGTGTGACCGGAATAATGCGATATTACGTAATACAACTTTACCGCCTTACCGCCGCGGGAAAATATCGTGTATCCAAGCCTTTAATGAAGTTAGTATATGAATATTTTCACACTTTAAACCATAAACAAGAAATTATTTACGAAGTTGTCTTGTTTATTGCTCCGAGTTGGTAAATTCTTTTTCTTTTTTTTTTCCATCTAAAAAACATGCTAAGAATTACTTTTTTTATGAATTTGACTAAGTAAATTATTGTCAAGTATTTATGCTATTAAACAACATACTTGAGTTTTTTTTAGAAAAAACTAAACCTTTATATACTTTTAAAAATAAACAAAAAAATAGCTATAATTTCTGAGCAATAAAAAGGTAACTCCAAAAATTATTCCTTGTTTTTAGTTTGAACTCTTAATAAATATGCAAATGATATATTAAAAAAACCGACTCACCGCCTCGTCGCCACCAAAACTTAGCAATTTAACTAATAACTACTGCAGTACACAATGTGTAAAGCTATAATTTGCAGCTTGTAAAATAATTTTAGTAGAAATATTTATAACTAGTGCCTTTTTTTCAGGAGAGGAGAAGGTGGAGGTTAAAATTTGTGGCCAACATCCCCAAAAATAAAAAAAAATTATAATAAAAAGCAAATGTCATCAAATATTGCTCAACAAAAATTCTATTCCCCCCTAATAATTGGTTATCAGTTATTGGACTACTCACAAGGATATTACCAGTTAACCTAATTCCAAAGTAAACCTATTCTGAATAGCAGGCACTATTGCCGTAGCTTAGGAAGAAGCACTATGGGCAAGCCCCCCCCCCATTTATTTGGTTTTATATTGGTTATTTCGGTGTATTTTATCGTTTTAAAAAATAGTTGGCAATGTTCAAATTATTAGCCGGATTTTTTTTGTGCTACGGTACGCAGTACCTTGATTTGTTGTACGAGTACAAAACCACGTCGGATAGGTACAGAAGAAAACGTCTTATTTTTAACACAAACAAATCCATCGAAGAATATCTTTTATAAAAAAAAGTGTAAATATTTTGTATACTTATGGAGTTTGAACACTATACTCCGAGATTCTCGTTTAAAAAATAACTATTGAGTCACAACAATTAACAATTATTGACTTAAATGGTGTACAAATTTGTATATCTGCGGAGTTTTATTTAAGGTGATGTCTAGATGGCTAGATACACGAGATGGTCAGTGTTCTGCAATGTTTTTCCAAGCCATTTTATATTAAAACTTTTTTTATCACGGTTTCGTATAGGTAGAAGCAACAGTTATAATTGAATAGACACCTATTAATAATGGACAACATTTTGATCGCCGTGAGTGTCTAAAAGGAAATAGCTTATACTTATTCGTCTTTAAATTAGCAAGGAGGAAAGGATGTCGTGAGTAGTGAAGGGTGAAAGTGGCAGTAAAGTATGGGGCTGTCATAAAGATTAGAGAGGGGTACATTTGGGGGGGAGTAGAATTTTTATAGAGCAATATTTGATGACACTTTTTATTTTTATTGGAGGGGGGTGGCCACAAATTTTAACCCCCACTGGAAAAAGGCACCGGTTATAAATATTTCTACTAAAATTATTTTATAAGCTGCAGATTATAGATTTACACATTGTGTACTGCAGTAGTCGTTAGTTAAATTGCTAGGTTTTGGTGGCGAGGTGGCGAGGTGTCCGGGTCCGCTCATAAATGTATTAAATCCTGAATCACATTTGACATTTTTCGTTGTAAAACGAAAAACCAGGCAGCTCTAAAACCATTATACCTAATTTCTATTCAGAATATGTATAATCGAATTTGTCTCGTTCTTACATGTACTATCTATGGTTCTTCATTCTTGCTTAGAAAATCTAATAACAATTTTTCCTAAGTATTAGAAATCATGATATTACAAATTTCACTAAAAATAGGATTGTTTGAAGCCCTTCATATTATATAGATTGTAGACAGATAGAATATAATATATTCTATTAACCGTGGAATGCATTTACAATTTTGATATTATCTTTATTAACACATACGTGTACAACTACAAGCATGTTCATCAGTTTCGATCTTAGATCATGTATACGATCTAAGGTTTCGATTAGAATGAACAAACCACACAAATTATACGAAACTATTTGTATTATTCAGAATAATTTAAGTTATTGTTAGTAATTACATTAACGTACCTATAATTTATAACAAGTATAGTATTAAAATAAAACAATGTGATAAGAACACGGTAATTTTCATAGACATATAATATTATATTTTATTAGTACGAAGAAAGATTGGTTTATGTCTTATGGTAATTTTACTATCGTACATTAGCACTGAACTAAATATTAAATAGTAAATACGAGTTAACTCGAGTTGAGTTTTCGATCGCAGTCCAGTATCAATATCATAGACAAGTATGACATACTGTAGTACACATAGTACATTGTAGTCACTCTCACTCAGTCACATACTCTATGCTCAGCATCATAGATAATATATATTTGATATATATGATGCATAATATTATTTGATATACTATTATATCTATATAACCAAGGTTATATTAATCCACCTTGTATATAATATAATATAAATAAATACATATACAAAATAAATACACCGTGGATGCTCAGTCATTATAAAGCACCCTCTATGTGTAACCGTGGCATGAACGTTCAGTAAAGCTTATCTTGATTGTGTATCTTATTTTGTGATTTTATTTCATAGATAATATATATTATCTATGTTTTACTCACAGCTGTAGATAGTACTCATCCGTACAGCTGCTATGTACATTGTGATTTTCTGTTCGTTTTATCGGAAGTCTATGATTTTACCATTTAGTGATTACCTATGTTATTCTATTAATTCTGTTGACAAATTTTGATAATAGATTTGCATGTGTTCATAGAAAATTAAAATTTTTAATCATTTTGTTATTTTTCTATAAAATTTCAATATATCTATAAGATACAATTTTACTTAAGGCACTATTCAAAATATGTGTAAGATGTATAGTATGATTACATTTGGAAATACTAATCAATCATAATTCATGTAAAGGTAAAAAAAAAATATTTTAAAATTTACTAAACTGCAGTTTTTATTATAATTATAACGTATTCATGTATTTTAAAATTATTAGTATTAGTATTAATTTTCAGGCTATTTTATTAAATATAACTAATGTATCAGTTACGTATTATATTATTTACAATTTAGTGAACAACTTTTGTTTTAATCAAAACCCCCAATATTATTTTTAAAAACTTCATTTTCTTTTAAAAATTATATTAATAATACTTAAACATACATACATTTTAAACATACAGAATACAGTTGTCTTTATTTAATATTTAAATTTAAATTTAGTTTAATTAGTTTAAATTTATTTGTTTTATAATTTAAAATTACCTACTTGTCAACATGTTTAAATTTGATGGTAGATATTTTATTGTATACAAATAAATTAAGTACCTGTAATATAAGTAAAAAGTATAAATTATAAACAGTTAAAATTATAATAATTTATTATCTTAGAATTTAATTAGTAAGAAAAAAACGTTTAAACTTCTTTTCATTATATTACTATTATATAATCTAGCATAAGTACTTATTTAGTTTTTAATGTATAAAACATAATCATATATGTAAATATTTATTAAGTTTAATAACTATATTTAAAGATAACTTTAATTTGTATTACCTATTATTTAAGTATTTTTATAAATTTTTTTTAAATTGTTCAAAAATTCAATTGTCATTTATTTTGATAGATCAATTTGTACTGTTTTGTTTTAGTTATCTTTCTAGTCCACTATGGATGAACTTGATATAAGTGTATCAAAAATACTTTCATCATTCAACATAGAAGCAGATGCTGAAATTGCTGCAAAGTTATACAACTTTGAGTTCATTATTCCAGATGATAATGTAATAAACTCGTTGCATAGTATAAATGGAGTTGGATATGAAATTGATGAAAATATTTATTCACTGCCGAGTATGTCTGTGAATGGATTAAATGAGCGAAAAAACCAAATTATTATAAGTCATCAAATACTTGCTAGTAAATATTATGATAGTCTGGTATTTTCTAAAAGACTGCAAAAAAAGTTATTATTCTTGCATCGCTTTTATGATGTTCTATTTAATAAATACTATACTCCTAAGGTAATATAAAACTAAAAATAATATTACTATTTTTTTGATTATATTTAACCAGATATATTTGTATTATTTAAATTTTAATAGGATGGTACCCTTTTTAAAATTTTTTTACCACCAAATCCTATTGAAGAAACTCCAAAACCAGTTGTTAAATTATCTGGGCAACAGGCAGTTATACAGTTAACTGTAAAAACAGGGCTTACAATGTTTTTTACATTGTTGAAACAAAGTTGGGAAAATAAAAATGAAAATGGTAAATAAAAGATATGATTAGTATTGTAATTGTTTGCTTAAATTTATACTTTTTTTCTAGATATAAATATGGGTTTAGAAGTTTTGAGTACTGCACTAACTTTGATGAGAGAATTAAGTCCACTTTCTTTAGGTAGTAAAGCAGAACTACCTCAAATTGGTTTGGATTGTTTAGATAATGTAATGCATTTTGTTAAAGAATGTTTAACTTCTGATTTTATAAAGAATATGAGTGGTAATATTTATTATATTCTATAAAATCGTCATTATTTTTAAAAATAATAATTTTAAATTTGTGTAGTCAAAGAACAACTGGCAGAACTTTCATTATTATTGGCATATCAACGGGAATCTCTCATTTATTTATTGGAATGGATTGACATGGCTTTAAATATTAATGATATTTGTTTGTCGTTTGAAACACTGTATAGAGTATTAGAAGAAATGTCAAATATACTGACTTTTGCTTTTGGATCAGATGACTTTGAAAATTTTAAAATTAAAAATTTTATTCCATTAAAAGATGTGGCACTGTTATTGATGAAAAAGGTAACAATTTATTTTTGTATTTAAATAATGTACTATGATTTTAAGTTTTTTGTTTTTTTAATAATTTTAGCTTGTTAGTTTTGGAGAAACGTCCGTTGTTCGTACGCCTTTAAATCAAAACTCTGGTGAACTACCACAGCCTATAAGTGAAGTATTTATGTGGGGAAGTAATTCTTCAAATCAACATGCTGAAGGAGCAACCGAAGTAACAGATATACCACGACTAGTTAGATCTTTATCTGATGTACAACAAGTAGAAGCAGGCCAATATTGTACATTTATAATAGATACAAAAGGCCATGTTAGTGCTTGTGGGAAAAATAGTTATGGCCGTTTAGGTCTAGGTAACTCATCTAATCAACCAGTCCCTAAAAGGATTAATATTGAATGTAAAATTAAACAAGTATCTTCATCGAAAGGCTGTGATGGTCATTCATTAGCCCTAAGTGATACTGGAGAAGTTTTTAGCTGGGGGGATGGTAGGTTTGGTCTAATTTGTTAATTTATCAAACTATTATTTAAAAATTATTTTATTTAGGTGATTATGGAAAATTAGGACACGGAGATGTATCTACACATAAAGAACCAAAATTAATTCAAGGACCTTTTATTGGTAAAGTAGTCGAATTAGTTAGTGCTGGTTACAGACATAGTGCTGCAGTTACTAGTGATGGGCAATTATATACATGGGGTGAAGGAGATCATGGTCGATTAGGTATTATTACTTAAAGACATTTTATTTTAATATACTATAATTCCAGGAAATTTAAACATGTTTAATAAGTACAAATGTTTTGAAACAATCCTAAAATTCTTAAATACTTACGTGTTAATAACATTAAATGATGTAATATTTTTAGGCCATGGTGATTGTAATCCTAGACTTATACCCACACTTGTTAAAAGTTTATGTGATATGCCAGTTGGGTATGTAGCTTGTGGCTCAACTCACACATTGGCCTGTTCACGTGATGGAAATACTGTTTGGTCATTTGGTTCTGGAGATAATGGAAAACTTGGTCATGGTAATACATTAAGGTTGTATAAACCACAAAAAATTGATGGGTTGCGATATTATAAAATAAAAAAAGTTGCTGCTGGAATACATTTTTCTGTTGCATTAACTTGTACTGGTGAAGTATGTATTATATTAACTAAACATATAGTTTATTGTGATAGTGTAATTAATTTTAATAACATATTAGGTATTCACTTGGGGACAAGGGTCAAATCTTGGATGTGGTTCATCAGAAATTACACTCTATTCTCCTGCAGTTGTTGAAGATTTAATGCAACAAATGATTATTGATATATCTGTAGGAGATTCTCATTGTTTGGCACTAACAAGAAATTGTGTAGTAAGTAAAATTTTAAATATTTTCAAATTCAATTAGGTTTAACTTTATGATATAACTTTTTTAATATAATAATTATTAGGTTTATGCATGGGGTTCTAATGGAAAAGGCCAATGTGGACAAGGTCATTCAACAAGTCCAGTAAGTCGACCTAGCAAAGTAATTCATTTGGATGGTAAACAAATAAATCAAATTTCTGCTGGTACTTCTCATAGTGTTGCTTGGACAACTTTACCACCAGATAGGTATTTTGAAAATACATTAAATAAAAAATAATGGAATTTTTAAAAAAATTTTCATTCATTTAAATATTCTAAGAAGTTTAAAATGTTTAAATTAAAGGTCCGTATTACATGCGTAATTTGTGAATTTTAGTACTTAACATGTCCATGTATTGATGTATAAGTTAAAAACTACGTGTATAAAATGAATGATTAGTTAATTGCCCAGCTGTCCATTCTATACTTGTTTTTAAAATGCACGTTTTGTTTTTATTACTTGAATTAATACCCATGTTAAATACACACTTTCCGTGTACACTATGTTGGGCTTGACATTTTTTTCACATGTATATCTTTATGGTTTATTTTTACAGATATAATAATGCCATAGAATCTTATTTAAAAAAATCCAGTTTCTGAGTGACAATTTTAGGTGAATAACGTCATTTATATGTTTTTTTTTTTTTTTACTGTTTAAATCTTCGCTGAACAAAAAAATGACATAATGATAAGTTATCAAAATTAAGTAAGAAACTAATAATTTTCCTTAGTTGAAAAGAAGAAAGTCAATTATGCTAAATTTTTGAGCAATAAAACGTAAAATATATTTAATGTTGATAGATCATCAGATCATCACTACTTCAAAATAAAATGATATTAATGAACTATCTTACTTTAATTTGTAAAAAAACAAAAAATTAAATAAATATGGACAAAAAAAGTTAAAAATAGGTAACTTATTTAATAAAAAATAATAATATTTTATTTGTTTTATTTTATTATCAATATTTTATGACAATACTATTTATTATAATAATTTATGCCATTATTGGGTTCACTATCATAAACTTTTATTTAATATTTAGTAGTACTTATAAGTATAGTACCATTTTATAATGAACCTCCTGTTAAATTTTCAAATATCACATAGTATCTACTAAAAATAAATATTTTGTAAAAAACTATCAAAATAATGTCAAAATGTCTATAAATAGCTCAAAAATGACTAATGTTTTTGAAATTTTTCTATGTCTAGAAAAGGCTAATATAAATTTCCTGTACAAATTTTAAGTCTACAAATATTTTTAACTGAATTAGTACACAAAAACAAAATTATTATTTTTGTAAATTTGTTGGTTCTTTCAGTGTGTTTTTTTTCAGTTTTGCTCAATTATGAAAAAAACTACATATAAAATCAAAAAATTACTTTCTTTTTTATTAATAAGATTAAAAATTTAACAACAATGATTTCTTGTCATTTTTTTATTGGAGCAATATTTCTGGGAGAAAACAAAGCGTAGAAATTTAAAATAATGAAATATTAACATTGTAAATTTATCAGTTTTTATTTTTTAACTTTGGTTTTTCCCATTTATTTGGGATAATTTATTCTATTTCATTTCAATTTATTCTATTTTTATTCTATTTCATTTTATGTTCAGTGGTAATTTAAAATGTAAAAAAAAATGATTACAAATTGCATTGTTCACTTAAAATCATTATTCACATACTGCATTTTTATTTTTTATTTTTTTGATATAAGATTTTATGGTATTGTTACATCAGTATAAATAAACTATGAATGTAATATGCGCTCACAAAAAAAAAGAAATTGTTGGTGTATACCCAAATAGTGTAGTGTATACATCTAAAATTGTTGCCTTTAATTTAAATTTTCCTTAAATCTTCTTTAGCTTTGCCTTCATATTAAGTATTTAGGTCAGGCCACCTTCATCCTAAAGTTCTACTTGCCCTGATCTCTCATTCATGCTCTTATACACTGGCCGTCCTCATATCATTCTCAATCGCATCTTACCACCTTCTCAGTCTTCCTATGTTTATTTTCATTATCATTCTTATTGCTTTTGCTTTCTTTCTTCATGAAATGCCCAAACCACTTCAGTCTATTTTCTCTCATTTTGTTTACTATCCAAAGCCATACAATGAATACCTCTTATGTGCTCGTTCCTTATCCTATCATTTCTCCACTCCATCAACCTAAGCATTCTCATCTCCATTACACTTTTTTTTCTTACTATTCATCATTCAACATTCCGATTGATATAACATAATTTGTCTCACCACATTCTTGTAGAATTTACCTTTAAAGGCTGATTCACATTTGTGTAGCACGACAGGACAGACATGCACTTTTTTTATAATCTTTTTCTAAATTTTCATGCTATGACATAAATTATTTTCCTCTATAATTTCCACATTCTTATAATTCCCTTGTATTTCACCCTTGCTTTTAAATATTGGAAAAAATTATTTTTAATTATTTTTCTTTTCTTCTGGTAATTTTCATTTTACTAGAAATGTATTAAAAAGATCTTTTAATCAGCCTATGCTGATCTCCCCAAACATTTTTCACACTTCCACTGGTACTCCATCTGGATTTACTTCTTTTTTTTTTGTATTATTATTCTTATAGTCTACCACACTTTCTTCTTTTTAACTAAACCTTCCAAACTTTAATTCCACAAAGCACTCAGTAAGAAAATAGTTTCTAGTTGATGTATAATATAAGATCTCAATTCAGTAATTTTTTAGAAAACTCCTATCTCCTTTTCTCATCTTCATAATTAACTAACAACCTTTTATCTTCACTTTTTATTAAACTATACTTAAAAGATAAATATATTTAACTTTGATTAATTATTTTATGATTTATAATTAGGAAAACAAATGTTTGGCACAGTCCTTTTTGTATTGACTTGAATGAAAGTACATTTAAATGGTTAAGGCAGTGTATTGAGAAATATTGTGAACAAATTGAATCACATCAATATACACCAAATGAGTATGCATATTTTCCAATCTAAATTCTATAGTATTTAATATTTACATATAATATATTAATATATTTATTTGTGTGTTTAGTATTAATGAAGAAATGCTAATATTGAGTTTAAATATGCTTACTAATCATTTGTTTTTTGCCCGTGTTTCTGGTCATCATTTTTCTGGCAATGAAACTAGTCAACTGCGTACACTCCTTTTAAAGTAAATATTATAAAATTTATGACTACAAGTTAGGGAATTAAATTTGATTTTATGTTTAGACTTGTAGATCTGCAAGTAAAAGAAGTAGTAGAAAGAAGTTTAATGAAATGTTTATCTACTGGTGCATCACTTCTTTTACCCCCATTGAATGGCCGTCTTGCTATTCTTAAATCTCTTTTGGCCCAAGATACAAATTTAACTAAAGGACAAGTAATTTTATACAACTATATATATTATATATTATTAAACTGCAATATGTTTGTATTAATTTTTTTTTATTTTAGAAAATGCTCTTGGATATTACAGTTTCTAGTTTAAATGAAAATAGGCATGTTAGTTCATTATTTCGAATGAGCAAAAAAGATTCATATGAAATTAGATACTTAGCTATTGAAGAAGTTATGAAATTACTACTAAAGCATTTAACAAATAGTATTGTAAGTAAAATTATGAAGGTCTATAATATTCTTGAATTGATAAATTTATAACCAAGTTTTTTTATCTTTAATATAAGTTTAGTTAAGTGCTGTCAAAATTACTATTTGATTTTTTTAATCAGTCTATAGTTCTATATCAGTAATAGTTAATTGGTTCAATCAAATTCTAAATATTAGAATAAATTAAAACTTTTACAAATCAATTTCAAATTATGTTTTTTATAAATAATAAACTAACTTTAATAGTTCATCTCTTCATTAGAACCAATAAAGTATTAGTTTTATTTTTAAGAAACATTTTTGTGATAGTAAAAAATATTAAAATTTTCAAAAAGTTTCATTAGTAACTTTTATATGTATGGACACATATGTGACTAAATTTTTTTTTCAATCTCCTGAAAAATAAATTGAATATTAAAACAGTAATTCTTAGCTCCATTTAACTGATTTGAAATATATTTATTACCTGTATTTTTAAGTAATCTCCATAATTTGTTACAATGATTTTTAAATGTAGCTAATTATAAAGCTGTGTATTAATTCAATATTTTTTCAGATTACTATGTTGGAGTCAAATAATTATTCTTCATTAAAAAAAGGAAACAAGTTAGATGTAACGCTTACATCACTTTATAAAATATTATTATCACATTTGTTGGCATATAACATAAAAACAAACAATTTCAATGATAATGTAAATATAAAAAAAAAAAATATACAAATAATAAAAAAAATGTTTTTGTTAATAATATCTTATTTCATACCTTTATACTTGCATAATAAAAATGTCCAAATAATACCATAAATAGTTTAGAAACTACTTAAAACATAATTCTTGATTAAAGTTAAAATTAAGAAAAATATTTAATCATTTAGTATAACTTATTCTATAAGACAATTTATGGCAATTCATAAGATTTGAATAATGTTATATTTGTGTTATTGAAAAATTTTTTTCAGATGATTTTGTAGCAAATAATTTCATAAATTTTAATTTCTATTTTAGAACATATTTTAGTCAAGTCAATCTTTATACCAACTCAAATATAAAATAGGGTTAAAGTTAATTTTTTTATACAACAATGTTATTATTAATGAAAATATTTTTTTGAAGTTTTAATATATAATTGTATTAAAATATTTAATATTAATTATTTATGTATTAGTTTTGCCCTTGTATGATCCGCCTTTTTGTTAATCATTTGGAAACATATTTATTATTCGCTAATAAGATATTTACAATGGCTATAACTTCACATAATTATGAAAATCATATTTTTTTTAATGGTAATAATTTTAAATAAAATAAAATTGTTTATAGTACATTTGTACTAAAAATATGTTTATTTAATTAATGTATTTTTTTTTTTCTAGCTGTTTTATCTTCTTCTGTAGTTGGAGAAACATTGATTAATACAATTAATTCATTGACATTTGTCCAGAGTGAAAACATTCAATCTATTATAACATCTTTAATAAATACAGTTCAATCACTTCATTTATTTATCCGAAAAATGTCTACTATTGGTATGATGAATATTTATTTATGTTTTTGAAGTATAGTTTGAGTTAGTAAAAATATTTAGATCCTGATAAGTTGAATGAGTCTGTATGGTTTATTGAATTGGAATCAGCATTTTGTTTATTAATTGGTCGTTTAATAAGCTATGGAATAATAACTTCACCATTATGTCAATATGAAGTGGCTACTGTGAAGTGGTTAAAAAGCAGATTATTTTCTTCAGGCATTGAAAAATTAGATGATAAAAGTATATTTGGTAAGAATAAAAAATTAATTTTTAATAAAATTAATAATTATGTATTTATATTCTATTACACAGTGTCATTATTAAGCTATACAAATTCTCCAAAGTTAAAAAGTTCGTAACTATATTAATTCTACTGCTGATTCTTTTGCAGGCATTTAATAATCTTTAAGAGTTTTTGTCTTCACATGATCTCTTTCCACTTCACCCTGTCCTGAACTACTGTCCTCCACTCCTGTACTCCTACTTCCCTGAAGTCTTTTTCTACTATATCTATCCAACTTTTCTAGGTTGGCCCGAGGTTTCTTCCTAGTAGGTTTCCATTTTAGCACTGCTAGCATAGTATGTCCCTTAATTTTGTGTATTCTGTGACCCAGTCTATATTTGCTGTGGACTGGCACAATTTCCATTTTTCTTGGAAGTTCTCGATTAACTTTCTACTCCACTCCACTTTTCTGACAATATTTTGCTCTTATTTTCAAACGTTTTTAAGTCTTTTTTGTGTAACACTAGTGGTCATCTAACCTTCAATTCTGTAGGTGAGTTTGAGTGCTATCACTATGTAAAGCCTTTCTTTTTTTTTTTTTTTTAAATTCTGATTTGTAACATTTGCTCATTGCTCTTTCAGATTTTAGATTCTGAGTGGAACGAAGAAGCTTATGGTTTTATAAAGATGTTTATTTTTTTTTTTTATCTCAGCATTGCACAATTTTTCTATGAGAATTCTTGTTCCAATTTTTAAGTTATTTCCTTTTTTGGAAGGAAATCAGTGAAGGGAGGTGCGTTAGGGAGGTAATTTTTCGATTTTGTCAGGAGTTAACTAAACAAATGTGAATACCCGAAAAGAAAAACTAATTAATTATTTTACTATAATATGACATATATGTTGTTGACAAAACCTCACTATCAACTGAATTAACTTTTCGTTAGCAATAGTTTATCGTTGCTTACAGGTATACATTAAATTACCTATAGCAGTGGCTGCACCTGTCCCCATTATTTTTTGTTATTTTTACTCCAATCTCTCATGTCCAATCATTCTTGATGCTTAATATGGCTCCTAAATACTTAAATTAATTTATTTTTACAAAGATTAATAAATTATATAAATTATTATTAATCGGCTGTATAATATTAATATTGTATAATCAATAGTTCTACTAATCTACAACTATTTAAATTAGTAAACTTGGTGAATTATGTTAAATTTGTGTATTTTTTTGCTTTTTTACTTTAGAAGACATAGAAGAACGGTTAAAAAAAATATCAATAACGGGTTTCAGTATAGTAGAACACGAATTGCATTTTATACCTTTACCATACTTAAGCTTATTAAAATATATATTATGTGATTATAATCAAAATGAAGATAATATACTATTAACTGTTTGCAAGAATTTTATGGAGAAATTTGAATTGTTTTTAAATGACAATAAATTTGATATGATGACACGTTTGACATTACCATTGTTTTATGTAACTTTATTAAAAATTGATGGAAGACCTCTTAAAGAGTTTGTATATTTTATTAGTACATAATAAAAATAATGTTTGAATATAAGATACTCATTAGTTAACAATACTATTGTAGATAAATATTTTCCACCACAAACATGTTTACTGAATTTTCCCACTGAAAATTAAATTAAAGAGTTATTCTAAACAAACAATTTTTCCTATTTATTATGTGGCTAAATATAGTTACATAACTATTTGTTTAACACTCAAATTGTAGTATAATAAAATTGCAATACCATAAAATATGAATTGCGAGTACTTAAATTACCGAAAGGCAATAAATTGTAATGGTTTCAATTAGTAAACTTTAGAATACCAAAAACAGATTTGTAATTTTAATAATAAATAAATGAATAAACATCAAAAAAAAAATGGTTATTTATGGTAGATATAGTAAAACACATTATGTTTTGTAGACTGTATGCCATGTGTAAAAATGTACGGTATACTGTATGCAACAAGAATCCCTGAAGTTTCTATAATTTTTCAGTATGAGAAAATAAAAATGATAAAATTTTATGTAACATAAACTTTGAAATTAAAATGTTTAATATTCCAACTAATGAGTATCTTATATTACAAATATCATCTTCTATATTTTTTTGTTAACTACTTAATATATATTTATTTTTTTTGCAGTTTTATGTTTAATAAAAAACTTGTTTCATTTATTAATGAGATGTGCATAAATATGTATTTTTCTCTTGTTAATCGTAATGAAAAATCTACCATAGTATCTGAAAATAGTGAGTATTTTATTTTAATAAAAAATTATTAGTTTAATATATTAATATTTAATAATTTTCAAAATTCAGTAGGAGATGAGTACCAGTGTATAAATATTTGTAGTAAATGCTGTTTCCTATTAACTGCTGTTTGTGGAATGCACAGTGATCCATTATTACCTAATAAACATCTTTTAAAAGAGTAAGCATAATCATAGTAGTATAGCATTATACTAGTATATATTTATTCCTAACTTACCCCATGATAGAATAATATTATAACTTTAAATGCAGTTAAAAATGTATTATAGTTGTACTCTGGGCATATTTTAAATTTTCCCTGCTGCTTTAATTAATGAGTAGGTTTTAGTTAAAGAGGAACATCATCTGTTAAGAAATTCAGTTTTTTTTGTTTCTAAAAAAATAATAATTTATTTAAATAATATTACATGGATTTAATTTATACAAAGAATTTAAAATAAATCTGATTTATACATATAAAATAAAGTATATTTCTACTTTTTAAGGTTAAATGTTTGAAAACAGAGAATTTTGGAGTAAAAATGTAAATACTTTTTAATAACAAAAGATGAACATTTTTAAAATTCATTGAAATCAATACTCTACAGTATGTTGATTAATCATACATTTTATTATTAATTAATGATAGTTTACTTGGGTCTCTAATTTATTTGATTGTATATTGTAGATTATTGTATTTTTAAATAATCACTAATTAATAGCTTTTAAATCTAATGGAAATTAGTTAAATTTAGAATTTTTAATTTTATTAAATATTGTATAATTAAACAAGAATATATTTTTAATTATTAATTTAAGATTTCAACAAATTGTGTTATTTAATAAATTTTAAATAAACAAATTAGCATCGAAGTCAACAAAAAAGTTTAATCCTAAAACCTGTAAAAAGTTAGATTATATAACATCACTAATAATAAAGAACAATTTTTTATAAAAGTTCTAAAAAATATTTATACAAATTATAATGTTCTATTTTACATAACACTGTTTGTTGCTTCAATTTTTCTGTATAAATTTGTATTGTTGATTTATAAGTTTATAACTAAATGTGTGTTTGTTATTATCGAATGAATAATAATAATATTGAATGAACTTTTGATTTGTTCAATATTTTTAAAGTTTTTTTTCTTGAGATAATTACTGCTCTTGCTCTATGATTCCTTTGTTTTATATATTTTTAAAATTAAAGATACCATTTTATTATATAAGACTTACAACATTGATACAACATCGTGGTGTTATAAATTTTGACTAAAGTTTGAAGTTCATGATAATGTACATTTTTTTCATTGTCTCTACTAAATAATATCAATCAATTTACTAATTTTTCATTGAAATCATTCATAATTATAAATAATTTGCAAGCAAATATTTGTAACACCAACATTTTGTTTAAACAAATATTTATAAAATATCAGTCTTGGTTTTGTTTTTAAATTTTTATTTTTAGTTTTTAAAAATATAAAATAAAAAAATTATAGTACAAGACTTTAAAAATTATTACCAGAAAAAGAACTTAATTTCAAGTTCTGATCTTTGTGTTACATCTGTGTATTAAAAATACAGATACTATATCTGAGTGATTTTAAATAATTATTTAACACATGAGTCAATAGTAATTTGTATTATTATATTTATTTTTTCTAGTGATTTAACTTCTGCTAATAAATATGTATTAGAATCAGTATTAGAATTTGTATTAGATTCTAAAATAGCCACTAATCCATATGCATTGATTCAAGCATCAGAAGTTGAAGAAATCAGAGCTCATGTATGTAAAATTAATTAATATTTTACAAAAAATATTTATAAATTTAAGAAATTTGACTTCTCTTCATGTATTTATATTTTTTAATTATATATTTTATGTATATTAGGATCGCTTAGCAGCTTTTAATCGTATTACTAAAATGTTAAAAATTATTGATTTTGTAAAAAATTCATCTGATCACATTTCATTAAAACATACGTGTATGGTAAGTAAATGAACTACCTTTAGTATTTATTAAGTTATTGTATTATACATTTATTGTAAACAATTAATTTTAATATTCATTTAAGGTATTTGATGCATTTGTTTGTGGTATTTTGGGTGTTTATGAAACTCAAGTATTTGCACATCATACTATTATTCATTACTACTCCGCTATGAATACAGTCCCTAGATCGATTAAAAGACAAATTCAAAGTGCTGTTCTCAACATCTACAAACATTTTGAAATATATTTAAGATTAAATGTTGCAACATCGGAATTATTTTCTATTCAAATATGTATACTTTCATTACTCAATATAAATTTTACATCATCAGATTTTGAGTATTTATTGTCAAATAATTTACCCGAAATGTTAGTAAGCAATTGTAAGCTTCACGTTCCATTTATGTCAACTGATAGATATTCATTGGTAATAGTCAAAATGACTAGTAATATTTTGTATATTTTGGCTGTTTCTGGATGGTATGTAATTGTTTTTATTAATTTAGGTATCTAATATCCATATGTATAATAATATTAATATATTATGTTTTATAGTAATGAAAATTCTAGTTTTGAAAATATCAAAGCAGTTTTTGCCAACATACATAATCTTTTAGAAATATTAATGAATACTAGACAATGTTCTATTATGGAAAATACTTTTTCTGAGACTTCTAATAATATATTAATTGAAGGGTAAATTACATATTTTTAAACTGTGTTTCTCTTTAAACTTATTAATAAATAATGCTAATTTCAGGGTTAACTCTCAAGATTCATATCCAGTTCAAAGCTACATATGTGATTTATTATCTTTTGTTTTACAATGTACATCATTTTCTCCTATGTGCATTAGTTCTCATCAATGGATTGAAACTCTTTTACAACTGGCACAATGTTCTAATACCATGTTATTAGCGGAACATTTTCGTTGTAAACTCTTAATTTTGAGATTATTACGCCAAACATTGCCTTATTTACAATCATCTAATACTGGACGTAAAAAAGTATGTAATTAAATATTTTAAAAATAACTTACCTTTTAATTTATTTAACATCTTTTGAGATTATACTCTACTGTTTTCCTCCTATTAATTTTTGAATCCACTAATTTTACATTTTTTTCCTATTAGATCTTTTTTAATTATTGTTTTTATCATGGCATAATTTTTTAATTGTAATGATATGTTTGTTAACCTTACTACTAAGTCAAATATTTAGATTAGTATAATTTTAAAAACGTAAGTATCTTTTCAATTTTGAAATTTTACTTTCTAATATACTATCAATAACTTATGAAGTTAGAATATAAATTGAAATAAATAACAGATTAAGTGTCAAAAAATGAAAAATTGAGTTAAGCTCAGAATTGTGGTCCATGTGACAAGCCTAATAATACGTTATGTGCCTTGATTAATGCTAATAAGTAAACAATTATCGGATAGATAGTGTGTGTAATATTTACCAAGGTTTTATATTGAAATAATGTGCTAAGTGTGAATATATATACTCTATGAATTCTTTAAATTTTAAAATGTTTTTGGCTCGGAATTAAAAAAAGACAAGCAAATCTATAAATTGGAAGCTCCAGTACACATGCAAAGTCTTCAAAAAAAGTATGAAAATCAACACAATAAAAGAGATAATTTTACCTTCCCTAGTGTGTTTGATTAAATTGTTTGTTGAAAATAAAAACAATCTTTAACAAATGCTACCATTTCTAAAAGATGAAAATAAAGTTTTTCAAATAATTAATCAAATAACATTAATTATCAATTTGTATTTTAAATTTAATTTATCTATTAAAAGTTAAATTTTATACTGTTATTAAAAATATGTAAATGTTTATATATATATATATAGATATTAGGGTGTTAACCTAACCACAAGAGTAGGGAAGTTAATAAATTGCCTATCTATAACATTTCCCTAATCTGGTCTAAACTTTAAACTGTTATCTCATAAATGGTAAATATGATATATAATAATAATATAACCGTATGATATTATTATTATTATTATTTATATTTTAATATATTAATACTAATATCAATTAGTGCATATCAAAATTTCTAGAAAAAATATTCTCTATTCAAATCTGTGTTCAAAAGGTGGGGGTTCCTATTCGAAAATCAAAAGTATGTACTTATTTCATTTATATGAAGCTAAAATAGCTAAAAGCACAGCTAAAATATTAAAAATAGTTTTAAAATAAAGCTTAAATGATTCCATAATGATTAGAAAAACAAAAATCAAATGGACTAAAAAAATTGACTCTGAAAATATTGGTGGTTCATCATAAAATAAAACACCCTGTATATAGTGTGTCCCACCAGCGGATATTTCTAGTGCTGTTAATATTAAATTTTTTTTATTTTTTTCAATCAGTTTGTCTTTGAGAGGGACATCGATTTAGAGAAAAATTCAATTTTTATTTTCATCCCCTAAAGACAATAAAAAAATAACTTTATTTATTTACTTTAGGCAATTTTCAAAATAGTCATTTTGGAAAAAATATTATTCAACAAATTTTAATGTATTGCGCATTCATATCCAATGAATAATTTCTTAGTTTTAACCGTTTAATTAGGTGTAAAATCAATTAATATTCAATTAAATAACACATTATGCGATTAGGAATTACAACTGTGCTGGTAATTCTTTACCTTCTCTTGAATACTAATTGTTTTCACGCCTATTTTCTAGAAATTAAAACGGCTATAATAAAGAAACTATTTATCGGATACAAATGTATGATGCCTAACAATTTTTAGAATAATATTATTTACAAAATGGCTATTTTGAAAATTTTCTAAAGTGAATAAAAAAAAGTTATTTTTTTTTGTGTTTAGGGTTGAAAAATAAAAAAATTATATTTTTCCAAATTAATATCTCCTTCGAAGATAAACTGATTAAAAAACAAATTTCAAAAAAAATTAATATTAACAGCGGTAGAAAAATAGTGGGATACACTGTACAAAAATACACAATTTATTAATTTGTATGGGGTTAATTGAATTAATCAACATTTAAATAAGTTTCATTTTCATAATAGATATTCAAAATTATCAAAAATATTAAATTTGTATTCCTTTGGTGATTTAACACATTCTAACAATTTTCTGATGTGATTTTTTTGTTTTGGCAAGGGGAGAGAGAAATGATCCTTTTTTGATGGTAGTTGATAAGCATAAAGTATTTGAGACTTACATTTTTATCAACATTTATTTTTTACAATTTTCATCAGATTTTAAAAATATTGAATAACTAAAAATCTACTTTTTCCGCTAAGCCTATTATCGATTTCAAATTTTCATTTACATTAATTATCCATCATATTTTTCAAGCTATTGGTTATATGTGTAATAATTTAATTGTTGAGTATGATATTAATAAAAGTTATTTTTCTATTTACACTATATATACTTTATTTTTACTATTTAAAATATTTATTATTTATTAACAATATCTATTGTACTTGTTTAAATGTTTATTTGATATATTATTATTAATGTTATTTTAGATTGTAAAAACACTATTTGAACAATTGGCTACAAATATGTGGGTAATTCCACAACAAGTTGAAAATGTAAGTGCATATTTGAAACAAGAAGAATTAGATAAACAAATGGGTAACATATGTTTAAACAGTAAGTAAAAATTTATTCTAACAAAAATTATAAAAATATTGTTGAAATGTACATTTTTGTCTAGATTCAAATGATAATATAAATAATCATAATAGCGATATTGGTGAATTACCATTTTCATTTCATGAAGAAAAGAGTTTTAATTGTATAATAGAAAATGGTCATACAGCTATTCATACCCATGGTGGAAGAGCGTATGCTCTTGGAACTAGTCACTTTGAAATTGGTATATTGATAATTTTATTGGTATTAAAATTAATATTTTGTTGTTTCTTGATAAAAATCATTAATGGCGATCTGGCAATTATTTTTATTTTATATAGCGTAATCAAGTGTATTCAATAATTTTAATTCATTGGACAATGGGAATTCAAAATTAATTTTTCACTCTAAATAACATGTTTTTTAATAATTTCATGTTAACTTATAAAATGTTTATAGTATTTCTTGAACAAAAACTTTTTGTCGTTAATGATTTTTAGCAAAAAGTCAACAATTTATTATTTAATATTTTTATTCACTAACATTATAAAGTAGTATAGAGTATCAATGCAATATTAAGATATATTATCACTTTGTGAAATTATTTTTGCTGTCTGTTTATACTTTACTTCTTAGATCATATGATCTTAGTTCTACCTATTCACTCTAATCATCTGTGTAAACCTGATCATTTTACCGTTGATCATTATCCAATTATCGTATCATAGTGAAAACTATAGTAAAAGGTTAAAAAACAATAATATTTCGTGTAACTTATTTCTTTTTTTATGCCATATCTTGTTTTCCAATCAAATATATTAAGCAAATATGTAATACAATGCCATACCCAGGGATGACCCCCACTTTGAAAGTTTTTTCAAACAAAGAAAAATGAAAACTACTATATTCGATAAAAAAAAAAGTGAAGAGGCAGTGCTGTCTCTATCTTACAAATGTACATACCAAATTTGAATCCAGCTGAGACAACTTTGTGTTGTTGGTTTTAACATTAGTGTGAACTGACCTATTAAGCATAAAAAAAATTATGTATCCAACATTGGCAATTTCATTTTAAATTCTGAATGGAGCGAAGAAGCTTATGGTTTTACAAAGATTTATTATATTTTTTTTTTTGTGGATAACTTTTGTACCGACAATTTTAGTCTGATTTACAATGGAAGCCAACAATGTTTTTTTAGGGTGGTAATTTTTGATTTTCTCTGGAGTTTTCACAGTGAATGGGATAAACACGGGAAACCAGAAAAAACATAGGAAAAATGGTAAAATAATAATAATAACGGGTACAATATTAAATAAATATTATTAAAGAAATTATATAATATTTATGCAATTATTTTACTATAATATGGCATATATATTGTTGTTAAAGCAATACTATTAACTGAACGTACTATTCAGAATCTTTTTTTCATTAGCAATGGTTTATCGTTGCTTACAGATATACAAATATTAAATTTCCCCTCTACTAACTTCCCAACTTCTCATCTACAACAGTGGCTGTATCCACGTGTGAAGTTGTCCAGCTTTTTATTCATATATTTGTAAGGAATATGTAAGATTAATAATAATAATATTTCCCCCTCTTTTTTTTTTAATTCATAGAACACATATTTTATTCTTGGCTATTTATTATTACTGGTTTAAAAACTAATAATAAGAATAATTTGTTTTATATTAATTTCAATGAAATTATTATTTTGTGGTCTTGTTTATAATAAATATATATAAATAATAATATGTAATAATCAAAACTATAATATTTTTATTTGAAAAAAAAAAAAATTTAATAATGAAATAATTTTATTAGATTTCAAAATATTTCTATTTTTTGATAGTTTTGGTTTTAGGTCAAATATTAGATTCCAAGCGTAATGAGGGAGTTATTTGTTTTACCAAGATGTTTATTATTATTTTTTTTTTATTCTATTCTGTGGACACGTTTTTGGCAAACTTGGTAATCTCGTCCTGAACAAAGGTGATCATCATATCTCGGTGGATAATGTTGCTTTTGTCATACCAGTAAGCTACGACAATGGTACAGAGAGCGATGTTCTGGCAACGTTGTATAATCTCAATATTAAACTTTCTGGCACAATCCCACAGTTGAATTTCTTAAATCCATATTGGTTTAATTATCATTACGTACATGAAGCATTTGCTTATAAGGTCTAGTTCGGAATGTTTTCCAACCAGACAATATAGTTGTCGTATTTTCTTCTTAATTTGCAGTTTTTTCTGTCTAACGTGGTGCTTCCAGTTGAGCCTAGAGTCCAGGTGCATTCCTAGATATTTTTCTGACTCACACTGTGGGATGCTCTGTTGATCTAGTAATACCGGTTTATAGACGGTTTTACGCAAGGTGTAATTTACGTGCACCAATTTTTCACTGTTAATTTTAATCTTCCAATGTATAACCCTGAATTGACGTTCAGTCAGGTAGGATTCGAAAAGTGCGCACCAGGTGTGTGGCAGCTGTTCAGTAGTTTTATAAGTAATCTTTTGCCAAACTTTATCGAAAGCTTGTGCCACGTCAAGGAATACTCCGCAGCAATACTTTTTCTCTTCAAGCACTTTGCTTATTACGTTGGTGACGCGATGGTCAATTGTTGAATCTTTATTTCGAAATCCCAACTGATGATCCGGTAAAAGCTGTATTTCTTCTATAAACGGTTTTAAGCGTTTTAGAAGTAGTGTTTCGAATAATTTTGAGATGCTTGGAAGAAACGAAGTTGGTCTATATGAAGTTACTTGTTCTGGTGGTTTTCTTGGTTTAAGTACCGTGATCACTTGGGCTCGTTTCCATTGTTTAGGAACGTATTCCATACGTAGGATGGCATTGAATATGTGTGTTAGATGAATCATAGCTTTTTTAGATAACTCTTTCAGGATTTTTGGGTTAATCTGATCGTACTCGGGTGCCTTTTTTGGGTTGATATTCATATCAATTTCTTTTGCGATTTCAACTAGAGTAAAGTGCTTTATCTTATCACGTGTTTCATTTAGTGGTTGACACTGAGGTATGTCGAGTTCGGAAACCACTTTGTTTGGTTGAAATACACGTTCTAAATGACGTGCGTGCATATCTGCTTTATCTTGTTCACAGCGTACCCATGATCCATCTTCCATTCGGATAGGTGGTACATAGGCTCTAGGACTCTTCATGCGTTTTGTAGCCTCCCATAATGAATAATCAGTGTTATTCGTTGCAAAAAGTTCACTTAAGTATGATTTGAACGTTTCGTTTTTTACTTTTTTAATTTTGTCATGTAAATGCTTACTAGTGCGATTCCAGACTGTTTTATCCGAAGAATCTCTCGTTCGGTGCCGTTTTTTCCGTGCCGTTCGTTTGTTTTTTACTAGTTCCCTAACTTCCATTGGGTAGATAATCTCACGATTATCACCTGTTGGTGTTATGAGTGTTGCCGCTTTCGCCGGTTTTACGATGTTATTAGTCAGTTGTTCAACAGTACTATCAATTTCAATAAGTGTTTTTAGTCTTACTGTGAGGGTTAAGGTCTCGTCTAGATACGTTCTAAACAGATCCCAATCTGTTTTCTTGTTGATTAGCAACATCTTTCGTTGTTTATGTATAACATTAGAACTTAACGTGAGAAGCACTGGTATGTGATCTGACGTTAATTTTGTAAGTTCTAATATTTCGATATAATTAGAAGATATACCTTTCATAATAAAGAAGTCAAGTAAGTCAGGAATCTTGTTCGGATTAGGGGGCCAATACGTTGGCTTGTAGTGATGATTTCAGCATTGTTGTTGTTTGCAACTTTTAACAAGGCTCGTCCTTTTGGGGTGATCAGCCTCGATTCCCAGTGAGTATGCTTGGCATTATAATCACCTCCAACAATAAATCTAAAACCCAACGTATAGAAAAATTTAGCGAACTTAAGTTCATTTGCACCTTCTTACGGTGGGCAATAAATTGCAGCAACGGTGAGATCGTTATTCCCGTCATTAACGCTGACGCTTGTCGTTTGTATACGAGGGCTAATCAAAAAGTATCAAGACTGGTAGTATCATTCGGAAAAGGAGCATCGAAGAGCAGTAGGATTGGTATCACTTGCTTCTATGACTTTTTCTGAGTACATTTGTTTTTATTGCTTCTCTATAAAATTCTTCGGTTTGATTTCACTGATATTTTTATAAAATATATTTTTCGAGTTTGGCGGTTTCGTAATAAATCTAAAAGAAGAGTAACTTGACAGATTTGTAGATTTTAGAAAATTTGTCTGCATTTTTTTCCAGNTTCAGAGGGATGCAACATTTCATGGTTTTTGCCATTAAATATCAATTGAAAAACTGAAAATGTGCCCTCGAGTGGCAGCGAGTTCCGCTTCTTTTGGATTCATTACGAAATCGCCAAACGTGAAAAACAAATTTTAGAAAAATATCGTCAAATCAAAATGAAGAAGTTTATAGAGATTTTATACGAATAGATGTGCTCAGTATAAGTCATAGAAGCTAGGTTTACAAATCGTTTTGCTCTTCAACGCTCGGTTTCCGAGTAATATTATCAGTCTCGATACTTTTTGATTAGCCCTCGTATGATTTACAGAGTATTTTTCGAGTTCATAGTGCTGTATGGATTCTTTTATTATTACAGCAGTACCACCCCGAGCTCTACCACTAGGATGAATTGTCGTATACCTTCTGTAATTCCTTATCTTAAAAAACGTTGTGAAGTGAATTTCCGAAAAAAGGATTATGTCAATGTTTTTACTGTGTAAAAAGACTTCAAGTTCTTGTCTGCGCTGTACTTACCCATTGGCGTTTCATGCAATGATCCGCAGTATACTGTTCAATTCTTTATTTTCTGCGAGGTATTTTTGGAATTGTGTGGTTTATTTCCAGTTTTCCCATTATTGCTGTGATATTTGCTAGTATCTGCGTTACGTTGGTTAACGCGACTAGAATATCATTAAGAGTAATCGATTCTTCGTTTCCCTTTGGTTGAGATGTTTTTGGATTGACTTTTGAAGTGCTAGCCATCTGCGCGTATGAAACATTTGCTGTGACAGGTTTCTGTTGTATTCTTTGCACAGCAGAGACTTGTTTTGGGTGTGCTCTTTCTATTGCATTCTTGTAAGCTGAGAAACCCTTCCAGCTGTGTGATTTTTAACACAGTTTGCACATTTTGCTTTTATCTTTTTAGATTTTGAACAATCTTCGGTTCTGTGATCTTTAAAACTTTTCACGCATACAGCCGATTTATGACAGTAATTTTGTGTGTGTCCGAGAGCTTGGCAGTTCTTACACTACGGTACTTCTTGTTTTTTTACGTGGTGGTTCTATTTTTATTACTTGATGACATAGTAGTTTTATGTTGTAAATGTCTTTATTATTCTCCCGTAGTTTTAAATCTACAAAGAATAATGGTAGCCTTATGCTCGTATATCCACTTGCTGTTTTTGTTTTAGGATCAGATTTTTTCTTGATCTATATATTGGTTATTTTGCTTACTTCGTGGCCTTGGTCATACAGTTCATTGGTAATTATTCCCTTATTGGAATCATGATTTATACCTCGTAATACTACTCGAAATAGTTTTTCACTTTTTAATTAGTACCGATGGTATTCAACTTTGTTTTCTTCTAATATTTTTATTGTATTTCTGAATTGACTTTCGTTAGTTGTTAAGATTCTCGTCTCGTCATTTGATAGGACTTTGAATTGTTGTTCGTTTCTTACCGGTTCTTCTTACGTTAATAATTGTTTTAATTTATCAAATTGTTTAACACCTTTGATAGTTATTGATGGGGGTTTATATATTTTTTGAGTATTATCATTAGTCGAAGTTTTGTTACTATTTTGCTTAACTTTTGAAATTACGTTAACATCTTTTGAAACCTATATGTTAGAAATAGGGGTCGTTTTTTCTAAGTTGTTATCTATTTTTATACTTAATTGTGACGATTTAGCTGCCAGTACCAATTTACTAATTTTTGACCTGCTTGTAATTCTGCTACTTGGCGGCGGAGTTGTTCGTTGGCGTGTTTTGATTAGGTTTAAGTATTTTGCATTTCTGCATAAGTCGGCAGATCTGGTTGCATAGGTCCGTCCATGGCTGTGCGCGTCACGTGACGGTGGGAACCACTGGTACGTCGTTGCACGAGCGTATGGCCTACTTAATATTATTATGTAGACACTTACCAATTTCCGATGAGCGTGGTAAGCATTTTGATGTTATTAAATTACTGAAAGAAAAAACAACGCGAATGACGGCACTTGAAAGAGAGAACATACTTGTTGCTCGTTCAGTAAACAAATCGCGACTTATTCTTACAATATCATCGCCAAAACTTTTGAGCTTTTAAAGAGTTTTAATTTGTTGAGTTTTTTTTGCTGTAATTCCGTTATAAATACACGTAGATTCTTAAAACTTGGAAATAATACTTATATTGGACTTCCTAGACGTAGTAAAATTTCCAAAATCATCGGACTACTTTTTTTGAATAAGCCTTTTGAAATCTAATTTAAATGAAAATTGTAAAAAAAATTACGACACTTCAAATTATGTATTACTGAACTGCTCTCGGAATCGTCTTTTGTCAAACAATGGTTTATTGTTGGTTATAGGTGTAAATTAAATAACCTTATTTATCTTACCTTCCCAACTTCTTACTTACAATAGTGGCTCCTCCCATCTCTAGTATCAACTCTTTTTCTATTTATAAGATTCTAAATTTTTTTTTAATTCTGTAATTTTTGACCATTAAATACCTAAACATTTTATTAATAATACTATTTATTTGTAGTGTATACTTTATTTACATATTGCTTATAACTTTATTTTTATAAAATGATTATAGAAAATGTATTATTGATCTTAAATAATTAAAATATATTTTATGCATCATGTATGTTAAACAAAATATAGACAATTTCAAATATTGTTTTATTATATAAAAAAAAAATAAAACTGATATGTCTATTTAATTTTTATGATATATTTTTTAATTTATAAAAACCTTTTTAATATTATTTTAGGTGTATATCAATGGAAATTTGTAATTTTAAAAGAACACATAGGCAATGAAGGTTCATGTATTGGTATATCAAGATATCCCATTAAAGATCAAAACTACAGGACCACTACAGATATGTGGCTATACCGAACCTATAAGTACATATTCTAGTTTTATAAAACTTTAATTTTTAATATACTTAAACATCAATATACATATAAAAATATGATTTAAAATATAAAATATTATTTCAGTGGTAATTTGTATCATGCTGGTCAGAAATCACTTGTACTTAAAACATTTACTCAAGGAGACTGTATTACAGCAATTTTTGATGCAGATTCAAGAACACTTAGTTTTGCTAAGAACAATGATTATCCAGTTTTAGCATTTCAAAATATAGATAACAAAACAAAACTTTATCCTTGTATATTGTGTTACAGTACTGCTGCTGGACAAAAAGTACAATTAATAAACTCTTATAGTAATCAGAAAGTTTTATTAATAATTATTTTATTACTTTAGATTAAAATTAGTGATTATAGAGCTGTACGAAATAAAAACACTGAGCTTGTTGCTGGAGAACCTTATCTAGCTCCCATGTTCACATGTATTACTGAAGATTATATTACATTAATTCGAATATTACATAATTCTGATCAGTGGTTAAATGAGGTAAATTAGTTACTATAAATATAACTAAATAAGGGTTTCAGAATTTCTTTATATACAGTTTAATTTTCCATAAAATACTTATTTTTTGAAAAAATAATTCCTGTCAAAACTTTTTGAAATTATGTATTAGAAAATGTTGCATTGCCTTTATTTTGTTGAAATTTTGTTTAGAGGGTGAAAAACCACTACACATTTTTGATATTAAAATAGCAACCTATATTGAAAATTTGATATATAGATGGAAGTTTAATTTATTTTTTATTTATTTAATTTTAGTGTTAAAATTTATAATTTCTGTTTATGAGGTATTTTACTTTAAAGTTTAGGTATGGGAGAGTAGTGTATCATAATTTGTGTTAAAAAACTGCTCCACTATTCTCTTACAACTTAAACTTTAAAGTGAAATATCTCGCAACAATGAAAATAAAAATAGTTAAGAAGTTGGCATCTTTAAGCAATGATAAACCTATTAAAGTTAAATTTAACATTGTTAACGAAAAAATGATTCTGAGGGGAGTTCGGTTGATAGTGTTGCTTTGTCAACAATATATATTATATTATATTATGGTAAAATAATGAAATATGCATTATTTTCCTTTTTGTTTTTCCTGTTTTTCCTATTTATTGGGAAAACTCCTGGGAAAAATGATCTCCCTAAAGTACCTCTCTAGTCAAATTTCTTTTTTAAAAAAGTTCTATTATTGTAAACAGAAGCAAAATTCTTGGTAAAAAAGTTGTCTACAGAAAAAAATTAATTAAAATCATTGTAAAACCAATACATTCCTCGATCCACTCAGAATCTAAAGTTCAACAACAAAATGTATTTAAATTAAAATACATCTGTTTATGAAATTGTATGTATAAGTTGTGTTATTTGAAAATCAAAGGGAATAGTAATTTTTCACCTCAAAATATAAGGTTGAACAAAATAAGAACAAGGTAACATTTTAGAATATATAATTACAAAAATTTTTTGGATGGTAATTTCTTTAAAGAATAAGTATTTCATTGACAATTTAACTATAATATAAAATTATGAAAACCCTGAACTTATTTTTATTTTTATTATTAACATATTTTTTTTTAATTGAAAATATGTTTCTAATTGAATTATTCTACTCAAATTTGGTAATTAGTATTTAAATTTGAAGCTTTTTAATTGACTCCAAGTAACTTAATTTAAGTTCTGTGTGACATGGTTTGTTTTCATTCATTAGTTTGTCTAATTTATTAGATAAAGAGTTAAGATAGAGAGAGAGTATAATATACAATTGTAATAATCCCCCCCCCCTTCTTACGAAGTATAATTTATTTAGTATAGTTTATGTTTTATTAATTAAAATATATCATAAATCAATAGGTGAATGCATGTTTGATAGAACAACTTTCGTTTTTAAAAGAAGTTCTTCCTGATGTAAATTTCAAAGAACGAATATTAGAAATATCTGGTTCTATATACAAAGAACCAATCTGTGAAAATATTGAAGAAATTGATGTAAATTTACTTTGTGAAAAAGTATGGCCTGCATTAGCTGTAATTGGAGGTCTTGATCGAGGTCTAAGAGTTGATGGAAAATGTTATTACTCAGACCAAAAATCATTTGGAACCATATTGGGAACTTTAAAAAAAGGTTTTACCACAGCAAAAGTAATGTGGGAGGATACTGATTTTGTCAGGTTATATATTTTTAAAATTTTTTTTTTATTATAATGTCTAAGTAGAGCAGATTATTATGTATACTACTAAACCTATAAATATATAAGGCTTGATTCAAAATGCATGTTACAGCTATTTTATCATGTAAATATTCAAAAGAATAAAAAATATATAATACAATAGTTGTTCGTTATAAACATCTAAATAATTTGTAATTTTTTTTTTACTGGTTTCTTTTTCTGGGAAGAGGGGGAATGTCAACTATTGAAATTCAAATGAAAATCTGTATTCAAAAGTTGACCCACAACCCCCCCTCCCCCCCCCCCAAAAAAAAAAAAGAAAAACAGTTAAAAAAAATTACAATTTTTTTTCAAATGATATTATTGCAATAATATTATTTAAATATTAAATAATAAATTAAATGTTTATTTATTTATTATAGTGATACATTATTTCAAGCGTTATTGCCCTGTAATAATATAAAATTTAATCCTTGTCGGTTGGAACCATTGCCACCACTACTATTATATTCAATTGGACGCTTGAGTGGCATTACAAATGAAGTATGATAGAAATTCAATAAATTTCATTCTTAATTATTTTAAATTAATATAATTTTAGTTACCGGTTCTGAATAGTACTCAAATAAATAAAAAATCCGACTGTCACGAAGAATGTACTACTAAATCATTGGATGTTTTATCTAGCCAAATGGTTATGAATATTATGGATCAAATATCAGAAATCAACATCGATCCATCATCAAGTAATAATCAAAATTTAGGAGTAAACATTACAGTCAAGTATGTATGAATTGATTTTTTCCATGTTTTAATTCTATTATATTTAATAATATAATTTTTAGGGACACTTATAGTGTTGCTCTAGCTCACGAAACCAAGCTTTTCAAAGTGTGTGCATTACAGTCCAATGCATTAAAATCTCTAGAAGTTATTATGACTAGCTCAGTGTGTATTGACGTATTAGTTAATCTAAAATCTTCAAAGTCAAAACAGTCAAATGATGCTAATAAAAATTCAGTGATAAGTGATACCAAAAGAAACCGTAATAATGTAAAGGATTATAATAGTATGAATGAAATTTTGATATTTCTTTTCAAGTAAGTAATATCTTGTTTAAATTTTACATTTTAATATATATATTGTATAATATGTTTCTGGCATAAGAACATTTTGGTATTATATATTATAATTTGTAATTATTTAGTTTTTAAAATACCTAAAATATTTAAAGAAAATATAATTGTTTTCTAGTTATTATATGTGTAACGGGTCCAACATAGGAATATAACTTTAATGAGAAAATGAATAAATAAATTGAAACTCCAACTCAAGTTTACAAATTATTAATATTTCACTCAAAAATATTACAAGTCCAATAAATAATTCTTCACAGTTAAACTATGTCTAGTAATACAATTCAAAACATCAAAAATATTCTAAGTCCAAATAATTCACAAATAAAGTCCAAATAACAAATATTAGAGTGACAAAAAAATAACTCGAATTTGATTGTGATGGACTCATCTGTTTATATGATGATTTAGATGGAGTTATATATGCTAATTCCGTGCCCCCGTAACCCGTTGTTCATAGTGGCTGAAATCTATATTTTGTTGCTGCTGTTGGATTCTGGTGACAGCCATAATCAATAATTATACATGTTATTTTAATATACATATATTATAATTTAGGTCTGCTCATATATTAATTTTTTTTGCACGTATTAAAATTAGAATACGGCCGGTGTGGGTCTGTGTGCTATAACTATATTTCGGTACTGTACATTTTGCAGGGCTACTGCGTCAGGTGGTTATTTGGTTTTGTGTGTAGTGACTATTACTGTATACAGCTCACATGTGCCCCTTGCAGGTGGCACATGTGAGCACGTTATATGTGTATTGTATCTTTGGTCACAAGAAAGGTCTTGAGTCAAATTTTTTTTTTTTCTAAATTGTATTGCCATTTAATTTAGGGTTCTGTATTGTTTATAATTGTTTCATATAGTTTCAATAAAAAAAAAATAAGGTTCTGCAACTATATGTTAATATAAATATCATTTATATTATTGTGATATTGTGATATTACAGATATATCGATATCGCAAAATTTTAGTTTTTCATAAACAAATATGAACTAATAATATTAGTATCACTACATGATATCTGTACTATATGGTTATTCAAATAAATAAAACAAAATCTAAATAATAAGTTATGTTACACTATTATACATTTTTGAACCTAATTTAATTTTTTTACTTTGTTTAAAATCATTAAGGGGATTGGGAATCAGTGATTTTCTGTCTTTGTCTTACACACATGCAACACAGGAATTTAGAATTTTTCTATTTCCACTGTATCAATTAGTCTAGTTGAATAATTCAAATTTTGAAAACATTTGAATTTGTCATCATATCTAATTGAAATCGACTTTCTCACTTTTTAATTTATCCCCCTAAATTCTAAAAAGAACAATACCAAAAAAAAAAAAAAATAATAATAATTAAAAAAGTCGAAGATTTTTTTACTTTTGGAAAAATTAAAATCAAATAAGTAGGAAAGTCTAAAGTAAGTCTAAAATAGACTTAACGACAAATTCAAATCAAAGATATACAAAGATAGAAAATTACAGCTTCCGATAATTATTATTATGATTTATATTTTTAGTGTAAAAAATAAAAATAACACTATAAGCTATAAACTAATTTTCATAATATGTTTTATGTTATAGATGTGCTTTTGAGAAAAGTTTATATTCTAAATATTTGGTTATTGAAGCTGATGTAATTGAATGTGAAAGAGTATTATCTATACTTTATAACAATTATCTCAAAGAATGTGCTGATAATAAATATAAAATTCCAGATTTGCAAAATCGTTTAAAAACTTTAATAAGTTTTCAAGAAAGTACTAATGTGAAACGAAGAGAATCTGTAAATAAATATTAAAAATTCATATTAACCAATAGAATTAAAATTGATGTTAACAATAATTTTTAGATTTCTGGGGAAACATCTAGAACTACTGATGATGCTCCTAGACGAATTGTAAGATCCCGTCGCAATATGTTACATCGATCAAATACCATATATATGTGCCATAGCAATAGTAATACAAATAGTGTTTTTCCACATGAAAATAGTGAACAAATTCCTCCAATAGCTACTCCTCTGATTGAAATGGGGTTTTCTGTTAGATTAGTTCAAAGAGCTATTAATGCTTTAGGTATGTATTCAAATTTGTTAATTACATATCTTAATATTTTTTTCAAATGGAGTGATAGTGTTTTTTCGTCCTAGGTAATACTTGGGAAACAATGCCTCGAAATGTAGCTATAAACAGTTTAGCTACTTGGATGATAGAACATCCATGCATACAGGAAACTAATTTTGAAAGTTCTGACAACAGTAATCTAGAAGGCGCAGTATGTTACATACAATTTAACTAATAAAATTATTATATTTTAATTTAAAAAACGTATTTTAGACATCAGTCATTCCAGAAGCTAGAACAACCCGAAACACTTTTTTTGGTTCTCATTTAGAACATCCTCTTGATGATAGTCCATTAGATTTAGCTCCTCGAAGATTAATAGCTCCTAGAAGACGTCTTAGAGAATTTGCTGCTGAACATTATAGAACTCAAGAATTACAAGCTAACAATGATTTTACTGAAGATTCTATTAATCGAGTAATGGCTAATGTAATGGCAAATCAACAGCAACCTGAATCACCTGCAGTAATTATATTTATTATTATTATTATTATTATTATTATTTTTTTTTTTTTTTGGAAAATTTTGTTTACCTATCTAATATTTTTAAAAAGACTTACTTATAACTATAATTATTACAGTAAATTACAATTATTGTAATATTTCAACCATGCTTCACTACTGTGACCATTACTGGTACACACTACGGTGTACCACTATTTTAAGAAAATTTGGGACAGTAGGATACATAGAGTAATTTTATTTATAACTGTGTAACAATAATTAATTATTACTTAAAAAAAAACCGATTATGAGCTTGTTGATTAAACATGTTTTGCCAAGTTGTTAAAAGTTGCATTAATTTGCGAATAAAAAAAAACAATTGTCTTTGTTTTTATGTTTCAAATTGTTTAACATTTCAATGAAGCCAAAAGAGCTTCATCCACATAACATTTACCCAAAATGTTATGATTTTTCAAGATTTTTATTAAAATTTGAACTTTAAATTCTTAAAAAAAAGAAAGAATAATGGGTCTATAAATTTGTATTGTGTTATAACAATAACTTATGAAGATTTTTTTTTTATCTTTCCTTTGAACATTTTTGAGAAGCTAAACAAATTTGATCACATAAAATCATAAATAAAATTTGGATTTTTGAAATGGGTATTAATGGGTTTTTCACATTTGTTGAAAAAATTGAAAACCTAACCTCTCTAAGGTACCTCCCCACACCGATTTCCTTTCAGAAAAGGTGCTACGCATTAAATAGCGGAGCTCGATCTCTGGTAGAAAAATTATCCATAAACACCTTTCTAAAACCATCAACTTCAGAGCTCCACTCATAATCTAAAACACACAACTATAACCATAACATCCCATGCTACATTCAGAATATAAAATATTTTCTAATAATAATTTAAAACGTAGTATAACTTATTAAAAAAATACAAACAAGTTATTTTTCTAATTTTATAATCCACATTTAAAAGCTATTTTATTAACCTAAACACCATTTTAAAATAGTTAACAATTAAATTTTGAAGATGTTTTATATTTCTTTTCAATTTTTTTACTGTACTGTCTATGTTTAGTAATCAATTTTCAATATTGTTTGATATAGCTTTTAAAATGTATTTACATTTACAAAGAGTATGTACCAAGACAAAAAAAACCATTATTCTAAAACAAATAATACCTTTACTCTCATTTATATGTTTGGAGATTGATTTAACATAAATTAAGTAGTTGTATATTGTTTACAATAAAATATTATTTTTATTAATTTGATATTTTATTTTAACTAATAATTTAGGAAACTCCCCCACGTATACGATCACCAGGTTTACCTGGTATACCAACTGCCTTATTTGATCCATTTGTGTCTCATATTGATGGTTTTTTGCCACAAATAAATCGCAATCCTGATTTTAGTCATGTTGCTGAAACTATTGAAATTATTGATTCTGAAACAGAAAGTTCATCTACACCAGTTCCTGTAACTGTGTCCAGTAAGAGTAGTATACCATCATACATTTAAAATACTTAGCTATACTAATAATACATATTTTATTATTACAGATACTGGAGCTTCTTGTACACGTTGCCAAGAAAAGATTGGAAAATTAAAAATTCCTGAATTAATTAAACCAAAAAAATCTCTATTATCTGATTCAACTCTAGGTATTTTTACTTTTGTAATATAAATTCTAGAAATAAAATTGACCACAGTTAATGTTTAATAAAAAAACTTTGTTAAAATTGCATACAATCATATTATTTTTTTATTATCTATTTTATGGACAACCAATGAACCACAATAGTAATATTAAGCATAGTTGCTTAATATTATGTTGTATGTTTAGGTATTAATACTCTGTGTCAAATGACAAAGAATTTAGCTGGTCAAAGTATAGAAATTAACCATAAATTAATTTTAGTTATTTTATTGTCGTTGGCTACATTGTTAATTTATTAAAATTACCATTTTAATATAATTTGATTTATATAATTGATGAATAGGTAATTTTTAATATTTTGAAATTAGTTTCAATACTCCTATATCTAAAAAGTTCTAGTAAAAGTTAAAAATATTAAACTATACATTAGATTTATGAACATTATCATTTTCTTATAACAAAATATATGATGCCAATTGAATATACTTGACTCGGGTCAGAAGCCCAACTATTAGTTTTAATTGTATCTTCTTTTTGATTTTAGTTTCTAAATCAATGGACCATTATAACTACATCAATAAACCATTTGATATGAATTTGGTGCATGAACAGTTAAATTCATGTCATTTTATATCGGACAGTGTTGAAGATAATACTATGGACAAACTTGGTATGGAGACTTGTAAACCTGTTTCTATTAATGAGGGCAATTCTTCAAATTTGTTCCAACATTCTGCCATATTTAAATCATTATCTTTGGAAGCAGTTCTAATGACATCTTCAGAAGAACGAACAAAAGCTATTAGTAGAGTTTTTTATACTATATCACATTTATTATCTAGAAATATTGTCATAAAAATCCTAATGTCACTTACTAATTGGACACTTGAAGAGCAAACTGAAGAAAAATTTGTATGGAAACTAGATGAGCTTGGTTTTACAAATGTATCCAAAATAGTGCAATTTATAAGGCTTATACTTATTATGAATGTGTGGACTGAACGAGAGTTCAAAGAAAGTGAAATTGGGGCTAATTTATTAGAACAAAATGTACTAGAAGTCTTATCACGTACTATAGTGTCATTAGCTGAACATTATCAACCTGCATTTAATTTTGCAATCTCCATACCTGTTCAAGTTAGTATAATCAATGTATAAATAAATTTAGGAAATATAAATTATGGATATAGAATTATGGGTTTAATAAAATAATTCTTTGGATCTAATTTTGGTTTATTATTTAATAGTAAAATGTATAAAACTATTAATTTGTTTAAATATTTAGTTTTATAAATAATTTATGAATTTAGATTTTTAAAAACCTCTTAATTTATAGTTGTAATTCTTGATTTATAATACATTAATAAACAATATATATGTACATTTTTTTTAAGGATATTTTTACTATTGCAAGTGAAGGAAATGTCCATATGCTGCATAATTTAAAAGTTACTAAATTAATTGTAAATGAATTTGTAAAAAAACTTAATATATTTTCTAAGCATGGTAAGTTAAAAAAATACCAGCTTTAAAAATAAAATAAATAATATTCATTAAACTTTTCAGACGAATCTGGAATAATAAGTCCAAATAAAAATGACAATAATCCTTCTGTTAAAATGCTCATTAATGCATTGTCTGCTTGTTTATTGTCACATTTTGTTAGTAATGACATTAAACATTGGGCTTGTAAACAATTGGTAAGTTAATTTGATTTAGTCATTTAAGATGAAAAATTCAAATTCTTTGGATAATTCATATTTTAGAACTTCACCACATAGTGGTGCAGCTAAAAGAAAAATGGTTATTACAATTAATATTATAGGTATTTCTTATTTTTTAAATAAAATATAAACATCTCTACAGTGTATAATTAATTTAGTAAAGTTTACTGGTTGAACCCTATTACAATGTATTCCTCTTACTTTAATTTTATATTTACTTAACCCAAGTTTTCTGTTAATCTATTTCTCACCTTTTATATCTCCATAACCACCATCAAAGTATACATCAATAAGAATAATTAACTAAAAATATTAAAATTGAGTATTCCAATAAATATTAAACCATTCTGGAATTACGTAATACTCTAAAGAAAAGGGAAAATAATGTTTTAGACTATATGAAATATAACAATGTAACACCCACAAACATCTCTAATATGGTCAACTTAATTGCTGATTATTTTTTCAGTGTCGACAAATAAATCATTGAACGCTAATAATGCTTTTTCATTACCTTCTCTTGCTTCAAATAATAATCATATTAACCTAACCTAACCTAACCTAACCTAACGCTCTTAGTCTATTGATCCTAATGGAATTTTTGATTATTTAATAATCTAAATTCTTTAGATTCACAGTTAGGGACTGGACTTAATCATATATCATCAGTGTTTTTTAAAATATTGTAGTTCAGCGCTTTTAAAATCATTTCATTTTATTTTCAATAAACCTTTAAGTCTATGTTATTTTCCGGGTTTTTCAGAAAAATCTTTTGTCACTTTAATTCATAAGACAGAGGATAAACATAATGTTATTAATTTCAGACTGATTTCTAAAATGTCTATTATACCTAAAATATTTAAAGCTATAATAACTAAAAAATTGTCTATAATTGTTTTCCTGTAATTTGAACAATTACTGAAAACTAATATTATCATTCATATTTACTATATTTTATAAAAGGGTCTTAATAAAATAATAAAGTAAAAACAAAATTATTAAAATGGTTAATACTTGTAAATAAATATAGTAAATAAGTATGTAAATAAAAAATAAATAAAACTAATGAATAGAGTATTATAAGTGTATCATAATAGGGGTTTACCCATTTACTATGGATAATTAAGTATAAATTATCTGACTATCTGTCTGCCTACTTTAAAAATTCCAGATCTCTACACTTCATAGATTTTAACTTTACATTACATCCACACAAAAACAATTCCTTTTATTATATTAAATGATGATAATAAGTTTGATTTATATCCTAGAATATAAAAATAATCAGTTAAATTCTTTAACCACATTATTTTAAAAACTTAAATTGTAATTGATCCAAATTTTTTTTTAAATATTTATATAAATAGTTTAAAAATATTTTGTATAAAAGTAATTTAAAAAATATAAAAATATAAAATGTACAAAAATAAAAAATATACATTTATTATTCTAGTTTTAATAATAAAGTTTAGTATGGTTTAATATAGTTTAAATAACAAAATCTTAGAAGATAAAATTTTATAAATGATCATTAATACTTAATATTATTAGTTATTACAAGATTAATGACCAAGGTTTAATTTTTTACATTAGGTAAATATATTAGTTAATAAATCTTTACACAAAAAACAATTTGTTTTATCAAATGAATCTGATTTTCCTGGTGCTCTAAAACGATGTCCAATAGTAAAATTGGAGGGACATGATAACCGGATAAATCATGTAGTATGGCAACCACAAGTCAAATCACTTGCATCTTCGTATGTAATTTGTTTTTATAAAAATTGACATATTTATATTGATAATTAAAAATTATTATTGCATAGTGGATTTGATGGAACAATGCGATTATGGAATGCTGAATTAAGTTTAGAGACAACATTAGTGTTTTTTAAATCATCACAGATATATGGTAATGATTTAAACGGTGAATTAATATCAAAATTAGCATGGTCTCCGTCTGGATTATGTATTGCTGCAACAATGGAAGGAACTTTTAATATATACACAATTAAAAGACGTTTGTATTTTTATTTGAATTATATTATATTATTTTATTAATTAATATTAATGTTATTTAATTTATGTATAGACGTTTTTCAAGAAGATGAAACTTGTTTATCAACACATACTCAAGATGCTTGGATAACAGCTTTAGCTTGGTCTGGAGCAACAACCAAAAATGCCTATGATTTTTATTCACAGTATTTATTAGTTGGAGGTGTTGATGGTTCTGTGAACATTGCTATTGTTGATTCGCTTGATAAAATAACTCATGATAAACTTAATGATTTTTGTTGTCCTGGAGGTTTGTTTATTTTTTAATAACATATTACATACATTTATCTTATTTAATAAATTACATATATCTAAAATGAATGTTCAAATGACATTGGTAAATTAATTAAATAATTTTTATATAATGAAATAATACAATATTATACTATTTTATAATATAAGACACCATTTTAAAATATAATTTTTTTAAATATAGTTCCAGTTTCTCATATAGCATGGCATGATGATTTAGTTCCTTTTGCCATAGCATTTTCATCTGGTGCCATTACAATTGGTGAAATTCAAACAATTACCAAACCAGAAAAGTTAACAATTTGTCAAGTAAATCAATTTACACACAAAATATATTTTAAACTAATTTATAATACAATATTTTTAGAGTGCTATATCGACATTACAATGGTCTAAAGTTTTTGAAATTTTATCTGTAAGCAATGTAGAAGATACAACTGTTCGACTTTGGATTAAAAAACAAAATCATTGGGAAGTATTTCATGAATTAAATCATTTAAATGAGCCTACTTGTGTGGTTTGGTCCCCTGTTGTAGGTAATTACTAAAGTGACAATTAAAAACCTTTAGTATTGCATTCATTTTATGAACTATTCAATTTACAATATTTAATTTTTTTGTTTTTTATTATGTATATATTTATTTAGGTAATAAAGGTTTATTACTTTGTGTCGGCACTGTAGTTGGATCCATAAATGTTTGGTTAATTCCTACTCCATTTTCTAAATTAAAACCCAAAGTACTTTACTCATTCCAAGGACACTTGTTCAATTCAGTTACTTCAATGAGTATTCATGATAGTGGTTTAGTACTTGCCTCAGGTTGTAGTAAAGGAACCAGTGGTGTTGTAAATATTTGGTCACTGTTTGATGGTAGTTTATTAAATACACATACTGGTTCTGGTGGTGTAGATGATTTATGCTGGATGGAAGATCAACTTGGACTAGCTGTTTGTTTTGCTCGATCAAAGGTAATGACTAGTTTTTAATACTTTACAAACAAATTGTATTGATATTTATTTTAGGATGTAACAGTTATTCAATTTAGTGCTGATAATCTTATGCATAATCGTTTTGAATCAAATGCTCGAAGTGCTTTATACAGACGTGGACTTCATAATGTTCAGTATTTCCGCAAATTTGTAAACTCATTACCTGAATTATTACAAATGCAAATGAACCATGAGAAACACAAAGTGTTAATGGGTGATCGCCTTCTGTATAGTGATTATTTAAAAGGACTTATTGGTATTGCACTTGAGATTTGGCCTGATCAAACCTTTTGTTTTCCATTTGTGCCTCCGAATTGTAGTCATAGCATTGAGTTTTGTACGTAATTGTTTACTATAAATTTATATCTAATTATATAAATGGCAATAAAATATTTTTATAATAGATGAAGAATGGCAGTGGTTACAAAGATTAATTACAGTTTTGAATACAGCTAAAGCCTTAATAACAAGAAAACCTTTTCCTGATACTTTTATAAGTTACTTTTCGTCTGGTTTGAATGGTATAATATTTAAATTTTAAGTTATTATAATTATTGTATTTTTATTTCAAATTTTAATCAAAATATTAACTGCTTGTTTAGAAAATAATGTAGATCATTATCTATGGGCTGAAGCAATAAATAACAATAATTGGACTATAGAATCTGATCAACAAATTGTTCAATGGTTTAATACAGCTCCTTATGATTGGCAACCATATACTATATGTGATGCATATCTATGGGGCAATGGTCGAAATGGACAATTAGGAGATACCGGTATGTGTAATAGATAAGATTAGTTTTTAATAAAAAATATAATTAATAATTCCTAGTTTTTTTATTTTTTTAGCTGTTGGTCAATGTTTATGGTCACCAGTTAAAATTCTCAATTTTAAATTAGCTCAACGCATTATTTGTGGGCAAAACTGTACATTTGTTTTGACTAGTCAAGGAACAGTATTATCATGTGGTGAAGGAAATTATGGCCGCCTTGGTCATGGACATTCAGACAGTCTACCTAATCTTACCATAATAGCTGCCTTACAAGGATTTGTTATAACTCAATTAGCTACATCTATTGGTTCCGATGGACATAGTTTGGCTTTAACAGAAACAGGGGAAGTATTTTCTTGGGGCGATGGTGATTTTGGCAAACTAGGGCATGGTAACAATGAACGCCAAAGAAAACCAAAACTAATTGAATCTCTATATGATGTAGTAGTTATTCAAGTAGCTTGTGGGCATAAACATAGTGCTGTTTTATCTCAGGATGGTGAAGTATATGTATTTGGAAGTGCAGAACATGGTAAATTAGGCATAGATGGGCATACAAACAAAAAACGACCAATAAAAATCATTCATAAAGGCTTCTTAAATGTAAAACATATTGCATGTGGTCAAAATCATACTGTGTGCGTTGGGGAAAATGTTGTTTGGGCGTTTGGAGAAGGAGAAGGTGGTAAATTAGGAATTGGGAGTAAACAAGATAGCTACATCCCACAGGTAAGCAATTATTATAAAAAATTATTTAATTTTGTTTGTATAGATAGAAGTAGAAGTAATAATTAATTAATTTAAAATTGTTTTGATATTTCTTTAATAGCCAATAATTACACTAACTGGAAAAAATATCAAAAAAGCATACTGTGGAAATCGGTTTACGATGTTCCTTTCAGATGACGGTGAGCTTTATTCATGTGGATTAGACAATTTACAAGATACATCAGATGATTCATGTGCTGAAAAATTGTACCCTGAAAAAGTAAATAAATTATTTATTACTTAAACTATTTATTTAAATTAATTTGTATGCTTGTAGGTACCTGAATTCCAAAATCTAACTGTTACTGATGTAGCTACAGGTCCAGATCATGTAATAGTATTGACTTCTCGTGGTGATGTATGGGCTTGGGGTAATAACTGTGAAGGTATTCTTGGATTTGGCCACAATTCACCCATCCAAAATCCTTCAATAATTCCAAATTTATCAAACAAAAATATTAAACAAGTAAAATCAATAATATATTTTTTTTGAAAAAGTAAATTTTGGTTTTGATTTTTAATCAATAGTAAATATTTATTTTTAGATTTCAACTAGCCGAACTCATTGTGCTGCATGGACAGCAGAACCATTTTCTAGGGATTCTAATAACATTTCCCATGATGATTTACCTGAATCCATTCCTTATCAATATGGGTATTTACAAGAACATAAAATTGCATCAATTGCTGCTAGAATGAAATGTTTACAACAGTTCTCAAATATTTTATATTCATGTTGGCAAATGATACCATTTAGTAATAATGTAAGTCCAAGGATTTGAATTAGGAATTAATAATAAAGTAAAAATAATTTGTGTTGTAACTTATGTAGGACTTTGATTGGAGTAATATTAAACGTTGGCATTGGTTAGCAGATAAAAGGCTTAAATACTTATTTACAAATAAAGTGATTAAGTTACCATTAATGAAAGTCATTAGTCGTACAATGAATCAAGGTCAAAATTATGGTCCTCAAATAATTGTTAAACGTTTGAGTAGTAATGGTACTAATTTATCTATATTTGAACAAGTTGCCAAACAAATTGTTAATATTAATGCAGAACTACTCAGATTACCATCTAGAGCATGGAAGGTAATGTGATTTAAAATTTTTTTTGTTTTTTGTATTCAGTGCCTATAGGCTTGCATTGAAGGGGTTTAATTGCCCCGCCCCAAGCTTTAAAAAAGCTAATAAAAACGTCATTATAAACATTTAAAAAAGAAAAAAAGACATTCTAGGATAATGGAGACAGGTGAAGCCACTGTTTTTTAGATAATTTAATGTATACCTGTAAGCAATGATAAAGCATTGCTTACAATAAAACTATTCTGAGCAGAGTTCAATTGATAGTAATGCTTTTTTAATATTATATATGCCATATTATAGTAAAATAATTAAGTAGACCCTATATATTTTCTTTAATAATATTTGTTAATGTTGTACCAACATTTTCACAGTTTCCCTACTTTTTTCCTGGTTTTCACATGTTTTTTCTAGGTTCTTCATATTTGTTGGAAAATCAAAAAATGACCTCTTTAAAGTACCTCTCTAGCGAAATATTCTTTTAGAAACGTTGCTATCATTATAAGTTGGACCAAAATTGCTGGTTAGAAAAGTTGTACATAGGGAAAAAAAGGCTGTAATATATTTTAATTTATACAGGGAATAATTTATAAATCAGTAGTACTTTACTTTCAATTAAATCTCATGTTAATAATTATTTATAATAATCATATCCTTTTTTAACATTATTTGCTATAGGTAAAATTGGTAGGAGAAGGGGCAGATGATGCGGGAGGTGTGTTTGATGACACTATTGCTCAAATGATGGAAGAGCTTCAAACACAGACAGTAAAATTACTTATTTTGACCCCAAATGGACGAAATGAATCTGGTTATAATCAAGATCGATATTTATTTAATTCAAAAATGAATAGTTATAAACATATTCTACAATTTCAATTTCTTGGTACGTGTGTTATTATAATTGTATAAATCACTATGGTTTTTTTGATTACTTGATTCAATTTTCAGGCATGCTTTTTGGTGTTGCTATTAGAACTAAAAAACCCTTAGCTCTTCCTTTATCACCCCTTATTTGGAAAATGATTATTGGAGAACCATTAAACATATCTGATTTAGAAGAAAATGATACTTACTATGCACAAAACCTGACAAGTATACAAAATATACATCAAACTGGAGTAACAGAAGATAATTTTGCAGAAGTAATTTGAATTTAACAAGTTAGACTTTATATTTCATTTATATATTTATACATTTTGATAGGTACTTCCATTTTTATACATGACTGGTTCTGATTGGACAGACAGCATTGTACCTTTAATTCCAAATGGTCATTATGTACCAGTTACATACTCCAATAGATTAAAATTTTGTGAATTAGCATTAAAACAAAGATTTCATGAAATGGATGAACAAATATATGCCGTGCGAAGGGGTCTTGCTTCATTAGTACCTTTCCCATTACTTACGTTCCAAACTGCAGAAAATTTAGAGCGTATGATTTGTGGATTACCTAATATTTCCATACCAATATTGAAAACAATTGTTAGGTAAAATCATATACTTAATGTATTAACTGTTTAGAGTTTGCTTTAAAATATAAATATAATATTTTTAGATATAGAGAAATGGATGAAAATTCTCAAATTGTTCAATGGTTATGGGATATTTTGAATGGCTTTTCAGATTCTGAAAAAGTGCTATTTTTACGATTTGTTTGTGGACGATCTCGTCTTCCATCTAATTTATCTGATTTCTCTCAACATTTTCAAGTAAAATATTTAATTTTTTTAAATTCTAATTTGATTATGGTTTATTAAATTGTGTATTAGTTCTAGTCATTAGGCATCTAACTATATGCATATGTATATGCAGTGTTGGGATGTAATGCGTTCCTTTTCAAATATAGGAACAAGGAACGGAAATGAGTTCCTATTTATATAGAATGTGAACGTATATTTCTGTTCTTTCTATTAAGAAAAAAAAATAAAACACTCATTTTTTTAATGATAATATTGTTTAGAAATTGTTTACTGTTTAGTGTTTGGTATCACTTTGTCAGTTACTAATTTAGTTATATATACCGTTAAATCATATACTAATATATGATAGTATAAAACTGTAATATAAACGGTATCTCGGTGATAATGGTTTAAAATGGTAACAAACTTGTTTGATAACGATAAACGTCAATTTACAAGTAATTTTCATTAGTATTTTCAAGTAGTATGTTTTTTCATTTTTCATTTTTTAAACTAGGAAACTAATTTTATTTGATTTATTAGAATTTTAAAAATGTAGATTCTAAGAAGTAAAAATAATTTCCAATTTTAGTTATCCTATCTTCCCAACTTTTCACCCACAACAATAGCTGCACCTATCTTTTTTATGAGTATGCAATATGCGTATTGAAAAAAAAAAAAAATGCTTAAAGGAACGAGTTTCTTTTTTGTAGTAGGAAAGGGAACATATTTTTTTTCCCAACATTGTATATGTTATGGATACAGTGTTTTACAGATGTATATGTTATTTAAATGTATACCTTTTAGTTTGCAATTGATTTAAACTTTTTAAATAATAGTGAACATTAATTAGTTTTAAACTAAATATTGTTATAAATCTAGAACACTAAATTCATCATATAACATTATTGTATGTTATAATTTTTAATCAATTTCATTTTTATGTATTTTATAGATTATTAAAGTTGAAGATAAAATAGATGGTTTACCTACAGCTCAAACATGTTTTTTCCAACTGCGATTAACAGATTACAGTAGCCGCGCAGTATTTGAAGAAAAACTCAAATACGCTATTAACAATTGTCGTACAATAGATATGGATAATTATATGTTGTTTAGAAATACTGATTTTGACTCTGATGATGATATAGATATGATTGTTGATAGTTAGATAGCCTTTAAAATATTATAAAGCCCTAGTAATTATGTACCTATTTTATTGCGTTTATAATAATACATTTTTTGCATATAATGTAGGTATTATTATTCATGTACATGTAAAAATATATTGTTTATTGTTATTAAAGTAGTCATAATTTAAATTATACTATTAATGATTTTGTATTTAAAATGTGTAAATTTGAAGAAATTGGGGCTATGATTAAGATAAGTCACACTGGAATCATTAAAAAAGAGATCATTAGTGCATTGTGGATTACTATATCATTCTCAACATAATTAAAATAATTTTTCATAATCATTAAAATTTAATAATTTTAATAGACTTGAGAAATACATAAAGATAATATACAGTGTTCATAACCTGTATACAGATATAAATTGTATTGTATTTATTATAGAAAAAGTTTTACCGCAACATGCTAATTTTTTTCAAAGAAAACACGACAGTAATTATGAACAATAATAAATTTCTTCAGACTACTTTTTAGATAGATTATAGTGATTTAGAGGTAACTTTTAAAAATTTGTGTTGTCATATTATTTATAAAAATAAAAACCTGATTAAATATAGTTTTACATTATTGAAATACTACTTCATAATCATGATGTAATGAGTCATTCAGCAATAAAGAAATTCTTGATCTGATGGGAATAATGTACTAATGAGCTATGCGTAATAAGCTGTTTTAATAATAATATCTTAGTTATAAATTATTTGGTTTTATACAATTTATAGATTTACCAATAGTAAAATGTATTTTTAAAATTATTTCATTTATTATTCTTTTGACTGAACTGATTGGATGGAAGATGAGAAAAAAACTAGGATCATCTCAAGTTAACAATTTTAAATTATAATCCCTCTCTAAGAAATATATTAAATAGACCATAAATGGTGATTGTTTTAGATTCTGAGTGGAACGAAGAAGCTTATGGTTTTACAAAGATATTTTTTTATTTTATTTTTTTTTCTGTGGACAACTTTTCTATCAGAAATTGCTCCGATTTTTAAGTGTAACACATTTTCTAAAAGAAAATCGGTGTGGGTAGGTACTTTAAACAAGTAATTTTTCAATTTTGCCAGGGAATTTCTTAACAAATATGAAAAACCGGGATAAAACATGGGCAAATCAGATCTATATTAAACAAATATTAAAGAAAATATACGTATAATGCCTATTTAATTATTATACCGTAATATGACATATATATTATTGAAAAAGCATACAATCAACTGAACTCTGCTCGGAATCGTTTTTTCATTAGAAATAGTTCATCGTTGCCTACAGATTTACATTAAATTCCTTTCTGTATCCTTCGTTTTCAACTCCCCACCTATAACAGAGGCTGCACCCGTCCCCCGCCCACCATGTTGTGATCAGTCTAATCATAGACGATAGGCCCATATTATATAATAAAGTTAATAGATCTATGGTGTATACATCTTAACTAGTAGTCAGTTGCACAAATTAAGATGTACCGATATCAATGGAAAAGTTTTAAAATGTTTTTCTGAGTCCGCCCGGTTCTCACAGTTTGGCACATAGAGTAAATAATATGTTTGGCATGACAGCGAGCGCTTTAAGGTAAAATTGGTATATAAAAATCAATTAAAAACCAGTTTAAACTTTAAACTGGAGGAGTAGGATATTAATTATTCTATAATAGTAATAACATAATTCTATAATAAATATTGATATGGTTTGTAAAGAGTACAATAGACTGTGATAGTGGCCATGCCAAATTAAAGTGAAATGGTTCGAGCTTCACTTATCACAATTTCGTTCGATATCCTGTAAATTTTAATTCGTGGTCAGTAGTGACAACCTCGTCGAATTTACTGTTATCACCGTTTATAATTTTTTTTACGGTTTGTTTTACAGTAAACATGTCTGTGGTTTTACATTGTATTATACATTTTTGCATTTTAAATTCGTATTCATAGAATTTAATTACTGATTAGTAAATTGTTAACTACATTTTGATTAGAATTAAATTGTCCTAGAAAAGTGTACAACAGTGCAGTTTACCAGATTATGTAAAATATCAAATTTGATACCTATAATGATTAAAGATTGGTATTTACTGTTCATGTATTAGTATGTTGTAGCTTAATGCTTACAGTTTTCTGTGCTTATAGATACCTGATTACAGATTGTGAGCTATTCTATTTTGTAATTTGTATGCAAATTATATTATAATTAAAATTTAAAAATGTTAATTAATTTAATCATATTACAATTTTGTATAAATATTGGTTTACATTTAAAATTTTCAGTTAAAAGTTCTTAAAACCTTTGATATATTTTCAATATTATTAAATTATGGCTGATTCAGGACAATTTAAAAAGGTAATGTATACTTATCGTTATAATTTGATTCTAAGTGTAATTCAATAAAATGTCTATAAATGTCCTGTATTAAATCAATTTAAGTTACATTGAGATTTTACTGTTTTTAAATCTAAGTATTACCTAATTAATATGAAGCAATTAACAATTTATATTTTTAAACTATAATCTTAAAACATTCCAAATGATAAGTGCTAGACATTTTTTTATTCTGGAAAATAATATGTCCTGTTAATCATTGTTAGAGCACTGGAATAGTATCTTTTAAACATTAGGTATCATTTTGAATATTCTATTATAAATAGCTACTTTTGTTAACAGTTAATTATGTGGGCTCAAATGATAAATATGTGCAATAATATTCAACAAATTAAATTTTACAATAAAATTATACCTAGGTACCTTTATTGAGGTTGATTAAAAAAATCATATCATATAATCAATGATTTATCGTGTTTTTATAATTTTTTAAAAAAAAATATGGAATTTATTTTCCTGTATTAACTTTTATTTTATATTTCTTTAATAAATTGTGTACCTAATAGAAGTTACTTAAATTTTGGTTTTATAGTATATAGCAGAACAAAAACTTAAAGCATTTTCTATTGGTGCAATGGGAAAAACACAACCTTCAAAAAAAGAATTAAGTGAACAAAAAAAAAAGGAAGAAGAACATGCTGCTGCCCAAGTACCTAATCATTAATTTTTAAATACTTATCTTCAACATTTGTATTAAAAGTAACTCATCTAATTATAGATTGTTGTTATTAAATTTTGTAGGCCTTTGAAGAGTTTGTAGCTACTTTTCAAAATGAAGGGAAGAAAACTAGCAAGGTTTGGGTAAAAGCGGGTACATATGATGCTGGGAAGAGACGTAAGCTAAAAGAAAATATTGATTTTTAAATTGATCTAAACACTTAACTACACTTTAGATGAAGATACCCGAGAAAAAGGTAAATTATACAAACCTCAAGCAAGAGGAAATGCAGATTCCTTGGATAAAGCTGATGACCTTACTCGCTTTATGGGTGAACGTAAAACTGAACGAATGCTCACAAAAAAAAAGAAAGAAGGGGAAAAAAAAAAGAGTAATCTAGAATTATTCAAAGAGGAACTTAAGATGTAATTTTTTTAATTATAAAATTTCAAACTTTTAAATAAAGTACTTAATAAAATGCATTAATCTATATTGATTATAAGGATTCAAGAAGAAAGAGAGGAAAGACATAAGTTTAAAGGAGTTTTACAAAAAACCATTGAAGATCCTGAAATTAAAAGTAATGAAAAAAAAGTTGAGACATTTTTATTTAATAATATAATATTTGTATTATTAAATCTATGTTTAGATTTAATTATGATTGAGCCTGATGAAATTAAAGGTTCATTTGATTCAGGAGATCCAAATACTACAAATCTATACTTAGGAAACCTTAATCCTAAAGTAATATATTCAATATGTTTAGTTAAATTATTTATTTATCTATAAATATTTTATAATTATAGATTACTGAAGCTCAGTTAATGGAAGTTTTTGGTAAGTATGGTCCACTGGCTAGTATAAAAATAATGTGGCCTAGATCTGATGAAGAAAAAGCCAGAGGACGTAACTGTGGTTTTGTTGCTTATATGAGTCGCAAAGATGGCGAAAGGGCACTAAAGTATTTAAATGGTATATTAATCATTATAATTTATTAGCTTTCATTTTAAATATTTTATACTATTTTTGAATGTTAAAATTATTTGATACATTTAAAACTTTTAGGAAAAGATGTCATGTCATATGAAATGAAAATGGGATGGGGGAAAAGTGTACCCATACCTCCTCACCCAATTTTCATCCCGCCTGCATTATTAGCTATAACACTACCGCCGCCTCTTTCTGGATTACCTTTTAATGCTCAGCCAATTTTACCACAAAAAGAAAAAAAGGTAACATTTTACAAAAAAATTAAATATAAAACCTTGTGTGTATAGTGGTAGTAATAATACTTTAGTTAAATTTTTTAACCCTAACACAATATTTAGTTTAGAATAAATTTATTTCTTAAACAAATACTAACTTACAAAGATTTTTTTTTTTGTCTTTCTGAAGATTGGTTTTTAATGTTTATATCCAATGATTTTTATGTTTTACGTTTTTGCCAAACATAAATGTATGGTGGTTCACATCAAAATCTATGAAAACACAGACATCGCGAAATTATAAGGGTTCCTTTTTTGTCATTTAGGCTACAAAACGATAACAATTTATATTCTTTAAAGTCAATTTCTATTGTTTATTCTTTTTACCAATCATTTTTGATTAAAAAGATCTAATATGTATCATATATTCTCATTCATACCCTTGTCTTATTCGAGAAAGTTAAAGTTTTAGCTAAAGTATACATTACTGACCCCCTAGTAAATTTTAGTTTTCTTTTTCACTGTTGAAGACAATGGCACAACATTATTATTTTAGATGTTACTGGTTGTATGGTTAATAGTGTGTATTCTTCGTGCAAAACACATTACGTTGCTATAAATTATGAATCACAAATTTAGTATTTTTTAATTTGTGTTTGATGGTGAAAAATGTATACTTAATCTCGTGTAACATAGTTTAAAATATTGGGTACCTACTTCCTAACACAAGTATCAGGTTTGGGCCCATAACCTTGTATGTTATTGATTAAATCAAGTGTTCATCACACTCATACCTGTAATTATTTACCTTACAATCAGCAACTTAAAAACAAAATTTTGAAATATGTAGAAGGTAGATAAAGTAAATTTGTTTTATAGTTATATAATGTATTATACTTCTAGCTAAGTTTTAAATAACTAAACATTTTTTTACTGCAGAATCATGGACGTTTACGACAAGAAAGTGGATATTTCGATAGGAGTCAACCATTGGAAAAGGTATTTCATATATTAATATGATTTTCTTGTCTGTGTTATATAATTTACTCGATCCGACTATTTCTTAAGTACTGCCCAAATATACAGCAGGCAGGCAGATTAAGGATTTTGAATTTTAAAATACATTAATAATTTGATATTGTCGGATCGAGATACTGTGTAACCTAAATATATACATATTGATAATGATCAATATAAAAAAAAATATATAAATAAAATTTTATTGTTTTGAAATATACCTAAATAAACAACAAACTTTATTTTATACCAATTGCTTTTTTGTGACAGATATTACCGCAGACTATCATTAAAGTTGTTATACCCACAGAAAGGTAACATTTTCATTTGTGTGATGTAAATTAATTTATAATATAAGGTATAAGTAAGATTAAAATTTCTCAGAAGATTTCCCTTATTATGCTATTGATGCCAGCCTGCTGAAGAAAAGAGAAGCATTGACAAAATAAAATTATAAATTAATGGTTTAATAACAATATTTTATACACATTTTTAGGAACTTGTTGATGCTTGTACATCATATGATAGAATTTGTAATTCGAGAAGGACCATTATTTGAAGCTATGATAATGAACAAAGAGTTAAACAACCCAATGTTTCAGTAAGTACTTTATACAAAATAGTACAGTTTAATCAATAATAAATGAAGGGTACAGGGAAAAAACCAGAAGTCACTTTTTTTCCAAAATGGTGCTATCGTTATCAAATAATTTGTGTTGGCATATTGTATCTTTTATGCAATTGAAATGGCGAAAAAACTAAATTAGTCAAAAGTAATGAATGCCAGAAGTTTAAGCCTACAGGAAAAAAAAACAGATTATCAGTTTATAACCAAGTAAGTGTTGGGTTAATACACAACTATGACCTTGTTTAATAATATAATATGACATTATGTTTTGGTCACTATATTTTAAAGCTTTACATTCTGAATTTTTTACTTTGTAAAAAAAAGTTATATTTTTTTAAAATTAAAAACACGTTTTTCTTAGTTTGAAAAAAAGTGACTTTTCTGACTTTTTTCCTGTACCCTTCAATAAGTTTTGTTCAATATTTTCATAAATTTTCTTATTTAATTATATTGGAAACACTAATTTGTTCTTACTTATCAATATATTTTTTTAATCAATTTGTACATTAATGGTTAGTATTGCCTGTTTACACTTGCATAGTATAAACTTACAGCTGCACTTTTAATTCAGAAGCAAAAATAATTATTTAGCTATTTTTTTAAAATTTATTTTTATTTTGTAATAAGTGATTTTATTTTATCAGGTTTTTGTTTGACAACTGTTCACCAACTCACCTGTACTATAGATGGAAGTTATTTTCAATGTTACAAGGTGATACTCCTAAAGAATGGCGTACTGATGAGTTTCGTATGTTTAAGGGTGGATCAATATGGAGACCACCACCCATGAATCCATATACTATTGGTATGCCTGAAGAACTGGTTCCAGAAGAAGATTTATTAACAAGAACAAAAGGTACATTAAGCGTATCACAACGAGAAAGATTTGAAGAGCTTATAAGGAACATGACTCCAGAGCGATTAAAGGTGGCTGAAGTCATGGTATTTTGTGTAGAACATAGCGATGCGGTTGAAGAAATATGTGATTGTATTCAAGAATCATTATCTAATTCTACCACTGCATTACATAAAAAAGTAAAATTTATTATTCATTGGTATTTATTTTATTTTTATATACATTTCATTAATATACATTTATATTTTTTAAAAAATGTCATTTTAGATTGCCAGACTTTATTTGATATCAGATGTCTTACATAATTGTGGTTTAAAGGTTATAAATGCAACACAGTTTAGAAGAGGGTAAATTATTAACATTTTTTTATTTGTTTTTATGTGAACAATATTAAATAATGAGTATTAATTTTATAACAGGTTTGAAACAAGATTGATTTCTATTATGGAAGAAGCTCTTAAAACTTACAAAAGTTTAGATTCTCAAAGTCAAGCTGATGGTTTTAAACATCGTATATTACAAATTTTTCGAGCCTGGGAAGAGTGGGATATTTATCCAAAAGAATTTTTGTTTAGATGTCAAAACACTTTTCTTGGTCTTTCTACAAATGAAGTATTTCTAGATAAATTTTTTATACGCAATTTTATTATAAACTTAATTCTAATTTGTAGATACCTCAAGAACTAGCTTTGTCTCGTGAAGATTCACATTACAACTCAAATGAAAAACCTCTTGATGATTCTGAAAATATAGATGGTGCTCCATTATCAGATACTGATAATCCAGATAATGAGGATTTAGATGGTATACCATTGGATGGTGCTACATTGTTAAAACATGCATATGATGATACACCTCCTGGCGATGCTGACATTGATGGTGTTCCTTGTTAGTTGTTCTTATTTAAATTAATAGTTTCACCATTATATTATATAAGTAGTCCAATGTACACAAAGTTATTCAAATTTCACTGACAAATTGTACATAAAATAATTATTTTAAAAAAAATTGACAAAAAACTTTTTGTAATCATATATTCCTTATTTTAAGAGGTAAAATGATTACCGCATTTTTGTGTTGAAATTATTGATTTCCGTCAACCCATAACAATTTATTCTATTTTTAAGTTTGATTTTAAATGTCATTTTTTTAATAGTATATAATAAGTATTTCATGAAAAATTTGACTGAAATTTAAATAACCCATAGTTTAATTGTAACATAGAATATATCAAACTAAACTTACTATTTTTTTTTTTTTATAACTTATAGTAATTTAAAAATATTTTGTTAATAATTTTATCAAATGTGTATGTCTTATTTAGTATTAGATGAAGATATAGGCAGTGTGCCATTAACAGGAGATCCATCAGGAAAAAATATTAAAGCAGCTGCATTTGTTCCATCTAGATGGGAAACTGTAGATCCTCACGAAGCTGAAGAACAAGCAATGACTACCAGTAAATGGGAGATGTTAGAAAGAGAAAATAAAAATTACAATACTGAGTCCATAGATCAAGATTCACAAGATGATGATTTAAATGAAACAAGGTAAATATTTAAATAATAATAATAGACAACTAGAAATGGATAGTGAAATGTATTGTTAACATTTTTGTTAAAAATATATTGGTTTTAATTTTATATGTATTTAATTTTCAGAGAAAATACAGATGACCGAAGAGCTAAATTAAGAGAGATTGAAGTAAAAGTTATGCAGTATCAAGATGAGTTAGAATCTGGCAAACGTGCATTGAAAGGTGGATGGAATATTTACCAACAAGTGGAACATTATAGAAGAAAACTTCTTAAAAAAGTGAACAAGTCTCCGGTAAATTTATTTATAGCTGCTAACTTTAATTAGGTATAATGATTTTTTTTTTTTTTTGAAGGAAAAAGAATTAAAATTGGAAAAAGATAAAAAAGAAAAAGACAAAATCACTAAAAGATTAAGTCCTGATGAAGATTTCCGAGATGGTAAAAAAAAGAAACGATCTAGAAGTCCTTCAAGTAGCCCTGCATATAGTAAATGGTCATCTCATAGTATAAGGTAAGATGGAATTAACTTAGTATATGTATACTTCAAATATCAAATACCAATTGTTACTTTTTCAGAAGTGACAGCTCAAGTCCCCCATCAAGAAAAAGACCAAATTCACCTCAGCGTAGTAACAAAAAATCAAGAACATCACCTGTTGATTCTCCACATTCATCATCGAGAAGGAGAGAGCGTGAAGAAAGACATAATTATCGACATAAAAGATCACATTCACGTTCACCCCATCGACATCGTGCACGTACACCTCCAACACCACATACATGTCGGAAACATAAACATAAATATTGAATAATTAAATACAAATATTGTTCACATTCATTATTATTCATCATAGACCCTAGTATTTTCCTATATTTATAAATAATTAATTTCTAAAATTATTATTACATTTTAAATAGGTTATTAAAAACAAAACTACTTCCTTGCTAATTTCTAAAACATGATTTTTAAACTTAAGTCCAAATAACTATTGTAATTATAATTCTTGTGTAATATAATAATGAAATTAAGTTTGGCTGCGAATGTTAGTTTAGTATTTTTTTATTTGTTGAACTTCCAATAAACAACTATTACGGTATGGAAGAACAATCAGTGTTTAAAAGAGGTGGTTAATCCATCTGTGAAGTAGTAACAAAGGTCGCGATAGGTTGTGATAGGCAATTGATATGTCCACTACATGTTACTTCACACCATATCTATCAATTAAAAGTATCAAATAATTATGATAGAAAACACTATTTTCAAATCAGGCTATTGAGTGATAAATGTGATACATTATTATATTGCAAATACATAAATAATATATTATATTGTCAGGTGACAATTGATTTAAAATGCTTTTTAAATTAAATCCTATTAATACGAGTTTGACAACTATAACCCGGTATTTATTTACTCAACTATACACAAACAATATATTCATCTTTGGATTAGGTCATTCATTATAAATATAAATAAACAATAATAACTAAAGAGTACACATTTTCATTTTTAAACAAATTATGGCTAATGAATTAGTTCCTTCTATTTCTACAATTCTACCTCTACTAATCCACATACCTATGTATACTAGAATGAGGTCATTGACCTGATGGATAATATTGTTTGGGGAATCTGATTATTTGGTAATTTTGTAAACAATTTTTATCAATAAATATCATATTTTCAATTTTGATTAAAATTTATAAATAAACATCGTAGATAATAATTGATTATAATTTAAGCCTACATATTTATTTATAAATATTTGTCTGTTTTCCTCTAGATGTTGTCATTTGACCGATTTTTAACTCCAGATTGCAAATACTTCGAATAATTTTTGGTCATGCGCGTGCAATACATAGACCTTTATCTATACACATATGCGTCATGCAATCATGCCAAGTAATTTGCACAGTCTAGCATGTTTGCGTCAAATCTTAAACACGGGCTTATTTATCTTACATAATTTGGGTATGGCTTGTATACTATCTTAATATTCATGTTAAAAAACTAAATAACTAGATTGAATAATTTTCTTCTTGATTCATGATTACTTGCCACCATTTTCATCGTTATCCGATCCGTTAAGTTCAGCGAAACGTTACATGAACTTATTTTGTTAAAGTTGGCATAAGCTGTTTCTATATTTCTTCCATGGACCATGGTTACTCTCACGACTTATCATAAATCATAATGATACCTATACATAAAAATTGAATTTTAAAATAATATTAATAATTTATTTCATAAAATGTGTTAAATTATTAATTTTAACGTCTGACACGTAATAAAATGTACTAGTTTTAGTTGTGTATTATTACTCTATGGGTTGAATAAGAGTTAAAAAAAAGTGTTCTATTTAAAACAAATGGGCCAAAATTCTAGTCAATTCACGGAAGAAGAGTTAAATGACTATCAGGTAATTATAAAACTTATCTATTGATTTAATATTATTAAGATTTTGATATTTATAAGTCTACCTACCTAATAAAACAATCAAACTTTCTCTAGTTTCGTTTTGTTACTAATAATTTTTAATAAACTTGTAATATTATTAAACATTTCGGATATTATATGAATAATATGTGTATTTTATGGAAATAATTATTGTATACTTATTGTTTAAAATATTCGAAACATTTAAAATATTTAGGAGGTTAGTAAGTAAATAACAAATTGTAGATTTAATGTAGTTGTATTAATTTCTTTCGTAGGTATTTGTTTCTAAGTTATTTAGGTAACTTGATATTTAACGAAATGGATATCTATTTGGATATTTAATACTGTAGTTTTTAATAACTATCATTTAAATAATTAAGTAATTTATTATATTACTGCAATTATTCTCCAATGTTAAAAATGTATACCTATTTACTAATTAATAAAATACAAATACCTATTACTTATATTATTTTTTATTTCTGAAGGTTGATACCGTTTTGAACAATCGATAATATATTTTTATGTTCCATGCATTTTCATAATCGCAGTTGGCACTAGTGTAACAACACGTAACTCTGAGAAGAAAGCGACGGTGTTTTTTTCTCATTATATTATGCGTCTGTCTCCTTTTAACGCAAATAAACCGAACCGAATCGAAATAACGCGCGTTTATGAACAAAATGTTGACGATCTAGTTTAAAGAGTTGTAATCACATTATAATTTTAATTTGTCTTAATATGTTTTCGAGTGTTTTAATTAAATGGTGAAACTTGGCTTGTTGGTTCGTATGCCTCATGGTGTTAAATTTACTATAGCCAACAGGATGGGTGGCGGGCGGCATATGATGTAAACATCACTGCCCAACAAATATTTGACATTTGTGAGTACCATTTTTAACACGAATTCCACCGTCACCTTTTGATTAAATTAAATGTAAATACCGAAATTACGGATGAACGGCATCAGATTAAGCCTCTTCGGTGTTTTGTCATGGCATCAATATTCATTCGTGTAGATGTTAAACGACGAAAATTATTCATAATAATTATATTTTCGTCTATGAATACGTCTTCACAGGAGTCATCCATTTTGGCGGTTACTGTACAAAACGTTTGTTTGTACAACGAATCAGCCATGGACGAGAATCCACCATTAAAAAACGGAGATCCCTTAGAATTCTCCTCTGATGATATTCTTGGTGTTATGAAAAATATGGCAATCGGTAAAAATGGCATGATGTCTTATGACAATGAAACTGAACAAATGGAAATTGGCAATGGGGATACAGATGCAATGTTTAACATTGGTGACAATGATTTAAGTTCTTTTGAACGAGATCTTTTAGATAATGTAATTGGAATAGCTGAAGAAGAAGTAGTTACTCAATATGATGATACTCCTTCTGTAAAAGAAAATTCAAACAAATACATGAACAAAGGCAAAATGTTACAAGAACGACTTAAAAATGTAATATCAAAATTACTAAACATACAGCTAAAAACTATTGGCAAATGTTCTTCTCAAGAAATATATAATGTGTTACAGTCACAAAAAAATAGCGCCATTAAGAACATAAAATCAACATTGCTCAAAGTTCAAAAACGTCAATCTAATCCATTTTTGAAAAGTTTATTGTGCGATGAAGTTAAAGACGAAGAAAAAGTATTTGGAACTTTAGAGGCCCAAATAAAAATGCTAAATGAAGATTATGACTCTGAAGCAACAGCAAGTGATTCTGAAACTGATACTCTAGGTGAAACAAGTGAAGAAGATGTACAATCTTCTAATTGCCCCATAGAGAAAACAATTGCTTGGAAATGGCTTCATGAACGGGCAAGTATTGCATATCGAATAACATGGCTTGTTAATGTAATGTCTGATATAGAATTTAAAATAAATTTTTATAATGAAGCGGTAAATCGGTATTCTCCTCATCCATTTATACAAGATCAGGAAGAAGAATCTAGTTCTGGTAGAAGATGTTTTCCATATGAACCAAAAACTCAACGTAGAATGTTAATGCAGCCTCCATTGATAAATTTAGCTGCAGCTTTAAAAAAAGGGGACAAAGCAAAATTAAATCGTATTAATCCTTGTGATTGTTATGGCATTGACTCTTGCCCTACTTGTGTAAGTCTAAATCGGCATTCTACTAATGATTCTGGACATTGTTTGAGTGATACTTTTCATCCAGTTTTATCATATTCCAAAGATAATTCTTTAAGTGTTGCACTGTCCAATGTATTGGGAAAATCATCTTTTCATCAAAAACAAAAAACTAAATCTGCAATAAACACTGATTTTAACAAATATTTTGTAGATAAAACATCTGAACAAAGTCCTAATAATATTAGACAAATTCAACCTGTTAAGCTGCAAAATGCTTGGCCAACTCGTAATGATCCGATTACTAAATTCAATCGAAATCAAAGACAGTCAAGAAAAAGAAGACGAATTCGTTATAGCAGCAAACATAAAAGGAGTAGAATTGATGAAGATTATAAATGTAACAGTCGTAGAAGTAGTGAAAGTATTTGTGACGAAGATGATCTTGATGAAGTATATGAAGAAGACAACTATGACTCTGATCCAGATTATAGCCCTTGGTTTCCAAGAACAGGAGATAAAGCGTATAATGCAAAGCGAGAATATGATATTGACAACATTGTTATACCCTATAGTATTGCTGCTGCATCAAGGGTTGAAATGGTGAAATATAAAGAAATAGTGACACCTAAATGGAGGATCGTTGAAGAATTAGATATGGATCCAGTTAAATTTATTACACCAATTCCAGAACAAGAAGTTATTGAAGACCTCGATGATGGAAAACGCAGTGCTCATCATGATGCATGTGAAATGGAAGAACGGAAGAGATTCAGAACTATAAAAAAGCAAACTGAACGCACACACAAGAATAGTGGTCATTGTAGTAGTGGTGAGAATACATCAGAAGCAATGTCACCCTCACCATTATTTGAAAATCGATCTCCAATGCCTACTGTGGAAGAAGAACCAGATGCAGGGCCTAGTAATCAAGATTGGAATCAGTCAATAAAATAAATATAATTATTACATTATAAAAAATTAAATATAATTATTATATTATATAAAATTATTTATAATTAATAATATGAAATAAAACAATTTTAAATATAAATATATTTTTTTTTTTTAAACCAATATTGTATATATAAATTGTAAAAACCAAAGTTATACTATGCTATGAATTAGTTATACTTATAATTTTAGTTGTCATATTTAGGTATATTATTTTTTTATAATATCTAGAACTAAATGTAATATATATATTGTACCCATTCCTTGTATCATACAAGTTGTATAATAAAATATTAGTCTTAACCTAAACATTTATTTTTATTTTTAAAGTAGAGTATTTTATTAAGATAAATTATTATATGTTGTCCTTTTTGTTTTATTTTTAGGATCTCACTTATTTCACAAAAAGAGAAGTTTTGATGTAAGTACATAATGAATTATTGGGTAACCATTACACAAATAAAATATATGTTTTGAAAATGTATGTTAATAATTGTAAATGAAAAAAATGTAATAAAATTGTTTAGTGCACATGAAAAGTTCAAGTCTTTAGCTCCTGAAAAAGTGGGGCATAATAAAAATGCTAAATTGGCTCTGACCAAGGTCCTTAAACTTCCTGAATTAGCAGCTAACCCTTATGGTGAGCGCATGTGTCAAGTATTCAGTTCTAGTCAAGATGGAGACTGTACTTTTGAAGACTTTTTAGATATGATGTCGGTATTTAGTCCAATGGCACCAGCAGATGTCAAAGCTGAACATATTTTTAGAATTTTTGGTAAGAAAATATTTAAAATTCATACAATTATTATGATCATGAAAATCAATTCTCTGGTTTTCAGAATAAAGATCTTAAATTTAAAATTGATACATTTCTTTTATATATAAACTATTAAACCTCATATTCTCAATTTTGAATTTTAGATTTAACTAGGAAGACCTCCCTAAAATATATTCATCAAAAAAAGCCTTAAAAATTTTTTTGGTATATTTCTTCTATGATATTTTAATAACCGATATGAATGTATTAAATTCTTAGATATTTTTTAAAAACCTACCTGTAAATAAATAATAAAAATTAATTTTGATATTAACAATGTTTTTTTCTGAGGTGTATCAAAAATTGGTTTAGGCAGATGAAGGAAATTTGTTTTTTCATACATTAAAACCAATAAGCTGAAGTAAAATAAACATACTTCCAGTATGTCAATTTCTGTTTTGAAAAATGATTAAATAATATATTTCTTTTCTATGTTTTATAGGAAAAATATTTTAATTTTTTTTGGACAATTACCAAAAATTTTGCTCATGATTTTCAAGTGTAGTATCTCTTCTGAAAGGAAATTTTATATTTTTCCTAGGGGTTTTCCTATTAAATGGGAAAAAATTTACAGAATGTATTATGACTATATTGTAAATATTATGGTCTTTTAAAACATGTATAATCTGAACTGTTCAGTCATTTTTCATAAGCAATTATTGATTGTTATGTATAGATATACATTAAATTTTCTCATTATTTCTGAAATTCTCACCTACAATAATGTCCTACTCATATATTGCGAAGTATGTCCGTTTATTTTAAAGAAAACATGTAAACTCATCATTTACTTAAACTAAATAAAAATGAACAAAGGTTTCCTACAAAATGCAAATAAGAAATCAAGAGTTCAAATACGTATTCAAAATTAAAATTGGGCGAATAATATTGAGTGAATTTTACTTCAGCTTATCATTGGTTTAAAACGGTTGTTAAAATCTTAAATTTTACAAAATGAGATAAGCCTTATAAGAACCAATATACTGTTAGATTAATTTTCTAATTTAGCTGTTCTTAGAATTGAAAAGAGTCACTGTCAACTGCCAATTCATTACAAAACGTATACGTTTATTTTTAGAAGGATACAGTAATAAAAATAGAAAAATAAATTAAAATTTTTGTCTTTCACCTTTATCCTATCTATTTGAGATCTGCCACTTTCGTTTTAAACTTCCACTTGAACAAATTAACCACATCTTCCATTTACACTGTCCATCTTCATATCATTCTCAATCACATCCAACCACCTTTTTTTTCGATCTTCCTCTTCCTCACTTTCCTGCGACATATTTTGTCTCTTATTAAATCCTCTTATGTACTTGATTGTATCCTATTTTCTCTTATCAACTCACTCATCAACCTAAGAATTTTCATGTCTGTTACATTCAGAGCCCCAGGGCACCCGGCTTAGTATAAAATTTAAGGTAAAATTAACTTTATCATTTGTTATTATTTCACTTGCTGTTTGTTTTATTTGCAAACACATTGCTTAGAGTAATAATGACTATTGATTGATACTTAAAAACGCGTATTTAAAACGTAGTAACATAATATATTTACCTAGAAAAAAATTCAAGTGTAAGAAACGATCTTATTTGATGTATGTATAATTGACATTTTAATATGAATTAAATATAATTGTAAAAAACAACAAATTTGGGGGGCAAGGAATTCTTACAATATTAGTTCTTATAGCACTTACCTCTAAGTCTCACTGGAATTCTATTTTCTCAAAACACCCGATGCTTTTTTACACTAAATCCTATATTCCACATTCTGTTCAAAGCCATTGTTCTTTTGTGCAAAAGATCCTAGTTACTTAAAACTCAACTTTTTAAGAGTAAAAATACATGCATATGAATTATTAATGTAAATTAAAATTAGTTATAAATACATAAATATATTTAAATTATTTAGAGTTGTTCAAATATCTTATTTTGTTGGAGGAAAATTTCACTGGATTTATTTAGGGAATAATAAGAGGGGTAAGCTATCAACAATTTTAACCTCCAATTGTATCAATATAAGTAAATGGGAGTGCTGATTTGATAGTTTTATACCTTTCAAAAATTAGCTCTAATTTTGCTTATGAGTAAAATGCATTATAACATAGGGTTGCCATAGAACCCGAAAAACCAGAACTGGTCTTCACTGTCACTGGTTTTCAACTTGTACTGGTTTCCCTTAAATAAATGTCGCCAATATGTCCCAGTTTTGAGAAAAAATTAATATTATTTTTTTTCGAATTACAATTGTGATTCAGAAATTACGATAAGATTTTAATGAATACGGGGTTAAAATCTTATATATCTAATATACAAATAAGTTATTACTTGTATGTTTTATAACAATCTTTCTGATGATTATAAAGTAAGTACTATTTTTGTTGTATTGTTTTAGTTTATAAGATAATAAGTCAGTTTTTTTTTTAATAAATTTAATCATATAGGTATCATATTAGATACCTTGATTCATATGAATCATATTTGTAGTCCAATTTTATTTGCTATTTTTTCTATTCGTCCCGATTTGCTTTATACAATTATGGCAACCCTAAAATATGATATGGTTTAAAATTAAAAACTATGGATACTATAGGAGCTATAGTTATACATGCAATTTTTTTCCCTTAAACATGAATAGATAAAAAATAACTAAATTTAATCATTTTCTAATTGATTTATAATATCTACTTAAATTTGAATTACGTTTTGATGTATAATAACTATAGTAGATAAATAAATAAATAAAAATAAATAAATTAATGGTTCACCTGGAGTATTATGATAAGTGTATTATACAACCAGATTCGAATTAAAAATTTAAATGCATACATTTTGACTGTAATATACCTGATGATAAGTTTTTAATTCTAAACCGGTTGTATAAAACACTTATCATAATACTCCAGGGAAACCATTAATTAATTAATTTTTATTTATATATTTATTTACATGTATTAACCATTTTAGTAATTTTGTTTTTACTTTATTATTTTATTAAATTATTTGTAATTTCATTTCAACATAGTATAGCTACAAAATATATGTAAACTTTGCCATACAATTTCAAACATATTTAAACTAGATATATTTTATTATAAATAGATTTTGATGGAGATGATATGTTGGGAGTCGGGGATATAAAAAAAGTAATTCAGTGTTTAATTGGAGAACAAAATTCTTTTAATGAAAATGATCTCAAACGTCTGGTACAAAAAATATTTGAAGAAGTTGACTTTGATGATGATGGTGCTCTTTCATTTTCTGAATTTGAACATGTTACTGATATGTGCCCAGATTTCATGAAGTCAGTATAAATTTCTTGTATTATCATAATATCTATTTATTATTTATTTTTATTGTTTTAAGAGTAAAATTGTATATTAGGTAGTTTTTTTTATTGCACGCAAACTGTTTGTTTTTTAATTAAAAAAAGATAGGTATGTGTTTTTTAAATAAAATTATAAAACTTTATAATTTTATACTTCAATTGCATTATTGCTTACACAGGTGCATACTATGGAATAATATACAATTACTATTGTCTGTTATCATTGAGTATAATCAAGGGTCAAGCTTATCTGTTCAATGTTTCAATTTATTTTATTACCTACTACAAGTATAGTACAAATAGGTTCAGAATGGTAATTTAAAGTTGGTACCTAAATTTATAAAATATCAAATATGTATGCTATTTTAATAATTAAAAAGTATTTAATTCTTTGATCTAAAAAATGTTTTACAAAAACTAGTTATGAAAAATAAAGTCATTCTCTATAAAAAAAATTTTCACTTATTCAATTGTGTAATTATAAATAATTCCATGGTTGCCATAGTTTTTTAAAACAGAAGAGTCAGGGAGTTTATATGAAATTCTAGATTTTTAATTATAAACTTCAATTATAATATAAATTATTTTGTTGTCTTTAATACTATAACCAATACTCATAAAGATGGTATTAAATTTCAAAAAAAGTGAAAGTAGCAAATATATTTTTAATATATATTATTTATTTTCTCTGGTAAACTGGAAAATAATATCACAGAAAAGTTAAGATAAACTCAAAACGTAATTTTGTGGCAACCATAGATTTATGTACATATTGTTATATTAGATTTGTCTAGTTATAAATTTAAAAAATAAAGAAATATGTTTAAAAAAGTTTTAAATTGGTAACCCATTAAAATATGCCCAAATTTCCTAAACTCAATTTTACGAGGCCCATAACATTGAAGTTATGTTTTCCACCAGGGGTTGTAAAATGCTTTCCACACAGCCTTTCAGCCATTGTTCAAATGACCTTTAGGTTCTTGAGTAGTCTGCACAGTAGACCATATCCGCCCTCAACTTCCAAAATGTGTTTTATTGTTATGTCTATAATACCCAGGATTAAATATATATTTGGAATACAATTTAGAAACATAAATTATTTTAACTATTTAATTATTATTAACATAGCTGTAATATATTTGAAGAGATATACAATTTATTTAAATTAATGCCCTTCCAAAATAATCATGTAATAATATTGATATACCCCTTACTAAAGCATTTTGACTAGGGCTTGAATTTTGTTGCAATTAAAAGATTAAGTCTAATTGATTGCATTGAACCGTTATAAAAATTACAAGTATATAATTTAAAATTACACTAAAATGTAACAAAATTCTTCTATCCCTTGAAAATATGTGTGCCAAAAAGTTGTTTGTTATATTTTAACTTGTTTCTCGCATGAAACAAATTTAAAACTAACTTGGCATAACATTGAAATATTAGAAAAAGTGGCAAATACAACAATATTAGAGTCCTAATTATAAAGAGGTACTTGTTAACAAATGTCAGAATTTCATAATGCCATATAATTGATTAATATTTTTTTACAGAATATGATAGCTGCATGAAAAAGGAAAGTACTCAAATCCATACATTTTTTTTCTAAAATATTCAATGAAATATGTTTTTTTTTTTTATGTAACAGAGAGAACAACTTTTATTTAATAAAGTTAATAATAACAATAATTTGTTTATTTAATTCATAATTATAGTATTAATTATCCATAAACTAAACCAAAAAATGGTTAAAAAACTAATGTGCTATATGCTTGATTTTAACTATGTTGTAATCAGGTTTTAAAATTTAAATTATACATGAAATATCCCATAGAATGTGAGAAGTTTTATCAGATTTTATTTTGCTTGGCAAATAATGTAGCTTAGCATTTTATGAGATTTGGAATGCTGACAGACCTAGTTATTTGACCATATATACTTTTGTGTATATGTGTTTTTAGATATTTTCAAGTGTTGTTAATATATATATATATATTATAGTTATTTTAGTAATTAGTAAACGCTTGTAGACTGTATTTTTTAGTGTTAAAATGTTTCCATATTTGTGTTGAATATTAAATCTTTAACTTGAATACAAATTAATAGTAAATACAACATACAAACATGGGCGCTCATATGGTAATATGGGATCAGGGTTCCAAACATATGTAATCACTAATAATTTAGCTTATGTGTTAGGCTCAAGAAAAACCAATTTTTTGTAAGTGTTATTTTTCAAGGGAAAAACATGTCCCCTCCCATGTATACATGCTCCCATGCATACACATTAATTAAAAATATACTGTTTCATGTTAATTTTATTATATTTATAATTTTGTAATTTACTTTTTCAGAATGTTCAGTATTAATCTATGAAAAGCAAGAAGAATATAATGCTAAAAATAAAGTGATGGAAAAATTATAATTATATTTTTAATTTTTGTTTTTTTTAAATTACAACTCAATAAATTGATAAATATTGATTGATATATGAAAAAAATTGTGATTTGTTCATTTCAAAGTAGATTTTCAATATCCTGTTTTCAAGTAGCCTCTGAAAAAAAACAATATTAGTTTATTATTCAAGAAAATTTTAGTAGATAACCAGAAATAACAAAAACTCTATTTTTATGTTATTTATAATGAAATATGTATGTTATTTTTAGAAATAAACTAGTCATTGAATAAGCCGATGACAATACTGCTTTCTTTATTGTGCATATCCTACATACATTTTAATAATTATTTACAGTAAAAATATAAAAAAATTGATAATAAGAAAAAAACATAAGAGTCCATATCAATATAAATAGAACACTTTTAGTTATGAGAAAATCAAAAATCAAACAGTTTTCATATGTAGGTATAATATTAATCAAAATTATAAATGACGGAGCCCGTCACTACAATATCGGCAAGAGATCCACAAATCTAAGACTCAAGCCTCGGCTACCTCAGGACATCCTACTAGATCCCAATCTACCTCAGGACATCCTACTAGATCCCAATGAAGACACCTCAACCTCAGACTCTGACCCAGACTAACCCTCAGACTCTGACCCAGACTAACCTAACCAAATCTATTATACATCACATAATTATATAATAATAAAAACATTGTAAAAATACTTAGTGTATTGACACAATTATATTAATAAATAAAAAAAAAGAAATATAAATGAAGTTTGTTAATGTAATATATTATCAGTGTTTCTTAATTTTTGATAAATATCCTCTTTTATCATGGAACCCCACTTTAATAATACTACACAATTACTTTTTAACTTAATTTTATCCAGTTTTTAGTGCATAGACATCCCAACTCTAGTGTAATTATTATAAAAAAATGAATAAAACCTTTTTATCAATTAATACAATATTTCTAAACATTGTTTATGGTATGAACTACTTAGAGAACTTTCAACAAGTTGCGAACCTCATTGACATATTTTTTTTTCTTTAAACTAGAATCACTTTTTTAAAAAAGATTTACAAGAATTCCTAGTTTTCTATTATAATAATAAAGAAATGTGATTTTTGAATTTGAATTTTCTTAAACAAATTTAAGATTTTGGGATGTTGCTCATACAACGCATGTTGTATTTATGTACAACCGAATACTCTAGTTATTTTTGATTAGGAACAGGCTCAAAAATTTGTGCTCATACAAATGAATTTGAGAAATACCAGAGATAATGTAAGGCCCCTAAGTTGAATATATGATATTGCTCAGAGAGTGATCTAAAGCTATACTAAATTTTTTATTTCATAAAATTGTTGGAAGTATGTCATGAATGACAGGCCTATATACAAACATACAACACTTCAGTTGAGAACTGAATTTAAAAATAAGAACTAAATAGGTACTTACGGAAGTTTCATTTTCATAAATGTCCAGCATGTAAAATATGAAATTATGATGCAAGCAAATCCAACACCAGTTAAGAGTGTATGATTCAATTTTGGGGTTGATTTTGTATTTGTTAGATCTAGTATGACAAATCCTAAACCACCAATGTTAAAAAGGAAACTTGATGCCAATCCTTCCATAATATATTGTCCATTGACTCGGTAAGGCATAAATGCTACCTATTAAACAAAATATGTATAGAATAATTTTTTTTATTATGAACCAACAATTTTTTGTGGATCTTAAGTGATTTTTTAAATTATTGTGGGATTGGTTAAGCTTCATTTTAAAACCAATTTTCATTTTTATCCCAACTACAGATACCTTACATTAATATATACTTTCGTTTTTCAAATAGGAACCCATTTTTTTTGTAAACAGATTTAAATAAGGAATATTTTTTAGAAATGTTGATACGCATAATACTAATATCAGATTTATTGTTTATGAGTTACTACCATTTAAAGTAAAAGTTGGATTAGTAGAGAGAAGGGCAATAAATTACATATTAACTTGACAAATCTGATATTAGTATTAGGTGAAAAAGTAAATTCCTATTTGAAAAAAACAAAAGTATATAATAATTAAAGGTATGTGTAATTTGGGATAAAAATGGAAAATAGTTTTAAAATGAGGCTCAAGAGATTCAAAAATAATTAATAAGATTTCAGAAATCAAATTCACTAAAAATCTTCAGAGAAAACTGCTGGTTCATGATAAAATTATCATCTTGTACGTATATATATTTTAAATGACCAAATTATTAAAAATTAAATTACTGGTTTGGAATGGCCCTTTTCATCAGTAGTTGAACCTACACTTGGTGGTTCTATTATTACATCGTAGATGATTCCTAAAGAATAGATAATATTTAAAATAATTTTATGATAGGTAAGTTCTTTTTAAGCTTACCTCCAGTGACCAGAAAATACGAGATTGTTACAATTACATACATAAACATCGCGGATGGTTTTTTAAACCATGATGGCCGTTTTAAACGCAGATTAGGAACTTCAAGAATTTTAAATGGTATGCTATATAAAAATTCCATATTTAAATAACTGACTGTTATTTTAGGACTACCTTCCTAGATTAAATTAAGTTTATTATAAATGTAACTTACAATTTAAAATTAATTTCCTATACTGGAAGATAAATATAAATGGTTTAAAAACCTTAAGTATAAATTCCTAGGTCTGAATTTCTCCAGTCAAGTATAAACGGATGTTCCGCTGGCAACATTTGATAAAAAAGGCCAGTGGTTTCCAAAATGAGTAAAAATTCGATTTAATGGCGGTAAATAGGTAATAAATATGCAGAAATGGACAATATGAAGTGGTTTTAAAGGCGTTCAAAAAGTCACTGCAAACAATATTTGTCGCAGTCATCCGAAAAAGTCGGATTAAAAATAAAAGGAAATTCGGGGCAATCCGTTGTCTTTCAACAATAGAATGCTCGAGATGTGTACTTTTATACAGTGTGGTAGGCTTAGCACATTTCACCCAGAAACACCCCTTTTAACGGCTCGATATCCCGGGTATAAATAGTAGGAGGTAACACATTAAAATAGCACCATTCTCAAACCAATATGCCGATGTATTCCGGAGCACATTGATCCCTAAGCATGGTATCAAAAAAACGTACTTGTTTAGCCCTTGAAAGCCCTTGTTTAAGCCCCCGAATTATCTAAGGGAACTCAGGCACCAATTCAGAGAAACGGCACACAAAATTTTCGAAATCGTAGCGTTATAGGGGTGTTCTGGAGTGAAATGTGCTAAGCCGACCACACTGTCTTAAAGTAAACATCTTGAGCATTCTATTATTGAAAGAAAACTGATTCTCCCGTATTTCTTTTATTTTTAATCCGACCTTTTCAGATTACTGTGACAAATATGTACGCAGTAACTTAAATTTTTTTAAGTACCTTCAAAATCACTTCATATTGTACATTCCTGCATATTTATTATTTATTTACTGCCTTTATATCGAATTCTTTACTCATTTTGGGAACTACTGAGCTCTCTTATCAAATATTGCTAGCAAAACATCCGTAATTGTAGTTACCAGTTCTGTTATCTATCCTAATCTATGGTTATAAACAAATATCATTTATCAATGCTTAAGGCAATGACACCATTTAAAGCCACCCGGCGTAAGACCATCAGATAACGACAAAGAACTATTCAACAAAACACCATCATAATTCGACAAAACACCGACAAGAAACTTTTTGGAGTAATTGGTGTTAAAATTATCGAAACAGGTTTAATTTTTCTGTAATAAATTACTATTTACACTGGTTCACCTTTCTTTTCCCTCTCGGAATAATAAACGAACAGACAAATGATAATAGTAATAATTTAATTGATTACAATTAATACGTATTCAAATTAATTTATATTAATTACTTATTAGTGGGAAATGAAAAGTATAGTATAGCCTAAAGATAATTGATTAATATTTAATTGATAGTATTATCATTTTTAATTTTGGACAATGGTGGGGATTCACTGATTTCCATCGTCGAATATCTATACTGGTGTAAAATAATTAGCATCAAGTGTTAGTAAACCTCATCGACATAAAGAATACACAATAGTATATTTTTTATCTTGATGCCGATGATTTAAACCGGTATATAATATATCGGTACACCGGTTTTTACCTACGAATCCTAGCATCTTACAGTACAGAAAATTTAGGTCTATTTAGGTCTATGACCTTATATCAAGGTGGATTAATCGATATGAAATGATTACACACCGGGCGTGTAAAGACAGAGGACGCTTTTCAGTTATAATATAACTATATATAATAATATAATTCGAGATAAGATATAAGATAGCTAAGATAATTAAATATCTTAATTCTTGCTGCATAGAGCACGGTTACTATTAACCGCGGTATAGAGCATAGATACACAAAACAACTAGATAGCTGACTATTATAGTCTATAAATATAAAAAAATGTCGCCAACATAATGGCAATAACGTCAATCGTTAAATGGTGAATGTTTACAAATTAAACTGATATGATAAGTAATAAGATACTTTTTTGGAACTTTATTGTACAATGTATAATGAACATAATTAACCCTTTATAGGACATGGGATATTATCACATGGCATATTATAACCATAGACCTTATACTAGTATACTAGTATATTAGTTTAAGGTCTATGATTATGGGTGCGTTTGTGTAGTTATCTTAAACACTTATAAGCGCTTATCAGCGTCACCGCATCATTCGGTTTGGCGTTTGATAGCACTCAGACTACAACCATGACGTCACTGAATCTGAACGCTGCCTTATCGATCCGCGCTCACAAACGCTTATCCAATCAAGGTAGGGCAGCAAACGCTCACAAGCTAATTAAATGATAATAGATACACCGAAATAAGTGATAACTTTTTGATCATATTTTCATGATTAGACTACGATTCATATAAATTTATAGAAACAAAAATGTTTGAAATACATGACATTTTAACAATTTTTAAAATAACTTCGTTAGTCGTAACAATTATAGTACATAATGATAACAATTAAGAGCTAATAACTGCGATGATCATTCAATCAATATGCTTATATTTGTGATCGTTTTAAGATCCATCTAGTAGTGTTATTTAGCTATATGTATTAACGAACTGTACATAAACGTGAGAGTTGGCATAAGCACCGTAAGCATCTGAGTATGCTACACGAACGCACTCTATAACATTGCTCCTTATCAATACTATAAAACATAAATATTCACCTCTTAGATAAGGATGGCGGCCATTTTGTTGGCAACAAATTCGGCTATCTATATTTTTTTAATAGTTGTTTTATATATCTGTGGTATAGGGTAATTATTTTAGGGTTATAATATGTTTAGGTGTATGATACCAAGTCTTTGAACATAGAACCACAGAATAGATCACCACGGTTCTTACTTTTACTGTTTAATTTTTGAGGTTAGTATTAATATTTACGTGATAAATGACAATGCAAAAAGTAAACAAAATAAAATACTGAATCAATTTTTATTTTTATTTTCTTTGTGCAAATTATTAAATTTGTTATTTTGTTACTTGTTTTACTGTTCTTCAAAAACTTATATATTGGTAAGTAAAATTGTTTTGTTATATTGCTTTTGTAATTTTATTCTTTTTTTTGTATTGAAAATAAAAAACGATTACCTGGAGGAACTAAATAACAGTGTAAGTTGTTATTTTATAGAATTACAAATAAAAAAAAAAATTGTTCTTTATCACCGTGAAACGAACACAAATTAAAGAACTAAAACTAATAATTAGGTATAGTTCGTATGTTAAAATTATTCAGCTATGGATATAAGTTGAGTAACCTATGTGTTACTATATATTATGTATGTATCACCTATATATGTTCAAAATGAATAATGATAAATTCTGTGCTTTTTAATTTAGATATTAATGATATAGTAATATTTGAGGAATCTCGGTTTAAGTCTGTTATTATAAATTATAATAAAATAGTAATAATAGTATTTTATAGTAATTTTAATTTTAAATTATAAAAAATTTAACATTACGGAGAACAATTATTTCAGTTTAATATATCTCAATAACTTCAAGTATTAAGTAATATTAAGTAAATTAAAATTAAGTTTTGATAATTTTGCTTATACATTTAGATAGAATTTATCAGTATTATTTTATTATGAAAGTGGAAAATTCTCAAGTAAATAAATTTATAGCAGATCTGGTGTCTTATTACTTGTCTTTGAGAAAAGTTTTTTAATAATTTATATAATTTTTTTACACTATGTTTGCAACAACAAAAAACTTATGTTGATGTAACATTTTCTTTAAATTTAATTATTTGAAGAGAAATTTCCTTTTTAAAAGGAATACTAATTAGGACAGTGTTTAATTTATAATTTGCTATAATTTTTAAACTGCTAATATCATATAAAATAAATAGAAATGTGAAAAACTTCAAAATATTTTAGGAATTATATTTGACATAAAAATAAGAAAATCACTTTGTAAAAGTTGAACTTACTTTAAATACACTAAATATATTATGTCTCTAGATATTGAAAAATATGTATCTACATATTTTCCTGAGTTACAGTTTACTTTAAAATAATGCTATATATTTTCTATTGTAATTTTATTGTTAGGTACACATTTTTATCGATTTTCATATTCATACAGCAAAAAAATTATTAGGTACCTACTATAATAATATGTCAGTGTTATTATAAAACTAAAAAGGTTTAGTATAAAGTATATAATTTGGTACCATTATTTTATTTATTTCATTGAATGATTATTGCTATTTACTCTTCTTTTATTAAACAAATAAATTGTTAGGCAATTAAAAAAATGAACTATTATTTTGATATTTAAATACTAAAACTGTAGGAGGAATTAATTTTATTTGTTATTTATTGTAATTTATATTTAATGGCAGATTGTATGTAGAGCGTTTATTTTGCCCTGAACATGGAATTATATAAACAAGGAGCAGAATCAAAAATTTACATTTCATTTTATTCCGATCGAAAAGTAATTGTTAAAGAACGATTTTCCAAACTATACCGAAACCAACTATTGGATCAGAGTATACGAAGAGAACGTACTAAAGCTGAAGCCAAAGCTATTTTAAAATGTAAACAGGGTGGTATTGCTACTCCTGTTATATACTTATTGGATTTAAACAACTGCAAAATAACAATGGAATTTATAAACAGTCAGACAGTCAATGACTTCCTAAATAATCTAAAAAATGACAAGCAGTATAATGATGTTGAGTTAACCAAATTACTGATGGAAATTGGCGCTGTTATAGGAAAAATGCATTCTCTTGGAATCTTTCACGGAGATCTAACAACTTCTAATATATTAAGAAAAGAAGATGGTACTTTGGTGTTAATTGATTTTGGCCTTAGCCATTTCAATCCAAGTAATGAAGATAAAGCTGTTGACCTATATGTTTTAGAAAGAGCATTTATCAGTACACATTCATATTTCTCAGACTTGTTTGCATCAATTATAGATGGTTATAAACATGCTTATGGATTAAACGTCCAATCTATTATCAATCAATTTCAAATTGTCCGAGCTCGAGGTCGTAAACGATTAATGTTTGGCTAATTTGAAATTATTTTATGTATTTTATATTGTAAAAAAAAAAAATCTAAAATATATTAATTTTATAAACATTACACATATTTGTTATTATTTTTCTGGGTGTTATAAATTATAATGATTAGTGAGTCAAATTAATTAAATGATATCGTTAAATATATAAACCTAGTTAGATAAAAAAAACCACCAAATTTTTTATTTTTTTTTTTTTTTTAAATTACATGTGTTATAATACAAACATCAGACAAACTAATTTTATAAAATATAATTAAAAATAAAAAAATTGTTTTTATATTTGAATGATTTATATAAAATTCATTATTATTATTTATTTTACAGCCTAACTATGGACATAGCAGAAGGTGTAACACCTGCATATCTGAAATTGGCTCAGATCAAATTTTGCCTCACTCTACCACAGTTCAAAGATGACCCAGAACTTATCTCATCATTGTTAGCCGGTATAGTCTATAATAATATGGCTCCCTATTACCAAGAGGTTTGCACAGATTTGTCATGGAAGTTTGACCAAAATCTTTATGATAAAATGGCATCAAATAATGCCAAACGTATGGCAGAACTTGAACAAGAAAAAAATCCAACCATGGTCGACGATGATGACCCGGTATCCGGCATATGGCAAGCAAAATTGTTATATTTATGTTCTATTGGGGACCGTGAACAAGCTACTAAATTAGCAGAGTCTAAATTGGAAGAGAAAAATGTACCTAAATCTCAGCAAATTGATACTGTTTTTGCTTTATTCAGAGTGGCATATTTCCATGGATGTGATATACCAGCTATGAAGAAGGCTATAGATAAGGCTACAGAGTTAATTGAAGGAGGATCCGGGGGTGACTGGAGTGCTAGGAACAAATTGAAAGCGTACGATGGCATTTGGAGTTTAGCAATACGAGACTTCAGTCGTGCTGCCAAGCTGTTTGTAGATGTTGTGCCTACATTCGAATCATATGAACTTGCAGACTTCAGTACCATCATCAAGTATACTATATACTCGTCAATGATAGCTTTTCCGAGATACGAGTTAAAGAAAACTCTTATGCACCATGGTGTCATGGCTCAGGCTCTGAACTCTGATTCCAAAGAACTCAAAGACTATTTTGTATCATTATACGATGGTCAATACTCAAAATTCCTTGTCTATCTGGCACGCATTGAGAAAAACATGAAGGAAGATCCTCTTTTACATCCTCACTACAAATACTATGTCCAAGAGATGAGACTGTTGGCATATAAACAAATATTGCAAGCATACAGATCTTTAAGTTTGGATTACATGGCTGAATCATTTGGTGTGACCAAAGCATTTGTAGAGAAAGAAGTGGCTAGATTTGCAGCTGCTGGTCGTTTGACCTGTAAAATTGATCATGTCGCCGGAGCTGTGGTAACTAGTAGCACGTCCAAGTGCAGTTTACAATTAGGAGCACCAGAATCCAGATTGGAGCGTGGCATATTATATCAGACGACTGTCAAAAAGGGAGATATACTTTTAAACAGACTAAAGAAGTTGGCCCGCGTTATGGATTTCTAAAAATATTTTTGGAATTATTTTTCAATTTTGCTTAAATTTAAATAGATACGTCTACATAATATTGTATCAATTAATTATTTACATAAAATACTGAGTTGTCTGATATTTGTATAGTTTGTATTTTCATGTCTTTAAAACGTATAATAATATATCAAAAATACATCTATTGTGATTTGTCTATTTTAAATTCTTTTGTCCAGAGGGGTTTGGTGGTTTTTGGTAGTTGAAACCATTCTCTTAAACCAATTTCTTTGTTAAATATATTAAATCAAATATTATTTTGGCATAAGTATATTTTCCTATAGGTACTATGTTTTAAATAAGAAAACACCGGGTCACAATCAATTTCCGTATGGTTATGTGCATGAGTAGTATGAGCTGCCAGTACTGATGGCTATAATACCTGGTAAAAGGGATCCATGATGTAGACATCACTAATTAGTATGCCCAATCTGTGTCATATTTTGAAAAGGAGTATAGTCAATAATAAACAAGTTGTACAAAGTATAAGATACACAGGTATCTAATTAGGAATTAAAAAAAAGCTTACACCAATGCCAATAAAAAAATATTCAGAAATTTGTTTGGACGAAGTGAGAATTAAAAATTAAAAATTGAATAACAATGCACTATTATTACAAAACTTGATTTTGGCTCCATACAAGAAGCTGAGAAATCAATAATACTAAGAATGATACAGTATTAGTGTTAGTTTATATATATACAGAGTGATCAACATAATGTTAAGACATTCATTATCTCGGAAAGTATTAATTTTTTCAATATTTTTGTTTTAGAACACTTAAAAATAAGCAGTTTTAAAATGTTACATTACCATTTTATTTCCCTTTTATATTTTTCGGGGTTGAAAGTTTGAAACTTCTACTAACTATTGATTTTTAAATTAAAAAAATTATAAATAGATATTTTAGTTAAAATAAATTATGGTTTAATTTTAATGTTTAATTAATCACTCGCCATGTGATTATTAAAATAATTTATTTTAAATAAATGGATCTCCCTGAAATTAACTATCCAAGTTCAAAATTTTCGATTCATATTTTATCAATATGTATTACAATAAGTATTTTAATCAATAATTATACTAAGTCTAACTGTTACTCTATAATTAATTGAAAAACAAAACAAAGTTTTAAGGTACTGAGATTTGAAAGATTTATTATGAGAAATATGTAATGTTATAATATTTTAATAAACAGTAACTCAACATTTTCATGCTGACAATGGACGCGCAACAGTATTTGAACAGTATACGTACATACAATTGTCTCTTGAAAAATTGACATGGATTCAACACTCACAATTTCATTAGTAAAGGTTTCCATTTAATGTGTTATGTAAACTATCGAAATTGGGTGGAGTAGATAGGAAAGCATTTTTTGAATTGAATCAGTTAGTAGAACAACTTTTAAAGCTTTTCTGCAACAATAAAATCTATGTATTAAGAATGTAATGCATTATTGAGAAACAATTAATACAAAAAATGATGTATTTATAATAAAAAAAAAAAAATGCGTTGACTGCTTAATTGAATTCTTTCAATTTTGTATGAAATAACATCAAAATCTGATTTTATTTAATACACATTATTTAATAATGAAATATGTATAAATTCTTCTATGTACAGAAATTTCATAAAAACCCGCATTTTAAAAAGTAAACATTTCTTTAAACTAAATTTTGGTAGTTTATCCATTGGTAACATATTGAAACATCAATATCCTTATATAAAAAAGATTTGGTCAAATTTATTAAAAAAAATGTTGATTAATTAGCATCATCTAGTCAAGTGTTAAGGTGATTGTTAATTAAAAAATAATAGTAGCAAAAGTAGAGTATCTAGGTAATGGATTTATATTAGTTGCATTACTTTAAATTATTATTATTATTATAAATACCTACTAGCTGCCATAACTTTGTCATCACTTATCCATGTAATAAATGAGTTTACTGTTTTTTTTGAAACTTATAATTTATAACTCATTTTTATTATTATTAATGTTACAAGTTTTAAAATTTCCGAATTAATTATATATTCAAATTATGAAAAAAAGAAAAACCCATAGTATTAAAAGTTATTCTAATAAGTAATATTTATTTATAATTTCATAAAAAATAAAATAAAATAATACGTTTGCCATTTTAAAAGTCTGTAATTAAATAATACTCTAATTAATACTCTATCTAGCTAATACTCTATTAAAAGTAGATAAAATTATACAATTGATCAGGAATTAGTTATCATCTTAAGTTGTTTTGTTCAATTAAATTATTTCATAAATGTTTTTTAATCTTTTGTTAATCTCTTACTTTTTATTCGAAATTTTATGTAAAATACGGTTTTCAAGATATGTACTGTTAGGATTGTGAAGCTATGATAAAATGTTATATATGTGTAGGGTGTCCCACAAAGATATATCAATTTCCAGAGATAATAAAGATAATCAAATTATGTTTTTTTTTTATATTGATCTCAGAGATAAGGTTTATAAAAATTTATATTTAAATTTATTATGTGTTGGTAAAAACTTAAAAATAACATTATTTTATTATTTTTGAAAAATTTAAAGATAGCCATTTTATAGAGTTTATTCTTCTGACAATTATGACGTATTCATGATTCAAAAATAAATAATTTTATATTAATATTTACCTTAAAAAAAACGATGTATCATTAAATGTGTCTAAAAATGATACTTGAGATATGTAGATCTAAAAATTGTGAGGTATCATCTAATTAAGTAAACCAATTTTGAAGTGTCAAAGTTTCAGGTCAATCACGGTTTAATATAAGTTTAGATGATCTTCCAGTTGTTTTTTGATTTTTCAACCAGTTTTCATAATAATTGGGAAAAATTTGAAAAAAATATAGGATATACAGGACAGTTTATGGTATTAATAGTTTCGTTATGTTTGATTTTGGTTTTGTGTGGAAAATCGGTTAAAAATAATCGTTGAAAGCTTGAAGTTTCACAGAATTCTTACCAATATTAGCCTTTTCTATATAGGCTAGTCAAAGTGTTCAAAATATTTTGGTGACTTTCGAGCTATTTATAGGAATTGTATAATTTTTATTTTTGGTAGTTACTATATGTCGGTAAAATTGTTCGGCCAAACATCCAGACATTCAAAAAAAAAAAAAAAAAATACTACGTGGTTTATTTTAAATTGTACTTAGTGGTAAACAAAAATGTTTTGTGCATAATACATTGGGTTATTTTATTTTTTAAGAGTTCAAATTTCAATGAAAATCGTAAAAATTACGGCATTTCAAAACATGTATAACCGAAATTTACTCATTAGCAATCGTTGCTTACGAAACTAAATTAAACAACTGTAGTTACTATAGTAATTAATACTATAATAACTATATATAATATTATATATGTTTATATGTTTATATATTTTACTTTTCCAACTTCTTACCTACAATAATAGTGGCGCCCTTAACCAGTAATCAGTATCAGCTTTTTGTGATATTGTTTTTTTGTTGTAATTTAGTCGATATTAAGAAAAGATTAATAGATTTAAAATCGGAACTAGGTACCTAGTTAAAAAAATTGTTCACTGGCAGAAAAAAAAATATAAATCAATCACGCATTATAGTAGTATGCTGTGTTCTGCGGAACCTAAATTTATTTGTTTGTTAATTAATTAATGAAAATTATGGGACTAGCTGGTCCGCAACAAAAAGAAGGGGTGCTAGAATTTTGAATTTTCGTGGGCCGATCTGGTGCCAGTCCGCCACTGACCTAACGTTTATAATAACCAATAGTTTAATAGCACGTTATTGAATAACTTATAAAAATGTAATGGCCGATTAATGTTTTTGGCGGGCAACGAAAGGGTTTAATAAACAAATAAATAATAAAAATCGAAAACGTAAGACTCGACTACCGTTATATGTAATAACAATTAATTGTATAATTGTAATCAATAAATAATAATACAACTAACATTGCATAATATAATCGAATTTCAACACAGTTTATAATCAATTATATTTTATATATGTATTATATAATATAATTATTATAATATATATATATTTGTTTTATGTATATGTATAGTATGTATATTATAATATTATGTACGCCTACGTAATATAATATATTATTATTTCGTAATAATGTTATTACAAAGCTTAGCAACAATTATTATTATTATTATAACAACTACCGGTGTAAAAAGCTTAAAGACTACGAACAAAAATTATCGTAATAAACATATATTTATTATAATAATATATAACGACGAAACGTCTAAGTTATTTCTTTTATAAACCGTATTATATATAATATTATAAATAGGTATTTAAAAAATATCCATGTATAAACCTTTGTGTATTTATAATTTTTTTTTTTTTTTTTTTTAATGTATATAATATTATATTATAGTTTTGCACTTAATTTAGTGCTCTCAGCCGCCGCCATCGAGCGTCTAATGGATGTCGTTTTTAAAAAAGCGTCTACATATAGGTATATAATATGTATATAAAATTAATAATATATAAATGATGCGTTTCTATATAGAGAGCAGAATATTATCAATTTATAATCGAGCGAAAACTGAATTTCAGTCTCTTGATGAACAATAATATGATAATAATATTATGATGATGATATACCGCTATATTTATAATATTATTATTTTGTCTTAACAAAATTATACAATATAAAAAAATGTGAAAAATATGGCTTTCTCGCCCGTGGCTAAAATAAACATATACGAATACACAATTTAAATGCATTTAGCACAAATTTTGTCAACAATTAATGAAAAAAAAAAAATTACAATAATATTACTTTGGCATGAAATGATGTGAAATCACAATAATATTGTTAGAAAAAAAAAAATTCAAACTGTTGTCTCTACTGTGACTGTCGATAACAATAATAGTAACATAATATTATTTTCATTGCTAGTCGGTCGATCTTTTACTAATTTTCATTTTTAAAAATGGCCGAAAAATGATATTCTTCTCGACTCGAATAGCTCGTGTATTGTCATTGTAGGAACACATTCCATAAAGTTAAACGGAAAAAAAAGAACCCATTTTCATTTAGTGTGTGTGTGTATGTTAGTGGTTTTTTTTTTTTTTAATACTGATATGTGGGCGGAATCCAGGGACAAAATATACTTTATTATAATATGTCGATTGGCGACACATATTAGAAGTATAAATATTAAATAAGTATATATTTTAATATTATAAATTATTTTTTTGATGGACAAGAAAAATTTTTGGGCAACTAGAGGAACTAATTTATGCAAGATTAATGTATTATACGATAAAAAGAAGTAGTAATAGTATATAGTAGAAGTTAATGACTAGATTTTGTATTTTGTATTTTTAATTTATATTCAAACTGTGTAATTATGTAGTCAGATCAATAGGTTTAGCCAAACGTGTTATATGTGTGTGGGGTCGTTCGCTTAGTCTTTATTTTGGAGACGGAAGGTTTTCGTTGACAGATATGGACAATCGCCGAATATTTGGTCTGTCGTAGTCTTCCATGCTCATGCCGCGAGACAAGCTGCGTCTCGGACGCTCGCCCTCGGATGAACTTCCGGAAAACGTGCGCTGTCTCTCGATGCCCGGCAACGTGACCGAAGTAAGCAAACCCTGCCCCTTGCAGAACAACAAAATGCTCTGCGCCATTTTCGCCGGCTATAAAAAACAAAACGAAAACAAGCTTTATAAACAACAGGCAGGTATACGAGCATGAACGTAACTTGGGTAATTTGTATGAGTAGGGTGGAAGCAAAGTTTATTTCATTTCAGTACACCTAAAAACTTTAAAATATAGGTATATGATTAATGAATATACCAATAAAATTATTAAATTTATATAACCAGTAAATTATTAAAATTAAAATTGTGTAAATTACGTTAAAAATTATATAGACAGAAAAGTAAGAAATATTGAGGTTTTTAGAAGAATTCCTAAAACATAGATTGGATATCTATAAGAAATAGCTCATAGATAACTACGATAATGGAGGGAAAAACTGAAGGCAAACCTGAAAGGGGAAGGCCTAAACACCTTTCATGAAACAAGTGATGAAAAACATAGATAGGGATAAGAACGTATAGGAACTAAAAAGAAATAGAAAAATAGAAGGAAAAATCAATAATGATTTAACCAATTTTTGGAATGTAAAAAAAATTTAAAAAAGTTTTTTCAATTTGTAAAATAACGGTTTTACTCGGACTTTCTTGATTAATAGTGTATAACCTTGGGTTTAGTTTACCTATAGATTTACTTCATACCAAGCGGTACTCGATCAGTTGACTACAGAGTTACGAAAAACGTTTTTGTCCTGTTGGTATACCCATATATTATTGTTCGTTAGCGTAGCAGTGCCCAATAAATTGTATGGTATTTCACAGCCCGTTTATCGGGTTTCAGTGGTTCTCGACTTTCGTCAGATCATGGCGCGCTCTTTTGCTGGGTAACTGTAGACACGTCGAAGGGGACATTACCCCGTTTAATTTTGAACGAGGAGCAGTTGCTCCTCCTCGCCTACTACAGTTTACACCTATATATACGAGCTATGAAGCTAACGGTGATAAACGATTGTTAATAATATTATATTCGTATGGATTATTTGCATATTTTTCTAAGTATTAATTATAGTTAACCAAATGACTGGGTAAGTTACGAATCTCAGATTTAAACGAATTGGTGGGTAAAATATTTGATTTTGTAATATTTACTATTATGTTATCATCATGGTTTTTTTTTTAATTACTTCAAATTTTCATACATAGGATCATTTTTTTTAAGGTCATCAAGATAATTTCACAAGCCACTAAAAAGCAATAACGCTATTATAATATTGTGAACTTTTCCTTTGTGTTTATTAGGTTCTTCAAGCCTTCATTATATTGAATTTCTAAATGTATTTTATTAATTTACTGCTTATGTTGATCCCAGTAAAGTTATACCAATTTGTTTATCTATAGATAAAGATAAATATGATGAAACTAAAATTGATCCATACAAAAAGATAATATAATAGATAAATAAGTATAAATAGTTTATCTAAATAAAAGAGAGCGTAAAAGTATGAATACAGATTATCCCGATTAAAAAAAAGAATACGCATTTTTTCACAACAGAAATAAATAAAAATAAATTTAAATATTGATTTCTCTCACACAAAAATATGAAGAATATCACATGTTTAGTAGTTACATCTCTCGTTGTACCATTTTGCATTAGTGTGTACAAATTAATATTAAAACTATATTATCAATATAAGATATAAATATTAAGTAAACCTATTTGAATTAATATAATTTATTTTTATTTGTAAAAAAAAAAAACTATATCAAATAGTAGGTAATTGTAGTAGTTCTTAAAAATAGGTACCTACGTTTGTCCCGTTATATTTATCTTCAAAAACAATGAAAACCCAAATTTTCTACATTAAACAAGAAATTAATTTCATCGTTCCAAAAAATATCATTATTTATTAAAAAAAACTAAGTTTAAAAAAATGTATTCTTCAATTTGAATAAAAAAAATATTTGTCTATGGTGGCATCTTAGATACTTTGGATTTAATCCATATTTTCTGGATAAATTTATCTATATAGATCTCAACATTGTTTATCTACTGGTGAAGTTTCTTTTTCTATCTGCCCTCTTTTTTTGTTTGAGAATGGGAAGGATTTTAAATATAAAATAACCGTTAACTTACCGCCTCTGCTAAAACATCTCCAGCCCTCTCAATCTTCAACAATGTAGCCTTGTGTTTGTTTAAGTCACGGTGCAATTTTTCGACAACGTTAGCATAAGAACCCAATACTCCGGTCACCAACAATATGTCTTGTTTGTATTCTTTAAGCATCAGATCTTTTCGGCTTTAATAAATAGTAAAATAAAATAATTTATTTTTTCTTACCTACCAATTGGTACGCACATACAACAAAGTGCTTGTATGGTTAATTTATCATATTTACCTGAGAAATGCGTTAACGTATTGTTTGAGATTCTTAGAATTTATAGTGCCTTGAAGTCGTTTTACAAACTCATTTATAACTAACTCTTTATCCGGATTTGTCTCGTTCATAAGTTGCTGTAATATTTTAAAATAAATATTTTATATTAATGACTAAAAAAATGATACCAACTAGGTAGGTATAAGTACGTATCAATTTGACGTGGCCGTTCTCGTCCAGAAAATAGTGCTAAGAATTAGGCAGTCGGATTGGGAATCGAAAATCGAACCCAAGTCTCACCTGCAGGTGATTGCTCTATCACTGAGCTACCCAGTACGTAACTTCTAACACTATTTCCGCAGGACTTGAACAGTCTAACGTCCCGGATGAAATGGCCGTATGTACGGTTGAGGGGACGATGTGGCGCTCAGAGCCGTATCAAACTTACATGCCCAAATTTGTGGAACACTAAATAATCCATTGCCGATTGACTCACGGTCGACTTTCCTTTCCAGTTAACAAACTAAAATAATTGTTTAGCATAAATATATAAAACATATAAATTATACACAAAAGGTAAAGTAAACTGTATTAGTATACTCACTTTTGATCTGAAATTTTCTTTCACCGATGTAGCCGATCCAGTACAGTTTATGAGTATTAGTCCTAAGACGCGCGAGGGATGTGCCAAACCAAACCTAGCTACGACATTAGCGCCAGCTCCTTCTCCAAGCCCGATAACATAACGAATATGCAATGTATCCAAAACGGCAACTAAATCTTCACCAAGCACTTGCAACGTTGGAAACTGAAACCTTTAAATAAAAAAAAGTGATTATTGAAGTTTTGTAACTAAAAATAGGCTAATGTTTGTGATAACTCTTACGAATCCGGTAGAGTATCAGCGTTTTCTTCATGACCGGGCACATCAATATGCACAAAAATCGATCGGTCTTTTATTTCACTCATGCATGGCTGGTTGACAAAATTCTCAAAAACGATATCTAAAATAACAATTTTAAATTTTTATTACCCATAGAAATAGTTAAAATATTACTCAAAAATGTATTATATAAACACTTATTTTAGATAGGTATCTGAAAATTGTACCTTATGTTTTCAAAAAAGTTTAAGTGTCGAAATCACAGTTGAAATTAATTTTTTTGATTGAGTAATTGAGAGTAAAATGTACACATAAAATATAAACGTGCAACAATTTAACGAAACACATTTTAATTTAAAGTATATATACATAGTGTTGGTATGAAGTTTATTATAATCCTTAATAAAAATATATTTAATGAAATTAGATTCAACTTACGATTGCATCCCAAGTCATGAACAGTGAGAAATATGGCTCTTTTATCTTGCTGGGCAAGATCTCCCTAAAATAAAATAGAGATAATTCGTTAAATTCAATTAAAGCAAATATTTATTATAGCTAAATAATTAGAAACGTTTAAAACCCGCTTTTCAGATTTAGGCAAGTTACTCAATTTTAGTAACTGAAAAAGTTATAGTTACTAGTTACTATTAAAAAAATGACAAGTTACGAAGTCACAAATTAAAGTTACTTTTTAAATTGGTTTTATTTTTTAATTGCTAGGTAGTAGTTATAATAGTTATTCGTAAAAATTGTATAAGTTATAATAGTGACTTTTTAAATATTTTTTTATTGAAAGTATTTTTTTAATTTTAATATTAATATTTGGTTACGTTTAATCAGCCGTGGGTTTTTCCGGTCATCAAACAATAAGCCCCCAATACTAAATAATCGTTCAACATGGGCACTGGACTGGATTGTTGCATGAAATATGATAATAATTCGTAAATTCGAAGTGGCAAGATATCGGTGACAAAATAATAAAAACTAACTAGTAATTTTTTTAATTTCACTGAAAAGTAACTCGTTAAGTTACAAATTACAAGAAAACGAAAAGTAACTTACAAGTGATAAAGTTACTGATGTTTGTAACTTTGTAACAAGTTACTGCCTTTCTTTGTCACGTTTATTGATTTTAATATAACTATTTTTTGTAGATACCTATAATACCTGTTCTAGTTCTTCTGTATCTTGTTTTTTTATTTATTTACTAAAAATTATCTTTAAATATTTTAACCGTTTTGGAACAATTCAGTGTTGTTGTTGGTATTTTAAATAATATGTTATTGTATAATACTATAATGTATGTAATGAACGATTAGATTCAATGAATATTAATAATTGTAGAACCTTACATAAAATAATAACCTACGCATATTTTGTCGACGAATAAGTTAAATCATATTTTATGTCAATGAATTATTTTACTAGTAGGGGAACTATTCCTTACTTTTATTATAGAGCCCTGTTTAATAAATACTTCCTATCATAATATGTAAAACTATTTACAGTTACCAGGTACCCATAAATAAATAAAATGATTATTCGAAACGGGAACATTAAATTCTTTTGAGAATAATGTAGGATCCTATAATATTGCTATAAATATTTACTTAATTAAGTATAATTTTAATTCATATTTATTAGAACCCGTATTTGCAAATTTCTATTCGGCTAGTCCACTTTAGTTATGCACTATACAGTTATAACAAAGAAATGAGTTTTTACATAATATATTGTATACAAAATTTCGAATAAAAAAGCTATGTTATAATAATTATCTTAAATGTTTATTACTTTGCTACAGTTTTTAGCAATGAAATCGATTAAACATTTATATTGTAATATATTACTTAGGTACTCATTATACTATATACATTTTTACCATGCATGCATTGTGTAATGTAAAATGTATGCACAGTCGTGCAGTGTATTCGAAACAAGTATATATATTGAAAAGTATCAATAAATACGCGTATCTTAGATACAATATTGTATATCTTGTATCATAATAGAGTTCTGGAAAATATTGAGTATTGAGTATCGAATTTCGATATTTTTTTGGGGTATTTAGTCTAGGTGATAGGTGATAGATCTATCAAGTATTTCATAAAATTGTTATTACCAAAAATGTCACTAGTTAGGTACTTCGAAATATTTTTTTTTTCAAAGTAAATTTGACAGTATGTACACGCTATAAAGATGGTAATGGCTTTTTGAAATTGTTCGAGTTTTTGTGGATATTTCTTTTACTCCATAAAAAAACTTAAAATTTAATACAAAAGTACTGCAGATGAAAAAATAAAAAGTTTATCATGATATTACATTTTTTTTTCTATTTGTAACATTTGAAGTTTAAAGTTTTTAAAAACTAAACTGTGGTATACTGTACATACATAATCAAAGTTAATAGGTATAATCATTATATTAATTATTAATAACAATAATTATATTATTATTATAATTGATTTCCATGTACTTATTTGAGTATAGTTATTTAATAATTCAAATTTAAATACTTAAAATGTAAAATGTTGATATCGAGTATAGATAGGTATATACTTGATCTATATAGATACTCATATTACAGTATTTTTCCTGTCCCCACGTTATATTTCGTTAAAAAAAATATTTATGTGAGAATTCTATCAAAAGCTTTTTGTATATATACTGAAAATCACATGGCTAAAATCTCAAATTGATACAGGGTTATTGAACTTGACTTTACTATTAAACAATTTAAGTAGAAGTCTAATAGAACGAGGTACCTTAATGAATAAATTAAATAAATCAAAATTACTTAATTTAACATACTATATTATAAACCTACAACTATATAATTTTAAACAGTTTTTGGAATTACACAAGTAAAAAAGATGTGTCATTTTTCGGGGAAACGTAGTTTAACAAATTTATAAATTCTTGAAGTATATTACATAGTATCTATAATAATTGTTAAACTAGTATTTAAAATGTAAATTAAAAATAATTTATACTAAATATGAAATTGAAAAAAAAACTTAAAATAACTTTGTTTACGTATAAAATAAAATATTTGTTGTACCAATATCTTTTAAAATTTAAATATTGACAAAAAGGGAGTCCTTTTAACTATATTTATCTTTTACTTATATAATGAAAAAATTATTAGATTTTGAAGTCTGAATCATGTATAACTTTTACAATACTAACCTATATAGAATTGAATATTTATCATAAATCATTTTTTTTTTTTAATTATCATCCTCCCCTATATAAATATAATTCCGCTTGAATAAACGTAGAAAAAAAATCATCTATAACGAATAATTTGTTAAGTTTTTAATGATAAAACAGCATAAACACTAATAAAACTTATTATGACTCGATTTTAGATAGTTAAAAAAAAAAAGAAGCAATTGATGTTATAAATATTAGTATTATTATTTCTACAGTAAATCGAGTTTTACAATCTTAAACAATAAAACGATTAACTGAATAGCCAGAAGAAATAATAATTGGTATGTGACCCCATCATATTTGTACAGACAATGCATTAAAATAATCTTATGTTTAAAGTTTTATAATCTATCGTATACAGCAGATATGGATTATCTATACATTTATTGAATACGGACCTATCTATTTATTATAATTAACTGGAAAAAGTTCATGACTGTACATTTTTATTTTTATTTTAATATTCTTTGTTAATGCAGAGTAGGTAACTCAATTAGCTTGATTAAAAACTATCTATTATTTTATAATATATACCTACCCGAATAAAATTAATAAAACATACATATAATTTTATTATTATTATAATCAAATTATTGGTTATTACTTGAACGTGGACGTAGACATTGCCACTCCTCTCTGTTTTGACGAGGAATCTCTGCAAAAAATTTAAAAAAATTTCAATAAATGAAAACACTTGGTAATTATTTAAAAAATTATTATAAAAAAAAGGTATATTTAGGTATCAATAATACTATAATATATATTCAATAAAATATTAAAATTATTGAACAATTTTTACTGAGTAAAATATCAAATGAATAAATAATATGTACTATAAATATAGTATACATTATATGAACATCATTTTTCATATAAACGTATTACTCATTAGCGTTTCTACCATAATTTGTAATAATTATAATACACAACTTATACAAATGTTGGACGTGAATATTGCAGCCAATTAAAAGACTGGAATGGTTAGTTACAAAATTAAATAACTTAATAAATTAAGTTATTAAGTTAAATACGACTGGAGATTTAACTATGTTTTATAAATAAAATTAGAATAACACGAATTAAACAAAACATTAATGCACACTGATAGCTGCAAATAGCATGTGCAATTCAGAGGAGTTAGCGTTGAAGTCTTGAAGACTTAACGAAAGATTTATATAGGTAGTAAAAATATCAGACAAATTTTTATTGCAAACTCGGATACCTACTCTTTGTAATTTTATATAGGTAATTGACAATTATTATTGTATTAGAAATTGTAAAATATAAGAACTCTTGGACAGAATTATATATGTATATATTTTAAGATTCTGAGTGTAGTGTTTGTGGGGAACGTAGATGTATTTACCTTTTCATCAATTTTGGAAAACCATTTTTTAGTTATTGTAACCGCTTAAATTTTTTCCGCATTAAGCATAGATGTGAAACATGAATCTGGTGGTAATTAATTTGAAATATTTTCGAAATTCTTAACTTGTAGTGTTGAGACTCACTTCAAATCAAATATAACCAATATTGAATGGACTTAACTTAATTTAGAAATTATTAGTACTACCATTTAAGCAACGAATGATAGGGAAATTCAAAAGTAATAAAATTGTTAAATGTTTATTGGTTACACCCAGAATCGATTTTTTTTTTTTATAATGATTTATTCAAATATTATAAAAAGTTGAACTTAAAGGAAACCTACACAATGAAAATTGTCAAAATGTGACGTATTTCAGATAATCAACTTTTATTTTACAATAAAATTTCCAAAATAAATTATTTAAGAACGATATTCTTGATTTCAAGGAGAAAATAAAGAAGCATAAATTTAATATTAAGTGGTCTATGTGCTTAAGAACTCATGTATATATAATATTTAATGGTAATAAGACATTTCAATATCCTTTGAGGGCCCTGAACTAAGTCAAATACCTTTGACCGTCTCTTGTGTTAATACCTACTCGTGTATCACAAACTATTTAGACATTTCTAAGTACGATATATCACCGAAATTACAGTTATCTATTTTACTTAGATTAATATAACGCTCATCTTAGGCAATTCAATACAAAAAAAAAATACATTTACATAACTGTATCTCTTTTAAAATAATCATATTGTAAAATCCAAATGTATTATAACAGTAGGTACTGAGTCCCTATTGGGGCTTATGAGAGTTCACACAAAATAAACTGAACACTCAACTGATACAAACTACAATCTAAATTATTGGTGCCATTCCTACATAATATCTCAAGTAACTCCATATATATTTATTACAGCATTTTAATCTCAATTTTTCTTTCGCAACCTCTGCATTTATAATTTGTATACAAATAAATACAAAAATAGAATAGAATAGTAAAAACATGTGATGACAAAAATTACAATTTAATTAACATCTGTTAAAAACTAAAATTTAACGAAGAATTGTAAAATTAACGAAAGGAAAATAATGATGTATGAATAACTATAAATTATAATAAACATCTTAATAAATCAAAAATAACGTAAAACGAACTATGTAGGTATCTAGGTATTTATATCTTATGATCATAGTGATTTGGCTTTTTCAAAACGGATAAAATTTTTAGTTAATCAAAATGTATGACTGTTTAGAAAATATATTTAGTATGATTTATATATGTTAATATTAAGAACTGAAGGTAGATTATATATTTGAATACAATTTTAGATAACTAATAGATACTAGTTATGACATTTTTTTCACTTTTTACTTTTATTTGATGATTATTTTAGAGTTTAAACTTTTTCCAAAAAGTATTGATATTTCAGGTATATTATTATTTAGGTACGTAGCCAGAGGAGTCCCTTGACCTCCATGGATGTAGTCATAGACGGATGAGGATTCGTGAGATCTGGAACTTCCAAAATATTTACTTTTCTCAAAAAAAAAAAGATTATTGGTAGTTAGTAATAAATTTTATATTTGGACCATTCTCCCCCTCCCCCAAAAAAAAAAATCCTGGCTCTGTGCCTAACATTATTATTATGTTTTGATATATTTGTATTTTACAGTATTTACAAATTTGTAAAATTAAAATAAAACCAAATAATATAACTATATAATATATATTACTTGGTAGGTACCAGCATTGATTTTAGAATATACAGATAAGCTGTGCTGTACAAAATACTAAATAGTGACTACAGTTAAAAACCAAGTATCTGTTGACAACGATGGGATACCTTAAATCGTCGTATAGCTCGGATTATCTGTATATTATAATAATTAATAGTATTAGATATTTATAGTTATGACTTATGAATGTTATCGCGATAAATATACATATATACAGGATGTATCAGAAAATAATGAATACTATATGGAGTATTATATGTGACTATAGAAATAAGGTTTTTAGATTTTTTTTAAACTTTGGTTTACTGGTTTTAAAATATTTATAAGAAATAAAAATTAAACATACCAGAGAATCGTTATAAATAAGGGATTGCTCGATTTTTTTAAAAAATTATCATTATCGTCGCTATTTTTGGCCTTATGTTTGAAATCGTAATTTTGGTATAACACATGAATTCGTATAACCATTTATCAGGGATTTCGATAGAATAAATTATTTTTTATTTAAATGTAAATTTAACGAACCTATCAGAAAAATACAACTGATTTGATTGTAAAAAAACATAATAAATATCCAAATTCTGTTGTCTTTATTAAATTTTATTATTACTAGCAAGAAACAAATTATTTGAGTAATTGTTTATCATGACCTCCATTAAATTCAATACATTTAAAAAGTCTTTAATAGAATGACCTAAAAACAGTTTATGATCAATAAATTGCCAGTAGGAAGCAGCTTAATGAACGAATAAATAATGCGGCAGAAAAAAAAACTTACTCCAGAACTTTTCCAAAATATTTGGAGGTTATTCCATCAACAATTTCTTTAATGTATTGAAGTTAACGGAGGTGAGGTTGAATAGTTATTCAAATAATTTTTTTATAACTATAATAACAATAAAATTCAAGAAAAACAACTAAATTTAGGTATTTATTATGTTGTTTTAAATCAAATTAGTCGTATTTTTTTTATAGGGCTATAATATTGGTGCTTAAATAAAAAATAATAGATTCCGTTTAAATCCCTGACAAATGTATATACAAATTCATGTATTACACTGAAATTACGATTTGGACATGATAAGCCAAAAATAGTGACGATAATGAGTAAGTAATCATTTTGAAAGATAATTTTTCAAGAAATTCTTTGATATGGTTTATTTTTATTTTGTACGGATATTTTGCAAATATAAAATCAGTAAAATCAAAGTTTTGATGTTAAAAAAAAAATTCAAAAACCCTATTCTAATAGCCACATAAAGAATAACATTCCGTAGAGTTTATCGTTCTTTTCTAAGACATCCTGTAGATTAATGAAAACGTTTTAAGGCTTACATTAATAACCATAATATTATCAATCGAAAAACCATGACACCAATCGATATTATAATAATAGCAAAAAATTAAAACTCTCTCCAAACAAACTATATAATATTGTACTTGCCGACAATCACGCTAGTATTCTGTGTTTATGTATGGTTTACGACCATGTAAATAAAACAACATTTTTTAATTTTTTTTTTTTATGTAGGTAAAAGACGTATTAAATTGGTCTCATTAAGTGTATGACGTAGGTACAACAATGTAATTGTAACGCGGCATGCGTGTACACATCAAGTGCGCATTGTATACACTCATGTCCCTAAATTGCCTATAGAATGCGCCGTATAATAGACATCCTGTCTCCAGTTTACAATCTCATCATCAGACACAAAGACTATACCTATAATATAATAATATAATATTACCATCATAATATATACTTAGTACTAAGTCACACCCATATAATAATAGTCCAATAACAGCCCTCGAGCTATTTGAAGGGGATGGGAACGATAAAAAAAAAAAATAAAAAAAAATATACGTTTTAAAATAATTCAGTTAAAGGTTATGGTGCTGAAATATTGTTTAGAACTCAAAGTACTAAATAAAAAGTCTGCGGGTAATTCAAATTTTAACTGAACATAACCGCAACCATTGCGTTCCCGAAAGTATAAAAAAATAGTTAATGGTTAGGTTGACCGAAGAAAAATTGTACAATCTTTCCCGAACAAAATTGTTTTCCATGTCAAGTAAAGAAAATTATTAATTAGGAAAGAATATATAAAGTTGTTTAAGTCGAAGTTACGGTACTCTCCTCAAGTATGCTTTTGACGTCTTTAATCGGTTAACAATAATTTTACGAATGTACATATTTGCTTTAAAAAAAAAAGAAAAGAAGATTCATTCTCCAATTTGTACAATCATTTATCAGAAAATCAAAAGCCTGTTTTGCTCTTATTCATGCCTATACAATATTACAGATAACAAAAATCTAGATGTGACGACCGACGACGGGGTTACACCATGAGAAAATAAATAATCATTTATAATATTAAAGATTGCTAATTCGCAAAAAAAAAATAAAGTGACTTATAACATACATCCGTTAGTATATTATTATTATTGTCGTTGCATAACCGTGCTAACCATCCGGAAAATGGAAAATACTATTAAACACATACATATATATTATACTTATATATATAATAAGATATTATTTGTGTGTGCGTTTCCCGCCATCGCATTCTTCCGGGACAAATAATCAATACCCCGAATGCGCGCCTTAGCAATAACGACCCCCGGGGACTACCCGCCCAAACTCTACCCGCAGCTCGCCTCCCTTGTTCAGAAACGCCTACAACAGTCGCCGCCGACCTCCCTTCTTTCCGCCTCCTACGCCGCCGTCGTCGCCGCTGCCGCCTACCAATAATATCATTCATCGAAATCACACTCATCGTCGGCTTGCGCCATTTTATTCGCTATGTTACTATCATTATAACTATATCGGTATAGATAATACTATTATATACGTATAGTTATATAGCTATTTCGCGTAAGAAAAATCCGTGTCGTATCGGCGAGACAACCCCGCGATAAGTTTACGTGTTATAAATTCCCTATACGTCCTTCCCGGGGTGTTGTTACCAGTGGGGGGGAACCGCTGAACCGGGACGGCGGGGTGGGCGAAAATGCGCGGCGGAGTGTAAACGTTGCAAGGCCGCGGACAAAGTTATCAATATATTATAGTACTGCTACGCACGCTCGATTATTAATCGCCGCCCCGACATCGCGTTCGCGGATACCGGAAAATCACAGACGTTACCTAGACGGGACGACCCGGCAGAGGGGAAGCCCTATTTATCCAGATGCTATTTATTTACATTTCGCGAACGCCCCCTCCGATCAGCTCCAAGATATTTATCGTAATAATAATCGTATGATTATAATCATATAAAACCAATATAATTATACAGGCAACTATAATATAATAACAATATAGTAGTAACATTAATAAACGGGTGGCTGCGGGTTTCCCTATTATACTCACTTGCGAGTCACTCATGTTAGATCGACGTTTGTTTTTCGTGCGTGATTGCCCACTCGGTAAAAATCCGTGTTTAAGTATTTTACGGAAACGGTGCCCAGGGTGAAACGGCTCGGTGCGGTAGTCGTGGTTTTTCAGACGTCGAGGACGAAGGCTGATGCGGAGACGGCGGTTGTAGCGGTGGACGTTCGGATGACGGGTGCGATACTCTGTTAATGCGGAAGGGGTGAGTGTATAGTGGTGAACGCGAACCGCACAGAGACGGAGATACGCGACTGTACGAACGTGGCGTACAGTGTTGCCAACGCGCCAGCGTCGCCGCTGTCACCACACCGCCTCCGCCATACCAGCCCTGCTCTCCGACCAACCGCCCGACGTGCTGTATGGAGGAGTGTGTACCTATACGACGGCAGCGTCGGGGGATACCCAGCTCCTGGTAAAGTCCACAGCAGACGTTCAAATCGTATTTACAGTACACACTTATGCCGGGCAGAAGGGGGGAGGGAGGATGGGATTTTTTTTATATCTATTCCGACGAAACTTCGCTGTTTCTGTTTGATTTAATTCCCCGTGCCTAATTTTGCAGTCAGAGACGAATTCACCTCCGCTCCACCCAATTTCTGCACCTTTAACTTTTCCTCCAATTTAGACCGTATTATATATAGCTGATATAATATGTTTAAATACACATACACGCAGAGCCGTGTTTGACTATTCGGCGGAAAACATAAGATTTGAAAGGTGGACTCGATTTCAAATTGATTTTAAAAATCAAATATTATGATTTTGGGTTTTGATTTGAACCATACATTATAACTATATCTTGAGATTTCTAAATATCAATGGTTAGATCAATTTTTTTTAAAATTAAATTTAAAATCTTAAAGGTTACCTAAAATAGTTTTGTTTAGGCATATAAAGTTATACCTACTCACTCTAAATAGAGTTTTTATCAATATTATACTATAGGTATACAGTATTATAAATATTATATACTTATAATTATAATTCATAAATACTAGTAAGTACAAGTAATAACTATACGAGTTCTGGCTATTAAATAACGAGACTGATTATGAAAAATGGTTTTATTTTAAAAATTATTCCACAACCAAATGTTCCCTTTCAATATACTCTCCTCCCCTTGCCACACACCGTTTAATTCGTTTCTTTCATAGCTCGAGGCAGTGCTGGATGTCTGTTTTCGTAAGACCATTCAGGAGTTCCGCCGATTTTTGTTTCACCTCTTCCATCGACCCAAACCGGATTCCTTTTAAGGTAGACTTTATCTTCGGAAACAAGTAAAAGTCACAGGGTGCCAAGTGAGTAAGACGCGTGTTCGAGTACTGGAGTGCCTTAAGCGGCCAACTAACGCTTCACAGACAGCGCGTTATGGGCAGATGCGTTATCCTGGTGCAAGATCCACGACTTGTTTTTCCACAATATCGACCGTTTCTTACGAACTCATTCGCGCAATGTTGCCAAAACTGTCAAATAGTAATGTTGGTTCACAGTTTGATCCTCTGGAACCCATTCAGTCATCACGATGCCGTTGATNTTTGAATTTGGATTACGACTGAATTGGATTCCGGTGCACTCTCGACCTTCAGAAAATAATTTATGCCACTCAAAAACACGCGCCCGAGATAGAAAATCCTCACTATAGGCCTCTTTTAACAACTTATAGCACTCAGTTGGAGTTTTTTTTAGTTTAACGAGAAAATTTTACGTTTATCCGTTGCTCATGTTTTTCGTCACACATGGTTTTCGGCACGAGAAAAAAACACGTTCGTTTCTAAACACTACAGAAAAAATACTAATGCACCAACAAAAACCCAATTTTGTATTGACATAATAGAGACTTCCAGCTAACCAGCGCTGTATTCGGTTTTCCCTTAACTTTTTTGGGACGTTTTCTGTGCGCGCAGTCTCTTTATTTAATAGACAAACCTCGTATTACTGATTATTATAAAATTGACCGAGGTATGAGATGTACGTACCACGGCAAATGTGTTTTCTTTATACCATTTAACAGCCCCGATGAACGCTTTTGTATTTTATACAAATGTATTAACAATATTACATAAAAGCTCTACTCTAAAAATATCTAAAGCAGATGTATTATATAGATGATGTTTTTATCAATTAATTGTTAAAATCACAACAGAGCAGTCACAGAAAATAGGAGTTTATGCTTCCTGTTTAAATCCGATTAGAAACATAGGACACCAAGCCAAAAAATCGGACAATCCTGTTTAAAACAGGACGTGTTGTCATCAAAATAAATTAGTCCACACCAAGGATTTTTTTACATATATTATTATTTTTAATAATAATGTTGTTTATACTTAAGTCTAACGAATATTATGGCCGGCAGTGTGTGAAACGGCTCACAAAAGTTAATGACGACCATCGAAATAGCACACTCACCTACTGCGGTGGTTTCCTAACAACAACAATAATAATAATAACGGCGATTTGATACCGTGGTTTGTGTGTAAATGGCCACAGGTTGTTTATAATAGAAAAAAAACCACCTCTACTATAAATATGAGTAACCCATTAGTAAATATAGTGTATAGACGGACATATTATACTTAATTATATTATTATATAGATAGGTAGTGTAGTGTTGGGTATCGAAACTCCCATGACAATAACTTGATTACGATTTTCGTTTCCTTGGAGACACACTCGGCCGATATGACGCACGTGCTAATTTCCCGATCAAGTTTACAAGTGCATGATTGGGAGTAATATATTAATATATTTTACTCGTCCCTTAAAAGTAATACCTCCATTAGGGTTTTTTTTTTTTTAAGAAATTACATTATACTTTCTGTAATTTAATCAAATTAATAATACTATATGATATATGTTCTACATGCTTTGACAATAAATAAGTTTAAAGCCAGTTTTAATTTTTTGAAACTTAGTTTTATGTTTAAAATAACGAATATTTTTTATTAATTCAATACTAAATTATCGAAGTATAATTATTAAGAATAATTAAGAGAATTATAAGAAAATAAGTAATAATAACTATATTATATACAATAAAGCTCATTTTAGGGCGGGAGTTCTAAACTGGTAGAAATGTTTGATTTGATTGATATTATTTTTTGATGCTTAAGATAATTAAAATTTTTTCCATTATCACTAATAAAAAATATAAATCGATTCACCAATTTGTCAATAAAAAATTATTTTTTAAATGTTTTTTTAAACTTTAAAACAATTTAGAAACTTTTGTTCTGTTTAAAAATATATTTACAAAATCGCATCTTAGATTTTGAAAAAGGAAAGTTGTTTAAAAATTTAAATATTTTATTTTTAATTATCAAAAATTTAAAATAGAGTAATCATAGCGTGAGGCTTTAGTAAATACTAAAAAAAAAAAAATTCTAAAAACTAAAAATATGGAACACAACCATAGTTATTACACTTGTCGAATATTGTCACACCTTGTGTATATTATTATATAATATAACTACTGAGTACCGAGTACATGTACCATCATGTTCAATATAATTTTTTATTTCAATATGATTTTTCTACATATATGAGTATATGTTTGAAATAAATATTATTATACTGCATTATAATTTTAACAATAATACAATGTATACAAATACTTCACAGTTCACATCATCATGTCACTTGAAAGTTAGAACAATATAAAATTATATTTTTATTAAAACTTCCCGTTATTAAGAAAAATCCAATCATAATGGCACATAAAGATGTCGTAAAACTTGTAATATGCCAATAAATATTAAAATATATTCTTACCTATATAATTATAAATAAAATTTTGATAACAATATTTATTTTTATTATAATTTTTTTTTTTTAAATATAATTTTTGATATTTTCTTTGATGTGAATTTAACAAATTTAAAGTTATGTAATGTATACTGATTTAAAGCACCGACTTCTTTAAATATAAATATTATAAGAATATCAAATGTTTGAAAATAAAAAATAAAAATGACGTCTTTTGGGGTAGAGCATATAGAAGACATATCAATGGTTAGAGAATAATATAGAATTTTTTTTGCAACTGTTAATTGATCTTTACAACCTTTTACAACCAAAATGTAGGTATGTAACTTTTTATTTTTTATTTTTTGTGGTATTTAATATATTATAACTGTAACAAAAGTGATTAGGTTAAAAGTTTTAGGTAACCTACTTATTATTATTATTATTAATATTTTTTAGTTACTATAATTCAACTATATTCTAAATCAATTTTATTTGAACTTAACTGTGGAACTAACTTATTTATATATAGCTAACCTATTTAGGTATATGAATTTAAGGCTCAATTATAGATACATTCGAATTCTCTCAGAACCCTTTCACCTTTCACCNCACTGTTGTAGAAATATACACACATTTTATTTTTAGTTTACCTATCAATTTTCGAATGGGGCCCAGAATACTTTTATTACTAAACTGCACTCCAATGACTTCATGCCCTAATATTTAATTATGTATAGCAATTATTAAAATATATAGATAAAAAAAAGGTGAGTACATATATTTTTTAGGAATTTCATTCGATTTTAAATATGAACGCGTATAAAAAAAAAACCTACTGAATTATAGTACAAAAAACTTTTTTTCTTGACCACTAAGTATAAGTTTATGATAAACCACGTGTACAATTTGCAGGCATTTATACATTTCATCAAAACAATTTTATCCACATGAAATAAAACAAAAACTAAAATAAAATATTTTTAAATAGCTAAAACATATAATTATTTTATGAAATCTCAGATTTTTACAATATTATTTTGAACCTAATTACAACAAAAATATAATGAAAACATTATTTTCGGAAACAATCCCGTTGTTCCAACATCTCTTCACGGATTTTCATAGTTCAAACTACAAGGAATATTAAAAGCGACTTTCATATACAAAAACGTAAGAACCTTTATTTTTCAGAAAAGATGCTACACTTAAACATCGGAGCAAGTTTACTAGGAAGAAACGTGTCCATAGACTAGAACAAAGAAGAAGAAAGAAAGAATAAACGGCATTGTAAAACCAATAGCTCCCTGGCTACGCTCAGAATTTAAATGTTACGAATTTTATCAATATTTGAATTTAAAATGTGAATTGAAACATAAATACATTTCTTACAATTTTTTTTCGACCACCAAGTGAAGAATTCACGTACAATTTGCTACTGCACACACATCGATTTTCCTTTTCCTTCTCCTCAAAAAAAAAAAAAAATACTGTGAATAATTTTTTAAAAAAATGCATTAAGTACCACCAAATGAAGATCCTGTATTTTCCAATGGTTTTTTCACATAATCTTCTTATGTACTATACATAAAAAAAATCGAAAAAAATATTGACTATTTTGAAAAATAATTTCAAATAAATTACTATTGTGTGGTATATCAAATTATATAATATTAAATTTTAAAATAATTTACTCACACTATTGCATACTATGTGTGTAACGACGCATAATTTTAGGCCCTGATACGTATACTTGATATATCATAACATTTACGTATCTATATTTAATCACAAACTCATTTAGCTAATTGGTTAATAAATATGAGTATGATAAATTACACAACACGTTGAAATTCGGTAAACAATGAATATATGAATACTTGTAACATTCAAATTTTTTCATTATATTAGTAGGGTATTGAATTACTCTTTTTCACACATGAAATATTTAATAAAGCGCTTATACTTTATACGAATATAACTTCTCAAATGACAAGGACAAAGTTATTAATTAATTTTAATTATTATAAACAACATAATTGTATAATATATATAATATATTATATACTATAGTATTACAATATCATCCTTATAATTATTAATATTGGATGTAAATTACACAGGATACTTTTGTTTTATCATAATTCATATCAAGCTTAAAGTTACTTTTGGATTTAGTCTCTATTATGTAAACTTATTATACTTGCACACCGTTTTAAAATGTTTAAATTTACCTAATTTTAATTATGAAGGTGAATATTAATACGTTAAAATCCGAATCGTATCTCAAAAAGAAAAAAATTTTGAATTATATGTTATCTCTTAAAGGGGTCTGCTCGAATTGTATGTCACTTCTAACAAGAGTATAACTGAATTACATGCCGTGTATAAATTTACTTTCATAACCTAATTTTTTTTATTTTAGACTTCTAATAAAAAAAAAAAGTCAATCAAAATTGTTTAAAAATATTAATTTGTATCTATATACATACATTTTATTTAGTCTCAAAATCACCTAAAGTAATGTATGCACAAAAGTAAGCATATATATGGTGTTGCCAAAAACAAAATAAATACTTCATTATATTAGGTATATTGACAACAATCAATTAAAAAATATAAGATATAACGTTGGATATAACAATAATCGTAAAATTAAATTGTTTATACATTTAATAGGGAATTAAAAAATTAAAAATGTTTAACCACAATAGTACGGCAATCAAGTTTCTAGTGTTGGTCCTAAGTTTTAAAAATGTAACAAGAAAATATCACTTTAATTTAATTTTAATTCAGTAATTTAAAGTTAAGTGATGGTTAAAAAGTAGAGATTTATAGCTAAAAAATAAACTACGTTTTTTTTTTATGAATAAATAAAAATAAATATTTTTAAACAATCTTGATTGGTTATATTTTTTAGTTTTTGAAAAATTAACTCTAAAATAAATAATTGTGATGAGTAAATTTTTACACGATATGAAATTCGGACAGATCTCTGTACGAGTTAGTATGTAATTCAGACGTCCTAATTTATGTATACTTTTTTGGCATGAAATTCAGATATGCAAAATTTTTTAATACTAAAGTACATAGGTACACTTTCTTATATTTTATGTACCTAAAATTTGAATTAATATTTTTAGACTAGAGAAACAGACACGACTCCATTGATTAATTTGAGTGGCCAATTTATGAAAAAAACAAAACAAATTAACATATTCACACTATAAGTTTAATTCTTTCTATTTTAGTTTTTATAAAAACATCTAAAATATTACTAATTACATTTAAAATATCAACTTCCTGATGTACATTTGATAAACATAAATTTGACTATCTATCATCTGATATCCTTGAGTGAAACCACGATTTCACTTTCAATTATTTTAGAGAAATAGGAAAACCTTCAGACCTGCTATTTATAGGACTAGTCATTTAGATTAAAAAACAAGGAGAGCCGTATATAATGGATAATATTGAAATATTATCCATTCAGGATAAAGTAATTATCAACTTCATCATAGAATTACCAAAAAAAAAACCTAAAAATAATAATAATATTATAATATATATGCCATTATTAACAAAAAATTAACAAAACCTTTGAAAACAACGCAAATGTAGCAGCAGTGATCAACAAATATTATTATTATTATTTTTTTTTTTTATTTAGAATAATGAGTACCTATAACTTTGAATAAAGTATACCATTTATTTGGCAGTTTACCATTGCGCTGTGAAATAAATATTGTTTTTAATTATCTTATTTATAGACAACGACCGCATAACAACAGTAGTCGAAGCAGCAACAACAACAACAACAGCACGTATATTATTATTTTGTTAATATTATTATGTATAGCAAAAAAGATGTTTTTCATCAATGTGAATGTAAGGAATCCAAACGTTTCGTAAGCAGTAATAATGTTTTATATTCTAGCTCGGGACTATTAAGTATAACATAATATCGATTTACCCTCAAACCAAAATGTTTCACTTTCAGACCACCCGTAGACCGTGGTTAATGTGAAATCACACACTATCATACCATCATCGTGTCTAAAACATAATATATGTATCTAATATGTTATTGAATAGGTATTACCTATTTGTTCCAATAACCTTTGTGTTTGCGAATAAATAGTTAGAATATACATAAAATATGTGAATAAATGGATATTAAAAGTAAAATCGAGCCTATAGTTGGTAACAGGTCATCGGTACATGAATTATGATACTATGTAGGTATCAATGGCTAAATAAAAAATTGCTACGAAAAAAGTAATAAACTTCAGTGAAAATATAGCCGAATACAAAAATGACCAGTAGATAATATAACAATGGGGAAAATTAAACATTTAAAAAAATATATATTTAAATACAACTTTTTAACTGGCTTTTTTGTATTTGGCCATATTTTCCCGTGGTTATTTAGTACGTGGATATTTACACTTGGACATTTTTTTTATGACCATTTTCGATTGAGCAATTATTACCATGAATGATGCAAAACCAGATTTTAGGTAAGTGTATAATACCTACGTTCACTATTTACCAATAGTAAGTTTTGTCATACATTTTGTTTTCTCATTGTAATTGTATTAGAAATAATTGTAATATAGACCTAAAATTTCAACGAATATTTTTATTATAGTACTTTTGTAACATACCTCCTTGGTTTCCGAAATTGAACGTAATGGGGTTGTCAATATTTATACTTAGAGGAGGTATACAATTATCAAAATAGTCTAGCGACAGTTGAGCTATTTATAACCATTTAAAATTTTCAAGTTTTTATTTATTTATTTATGTAGATAAAATTGTTTTAGCTTAGTAAAAATTATCGACAATTTAAACTGGAGTTTTTGAAATGAATTATTATGTTAAAAAAAAATACCCTCAAAACAGTAAAGTTGAGATTGAGTCCTAGTACACAATCCAGAACCTAGTCCTATAATATATATATATATATATATATATAATAAATTGAGAATTTACGTCGAATAAGAAGCATCGAACGCTGTAGCCTAAAAAGCCCGAAGGTCACTCGGAAAAAAAATAGGTCACATCTAATATTTTTACCAACCACAAAAACAAATAATTCAAAAAAAAAAAATTAAGCATTATAATATATATATTATATACTTCATAATGCTTAATGCCTCTTCGAAAAATTTAAAAAAAAATTCACGTTGGACGCATTATAATACTATTTGCAGGTACAGTCACATTATTTGGTTTCTATATTATATTAAAATTCATATATTTTATATTAAAAATAATTATATTTAAATTTAAATTTATATCACAATGACAAATAATGACTTTGTATATGATCGAGAATGGACACCATCATAAACAGACAGGCAGGTGATTACAGAATGGTACGAGCTAATGCTCTAAACTCGGTATATACGGAAATTTAAGAGTGCAATAAATGAAGGCTGATATTGCAGATGAGTGTACCACTATTTTAGAAAGGAAATTCAAAGCAAAGATATATATTTTAATTTAATTTATATCTGTACGTAAAGATAAACCGTTGTTAAAGAAAAACTATTCTGAGCAGAGTTTTATTAGTCGTATATTTTCCTTTGTTGCCACGGTAACCCAGAAATCAACATCAATTGTACAAAAAATTACCGGCTTTTCCCAATTATTAAGAAAATCACAAATACAAATTTAAAAAACAGCTGCCCCAATGCACCAACTAGATCAACATTTTTACAAAAAGCGTTCTATTCAGTTTTTGATTGAAGCAAGACTACTAATAGAAAGATGTTTACAGACAGAAAAAAAACACTATTTTAAAACCAAAACATTTCAGGTTTCGCTCAGACCCTAAAAAAAACGTATGTATACCAAACGCGTTAGTTGATTTAGTTTTACTATTTTCCTGGCAGTCAAAACGCAATACTTTTATATCTGTACCAATAGACACAACAAAAACGATTCCTTTTAAATACACTCGTATAATAACATATAGATATATGTAATACGTATATTTTGATGATTATTTTTTAAATTTTTATTCTATTTCGGTAATAAAAAGGAAGCCGGCGCAGAACGGACGGGAGGCCGTATTATCCACGAGATATTTAAATAGTCCGACCGATTTATACGGAGCGCTCGTAGTGAAACTATACTAGAATCTCCGTCCGTTGCTGGAGGTTAGCCCGCGATGTTGGGCCCACAGTAGCTGAAATATAGGTTCACAATATACGAGAGCACATATATTTTTGTATTTATAGTGATTATGTTACGAAGTCTGTCTTTTGATGTCCGAACCTCATCAAATTCATAGATACACTCGACTCGTAATGTAGTTTTTGTCAGAGGGGAGCATATCAATTTTAAAATTGTTCTTTTTTTTCATGTTTTGATTTCAGGCAATGGTTTTTGAAGTGCTCAATTCTTAACTACCTACCTATACTTAATTATACGGTAGTGTTTTCAAGCGCTTATTTCGATGAATTTAAACGGCATAATTCCCGCAAACGCACTCGGTGATCCATACTGCAAGTAATATTCGAATAAAAAAAAATAAATATTATTTAACTGCAGTAGTGGAATAACATTATGTAACCATCACGTGTCATGATGGTATGGGATCGGGACAGTTTAAAAATAGGTACCTATAATTTTTCCTACCCGGGTGTGAGTGGTCTGTATACGCAGCGGTATCGGGTAACCCGCGAGCGGACGATAATAGTGCGGAGCGGCCTACGTGACGGCGGACACGTTATACCTACAATACCGCTTCGCGCCACCGCCACCGCGTGCCACGCCGTGGCAAATGAAGTCTACACATTATTATAATATTATAACCGGTGCCGGTGGTGGCCGGGCGGCAGTCGTAATAAACGGCACGTGCACCGCCGAAAACGGCAAAGAGCACGTGCTGCGCGCGTTCGACGTCGCAGTAGCCCGTGCTACGGTCGGCAACACTGAATCGGCTCGGCGCGGCCGCGGCGGCGGCCACCGTTGCTGCACGCAAAAAGCCCGGGGGTCGACGCGCTCGCCGCCGCCGCCGCAGACAACAACAACAAACGCCGAATAGTGGCGGCCGCGCAGCCGTTGTCGCTGACCCAAATACGCTGGCGGCCCTCGCGCACGTATTTACCGACGACGTCGTCGTCGTGGCTCGATCCCTCGTCGTCCTACTCGTGCCTCCCGCCCACCGTGCGAAAACCACTCGCTCACGCAATGACGGGGGACGGGTAGCGTGACGTAGGTATTATACTTACTCTAAAACGAGAACATAATATGTTTCTTTGTTTTGTACGTTTTCGGTACTCCTACCTGGTCTCTCCAGACCAGCGCCAGTTTAGGAAAAAGATACCTTATGTCCTTATGTGTTATAAATTAAAATATTATTGTAAAATATAATAATAAAAAAAAAAAAACAAAACACCACTTTTAAGTCGATGTCATAGATTCGGATATAGTGTGTTATAAATTAAAATATTATTGTAAAATATAATAATAAAAAAAAAAAACAAAACACCACTTTTAAGTCGATGTCATAGATTCGGATATAGTAAGAGACACTACGTTATCATTTGTTGTATACTTTTTTAGATTCTGAATATAGCGAGGGATTTATTGGTTTTTTACGTATTTTTTAAAAAAAACTCGAAAATTTAGAGAAATATTTCAACTATATTACATACCAAGGTGTAGGAAATCCACGTCTTTTATAGGTCAAGTTACGTTACGAAAGTTTGGGATGTTTCCTAACCGAAAAAATGTCAGAAAGTTGGGAATTTTATATTAAACATAAGATATATACATATTATCTTATAATCAAGGCTCTTAAGTTTGTGCATTTACATGATTTATTTGTTATATAAGAAAACATGCGAAGTCAGGTACAAATCCGTTTCATAACATAGTAATAAAAATATAAAGTTTAAAAAGGTATAATTTTATTTAGCATATAAGGTATGCAGAAGATTTTTTTTAAAGTAAATCTAACCGGGTTTCTTATTTATAAATAAGTCATTTTGGCGATTTTGGTTATAACTTTTGGTAACAGGTTACTGAAATATCATAACCAAACACAAAGGACGGTTATGCTATTTCAATAATAGTTTGGCTAATGATAATGATTATATGTATCTAGTCAATATTTTTGATTTCATAATTTTTAATTTTTAATTTTTTTAGTTTGTTTCATAAGATCATAATACCTAATGTTAAATCAAGTGAGCATATTTGTAAATTTCATATAGATAAGATGCCTAAAAAGCTATTCAAGCGAAAATATTTTGTGTGATTTTAAAATTAAAGGTTAGTTATTAAAAAATAAAATACATTTAACAATTGGAATAAAATATAGTTTAATACGTAAAATAAGTATCAATATGCATGTATATACACTATACAGATAATGTAAACTATCAGTTTGGTCTTTTATTCATGAATTATTGAATATATGAAAAATGAAAATCACTTTAATGTAACCATTGAAATTAATGGAATTATAGATGTATAGTATTAAGAATACATAAATTATCAGGTTTAAGAATTACATAATTTAAAATATAGATGTATATTATTTTTATTAACCATAACCATAATCATGGCACTTTTAAGAATCTCTTACCATTAACCAAAACTGTAAAACTAATGTCTGATAAGGAATAAAACCAGATAATTCGCCAAAACAAAATTCATGTTGTCACCATAAGCGGAACTAGATAATTTTATTAGGACAGGCCAAATGATAAATATGGAAAAAAGCGGTGGGCATTTTAGATGTGAGAATGAAGTTTTAATTTTAAATTATTTCATGTCAAACTGGCCTGGACAGTAGTTTCGACTATGGTTGTAGCAACGACTAACCAGTATAAATGCTTATTTCCGAACTTACAAGTGCAGTGGCGTGGCCAAGAAGGTAATCTAGAAGCGACCGCCTTTGACTTTTTTAAGGGAATCTACATATATTATGCTAAATTATAAAACAATTTTTAAAAAAGTGATAAAAATTTAGTATTAAATCTTTATGTGTGGTAAATGTATAGCAAATGGATGTCACGGGTTCTTCGGTAGGTAGGTGGAATAAAATTCTCGCCTCTGAAAGTATTTGATTTCACCACGGCACTGTTCAAGTGCATATTTTGGCAGTGTTTAGTGCATGAACTAACGAGCCCTGCTTATAGTAGGTATATATATCGATATAATAATGTTAATTGTTTTCAACAATCATTTCCAGCTGAATTTCTGATATAGTGGTTTAGTGGTTTCAACAATTTTAAAATCAAACCTATTTTAAAATAAAAAAGTCAATTTTTCGAGATTTATTTTTCTATTTTCCGGGGATTTTTAACCATATTCCTATCTCGGGGATTCGGTTTTTTTCTTTTCAAACCCATTCCTAGTAATCTATTACGAACTTACACGGCACATCATTCTAAAAAAAATTTAAAATGCCAAACAGATGAAATCTCCTACGTCGGAGGCGTTCGTTTATACGTATCGTTTTCAACAGGCGATTTCACACACATATTATATACGTATAATATTATATTATTCTATAGCTGTGTATCGCCAAACTGCGAACAGTACGGCCAAACACGCACATTTTAACGAATCGACACGCGAAAACAACACCCAAGCACATTTACTATATATATATATACACACGCGTTTATATCATCCTTTTAAGGATAACCGACACATCATGTCCCGAGGGGAAAATCCGAAAAAATAAACAAAGTAATCGTCGAATTTTCCATTTCAATGCTACAAAAAACTGACAAAAAAAGCGTAATAATTCCGAACTTTAATCAGAATCTTTGTTTTTCACGTTCCTATATATAATCATGGTTATCTTCTTCTCTTAAGTTTCGATGTCTAAGACCAGCCCTTCCAGAAAATTTACTGCCACTTTTCACTTCACCTCCGCCTCTTCTCCCCATCGTCTATTCTGTTCCACTACTTTTACATCCTCTTTTACCGGTCTTCTCAACTGCAGTGGTCTACCTAACGGTGTTTTACCTCACATTTTTCATTATCATTTTAATATGTAAATCCTATTTTCTTCAAGCGTGTCTAGCTCATGTTAGTCTTATCTTTTTAATTTCTGTTATTATATCTGCATATTAAAAACATTTTTCAGTTTTTCATAATGGCGTTTTTTTCCATTCCTCGTGTCATTTTCTATATTCTTTCAAATTATATTATTATTCCTTCATATATTATCGGTCAAATAAAAATTAAAAATTTATTCTAATCACGCTCTAAAACTAGCAACCCAAAAAAATGGCCTATCCTTAGTAGCATGTCCAGTAATTTTAAACAGGAGGGGATATTATTAAGCAAATTAATCATAAATCACGAATAAATCGTAGAATCATATTTTTCTCTTGTATCTAACCAGCCAATGGCTGAAATATATAGGTAACTTCAAAATAAAATTACTAAATAAATACTCGTAGTTGTATTTTTAAGCCAGTGAAGAATTCAATCTCAATTCCCATACCTCCACCCTACGCATCACGCTATTATCAAACCCAGTCTATATTATAATGAAGTTGTATTTATAGTTTTTCTTTATACAATATTATACTCTATTTATCTTCATCACACGCAATTTGAAATCAACTACTATAAACAATTTTTGTCACCTCCACATCTCCGTGCATTCACGATTATTTTAGATTCAAAGCGTAGGGAGGGATTTATTGATTTTACTATGATATTATGTGTTTTTTTTTTTTTTTTTGTGTCCGTAAACAACCTTTCAATCTTGCTTCGTGTATTAAGTATTCAAGTACATCATTTTTTTAGAAATGAAATTGTATCAAGTTGGTACATTAAATAGGCCATTTTTTTTTTTTTTTTTGATTTTTCAATAGGTTTTCAAAATAATTGGGAAAAAACCGGAAACAAAATTACAAGTAAAACGATAAATATTTACGGCACTCCGTGGCATTACCACTCGCATTGTTTTTAATTTGTGCAAACTATGTTTTCTACGAGAAATATTGTTCCGATAGAAAAGACCTCTTTTCTTTCATTTTTAACCTAGTTGGTGTATAGGCAAATCGGTTTTTATTATTTCTCAAGAGCAAAACTGAAAAAAAAAACGTTGAAAGAAAACATAGATTATTTCCATTTTGTTTTTTGCTGTAGTAATTCAATTAAAAATATTCATAGTGACTTGAAATCTTCGCAGACAACTTATATTTGCTTTTCTAAATGTAGTAAAAATTTCAAAACATTTGAATCATTTTTGGGCTATTTGTAGGCATTTTAATTATGCGAGTTTTTTACATAATTTTTATTTGTTACATATGCCTCTAATGGTATTTCCTCTAATCTCATAATTTTTCTTTTTAATTTAAGAAATAAATATTGCTTGACTATTCGATAATAATATTCATGACACTTTTTTTTTTCACTCTAAAAACTTGTGTAATATATTATATATTATGTTTTATGGCGGTTTCATAAAATTCCCATTGTAAGTTTTCTAGAAATCGTTCAAAACACCTATTCTCATAATATCGATTACAACTTCATATCCGAGACTAGATACGAAGATAAAGTATAGGAAAAATAAAAAATATTTATCATACATTTTGGAAAATCCATTTCTCTGTGGTGATATATGACAGAGCAATATAATACATGTATATATATATTTGAAATTAGCAATAATATAATACTATTTTTCTAATATATTCCTCCCAGCTCCTTGTAATACATAGTAAACATGATATATATTTATGGCTCACTTCCAATAACAAAATGAAACATGAATTTTCGTTCCTTTGATAAAAACACTTTTTGGTTAGGTTAGAAAACATCAAAAAATATTGAATGAGGATTTTCAACAAGAGTATATAATACTATTAAAGGCATGCCCTAAAAATATATACACATACTTATAAAAATCATATACAATGACAATTCAAATAGTATACTCGTACATAATATAAATACTATATATATAGTAAATATCCACATATTCAATTGGTACTATAGAATACATTTCTAAACATAATTCATGTGCTTTTACACAAATATATCAAAATATTTTTTTGTACATTTAAAAATAATAATTCAAATCTCCGGTGCATTTAAGTAGGATAAATTTAAATAATAATTAAAGAAACGTATACTGCTGTATTAATATATTAAGTTATAGGAAAACATTAATTTATAGATATGTCACTGAATAATATTTTCCTTTCATATTTTCGTCAATAATGTTTACAAATCGAAAGTATATACTAATCGTGAGAAATAAGGAATTAAAATCAGTATAAGAACGGTTATAAAAATAAACCTAGATACTTTGATATCACTGTCATAATAATTTTCTGTGGTTCACTTTATTCACTATTTGTGGATAAAAAATTACTAAGATTTTCTATTGTAAATCACAAACTGCGAAGATTCAACAAAAATATACGCTTAACTATTGGTATTATTAATTATTATAAAATACCCTAACCATAGATCACATTTTTGTAATTTAGCTTAAGCATATTTTTTCGATTAATTAAATGATTAGGTAACGTTAATAATTATTTTATTCAACAAAAAATTATAAGTGTCTATTCTCAAAATCCTACAGAGTAGGTATCAATAATTTAGAATTTAAGAAAGAGTGAAGAAGTGGTATATTATACCACATATTATACATTATACGAATATTGTACAAAATTAATTTTAGAGTAGATAGAGTAGATATATAAGATAAAACAAATAATGTTGAACGCATATTATTATTCGTATGTTAGTGACTGTATATTGAAACATTAGATTCTGATAAACTGAAATAATTGAAGACCTTGATAACTTACATCAATGGTTCTCAACCTTTTTATTTTATTTTTATTTTTACGAACCATCTCGATTGGCTGATGGCTTTTATTTTAGATTCTTAGTGGAGCGAGGAATGTATTGGTTTTATAATAATTTATATGTTCTTTTCTGTGGATAATTTTTCTACCAGAAAGTTGCTTACGATTTTCAAGTGTAGTACGGTTTTTGAAAGGAAATTTTATCCGGAGTGGTATCTTAAGAAAATCATTTTTTGATTTTCATAGCGTTTTTCATAATAATTGTGGAAAACAGGAAAATTTACGAAAAGAATGCTTTTATTTTCACAAATTTTAGTTTTGTAACTCAATGACATCTTCCTAGATGTCATCATTTTATTTCTCGACTTCAACAATAAAATGGTTTTGAATTATATTTTTGATACCTATTATTTCTGCATCATAATATTCTGGGAAATCGAATAAATTTGACAGTTTTTTCTGATGGTGCTAAACGTTGTACTAGATTTTTAATTTTAAAATTAGATGGTTCCAACGACCACTATCGCTTTACATATTATATTATGTTTTTAATTGTGTAGATATGACTCGCGGACTACCCCACATAATGTCTGGCGGATAATTACAATTTTTTTTCAGGGATGTGTTTTTTGTCGGCTTAATAAAAGAAAAAAAATTCACATTCGAGTTTTGGCAATAATTAAATTATCTTTGGTAAAATAACGATAAAAAAAAAATAGGAAAATATTATAATATTATAATGTATTAGTAAAATATCACGACTTGTTTTCTGTGGACAACTTTCCTACCAGCAATTTTGCTTCGATTTACAATGATAGCACTTTTTCTAAAAGGAAATCTAACTGGGAAGGTATTTAAAAGACATTTTTCGATTTTCTCAAGAACTTTTCCAGTAAATGCGAAAACCGGGAAAAAAACATGGAAAATTAAAATTGGTATAATATTAAATTAATATTACTAAAGAAAATATATGCTTATTTAATTATGTTACCATAATATTATATATATATATATATATATATATTGGTGACAAAGCACCACTATCAACTGAACTCTGTTCAGAATCGTTTTTTCGTTAGCAATGGTTTATCGTTCTAAATTAATATTTCCCCTATATCTTACCTTCTCAACTTCTTACAACAATGGCTGTACGCATTGTGCGAAGATATCTGCTTTTTTAAGGGTTAAAACTACTACCAATTTTTGATTTTAAATAACAACCTACATTAAAAATTCAATAAATAATATATTTTGACTATTTTGAAATTTTTGATTTCCATCAACGCCCTATAAATATATATCAATATAAAAAGAGCTGAAACTGGTGATAGGAGCGGCCACTGTTGTAGGTCAGAAAATGGGTAGGTAGGATTATAAGGTAGGTTAATTCATTTATATCTGTAAGCAACAATAAACCATTGTTTGATGAAAGACGATTTCAAGCACAGTTCGGTAATACATAATTTGAAGTGCCGTAATTATTTTTTTTGCGTTTTCATTTAAATTTGATTTCAAAACGTTTATTAAAAAAAAAAAAAATAAATCGTGAAAAAATAGGATTTTTTGTCCCGGTTAATCGTTTTTATTTCAAAAATCAAAAAATGACCTATGTATTTACCAAATGACTTCCAGAAAAGGTGCTACACTTATACATCGGAAGAAGTTTTCTAGGATAAAAATGGTCAACAGTATATAATAAAAAATAAAGTACCATTGTAACAAAAATAAAAAAAAAAATAAACTCGTCCAATGATTTTTGAAATTTAACCACGTATAGGTAAATCCAATATAAGTATTATTACCAAGTTTCAAGTTCCTACGTGTATTTGTAATCGAAATAAAACAAAAGAACTCCCAAAATTAAAATTCCTTAAAATCTCAAAAGTAGCTCAAAGTTTTGACAATGATACCACAAGAAAGTAAATCAAAAAGGCAATAAGAAAGGTATCTCGTGATTTTTAGATTAAATCATTTTCTGGTAGATAACGTCGTCAGTGTTTTTATAAAACCGTAAAATTTTACGTTTTCCTATGTTTTTTCCTATTTAAGTGCTTCTTTTTAAAAAATGGCGTCGAAAATCAAAAAATTACCTCTTATAGTACAATCTAGACAACTTGTGATTTCAGAAAAAGTGCTACACTTATACATCGGAACAAGTTTACTAGAAAAAACGTGTCTACAGACTAGAACAAAGAAGAAAAAAATAACAGCATTTTAAAATCAATAGCTCCCTCGCTACGCTCGGAATCTAATAAATCAAATAGCCACTAATGAATGCAACAGACAAAAAAAACAACATTCTGAGATTTATATAAACAATACACTTTTCGCTCCACTAGGAATCTAAAATTAATAATTAATATCGTGATATGTTTATGCAACGAAATAACCACCGACAAGTTTGTCACTACGGCACATGATGATACTTTGATCTACCTCTCTTTTTTCGTCATAGTGAATGCAATATACGCACGTGAACAAGAATGTACCCAGTTTTTCAAAAAATGTTTGAAAATAAAAAAATCACATTTAAATCGATATTGTTGTATTCAGTTTATATATTGAGGTATTCTGGTTTTATTCGTGTCTATCCAAAAACAAATTTTAGCTACAGCCCTACGATAATGCCGTCCCTGCAATTAATATTTATGTGTTTTAAATAAATTAAATTTGAAATCAAAATCGTAAGGATGATCATAGCCGGTCTCAATGTGTTCTCATTGAAACATCTATTTCTACATAAGTGACAAAAAAAAAACTTCTTTATTGGCTTTTATGAACTCGAATACCTTGTTCTTAAGAGATATGTTTATATGCAAAATATAAAAGTGATCTAAAATTCTCCCGTAGTAAATAAAACGTGATTGAATTTATTATTTAAACCTTTTTTTACAAATGGGAACCAATTTGAACAGTTTTTTGGTGCGATATAATATTTTATTGGAAACCAATTCCGTAGTTCCCGTTTACATAATTATATGTTTCCTCTTGTCGACTGTTAAAATAACGTTAAATTATATTATGACATTAATTTGTTATATTTTCATATTTGGGCTAATATAAGCTATAGCTAGGTAATATTTTTTATATTGTCACTTATTAGTAACAAACTTGAATATACGTAAAGTATATTAAATTTAACGTTTTAGCGAATAATGTGTAGGATGTTCACCTGTCTCCGGCACATCTACAATCCACGCCCACTCATCACTCATCAATTCGTTCTAATAAAAATTAAAAAATTATTATATATCGGATTATCACAGATTTTAAAGACACGAACACCAACACATCAATAATTATTATGACCAAAATAATTTGTGTTACAATAAAAGAACATCCTCTGTAAGTACGTAAAATTATTTAAAAATAAATATCTAACATAAAAAATATTTTCACTACAATTGAACAAAAATCGACCAACGTAATCAAATATAAATTTAATTTAAAAAAATAAGAGCTGATACTGGCGATAGGTCTATCACTCTTTTAGATAAGAAGTTGAGAAGATAAGATACATTAAGTAACTTAATTTATATATGTAACAACGAAAAGCCATTTCTTACAAAAATGACCCTGAGCTAAGTTCTTTTGAACAAGTTTTTAAAGGAAGTAAAATACACTATCTTCGTCAAAATTTGATATTAAAATTCTTATAAAAAAAATATGAAAATACTGCACTATAGTCAATTTTTTTTAAAACGTCTTATAATGAACCTCTATCAAATTTGCAAGCATTCATATGATAGTAAAATCAATATATTCCTCAATACACTTTCAGAATATAAAATGTATAAGTCATTTAAAAATAAGCAAAATTAAATATTATAATAAATAGGTCATTAAATTTTATATAACATAAGTATTATTAATGCGTATGGAAAATCAATATCTAAAAACATAGATTATAAATACATCATTATATAGATGTCACAATAAACAGAATACAGGTTGGTACCTATTCTCTGACTAAATATACACTTAGTATGTTTTGTCAAAACATTATTTTGAGTTTGTAAGTAGGTTTAGTTGGAATTTACTTTTGGCAGACTATACCTATTGATGTGTCTATCTGTCAGTTAAGGTAAACACTCAAACTGTAAAATTATTGACATAAAATATAAGACATTTTAAATGTGCCTATGTATATTAATTAATACATTGAAGGATTGGCGCAACAAGACTTCTGAGTAAGGAAATTTAAGGTTACATTTAAAACGAGTTGCAGGTTACTCCATAAATCCATTTATTATAAGTTAAGAACATTCTATTAGATTGTCAAATTTATATTATAGAATAAAAGTAATAATACATTATGAAATCACATCACTATGTTGGTGTGAAGTTTACTCAGATGAGCAAAATATAATATAATTTTAAAGGTTTTTCTCAATGTGATTATTTGTTCAACCATCACAATCTCTATCAATTTATCATTAATAAAAATAACTAGTTATAGTTTTATTTAGTATATTATCTATTATATAACTCTACACTGTTCATAAGAAAAATACATTAGCGCATTTTTTGGAAAAGAACCAATTGGAAGTTTTGACAAATATTTCAAGTAAAATAGAATATGTCAAAACATTAGCATCTTTTAAGTTTTAACATAAAAAAATCAGAGCTTTTTTACTAACACAAAATTGTTTACAAATGGAAAAAATAAATATCATAGTGAAACCAATAAAAACCAATATCATAACCGTTAATGAGGAAAATAATTATTACCTATTTTTTTCATATATTAATTTGTTGTTCAAAAACAGCAATCGACATTATTATTATTATTTCCAATTTAACTATTTTATAAACATTTTTTTAAGTATTAAAAATGTTTAATTTTTTGTTAATGTAACAATGACAATAAAAAAATAAGTTATTCATCAATAATTGTATTTGTATATAAATTCAAAAACAAAACCCTGTGCACCAGATTATCTCAAGAAAATGTTACATTACGGTGATCAAACATTCAAACATTTTAAAATAAACGGAAATTACACATTCAGTTTTTTCATTTAAACATTAAGTATAAATAATTAAATAAAATAAAACATGTTATTATTGGTCAAAAAGTGTTTAACAAAAAATAAAAATAAATACCAAACACTAAACAACTAAATAATTTCCTCGTTCTAATAACTAATAAACAATAATACAATACTGTATGTATTATAGAGAAATTATAGTAAATTATACTGTATTTATTTAACTATCTATACACTTTCTTAAATTCCTAATATTCATTGATATTACAATTGATATTCGAAATGGTATATTTCGTTCGTTTCGTTAATGATATGATATTTGTATTGCTCAAATTTATTCTTAATATAGACGGGAGGGGGGGTCACGAAGTGATTGATCATATTTTATACCTATTTTGGGGGTCATATAACTAAAATGTTTGAGAAACAATGATATAGAGTCTATAAAAAAATGTAATTTATAAATAATGCTTTAAATAGGTAAAAATAAGATAATGTAGATAAGTAGGCAACTAGGCAAAAAGATAACTTCAAAAGTATAGTAAATTTATATGTTTAAAAATTATTGTTAAGAGGCTATAGCATTACAATTAATGGTATCCAACATGTACGCAAAATAGAAAATGCATATCATAAAAATGATCAATGATACATTTTTATTTTCTGAGGAGAGTGAAAAACGTCTTGGTTTCGCTATGACGTAAGCTTATTTTTTTTTCTGTTTATAAAATATAGGCGCAATTTGGAGGGGCTAGAGAATGCTAAATCCCCTTTGAGTGAAGAGAGCCTAAATACGTTTAATTTAATGTACATAGTCAAAATGTATTGACAATAATTGTCAATTGATTATTAACCAATGATAAGATGAAAATATTTAACCAAAATATTGTATTTATTTTTATTTTTACTTTATGGTTATAATGTAATTGTAATGTATTTTTAATGTAATCAAATAATTTATGAGTTGATAAAGTAATGGATAGGCCATAGAGTAATATAGAGAGGCCGTTTCCCTATATCGTTCTGTATAACAAGTTGATGCGCAAATAGTTTCTATTTTACAATACCATAACTTTACATTACTTTTGGGAAAAAAAATATTGTAAAATATTTAGTAAGATACATTAATATGTTACATAGGATTACATAGGAATTATGATTTTATCACTGATAACATATTTCAGTAGAGGTAACCAAAGTTCCAAATATTTCACAATATTTTTTTTCTAAAAGTATGTTCCCTGTAAAATAAAAACCATTTACGCTTCAATATACAGACGAAACAGTTTCTCTATATTACCTACTTTATGGCATGGGACATCCTATTGTTCTCATCTGTAACGGAAAATAATTTATGAAACCACCATATTTACAAAATAAAGCATCAGTTACCGGTTCGTGGAATCACGATTCATGATTTTATCTCTCGTCATAACCGTTTTTTGTCTATATAATCTAAATGCTCTCCTAAAGTCTTGACTCTTATTTGACATTCACTTTTAATTAACAAATAATTATAGAATGCTCAAAATTTATTTATTATAGGAGCATCTTCCAAAAATAATAGTAATTTAACATTTCATTTGTAAGTAATATTTTGAACAGTATTTAGACAATACCTAGTATTAATTTTTTAAAATTGTATTCAGATTGCCTAAAACAATCGCAGAGATGAGTGGTAAATTCCTCTAGGATTAACAAATGTTAGCAAGTGTTCTAAACTATGCCCAAAATATGTTGATGAAAATTATTATAATTTAGTAAGGAAATTAGTACCAACTCTGAACATGAAAATGTAATATATGTTATATACATATACATAATACCAACTATTACTACATCATTTTTATTAACTTTAGAAAAATTCTAAATATCAAAGTAAATATAACTATTTTGGATACACAAGAAGACCAATAAACAAATTTGATTATATTTAAATATAATAATGTTTCCTGAGCTTAATTATTACTTTTTTAAAAAGAATGGCCCATCCATTTCTTTATTATCTATGGTTAATACTTTACTGGACGTTTTTGTCAAAATGTATCATAAATTTAAGTTAAACATTTAACATTGTAATATATTTAACCATTAATTACTTGAACGTTATAGATAAAAATTTATTTTGTTTTTTTCTTGTTTCTTTTTAGGAGAGTTAAGTCCATGGGCGCCGGGTTCCAGGGATTCAACAATTTAAAGAGGTAGGGAGGGGATTAGCAAATTTATTACTGTTTTTTTTTTTTTTTTATATATAAAATAATCCGTGTGGCGATGGCCCCATTGCTCCCTTGTATTCGGTGTCAATGGTTAAGCCTTTCCGAAGGGAAAACTCGAATGTTGCCTATGTATGCCTACAATTTTTCTACAACAGAAATCTTGCTCCAATTAAAAAATGACAAGAGCCCATTTTTGTTTCAATTTCGATGTGCTTTATACATTGAAAATGTCATGTTTGAATTTTCCAAGGGATTTTCACTATTATGAATCCATTGTTAACGTGTATAACCGAACTCCGAAAATCATTTTTCGTTAGCAATGGTTTATCGTTGTATATAGTTATAAACTAAATAACTTTATGTAACTATCATATATTCTCAACTTGTGTTGGTTCTATATAGTTTTGGAACTAATTTTGAAACAAAATAATATGTAAATATAATTTCATGATATTATATGGAAATTGATTATGCAAGCTTAAATGTAATTTATTTAAAATTAAAATATTAAATTACCTATAGATCGTCATGTTTGAAAAATAATCAACCGTGATGTGCAGATTAACAAAAACTTATAATTTTCGTGCTTTTGAAAATATATTAGAAATGCACGGCTTTTTTATACTATTAAATACAATGAAAGCATTACTTAATTATTCAATTGCATACAACAATGCCACACTTTTGTGATGTAATTATATCAATCGATAAAAAAATTATATAATAATACAATTATATTAGAGTATGTATTAATATTAAAATTTATTGTTAAGTTATCTATAGGTTATACTAAAAGCATTTAGCTAATAAGTTTTATAACGATATAATTATAAATAAGTATAATAATTAAAAACTGATTTTTGTGATAAGGGCAGAAATAACAAAACAATACGAAATAAGCCTTTGCAAATTGGAATTACTTCGTTATTAGCAATGGCGCAATGAAATTATTTATTCAAATTATTTGTATTTTTTACATAATTCCTATGTTTTGGCGAGTATAATGACAACTGTATATTTTTTTTATCGTAAATTTCAATTTTAAATTAGATATAATTTCAATATTTTGACCAATTTCATGTTTTCTTATTATTAATTATCGTTATTATTCTAATGTTTGATACAATTACTCGCATATCTAATATTGAATACGATTTTTTTTTTTTGTACCTATATATGCTACTGTATATTATAGGTACCTACAATCTTTTAAAATGTAAAACGTGGTGTAAGAGAAATATATTCCTAGCCCTCTCTATACAATTCGTAAAATTACACAATAAATGCAGTAAACCACACAATAATTGCACTATAAAATACCTACCAAACTAATTGAAATGTGTAAATAATATAATTACTTTATGATCGAATCAATTTTAAATAAACAAACGTTCTGTATCCCATTAAGTTTTCTTCAATGATTTTAATTATTACCTTATATGTAGTAGCTATGGTAACCTATAATAATAGTTACCATTTTATAGAACCAGTACCTATTGTAAAAATAATTATGAAAAAAATTAGTAGGTTCCTATATTATGTTAATATTGTACTATACATGCGTGTGAAAATATTAAACGGCAACCAAATGGTCAAACTATATATTGAGTAAATAAATAATAATACATTATATTATATAACACAATATAACCAAGTAAATAAAATGTTAAACGTAATTGACGAAACAAAATATCACGTTGATGTAATATTCATAATATTTACATATTATTTTTAAGGTATTATTATCATCGTTAAAAAAAAATATGTATATATGAATATAGGACATAGGTATACTGCAGTAGTATACATTCCATATTTTATGGACTATTCAGACATGTGTGAAAAAAAAAATGTATTGCCAGTGGCATTGCCAACATTATAATACGACCTGGGAGCAGCAGATGAGCAAATACTAATATGTATAGTATACAGTATTTTACCAGTAGATACAACCATTTTCATTATTAATATTAGACCATATTATAACCGTATAAACATTTTCATTTTATTAATCTAACCAATAACTGTATCGATATATTTATCACGAATTCGTGATGCATGTATAGGTACTTTTATAATGTAAAAACTCGTAAAATGAGAAAGTATATTATATTTTTATAACAAATTTCATTTAAAAAAAAACTGGTATAACGGTGCGTGTATATAATTTGAATTCGATTATGAATGTACTGAAAAAACATTTAAAAATGCATTTATTTTATACTAAAAAACCATAGGTTATATCTATGGTATATGCGTTAAATACAAAAGTGGTAATAACTAAAATAAAAAAAATTAGCTGGTTATACTTATACTGGTGTATAGAATATTTACATGAATGGTTTATGATTAACTTATTACTCATCATTAAGTGTAGGTTTTGGCTGTTTTAACCAATAAATATTTTTATTAGACAATTAAAATATTACTACTAGTTTTTGAAACATTTTTTTTAAATTCCAAAAGAATTTTGAACCCCTGTTAGACTTCTAAAACTGTGAACTATATGCATGTGTCTATGAGCATTTTGTGAGAAAGAAAAACAATGAAATATAAGTATATGTAGTCAAGTAGTTATAAGGAGAGCTAAATATAAATGATGGAAATTAAAGAAAAAATAGCTAGAGATTTTTAGAGGAGATATGAAGTGATGAAATATCTAATAATGGACAGTGAAATGTGGAAATTGAAAACTATATTATTATATGTGTTATAAAAGCCGAAGTTAAATAAAAAAAATATATCGTCGAACTTTCAGTACCTATACCTATAATTAACAACCTATATTAAATATCCATATTAAATTGAAACGTTTTTTTATGTATACTCGAGGTGTTTTATTTTACACGTTTATTATATTATATTATTAGCCAATTATTAAATCGTTATTTTTAAATATTTTAAAAATACTTATTTTTTTAATTTTTATAATTGTTTGTGTCTACTTAACGACATAGGAATGAACTGATAATGTATGGTTTCATCTCTAGTTTGATAATAGTTCTAAACAACAATAATAATATGATGTTTCAAAAATACACATAGGTACTCGTATGTTCAAGGTGACAAGGGGGATAATGTATTTTTCGTTTGAACTAAAAAATATAAAAGTGGTGCGACTATACATACCGTAGCAATGTGTAAAAATATTACTACGAGATTAATGGATAAAACGAGGTCGACTCGACACAGCGGTATAGCTATAAACACAATCGCACAAAATAATAAAATGAATGGTACAGTTTTCACTGCGGTGATAGAATACGTACATTTATTAATAATTTTGTTTTGTTAACGGGATTGTTAAAAATATAAAAGCGTGATATATAATATTGATTTTTAAACTGATTAGAAATACAAGATTTCGGTAGCATTATTACTACTTAATATATTACTGCAAAGCGCACTGCATTTGCATATCATTGCAAGAATTCTGGCATAAAAGATAGTATAAAACATTTTAAAAAATCAAATCGTAAACGTCATAAATTGATCCATTTTTCTACTACGTATTTCCTGTTTTTCCTAATTGTTATGAAAATCCGTGGATAAAGTGGAAGCAACTTTGATGAGGATTATATTTACCGGAAATTGTTGGGCGTATCTAAGCAATAACTAAACCTAACAAAACTTCCGGGAAATCCATCATGGAGAAAATATTTCCAAAATGTTTTTCTCTCAAACACTTTGCTTCATACAGAAGTTTTACTAATAGGGTTTGTAAATAAGCTGCAACCCCTCCCCATCCCTCTGCTCTAGTATCCTAAGCATACGCCTGGTTAGTAAAACATTCTGATAGAAATATAGTAATGGGTATTAAAGAAATTATTTTTATTAAAACTAATTAAGGTTTTTAAAATTGCATTAAAAATCCCACAGTGACAATATCTAAAGCGTCTCCCCAGACTTCGAATACTTAAATTAAAGGAAGCTGATAATGTTGGTACTAATGAAGAGAAAGACTCCGCCTCCCCCCCCCCCACCTGAACCACTGATTAACACCGTTTAGAAAATAATCTACTTAATGTACTTATTAAATCAAAAATGTAACAAAAAAAAGGTCTTGTGTTAATTTTTGATTGAAACAAAATGTCTGATAAAAGAATTTTACACAGACAAAAACAAATAAACGCATACCATGGTAAACCAATGAATTCCTCACTTTGCTCAAAATCTAAATAAAAACCCATTCTAACAAATTTCGATTTTTTTTTTTTTTTTAATTTTACACACGATTTCAGCAATAATGTACTAAAATTAATATAAAGTATATAGGCAGGTATATAACGTGTAAACAGGCCGCAAATTTTAGACCGATCCCCTTCCCCGTTTAGAATAAACAAATAATAAAAACGTTTTACCTTTTTGTTGAGATATCCGCTAATGCTACCTCTTCTGGCCTCGGACGGCCGGCGATCGTCAAAAGACATCCAAAAAAAATAATCGGAAACCGTTCTAAACGAAAAATGTGTAAAAAAATATTCAAACAAATACTAGTATATCGAGTATGGTTCGTATATCACGCGTATTAATAATTTTATATCGAAAACGTGAGTATGTAAACCTTAAATTATAACGAATATTTTTTTAAAATACACTTTATGCAAGTATAAGTTTATAAAATCCCGTAAATACCGTAAATATATAATATATATTTTTATTATATTATCGATGTGTGTGTGTGTGTGTGTGTGTATGTATAATATATATTGATGAAAAAAAAAATGAATTACATTTGTACCAACACCGTATAATACGAAAATAGTTTAGCGAGGGGCGTGTGATTCGTACTGACGCAAGCGGACCGAGAGTGTAAGGAAAAACATTTTTTTGGCACCGTCCTGACAATGCGGACCAAAATAGACGTCACTCGGCCTTCTGCGAGCTTTTACCGCCGCTGCTGCCGCTGCCGCCGCTGCTGCTGCTACCGTTACAACTGCACTCTCCCGTAGGTTGTTCCCCACCCCGAAACGGTCGTTGATTTCATAAAATGTACATAGACACTATATTGTTATACACGTATGATACCAATAATATTAAACGGTTCGAATCTTACGGCATACATAAATGAGTAGCTCAATAAATATAATATAGAAAATAAAAAGTAATCTAAAACTCAAACGAAAATAAAACCGATTTATCGTCATTTTTTATTAGTGTTTTTAAAAAAAATCGTATAAAAAATGAAACTGAAATCTATTTTCCATCGTATTTTCTATAAGTAGATATATTATACCGGATGAAAAATCCGCATCTCTACATATTAGATATTACGAATATTTTGGAACCTTCTTACGAACCGAAAACGTGTTTACATAATGATTAGAAAATGTCTATTTAATATTTGTAATAGAATTTACTTTTAAAATCATTAAAATTTCGGAAACATCAATATATTATAGTTGTTCGACACATATGAGTAAATGATTTTTTGATTTTAACAACGCTCAAATAGGAAAAATGTACCTATACAAGACCAAAATTATTAAAAAAATCGATAAATTTCCTTATAATTATTAAAATAAATTCTGTATAATCAGACTCGTGTTAACACATTTGGCGCCCTGGGTATAATATTTGCAAGCTCTCCCCTTCCATCTTTGGTATTATGCAGATAACACTCCCAAACAGAAAAACTGACTGATTATTCGCCATAATAAATAAATATATTTAAATTTAAAATCTAGCGTATAGTTATAAATTACAATGTTGTATAAAGAAAATGTCCACTGCAACGATTTTTTCCGCAGTTAGTATAATATGAGTTATTTTAGTGTTCATAAAAACACTGTACGAGTAAGTCGTAAATGTAAAAGATAAATTGTTACGAAATATTTTAGAGACTTTATAATAATACAGTAAAACTTCCATAAAACAGTCACCGAAGGGACCGGAAACAATAACCGCTATATAGAGGTGACCGTCCTTTAGAGGTGACGTTAACGGAAGTTTTACTATATAATGTTTAATCTTATATAGTAAAATATTATATTGTATTATAATAATAATGATGATTATAAAATAATAAAAGGCAAAATACGCTTGACTGTCTGTAGGTAAAAAGCTTTCACTTAGAACTAAATTATGGCGTTGAAGCTCAAATTGGAGTTTAAATACAAATAACAAAATTAAAGAAAATAATATTTTCGAAGGCTGTACGGAGTTTTTTTTTCTAAACAAACTGTAATATAAAAGAGTTACAGCAATGATGTTTTCAAATGAAAGTTATTTTGTTATATCGTGTGTTAATAAAACGGAGATGACACTGCAGGTATGACACTCCCTTAGCCATATATATAGATATACGTGGGTCCCACATAGATCAAATTTATTCCCTGTATAATTACGACTGTAATGCAAATGTGTGTTATAGTGCACCCAGTTTCCTAAATTGCAAATGTACATCAATAGTGTATAATTCAGTTATAGAATTCGTTGCAGTTAACTTTTATCAGATGAGTGCGATTCACATATAATATATTATTGTCAGTAAATCTTTAATCATTTAATATCATTGATATTATAATATACCTATAAGTCAGTGTGCAGTTTTTGTAAGTAATAATTTTTTTTAATAATTCAATATTAACAACAAAATAAAACTTTCGTCAAAACATTTGGTTTTAATAAAATTCGAATAAAAAATAGTTTTCGTAATAAAGATTTGCATTAATAATTTGAACATTTTAATTTAACGTAATGAACTATCATGTACATCTTATAACGATCATACAGCTATACTTATAGGCCCTATAGTATAATAATACTTATTTTTATTTTATTTAAAATCATCATTTAATGTAACATTAATATTGTATTATAATATTATACATGGTTTTGAATATATTATTACTTGTTTTATGGACAAGTGTGTATTTTTAATACATAAAAACATTTTTAATTTAAGTTTAACAGTTAACTTAAATTTTGCGTAAAACCATTTTATAACCACAAATTTAATCAACCTTTCTTAGTAACATAAAAAAAAGACGACCTAGGATAATGAAGACAAGTGCAGCCACTATAATAGGAAATTTATCGTATACCTGTAAGTAACGATAAACCATTGCTAATGAAAAACGATTCAGATTAAAAGTTCGTTTTACATAACTAATGTTTTGAAAGTCCGTAATATTTACGATTTTTGTCCAAAATTTGATTTTAAAACTGAAAAAAAAAATACTAGATGAAACTAAATTTTTTTTTTTTTTACCACTAAGTAAGACTTATAATATAAGTAATAAACTTATAATATAAACCTCCAATAAAATTGTCAAGTATTCTATTAAGTCTAAGAATTTATATACAAAGTACCTACCTAATAAAAATTGTTTAAAAAACTTCCAAAGTTAAAATATCTATTAATAGCTCAAAAATTGATCAAATGTTCTGAAAATTTGACCAAGTCTAGAAAAAGTAAATATAGGTGTTCTGTGAACATTTTGAGTCTACGAATATTTCAAATTGAATTACATAAATAAAATTTAAAAAAGTAAAAGAATTATTTTTTTTTCTCAATTATTAAATAACTACATAGAAAATGAAAAAACAATTTCTCTTCTCCTACCTGAACTTAAAAGTAAAATGTCTCGTCAACGAGTTGACGGAAATAAACAATTTTAACACCAGAATTTATTTAAAATAATACTCCATATATTTAAGGAATTTTAAATTCTGAGTGGAGCCAGGAATGTATTAGTTTTATAATGATGTTTTTTTTTTTCTGTGGACAACTTTTCTACCAGGAATTTTGATTCGATTTATGATCTGATTGGGGCGGTACTTTAGTGAAGTCTTTTTTTTTCCTAGGAGTTTACCCTGTAAATGAGAAAAAACGGGAAAAAACATGGGAAAACCGTAAAAACCGGAAAAATAGGTACTATATTAAATAAAAATTATAAAAGAAAATATATAAAGCATAAATAATTATTAAATATTTTACCATAATATGACATATATACTGTTGACAAAGCACCACTATTAACCAAACTCCCCGCAGAATCCTTTTTCGTCAGCAATAGTTAATCGTTGTGTACATATATATATATTCAATCCCTCCTCAACCGTTCCAATTTCTCACCTACAATAGTGACTAACCCACGTGCGAAGTATGTATATTCTAATTTTAAAATATCACTCATTAATTTGTATTGGAACACCAAGTCGTATGTCAACGAAAATTTGGTTAGATGAGTTTCATCTGTTAGATTCAAAACTTGATAAGTGAAATTTTTCTTCCTAAATGTATTTTAGAACACATTTTAAAGAAGAAAAAAAAATTACTATATTTATGTTCCTATTCCTAAAAATGAGAAATTAATTTACGTTCCTATTTCTTTAAAAAACAATGAAATTAATTCCTTCATTTGTTCCTCTAAAAAGGAATCAATTTCAGGAATCAATTGGAGAAGCTAGGATATAAATGGGAATTTAATGAATGGCTGTACGCAATGATTAATCAATGTTAACGAAAAACGATTCTGAGTGAGGTTTGGTTGTACATGTTTTATAAGTCCATAACATGTACATTTCATACATTTTCCCGTTTTTTCCAAGTTTTTCCCATTTGTTATGAAAACAGCTAAGAAAATGACATTTTTAAAGTACTACCTCAATCAAATTTCCTTTTAGAGAAAGTATTATAATTGAAAATGGGAATGAAATTGCTGATAGAAAAGTTGTCCACAAAAAAAAAACCAATACATTTCACCCTCCTCTCAGAATCTAAATGTTCACTGTATAGAAACACGTTTTTCACAGTTTTATAATAATAATTAAATAACATTTTTTTTTTAAGAGACCTATAGGATATATATTAAATGATTTACACTGTATCAATATGTTGATTAGAAAAATATATCCTATAATAATATCCGGATTCTACGCAGAAAACCATAATAAATTAATTGTGTCTTAATAAATTATCTAATATATTGTATAAAATCCAATAAGAACAGCTAACACCTGAATTTGGCAATTATAAATATTCCACTAATGCAGCCAAGACGTTATTGTTCATACTTATACGACTATAAAATTATTGAATGGTTCACCTTTACACACAATTTAGTTAATTTGAAAATTGATTATATTCTTGACTTTTGTAAACCCAAATTAATATTCTGTCTGTCAGTCTAACATTAGAAATGGTAATATTATACACTACGTGCACACACAATTTATTCTGTAAATATATATTGAACAATTAATTAAAAAAACTAAAAATAAAGTATAATAAATATAAGTGATTGTATAATTTTATCTAAATACAGTCATAAATTGTGTAAAATTTAAAATAATTAATGAATTAAACATTTTCAAAATAATTAGATATGTGCGTATTTTTTTAGGTTAAGTATTGATTAATTATTTTATTGATTTAAGACTTGCTAATATCACGTCATGTTTTGTAAACGATCGTACAAAACAATCTAAACAACCTGCAGTGTTTTTTTTTTTTATTATTTTGTTGGTTTGCAACAGGTCCATCGTAATGTCAGCCACATTTTGGAATTTTTAAATCAAACCAACGCCATTATTTAGTAAGAAATCTTAATTTTTCGTAACCGTTATTCCAGATTTGTGACCTCCGTAAATTTGTAAAAACCATTTCATGCGGGCAACAACCACTCAGACAGTAATGCTAGTTGATCAACCAAATGTTCATCATTTTCACTAAGTTTATATTTGGATGAAAATAATAATAATATCTCAATTTAGTTAAACAAGTAGGTACTGGTCTTAACTTAAAAATCACAAAGAATATGATATATGATTGGCATGGAACGGGACGAAAAAATCATCAACAAAAACAAAGAAAAGTAATTGTGACTTTTACTAGTCATGAAAATAAAAATAATTTTCTAAAAGCAAGGAAAATAGTACAAAATCTTTCTACTAAGTCAATTGGTTTTCAACAAGATAATCCGATATACATCAGGGAACACCTAACACTTTATGGTAATATGCTGTTCAAATTAGACAGAGATTTCAACTACAAGTTTGTTTGGACAATAAATGAAAAAATACTTATAAGAAAAACAGAAAACTTGAAGATAATACGGATAGAGAACGAACAGATCATCAATGCTATAAAAGTAAATTTGACGAATTGAAATTTTTTAAATTTAAATTTGTAAATAAAGTATATTAATCGTATCATTTTTTTTCAATAACTGGTAATATTTTTCACTAGCAACTTATATATAATTTTAATCACTCAACTGTATAATAATGTAGTTTTTCTATCATACAATTACTTAACATTTGAAACTGTTTATCTTATCACTTATTCATTAAATTTCGATTTCCTGTGTTGTAAATCAGTACTATGCCATTATCTCTACCCTTTATATCAATTTTATCGCAATGCCTTCTTATCAAAAATCTATACATTCTACCACTTACCAGTTACTATGAACCAGCCAACTGATAACGAATTAATATTAAATAATATTGATGAAATACCAATACATGGCCCCTAAATCTATTAAAAACTAAACTGTACACAACAAACACGTTTAATATCCTATCATTTAATATCTGTAGCTTAAAAAAACATTACAACGAATTATATGTTGCTCTAGAAGGCAGCGGACTCATCCTAGATATGATTATCTTATCCGAAGCTTGGGTAGAAAATATTAAACAACAAATGTTCCTATTTAACATAAATGTTTATACTCTTTATCATAGCTACAATAATAAAAATCAAAATGATGGCTTAGTAATTTACAATAATAATAATCTAAAAAATGTGACTGTCAAAATATAAAAAGCCAATATCGAACTTAATTTTATGTATACATAATATGCATATATAGATAATTATTACATATGAACATAATTTTTCAATACTGAGTCCTAGTTTATGTTTCTTTTTTTTGCATAAAACAAGGTCAATAATCCATGGGATGGAACAACCCGTAAGTAAAGGCACTTTATCAATTACTCATATGCATAGGTTTATGCGTGTACAATGGTATTATGTACAACTTGACATTTTTACTAGATTAGTCGGTCCTGACATCGCCGCCTTTTTAATATTTTCCTGGAATTACCTAGTATATTTGCTGACGCAAATAGCCCCAAACCTTTTAATTAAGGGATTGGTGTGGTTTTGAACATTTAAATTGAGTGGCCTATAAAAAGTTCCAGCTACATCGCAAACGGGCGAGATAGCCATTATGTAAGGACTGATTATATACATAAAATGGTGCTTTAGTAATAGCACGGAGGGTTTTGGATTGGAAGCGCTAAATATGGTTTATAACTACAAAGTTTAAATCTATAAATAGTTATTTCGATGAAAATACTATTTATTTTAGTCATTTTGACGATGGTCACCGTTAAAGTGAAACTGCCCCCGCCCCCCGACAGTTTCAATCGTAATTTGTAATGGACACTATTGAAACTGTGTTCATGAGTCACGACAATAATTGCCGTGCCGCCGCGCTGTTAGTAGCTGAACGCCGTCACAATTGATTACATTCATTATTTAATAATTATTACACATTTGTGCTATCTGATATTTATTATTTTTGATATTTCATTATTTATAGTTATTTTCAAAATACAGAAATACCAAATATTAGACTTTTTACTAACTAGTAGTTTTAATACTTTAACGCATGAACAAAAAATATCAATTTATCACCCAACTTCTCATTTATTATTATAGACGGTAAATATATTAGAAAATTTCAATACAGTTGATACAATCAATTTCTATAGCTCACTGGTTATGATAAAAGAAATAAAGTGTTTTGTTTTACTTGCGTAATATTCAGAGGGGAAAAGGAATGGAGTGCTAATGGATTATCGTCAATAAAAAATGTTTTAAGGAGATCAGAAAAACATACCATTTCCCAAAAATATTTAACTAGAGTTTATGTTATATAATTTAAGTCTCCCCAGAATATTTACTCACGAGCCACTACTGATTAATAAAACCAAATTTCAATGATAAAATCAAAACACAGAATGTTTCTAGAAAATAAAAATAAAATTCAATCATGACAACAAAAATAATTGGACGGTTTTTATTATGTATAGGTTTATGTGTAATTAAGAATTAAACAGAAGTGCAATTCTAGAGTACTATCATTGGCGCCTTAGGTCAATCATATTTACCACCCCTATTCAGTATAGATGGATGTTAGATTAAATTTCTAGAAAAATTAAGATTTAACATAACATTTTCATTTGTATATGTACATGTATTAAAGCCACTCACTAATTCCAAAATCACGAAAATGTGATTTCAAATATTAAATATTTTTGACCATTTAATAAATCGTTAATCTTTGGTTTTTAGATTCTGAATATCCATTCAGAAACAGGGGGGAGAAATCAAAATATCGAAAAAGTTTTCATCTATCTTTTATTTGTATAATATTCTTACAGATAATTAACCCTGTAGTGCCAAACAAGTTTACTATACCAGAAACCAGTGAGTCAAACTGTCATTGATTTTGATAGTCAAAAACTTGTTAACAGGTAAAAAAAACTCACACACGTCGTAGTATGTAAAACCATATAACTTAGGATCTAACATTTTTAGTTTAAAAAACCAGTATTAACAATAAATTATAATACTTCAGTGAACGAGTAAAAATAAATATTATCGATTACTTAATATTTTAATATCGAATTTTCGAAAAACTAAACACTTGTAAATGTGTAAGTTAATAAGTATATTTGAATTTGATGTTACCACAGCAACTTGTATTCAAAACATAATACTACCTATATAAAAACTTTAAAAATAATAAATAAAAACTAATTTCTTAAAACGATTCATTTTTTACACATGTAGAATATTATATATTTTTTATTTCATATACCTATAATCATTTAATACTTATCATATTAAAAACAATATACACTTACATTAAAGCTATATGTGATATTACTGACGATTATTGAAGTGAGCTAGATGTAGAATGTTTTTCATTCAAAATAGTAAATTATTTCATATACATTGAGTGCAGCTGAACTAAAATAATAATCACGTAGAGTGTACAAATGAGATAAAGAATTATAAATGTAAACCAATGCTACTTTGGACTGATACTGTTGTTCAAATCAAATATAATATCAAGAATATAAGATAATACTTTACAGAGTTCTAATTAGATATATAACACTATTTTAATAAAATAAATAGGGAATTTTTTAAATGAAATATTGAAAAAAATGTTTAGACCAGGGGCGTAATTACGGAGAGCAATATGGGGAATAGATTTCCCAGTGAACCGTATATTGTTGTTATAGAAATCGGAGGTTGAAATGCAAATATTCAAAACTATTATGAAATATAAAATAAGATCTGATACTGGGGATGGAAGCAGCCAATGTTGTAGATGAGAAGTTGGGAAGATAAGATAAATAGGGTTATTTCATATATATCTGTAAGCAAAGATTAAACCATTGCTAACGAAAGACGATTCCGAGCGTAGTTCGGTAATACATAATTTGAAGTGCCGTAATTTTTTTTTGCAATTTTCGTTTAAATTTGATTTCAAAACGATTATTAAAAAAAAATTCATCCGATGATTTTAAAAATTATACCACATCTAGTTAAATCCAATATACCAAGTATTATTACCAAGTTTCTAGTCTCTACGTGTATTTATCATTGAATAACAGCAAAAACTCCCAAAAATTAAAATTCCTTAAAAGCTCAAAAGTTCTAACAATGATACCACAAGAAAGTAAATAAAAAAGGTAACAAAAAAGGTATCTTGTGATTTTTCGATTAAATCTTTTTTTCTGGTAGAAAACGTCGTCCGTGTTTTTATAAAATAATGAAATCGTGAAATTGTACGTTTTCCTACGTTCTTTTCCAAATTAAGTGTTTTTATTTAAAAAATGGCGTCGAAAATCAAAAAAAAAACCTCTAACAGTAGAATCTAGACAACTTGAGATTTTAGAAAAAATTCTACATTTCTACATCGGAGCAAATTTACTAGGAAAAAACGTGTCCACAGTCTACAACAAAGAAGGAAAAAAAAATAAACAGCATTGTAAATTCAATAGCTCTCTCACTACACTCCGAATCTAAAATTATAAATGTTTAATTATAATGGTAGGTACCAAAACATTCATACATAGTATATTATTATACTAGAGAACCAATATTCTTATTAGTTTATGTGAAAATAAATGGTAAATTACATTTCATGCTTCACATACTACGCGTTCGAACGTGATTTGGACGTTGAGATTTTAAAAAAACAGACGTGCCATTTAATATAAACTTCCTAGCTCCTGTGATGAGTTATTAAATGTTGGTAAGAATTTTGGGGAAGATTAATTCAAAGATTTATTTTCATACCCCCTCCTTTCCTGAAAACATTTTCAATAACGCCACTAGTTTAGACCAAAAAAGAATGAAGAGTATATGGATAAGCCAGTATTGTATTTGTTATGAAAAGCATTAAAATAACATAAGCTAGACAAGTACGAAGATAGGAGAGGATACTGAAAAATATAAAAAGATCGAGACTAACTTCAAAACGACTTAGATGACGATGATCAGATAGAGGAAAAGAAGATTAGAACAATTGAGGCAGAGAATATAGAAGAAATATCAATGGACAGAGAATAATATAAAAACTTTTGCTGCTACGATTAACTTTTACGACCTTTGGTATACCGAAGAGAGTATTTAAATAATTGTTGTATTATAAATTATATGCATACATTTGAGGGATTGATGAACCAAAATGTAGGTATGTAACTTTTTATTTTTTATTTTTTGTGGTATTTAATATATTATACCTGTAACAAAAGTTATTAGGTTAAAAGTTTTAGGTAACCTACTTATTATTATTATTATTAATATTTTCTAGTTACTATAATTCTACTATATTCTAAATCAATTTGATTTGAACTTAACTGTGGAACTAACTTATTTATATATAGCTAACCTATTTAGGTATATGAATTTAAGGCTCAATTATAGATACATTCGAATTCTCTCAGAACCCTTTCACCTTTCACCATTGTGGGGTAACGTTAATATTTTTAAACCCAACCATAGATCTCTATCCTTACGTCATACCAATCTACTAATAAAAAACTATTGCTATTCGTGAACATGCCAGTAACACTGTTGTAGAAATATACACACATTTTATTTTTAGTTTACCTATCAATTTTCGAATGGGGCCCAGAACACTTTTATGACTAAACTGCACTCCAATGACTTCATGCCCTTATATTTAATTATGCATAACATTTATTAAAATATATAGATAAAAAAAATGTGAGTACATATATTGATTTAACTTATATTTGTGTGCAACGATAAAACATTGCTGATGAAGTGCGAAGTTCAGTTCAACATGTTTTGAAATAAAATATTTTTTAGGAATTTCATTCGATTTTAAATATAAACATGTACATAAAAAAAAAACTACTGAATTACAAGCAACTTTTTTTCTCGGCCACTAAGTACAAGTTTATGATAAACCACGTGTACAATTTGCAGGCGTTTATATATTTGACCAAAACAATTTTATCCATATGAAATAAAACAAAAACTAAAATAAAATAGAAAATGCCACATGTCTTTAAATAGCTAAAACATATAAGTAGTCTATGAAAATCTCAGATCTCTACAATATTATTTTGAACCTAATTACAACAAAAATATAATGAAACCATTTTCTTAAATTTTCGTCCTTTCATAGTTCAAACGACAAAAAAAATCAAAAACGACTTTCACATACAAAAACGTGAGAACATTTTTTTTCAGAAAACATGCTATACTTAAATTTCTGAGTACAAAAGATACAAAAAATAATAAAATAAGCACACATTATAATAAAACCAATTCATTCACTTCGCTCGTGGTCTTAAATTCTATATGATCCTATTAACTTGCATTAATATAGAAGTAGGTATCTATAAAAAAATAACCCATCATAAATTATTATCATTATATCTCCAGTAATCAAATATCTAGTTTCATTGAAAAAAATACTCTTATTTCTATAATTGACTTCTGATTTAAGCAGGGCATGCTCTCATATTACTTCAATTTATATACCTAATATATAATAACCACTGTGGTTTATGATCGCTACAGTAAAATATCTATATGTAAAAAAGAAGTCAAGAATTATTGGTAAGTCGAATATACCTACATTGAAATTAATTTATATTCAGTAACGTAATTCTTATCCCAACAATAACCATCTGTCAACTACGTGAAAAAACTTCGCTAAGAAAAAAAATCTCAAGTTAGAAAAGTTGTAATATCAAAAAAGGGCTAAGTCATTTCTTAATTTCATTAGTATAGAAATTGTTTATAACTCTTTGTATTCAATGAAATGCGATAATTTAATACAAATAAGTAACTTAACTTGGTGGCTACTAATATTTATGAGTATAAATAAAGATACAATGCCAACATGAATATTCACATCCTCATTTTAAAATGTATTGACATTACCATAATAATATTTAAGTACATACTATGAGTAGCCGCCAAGCTAAGTTAAATTATTTGTATTAAATAATTATCGCACTTCATCAAATACAAACAATTATAAACAATTTCAATACTAATGAATTTAAGAAATTTCTTAGCTCCTTTTTGATATCACAACTTTTCTAAATTAAATTTTTTTTTCTTAGTGAGGATATCATTTATGTGTTTATTAAAATTTTGGATATATTTAATCTATGGTTTTTTGTTTTATCTAATTATTATGAATATTGCTAAAAAATGATACTATAATATATTTATATATATATATTTATTATAAATAAGCATACCATTTGAAAGCTGCATGATTATTGTATAGCTTAACAAATGCAACTCAATTGAAATCCAAAATAGATAATTCAAAAAAAAAAGACTGACATACTTCGCACAATGGTTGGGCCACTGTTGTAGGTGAGAAGTTGCGAAGGTAGAGGGAAAATTGAATGGATATCTGTACGCAATGATTAACCACTGCTAACGAAAAACGATTCTGAGCGAAGTCCGGTTAGTAGTGTAGCTTTAAAACTTTGATATTATGCAAAATCGTTTCAACGTTCCCATGTGTACCTTTTATTTTTAGAAAAATATTTAAGTCTACATTGGCTTATTTTTAAATGAGGCATAAAACAGACTTTTTGTGGAACTATAACGTTCACGATACTGAAGCCAGTAAAAAGTTACAGACCCTCTCCCAAAAGTCAGCCTATCAAAGTAGTGATATCTACATATATTTTAGCTAATTCTGTTTTATGTCACATCAAAAAATGAATATAGTCTGATCAGTCTCAAATAGTAACAGATATTTTAAACTATTCTTAGTGGCAAACTTATTGAAATGATTTTCCTTTGAAATTACACTTATTTTATGTTCCCTTAAAGTTACCTATTTACGTTAAATTACATTTTAAACATATAAACAAAAACCAAAATCATTTGTTGTTTACTCATACATCTCCATCATTTCAGTTAGTCATAATATATAAAGAGCTATTTGTGTACACTAATATATGTACACTCTATCCCTTTTCAACCCTTAAGGGGTTAAAGTTCTGAAATGATTTATTATTATTAGGATAGGAATTTGTATTTTTCATTTATTTCTACCTAAATGTGCAAGAACGTTCGATCTAAGTTAAAATTCCTAGAAGTTATAAATTGTTTAAAATTAGAAATGGAGTAGATTTTCCACGGGAATGAAATATTTTTCGTAATGAAGTAGCCTTTGTCACTTCTCAATATTTTGATTATCCCTTCAGAAAAAATTATGTCAATTAAGTCATTTAGAATTTATAAATCCACGTTGAAAAATGTTTAATGCTCGTATTATGCTAAGTAATGATCAAACAGTTTAATATTGTAGGTAAACTTAGTATCGACATTAAAATATTAAATCGTTTTAAGAAATATTAGTTTTTTTGTAATATGTTTTAAACGCAGGTAACTATGGAAACATTTCAAATACATGGTTGATATGTTGTATTACTTAGGTAAGTAGGAACCTATAAAATGTTAATTTATCAAAAATTCATCGTTAAACACCAATACTACTTTTTTTCTATAGGTTTCTCCATACTATACCATGAATTATTAAAATGTATACATTTTTATAATCAATTATACTATGCATATAAAATTAAATGCCATAGGGTTACCATAATGTTTTTAGACTAAATCCGAAAACCAGTTTGAAAATAAATAATAACTCAAAAAAAAAAAAAACAAATAACAATATAATGTAATAAAAATATGTGGTAATTTTCTTCAGAATAAACTGTCGTGTCGTTATCCAACACTAGGTAAGTATGAAGTGAAAAATTATCACACGAATGGAAATAATATTAGTAAGATTACATTTAGTAATACGTTAATTAAGCAAACAATCGAAATGAATAGGTTAATTTATCTGAAGATTATTACAGAATACCATTATTTATCTTTATCTTTATTCATTCCATTTTTAGATCATTTTTTAAATAAATTAAATGAGTGACATTATCTTACAGATCTATAGTTGAAAATGTTAACTTTACTATTTTACCATCATCCATTTGGTATACTTTACAAAGAAAAAAATTAAGTAGCTAATTGAAATGTATCAAGTGATTATAATTAATATTGATCTATTAGATTCTAGATTACAGTATGTTAGCAGCTGTGAATAAAACTAAAATGTGGTAATAAAATTTTCCAGGAACTCAAGATTTACCAAAAAATGATATCGATGGTCTTCAAAAATATATATTGCATATATCATTTCCCTTCTACTTTCAAATTTCTACAGATTTTAACAACCCTCCCAGTTACATCTGTTAACTACAGTGAACGATCTTTTTCAACAAAGATTATAAACGTATTTGTAAAATATCACGTGTGAAAGTAGATTGAATGGTTTGGCAATGATGAATATCACAGTAATACAATTAGAGACCCTGATGATATTCTAAATAAATTAACGGCCAAAAGAAAACTATGGTTAATGAAATTGAATTGAAACTAAAATTTTTGATTTTTCTAATATTTCAAATATTTTTATGTATATCTATTGTATTGATCTAAAGCCTTATCTCTCCCCCCCCCCCATTGATAAATCATGGCTACGTTACTCCAGATAATGAGTATCTATAATAATAAGTGAAAACACGTAAAACGTCTTCGACATATCTTTGAATCTATGTATTTTTATCATTGTTACACTAATAACACTTCAGTAACATTAACAAACATTAAGCACTGAAAATTAGTCAGTCAGTAGATCTGCTGAAACACCTAAAGATCGAGACACACGGTATGAAGCTGATCGGATCATAGCATCTATTTTAAAAGCTGTTGAATCATTTGATTTAAAGATCGAAAGTCACAACAAGAAACTGATCGGATCAGAGACTCCATTTTAAGAGTAAAAATCATTAGAGCACACAGGCATTTTTCTGAGAGAGGGGAAAGATTCTATATTTTATACTTCATGCAATATACAATTCGATAAACAAAAACAGAAGAATTATTTAAATATGAAAAATGTAGTATCATATTAAAAGCTAGGCAAACACCCTATATTGCCTCCCCCACTAGAGCCTATAGCGAGAATCGATCTCAAAAATTCTGCATTCAAGTATGATAAAAAGACTATACGATTACAGAATGCATCGTAATGTTGGCATTGGTCCACAATGATTAATTTTTGTTATTGTGGTGCTTTGATGTTTCAAAAAAAAAAACCCCGGTATGTGTTGCTCCAATAGCAAAGTCAATTTGCCACCACTGGCTAAGCCACCGGAAACACATTTAATCAATGTGACTGAAAATAATCGGGAGTCCAAACACTTTCTAGACTATATTCGAAAATTACAAATAGTGACATGTGCAAGATAATAATACATAATGATCTAACAATATCAAAGCATTGGCAGATAACTAGAAGCCTAGTATAATATATACAAATTCGGTTCAACACTTTAGAAAGGCTGTAATATTTACGGTTTTCGTCAAAAAATGATATTAAATTATACATAAAAAAAAAAAAAAAAAAAAAATTACTACATTGAAAACTTTTTTCTGATCACTAATTTCAACTTATAGTGAATCTCATGTTAAATGTTCAAACCAATGGCGTAAATTGAGTGGTGCAAATGTAGCAATTTCACCACTACATTTGAAATATGGTGATGCAAGTTTATATTTTTGCACCAGCAGAAAATCATAAAAATATGTATACCTATTGTTTCTATTTTCAAAAATCTATATTTTTGCTTAACAAGTATCTATAGTTTTTCTTTAAGTATTGTAATTATAAAGTTTTTACCATTCGAATAGGTCAATACTTATAAATTATAATACATTAATTTCATAAAAAAAATTTGGTACCTACAGAAAAATAAATTGTTTATTAAGTGGTAATTTACAAAGAAAATTGGAGTATTATTGGGTTAAAAATTAAAAGATTTCTCTGCACCACCAGAAATTTAGGCCGATTCACGCCATCGGTTCAAACATTCCTGTTAATTCAATCAATTTTATCCACAATGTATCTACCAAATAAAAATAACGTAAAAACTCACAAAATTGAAATGTATATAAACAAGCCAAATTTTGGTCGATCGAAAAAAACTGATGTTAACTGACATTGGAAACTAATGAAACATAATAAAATACACAGACCCTCTGTGTTCATAGCGTTTTTGTAAAAGTTCGATAAGATAATTATAAACTGTAAATATAAACTGTCATAAATAATTTGGGTAAACCATGTACCTACTTCAAATTTCTTATACATTTCTTACGTACATGTTATCTATTATTTGATTTTATATTTTGGCCGTTATTAAGAATGCCCACTATATAGAGACAATGTCGGGAAAGAACGTGTTCCTTTCATAGGAACCCCTGCCCATTTTTGTTTGGGTCACCCTCTGAGTTTCTTTGTATTGGTTCCTACGCTGTTATTTGTCTAATTAGTCCTTCTGATCTTCATACATGTCGTATTTACGTATGTTTCAAGGTTCCAACAATGCTATGTTTATGAGTTATGACAGTTTAAAGTTTAGACGGGAAGAGTAGAGAAGGGCCATAGATAGACAATTTATTATCCTTCCCTACTCCTCCCGTCTAAACTTTGAACTTTTATAACTCATAATCGGTAAATCTGATATTAGTGTTAAGCATATCAAAATGTCTAGAAAAATATTATCTATTCAAATCTGTGTTCAAAATAGGGGGGTTCCTATTTTAAAATCAAAAGTATGCACTTATTCAAGGTATATGGAGTAGGGGTAACAAATTAAAATTGGTTTTAAAATAAAGCTTAAACGATTTCATAATGATTAGAAAAAACAGAAATCAAATTCACTTAGAATCCTCTGAGATAATTGCTGGTTCATTATAAAATATCACTCTGTATATTTCTTCCCAATTTTTGTTGTTTCATATTTTATATTCTCCTTCATTATTCTTTTTTGGACAGAATATTTTCCTCAATATTCTTTTCTCTAGCACTTCTAACTTTTTTCATCTAATTTTGTTGTAGCCTAAGTGCTGCATACATACAGGGCTATTGGTTTGACTAAAACTTTATACAATTTTACATTGTTACTTATAATTTTCTAAATAGTAATCTTGATTTGAATAATGGTATCGATGCATAGTAACACCTGTTTGCTGTGACGAGTATCTAGTATTTTACTTCATGGCTATTACTATCTTCATTAATATCAGCACTTAAGTACTTAAAATGTCTAACCCTTTCCAATTTATACTATATGCGTTAATCGAATATCGGTTTTTTGTGTGCGCCACGCACCACCTCATACTCGAGAGCAGAGGTGTTCTAATGGGGTGAGGCAACTTTTTATGAGTAAGTTTTCGTTTTTTGATTTTCTCTGTAATTTTATTAATGAACATAATCGAAAAATATGTAAAAAGAAGTGGAATATTTACGAAAATAATTCTTTTATTATTTTTAATTTTACTAGTGGGCCCGTGCCACTCCGTAGCAATGACTATATGAATAATTTACCTTCGTCATAAAATCAGTAATTACTTACGTCGCACGTCGTCAAAGGGATACAAAAAGTATAGAAGTCAAAAAATCAAGTTATATCCGTCATCAAGAATAAAAAATGGGAAATAGTCAATACGCCATTTCAACCTCGTTCATTATTCACTATCTACCTAATTTCATAATACTTTCTTCCAAACAACATTGACTGTGCTTTTAAAGTTTGAATGTTTGTGGTATTTTAATTATTTCTTTAATAATTGCTCGTGTATAAAAATATTTTTAAAATGACATATCAAGAAACATTCTTAAACGAAGAAAGTAATTTTTAACGTTTATAATTATTTCAAAATATTGGCTGGTGACAAAGGTAGGCCAGAACTTAGTAATTTCTTTCGTCAAACTCGTGAAATGACTGCTGAAGCGTGTGGCGTAAGTTTTGCTTATGTTAAACGAGTTTGCACTGAAGGGAAAAAATTATATGTGAGGGAAAATTGACTAGATGTCGAACATTCTTTAAGTTTCCAAGGAAAAGTTATAAACGTGCCAAACCAATGACCAACTTGGACGATTTTGACAATGAAGTTATCAGAAGAACAGTTCATTGTTTTTATGATAATGGTCAGTACCTAACAAGAAAAAAATATTGGAAGCGTTGCATGAAAAAATGAATTATTCGGGTTCACAATGGTCCAGTCCGTACGACATATTTTGCGTAGTTTCTAATTTCAAATACAAAAAATGTAATGATGGGCGTACATTTTTAATGGAACGAAATGATATTGTTTATTCTCGGGTTAAATTTTTGAGAAAAATGAACGAGTTCAGACGTAATAACGACACAAGGCCAATAGTTTACTTAGATGAATCATGGGTAAACCAAAACCATACGCATAGGCACATATGGCAAACTCCAACACCGAAGGATTAAAAGTACTCATTGGAAAGGGCGGTCAGCTTATTGTGTCACGCTGTGTCATTTGGTTTCGTCAAAAGTTTAAAACTGGTTTTTCGTTGCAAATCGGGATTGCAGGCACACTTTTATTCTAAAGTGAACACGACCATTTTTCATAAATGATTCGTAAACATTGGGCAATTTTGAAAAACCATGTATAATTGTGATAGACAGTGCCACATACCAGTCTACTGTAACAGAGAGTACCCCAAGGCAAGGCAAATACTCGGAAAGACAGATGTACAAAAATGATTACAAAACAAGTCTATGGACTTTTCTCCAGTAAACACATTACAGGAAAAAGTCAAATTGACGATGCCAAAAGAAGAAACATTAATTGGACGAAACTGCACTTCAAATGGGCCATGAAGTGGTAAGATTTCCTTCTTACCACTGCCAATACAACTTAATCAAATTAATCTGGGCGCGAGTCAAGGGTAGTCACGGAAAAAAATAAAAATACCTTCAAAATGGTAGATGTAGAAGTGTTAGTAAATAGTGCTTTAGATGCAATAACAAAAAATTGGGCAAAATGTGTCGATCACTGCAACAAAATTCAGGAAGACGATTTAATGAAGGAAGGTTTAAGATACAAAATTTTGGAACCTATTATTATCACAATTAATCGTGATGATAGTTCTACTGACAAAGACAATGATGAAATTATTAATTAAAAAATTGTATTTTATGTATTATTTGTATTTTATTATAAAATAAAAAGTATACATTATGTCATTTGAAATTATTTTAAGCTGGAAAACAGTAGTAGTCCTGATGAAAAATGACCCCTTGGCGCGTGACGATCGCATCTCACTTTTCACCTCGTATAGTATAATAATTTTATCTTTGTAATAGAAATTTAAAATAAAAAATTTTAATTTTAATTATAATTTGATCACTTCAAACCGAATTCAAGTATAGAATTTTTTTTTTCATTAACCACTCCTGGGAATCAGTGATAATAGTTGTTGATATATTCGTATCCTTACAAAAACATAAGATTTTGTTCATCCTAAATAATATTTGATGTAATTATCTACATTAGTCAATGAATTAAATAAGTATTCGTGGAATATGTATATACAGATGTTTTTTTAATTACTTTAAAATATTTTTACATAGAATCATTTTAAACAAATTTAAATAGTAATTATTATTATTTATTAGTAAATATAATTTATTACAATCAAAATTAAATAGTTCCTTAAACTAATATAAACATAACTAAAAATTAATTGTATGGCATTTATAAACCAAAAATATGTATCTAAATTGTACAGTAAATATATAGTAAAATCATATTTTAAAAAACCAATACTAAAATACATAAAAAGCAAGAAGGCACAAGAACAAAGGAATGTGTTGTGCTATGACTATAACTATTTCTGACGAGTTTTTTGACCATTTGAGTTTCATTAATATTTGCGTGACATGCCACTCATTTTGTAACTATCAAATCTATTATCACTGAAGTTAGAAGACATGTTCAAACCTACATTAGGTAACACTTGATGATTATTGCCATACAAAGGGTTACTGCTTGAACTACGTCCACTTAACGACAAAGATGTAGGATTACTTGATGTACTGTTCCACCTGCTAGAGCAAATTCTATGTAAATTTATGTACATTAATACAAATATCTAAAAATTGTGGCATACTTATCAGTTGGTGCTGGAGGAAGAGGACGTTGCCATACATTTGTTTCAATTTCTCGACTACCACTAGTATTTGACCATGGATCTAGTCTATTACTCATTACCATGCTACTAGATCCAGAGCTAGAACCTAGTGAACCATAAGAACTCTTAACTGGAGCCGATGTCCAGTTAGTACTTTGACTATTACGAGACAATCCATAGGCTAAAATAAAAATTATTATCACAATTAAAGAAACAAATAAATAATTATACTTAAATTTATTAATATACTCACAACTTTTGTTTGAATCATATGTTGATGTATGTGCATGCCTGCTACTGCTACCACCACTACTGGACTCTTTTCTACGAGATTCTTCTCTTCTATCTGTCCGATCATCCCGACTTCTATAATGATGATCTGTTGGTGGTGGAGCACCATATCTACAATACAATAATATTAAAAAATGCATATAAATAAATAAACCTATGATAATTAATGTTCATAACTAACTAACTACATTATAAATGTGTTAATTGTATACAATTCACTCAACTATATTCATTAGGTTATAATAATAATAACATATAATATAAATGAAAATACATTTTGTATCACACACCTGTACAAACGTAAACAAATATAATTATTGTTTAGCTGTCAAAGGCTGATTTTTTTATACGATGTTCAAAAATACTACAAATATTTAAAAACTTCATAGTAATATATTTTATGAACTTCGATTCAATGATGCATATAAGAAGACAGATAAAAGATATAGATTTGCTCCAACATTTTTGGTCTTTAAAGTTCTATAATAGTTTAAAATATAATGATTACACACCAATTATAGGTATATATTATACTTAATAATTTAATTTTTCTTTTTCATTGAAATTCATTTGTAACTAGTATTTATAATGTTTCTAGAATCTTTTTCCCATTTAGTTTCATCCTAACCTTGTCTTAAATTATCGCTTGATCTGATTCCCCACATTGTCCTCGCATACACCCATCATCCTTGTATAACTCCTTATTCTATCTTCTATTGTCACTACACTTTTCCATTTAAGCATTATTCTCAACTCTGCTACACTGATTTTTAGCAAGATTTTTTTATCTACAGCCCATAGACCACTCTTGTAGAACTCACCATTAAATGGAAATGTATAAGTAATTAAATAAACATAAATTTAATTTTATATTTATTACTTAAAATTGTACACTTGTAATGGACAATATTTTGAGTTTCTATATTAGTATTAATTTAACAGTTATAATTAACAAAGTGCTGAAACTAAGAGAAGCACTTCTAAATAAATAAGCTTTTAAAAAACAAAAATGTAAAACATCGTATTAGAAACATTATGTTACTTCACACCAAATCAACAGACTACTAATACAGTTGTAACTTTTAATCCTTTTAGATGTCATAAAATTTAATAGTAAATTAATACAAATATTAAATATAAACAAATTAAGGCCTCTATTTTGAAATATCTAGTATATTATTGATATTAAAGGATTTTCTAATTAACTAATTTTGTTTTATGAACCTGTGCGAACATAAACAAATATTATTATTATTATCATTGTTTAGCTGTCAAAAGTTGAATATTTTGAAATAAGTTCAGAAATAGGTACCATAAATATTAAATTATTTTAAAACAATAATTAAAACTTACACTTAATGGTGTTTATGAGACTATATAATGAAATATTTGTCTCTTACTTGTGATTTTTAAAAACTATAAATATTAATATAATGATAATATACTAGTGTTAAAAACTATGATATTGGAAGTTTTAAATACATTATTATTAATGGGCATGAGTAAAAAAATAAAATACTCATTAACAAAATTAAACTCTTTAAGCAATTTTTTTAAACAACAAATTTAACACTTCTATTTTAAAAAGCATTGGGTGCTATTAATTTTATTGTAGGTTTTTTTAATAAACTAATTTTGTATCATAAACCTGTACAAAAATAAACAAATAGAATTATTATTGCTTAGCTGTCAAAAGCTGATTGTTTTTTTTTTTTTTTGACCAAGTTAGTCAATATCTATGAATATTAAATTACTTCATAAAAATATATTATTATAAACTCGATCAGTAGTGATGGACTTATAATGCAAATAAAAGAGATTTCCCTTCTACTTTTCTGGTTTTTAGAAATTACAAATTAACATACTGATAATATAAATCATCATACCATAAATAAAACTTGACAACTGTTACCGAATTTATTAAGAGTTATAAATAGTTTTTAACTTAGTGTTTGATACCTGACAAAAAACCGCCACTGCTTTAATTCACTAAAAACAAGTTACATGAAAAATATTTAATTTAATTCTAGATTTATTTATAAATTACTAGCAGAATTCTATCACAGTGTTGCTACTCGCGATTAAATTAATATAAATCAAGTTTAAATAGGTTGCATGTAGCAACCAAATTGATTATACAATAATAAACACCATTTATATATATATATATATATATAAAGCCAAAGGAATAATAACTAAGACTTTACAAATCTTTGCATATCCTAGAATTGGTTTAACATCACAAACATAAAAATGTGATATGATACAAATAAAATTTTTTAAGATTATAAGAATTAAAAAATAGCATTAGAGAACTTAATTAAACCTAATTAAAAGATTAAGTTAGTTCTATAATAAGAACATAGAAAAAAGTTGCAAATTTGTGCAATTTTATAATATTATTATGATATTTATTACCTCATGCTAACAGTAGAATCTTTAGGCCTTGATGCAGGGGGTGGAGGAGGTGGTGGTGATGGCCTAGAACGACGAGAATCTGACGAATGCTGATCATAACGATGTCTTGATGATGTTATGTTAGGAGGCGGAGGTGCTGTTTGATTAATATAATCTGTACTAGGCTGAACACGAGAACTACGAATTGGTGGTTCTTTTCTGAAAAACATTAAATTTAATAATAGTTCAAAATAATATTTATATTACCACATGTATTTAGTAATTGCTTTTGATTATTTTTATTATACCTTTCATCATATCGAGATGAACCTGAAGAATGTCTTTTACTAGGGGGTGGAGGAGACGGAGGGATAGCTCGTTTAAGTACTGCTTGACGTTTTGTTTCTTCGAGTTTCTCTTGTGCTCTACGTAATTCTTCTTTCTCTCTCTGCAATCTTTCTCGTTCTATACGCTGATTTTCACGTTCAATACGCAACAATTCAGCCTTTTCTTTTTCGATTCGTTCACGTTCAATTCGAAGTTTCTGTCTTTCTCTAGATTAATAAAATATCAAGTATAAAACAGGACACTATTAATTAGTTAAACAAATTTTAAAACCAACTTTTCCAGGCGTATAGATTCTTCTTTTTGTTTTCTTTCAATTTCTAATTGACGTTCTTTTTCAATTCGCCTTTTCCGTTCTTCTTCTCTTATTGCTCTCTCCTGTTCTTTCTGTTTTTGTCTTTCTCGCTCAGTCTAAATAACACATCAGAGATTTTAAAATTTTACTTTTAAAATTATATATAAATTTGTTATAAAAAAAAAAGTATATTACCTTCATTTTTGTAAAATTTAATATCTCCTGTTGTCTTCTTTTCTCCTTTTCTAAACGTTCTCTTTCCCTTTCTAATTCTCTTAGTCTTTCCCTATCACGTTCATTACTTTTACTTTTAATACTTCTATCTTTTTTTCTATCATCTACTTCAATTACAATTTTGGAGCGTTTTGTTTCTTGGGCTTGATCTTTGGATACTAGACATTTAGAAAAATATTGTTTAAATAATTATTTAACAGAGTAATATGAATGCAACAAATCATGCACTCATGCACTTGTTTAAATTAATACGTTGGTAATATATGCATACATTTATGCCAATATATTGGTATAATATAATATATAATTAACCAATATATTGTTATTATTGTCTATATATATTAAATTATAGCTGATAATTATATGGATTTTTCAAGTACAAAATCTAGAATAAATTTAATTTGAAAAAACTAATAGTGATATAAATATATTATACTATAAAATATATAAATATAGAATATTCACCTGATCGCTTTATGTCTCTAGAAACATCATGTTTCTTTTGCACATCATTAATTGTAATTTCTGGTCTTTTCTCTCTTTTTTCTTCTCGTTTATCCTTTTTTTCTTCAGGTTTTTTAATTTTACGCTCAGATTCTGAACTTTCTTTTGTTTTAATTGCATCTGATGTTTTAGCAGTTTGTTGATAGCCATTATCACGCTTTGCCTAGGAGTGTTTAAATTATTAGAAAAAAAAATTGTAATTATCTAAGTAACAAACTATATAATATATACTGTAATACGTACTCGTTCAACACTAATAACACGTCCATGAAGTTCAGTCTTATGTAAATGTTCAATACTACGATTAGCATCTTCAGCTGACGATAATGTAACAAATCCATAACAACGAGCTCCTGGAGTTTTTGCATTAGTTACAACTTTGGCTCCAACAACCTTTAAATAAAAGTATAATTTGATAAAACAATTCAACATTTATCTATGTATCTATCTAATATTAAATCATAGTAAATAATCTTAGCAGTTTACAAATCATATTTTTGTCAAAAAATAATATCACAACCGGTCACAAACTGATTACTCAGGTATGTAGCAATCAGAGAACAATAGGATGATTTTGATATAGCGAACATATAAATAGAAACAAATTAAAATAATAAGTCTCAGAGTGCAATTCGCAAAATAATTTTTTTTTTTTAAATATAATGTCACAACCGGTCACAAACTGATTGCTCAGGTATGTAGCAATCAGAGAACAATAGGATGATTTTGATATAGCGAACATATAAATAGAAACAAACTAAAATATTAAGTCTCAGAGTGCAGTTCGCGAAATTTTTTTTTTTTTAAATATATCATAACCTGTTACAAACCAATTGCTCAGGTATGTAGCAATCAGAGAACAATAGGATGATTTTAATATAGCGAACATATAAATTAGAAACAAACTAAAATATTAAGTCTCAAAATATAGTTCGCAAAATAATTTTTTTTCAATATAGCAAACATATAATCAGAAAGACTAAAATTATAGATATTTAAGTTTAATTTGCAGATTATATATTTTATTATTTATTAAGTTTTAAGTAAATTATTTAAATCAAAATTATGTTAAGTAAAATGTATACAATAAACATAATTGTACATTTAAGATATTCAGTTACTTAATTTAAACCCATAAGCAACAATAAAACATTGCGAACGAAAAACAATTCAAAGGTTCGGTTATACATGTTTTAAAAAGCTATAATTATTTCCAATTAATTACTACTGTCAACATTTTTTAATTTTGATAGACTTATACATAATTATTATTTGAAAGGTTATCCATGGATAGCATTTAATGTTGTATCCATGGCATGTGTAATTTTTTTTTTTTTGTTACTGGAAAAAATTGTTTGTATTTTGGGTAAAAACCATAAGTAAAATCATTATTTGTTAAGACATGTGGTCACACAAGGTCTTCTTGACAGTTCACTTATATCTTATATATTTTTAATCATTTTACATAAAAAAAGGCATTTATTAATAATTTAAAAAAATTATACTTCATTTACTTACTATATTTGACAATAAAGGTTGGTATTAATGGAACTATTATACCAAAGCTTAAAGTGAAAATAAATTATTAAAATACTGACATAAGCGTGTGATGAATAACATGACGCGTATAAATAAAACTAAATGAAATATTACAATCTTCGATTAATTATTTGAAGAGATAAGAAGTAATTGACTGGATAGAATTTTGTAAGTTTTTTCATTTAAAATTGGACACCGATGAAAATAATACCTAACAAAATTGAGTATAGTGGCACATGGTATTTTAGACAAGTTACAGATTTTAAAAATAGCTATAAATTTCACAAACAATAATTAAATGTTCTAAATACTTTTTAAAAAAATAGCTTAACATGTATATTAAATTTAATGCGAATTTGAAAATTCTTGGTTGTAAGATAATGATAACAAAATATAAAAACTAACTTGTACATTTATTATTCAAATAAAAAATAAATTGTTAAGTTACAAGTTACAAGAAAATTAAAAGTAATAGTTATAAATTTACTAATATTTGTAACTTTGTAACTAGTTACTGCCCAGGTTTGAATTACAGAAAATATTATATTGAGAATCAGACAATTTTTTTTTCTGAAGTGTTAATTACTAGTTGTATTTATATATTTGATTTGAAATGTTTAAGTTTATTTCTTTTACTAAAAGAAACGGTTCAAATTTTATAACATTATAATTATAAAATCAAAGAAATTTAGTAAAAAAAAAACAAATTTATAAATGAAAGAAATTTTTAAAAAGCTACTCTACTGTCTGAAATTAAACTTCTTCTGTCTTTTAATCCAAATTTATCATTTCTAATATTTGTTATTCTACAATAGTGTCCATAATTAAATGTCACAAAGTATAATTTCAGATACTTTTAGTACAAAAATGTAAAAAAAATTAACAATTAAAAATATCATTTATAATGTCTATATTTATATTTATTTGAAAAAAAATTATTTATTGAATTTTTCATTTGCAAAAGACCTTAAAAAATGTCTAAAATTAGCCAAATTGGCGGTCCATCAAACTCATTTTTTTTTTCTTTAACATCAAGTACAACACTTAATATAAATCTCCTGTTAAATTTCCGAGTATTTAAGTTTAGTCAAACCAATTTGATCTACAATGTCCTCACCGAATAAAAATTAAATAAAACTCTGCTTAAAATATCTATAAAAAGTTCAAAATTGGTTCAAATATTTTACCACGTCAAGAAATGGCAAATATAAGTTTTTTGTTTAAATTTTGAGTCTCTACAAATAATTTTAACTGAATTTGTTTTTGGTATTGCTATTATTAAAAATATACACGAAAAATCAAAAAATTGCATTCATTAATTAGATTAAAAATGCAACAATAATGATCTGTAGTCATTTTTATATTAGAGCAATATGTTCGGTAGTAAACACATAAGTGACAAAAATGTAAAATCATGAAATCGTTGTCACACCATACTATTTGTCTATTTATCCCTTCATTTTTACCCAGTTACTATAAAAACTGATTGAAAAATCAAAAAATGACCTCTTCTAAATAAAGTACAAACTAGATAAAATTTCTTTTCAGAAAAAATTCCACTTGTTACACTGAAGAAAGATTTCTGGTACACAGCATAAAAAATTATTAATAATTATAAATATATGCCTCACTTAACTTTAAACCTTAACTAAAATTATTTAACATTTTAACTTATATCATTGATTTTGTTTACATAAATTTAATTGCAAAAGAAATCATTACAATTTGAAAAAACATGAGATATTTTCACAATTAACGTGTCATTACAATGATAGGTCCAAATAATAAGTACACTTTTTCTAATTTAAAACAAATGTAAATAATTGATGATCAATTTGATATTCAATACAATTATTTAAATAATATTACCTTTCCATATTTCGAAAAAAGCTGTTTTAAATCAGTAGCCTTGGTAATTGATGACAAGCCACTAACCCAAATGTTACGTACCAAGGATGCATTGCTTTTCTTTGCTAAAATAAATAAAACAAATAAAATATTAATTTAATATGTTAACATAAATAAATCATTAAAGTATAAAATCTTACATGTATCATTTGATGTTTGTGGATTTTTTGAATCATTACTGAAATATTTGAGAAAAAACATTAGTTGCAGTCCTTAAAGAATTATTTTTAAAATGTTGATACATTACATGTATACACATTTTGGTAACATTAACATATAAAAATATGTATATATACATACACACACACATACATACATACATACATAAAAACATTAGTTAGATGATTACTTGTTTCCTTGTTTTGACTTAAATAAAGAAATTATTTATTCGTAAACAATATAAGTAATTAAATCAATACATTTACCACTTAATAATCATAATATTTGAATTAAATCACCTAGCATTTAAATTTCTAATCATTATTGTAGACAATTTTACTGATACATCAATTCATCTTGATGCAAAAAACTAATCACAATAATAATTAGTGTTATAAGAAATATAGTATTTAACAACAAAGTCACTTGAAAAATATTGCCAAATGTTTGAAAATCAGAAAAATACTAACTTGAAAATGCATAATTAAAATGATATCTCTTGAAATAAATTTTTATAAATTAGAAATATTGTGTACAATGTACATAGATTGCACATATTGTAATCAAGCAACATTGTTATATTATCTTCCAGATGTAAATAATTACTCTATTATTGATGAAATTTATATCATCAATATATATTAAAATATATTTCTTATTCGGTATACAATTATTATTTTCAATTCCTCAAATGAGAACATGCATAGATTAAACTCTTGCAAGTTTTTATTTCAGCTAAACATTATCTTCACTTGATATAAGTATTGTATAGACTTTGATACAAATTGCAATTGTTCTATAGAACAAAATAATAGTTACTTCAATGTCATTTATTACACATAAATAATATATATATTCTTTTTATATTTGCATTGTCTTTCATTCTGTAGTTCATTTCAAATACTACTAATTTATAGTTTGTCTTTGTTATTTTAATGTGATCAAATTAATTTGCATAATTACAAATCTTTTTATATGGTTTTTGATTATGTTTGTTTACATTCTAATTTCCAAAACAAATTATTTTCTTAACGAGTTTCTTCATCATCATCGTCATCATCATCAACATCCATTCGTTTTTGAATTTTTCATTTAATTCTAAAAATAATAATTTTTCAACATCTATTTATGACTAAAATATTAAATGCTGTCTTGTTATTACCTTTTTAATATTATACAACAATATGTATTCATACGAACAATTATTTATAAATACATATTTTACCCTGTAATTTTGACTTATGTTAAGACCAACCAAAAGGCAATACAGTAATTTTCAAGTGACCTTTTTAATGTTTAACACAACTTGTGCTCTTTCTGAAGAATAATTTTAGACTTTGAATTAAGTTCATTTATCAATGAAGTTAAGAAAAATAAATCAATGCATGTACTAATTATGAAATCAGTTTTATTAGTAATATAACCAAAACTGTAGATTTATTTATTGAAAAATGCTGATATACAAAATCCTGAATACTAAAATTAGTCGAAATACTGTGAAAAAATAAATGTCAAAATTGCAGATTATCCTACAATAAAAAAAAAAAAAAAAAAAATGAAACACAAATAATGCACAATAGCCAATAGTTTAAAATAATATTTTAAATTAACTTAGTACATACATTTGTTTTAAAATAAAAGATACACATCAATTTTTTGCAAAATAAAATTTGTGGAAACCACAAATCAAAAAACTGAACCAAATAAAAACAGATTTTGACTTCAAAATATTTGGAAATTGTTTCAATAGATGGTCTCCATTGGAATAAGCATGCAAGTTGGTGTTTGCTGGTAATTATTTACTATTAAATTTGGTTTACATATTATACAACATATTATAACCATCCATAAATCGTTTCTGAAAACCTAGTGGCATGTTCAAACTTAGCTTTGCTAAAAAAAAAATTAAAAATGTTTTTTTTTTTTTTAATTGGTTGTCATATATATCTCCTTGGCGTAATTTTCCGATGAAGGGATAAAGAATCAGTAGTCGAGACCGAGTGCAAAACAAACCTCTGCTTATTGCCAGCTTCCACTTTATCTTTAATTAGCTGCTTCTCCTCTTCTTTCTTCTCATCTTTCGGCGTACTGACACTGATGATGGGTTTTGCGTTGCTGTTGTCCTTGTCCTCTTTGTGGCTACTGCGTGGTTTATCCCCAACAGAAGATCGCTTCTCAGTTGCACTGCGGCGGCTTTTGACTGATGCAGTTGTTGCTCTACCGTTACTAGCAGTAACAGGATGACGAGATTCACGCTGTTTGCTCAGTGACATTTCTTCTTTGGTACGGTTCTCGATCACTTCGTCTAGATTGCGTCACACAAATTAAATATACATAAAACACAAATTATCTATAAACACGCAATATACCTCTAGTATACTAAACATGGTTAAACATAATTTGAATCCATATTCAAATATGTTTAAATGAAGAACAGATTTAAATTACTCTTAGAAACTAAATAACGATAGTAATTAATAAAACATTATAAGAATTAGTGCAAGGTTTTAAACTATAAAAATAAAAAATATAAAACCGATTTGAATTTGCCATGTTAAGAAAATCGTAAATAATATTCACCCAGTTTCTACATATTTAATTTATTAAAATAAATAACAAAATTAATCTAATTCAATTAAAAATAACAACTAATAAACTAGTTATAGTTCAAGTTAAACTAATAAAACCATCCTAATATAAATATGTATTTGGAAATTTTCATGATTCTTGTATTTATAAACATTGTACCAAAAAAAAAAATATTTTTCACTGAACAGCAGGTAGTTGAGAAAAAAATGTTTTTTTATTATTATTTTTTAACTCTAACGGTTAGCAGATGTCCAAAATAGGTTGCTTGTAGATTAAAGTTTGCATATTCATAGTTTGCTTATTGTCTTCTTTGATTTTAACTTTATCAAATAGTTGATAAATTCTGTTGATTCTTGTTAATTTTTTTGTATACATCTTCTTGTTTTCATTATGCAGAAATCATATTGTAGACACATGTAATATGAAATAAATCTTACAATGTAATATGGTATGAATCATAAATATGGATAAGAACTCTTATAACTGTATTAGCTTTACTGCTAATACAACACAATATCTTACTTGATACATTTATAACTTTCAATAATAGAATTGCTATATACTAAGTTGTGCATATTTTTAGTTCTTAAAAATAAATATGAATATTATATTAAAATATTTAAACTCATTACCCTCTTTTTCAATGTTTGTGTCTTCCTGAAAAAAAAAAAATATACACATTTTAATAAATATTTGAAATATTATTTAGAATTTCATAATTCAAATTTATCCAATGAAACCATTAATTATATAATTTAATGATGCATGTAATTAGTGGGCTAAAAAATTCAAAATTTGTATATAAGTTGCAAAACCGTGAACAATTTACACATTTAAAATAATAAAGGAGGAAAAAGGGAAAATAAATAAAATCAGTGCATATCTTCTTCTTCTGGTTGAGCATATGCTCTTAAAGTTTATCAAAATTTGGAAACATTCACATTTCTACATAAGTTTAATATTTTTAAACTAGCCTAGTCCCGATCGTGATAGGATCTAATTATTAAACAGAGAAAACATTATTTATTAAATCCATTAACATTTTACTTTCAAAGTGAATGAATATTAAAAAAAATAAATAAATGCAGATTACAGTTCAAGGAATAAAAATACACAAATTAATTTTTCTTCTTTTCATATAATAAGTTAATGTTTAAAAAAAAATATTTAACAAGTTACATTTACAAAGTTTTTGCATGAAGTCCTGAATTTAAGAAAATTATGTTAAATCAATAATTGTTTTTTCAACTTAATTGAAGGGCATGGCACTTTTTAAAGTCTTATTTATGGGCAAAATTAGGCAAAGTTAATTTTGGCAACATAGTAATTCATATTTTATAATAGCCTTAAACCTTAAAAATTAGGTTTTGGATACATTTTCTATGAGTTTTAGATTCAGAGTGGAGCGCAGAATGTATTAGAATATATAGTAATGATCTTTGTTTTTATTCTATTTCTGTTTTTCCATGGATAACTTTTTTACCAGCAATTTTGCACAGATTTATAAAAGCATTTTTTTAGAAAGGAAGACTGACTGGGGTGATACTTTAGGGAGGTAATTTTCTAAACTACACTCACAATCATTGTTCGTTAACAATGGTTAATTTTTGCGTACACATATACATTAAATTTTCCCATAAATACCTTCCCAACGTCTCACATCTTTAACAGTGACTGCACCTGTGCCCATTATCTTAAGATAGTACTTTTTTTTTGTTTTAATTTTAATCTATCTCACCTTTAGCATTGAACAAAATCTGAACTCTTTAATGTTTTATATTATATTGTGTAATTGCTTACTTTAAATGATCTAAATGAATTTAATGGAAAATCTGTTTAGTTCAATTTAAAGGTCAATAATATTACATAAATCTTCAAGCAGGTTCCTTGAAGATAATATTCTAAGCTTCAGGAAAAGTTTGTGGAGCTGAGTCTAGGAATATTTATATTAGAACATCTAGTGTTAAGGTTAGCCATGCCTAACTTTACTTATGTCAGATATCTCAGTATTTTCAGCTAAAAATGAGCGAAAACAGAGATGTTCATTAATTGTTCAATGCGTGTTTTTTGGGCTCAATACAAAAAAATTAGTTTTGTAATAAAATAAATTTAACTTATCTAAAAAAATTGTTTAAACCTTCAACATTGGAAATAAAGAAAACCAACAATTTAAAAAAAAAACACAAATTTGTTATTATTTGTTACCTTGAAACCACTTATAATTTAATTTAATTTTTTTTTTTTTTTTAAATTAACTTTAAAAGCAATGTGCCACTGGAAGATGTGTATGGCTATATAATTAAATAATATTTAAGCTATTACATTCAGGAAGAGGCTAACTTAAAAATGTGAACAATTGCAAATTTCAGTACATGTGTTATCACAAGATATGAACAAATTGTTATTTTTCTTTCAATCATTTATATCTTCCTAATTTGCACATTTTCTGCAATACTTATTTATTTATTAAGACTTAAAAAAAAAGAAAACTATATTCTTTGGATACATAATGTGTATACTTGAAAAAATTACTAATCAAGTATTTTACTTACAATAAAATAGTTAAAAAAAATTATAAATTTCAGAAATTATTCACAACTTAATAGATTTGTTTAATATTACAAATTATTCCCTAAATAATATTTAAAAATAGCCAACAATTAAACTATCAAAAATCAAAGCAGAAAAAGAAATATTGAAAAACAAGTATCTTTACTACACTAAAAATTTACAAATATAATATAATAGATAATAAATAAAACAAAATACTAATTTACCTCGTCAGCAAATAATTTAATATCATCTTCTCCAATTGTCAAATTAATAGAGTCTTCATTATTGTCATCTTTGCTATTTTCTTGAACAGCTTTCTCCTAGATAAATTAAAAATTGATTAATTATCTTTTCATTTAATACCAAGTATAAACTTACCAGATCATTAGTATCATTAAATTCATTAGTATTTCCTATTTCTTCTTCATCAACTTCATGATCCAATTCTTCATCTTGAATATTATCTTCATCTATATTTTTTGGTATTATATTAATTTTTTTAGCCTCAATGACCTCGATTTTTTTATCTACAATACTATTCTCCTTTTCTTGTATTACAGAATCGTCCGTAGCTTTAGTATTTTTTGTACAGTTTTGATCAACTTCAATTTCTTCAGCATTAACCAAATTTTTTGTTTGCACTAGTTCTTTTTCTTTTTCAGTACATTTGCGTTCCATCGGAACAGCAATTAATTTAGATTTCTCTAAATTATCTGTTTTTTCTTGAACACTTGCATTATGATTCAATACAGTTTCACTGTCATGTGGCATTACATCTACATCTTCAGAATTATTTAATTGAACATTATCCATATCAATTTCCTTAGCTTCTGTTTCATTAGCAGAGTTAGTTACGTCAGAGCTATTACTATTAAATGATATATTTTGTTTAGTTTCTTCAGTAACAATAGTATTAGATGGTTCTTGTTTTACTTCATCAGTACTTTTTTTAGTGGCAGCTAAAGTTGGTTTTTCATTTTTTAATGGTAAACCGCATGTTTCTATAAAAATAAAAAATAATATTTAAAAATCAGATAATTAACATTCTCAATCTATATTCACCAATCTACTTTAACAAGGCATGGTTTTTAATTTTAATTTAAATTATAACGAAGAATTTATTTGTTTTTTTTTTTCAGAAATTAACTAAAGACAATATAATGTACTTTAATATATACATAAATTAAATTCAGTTATTACGTAATGAATATTATATTATATTTTATTTTATTATTACAAAACCAAGTCCAAAAATATGTCACTTACATTACTGCTATAACCTTCAGCAAAAAAAAAAACCAAAAAGTACAAGTGTAAACAAACAAAAAAAAAAGTGCCCATTGATCTGCCCATTGAGATATAATTGGTTCATAATATTATATCATTGCTATAGCAGTAATGACAATTTTTGGATGATTTTTAATTACTATTCTAGCAGTAATATTTTATAAGTTAACAATGTTGTTAAATTTCAACATTATTGCTATAGTACAGTAGTTCAAGCCTACAGTCCATCAACTATTTATTTGAATAAATTATTATTATTAAAAAATTATCAATTTATGATAATTTTTTAATATTAATCACTTGAATTTATTTGTTATTATTATTTATATTATTTAAGTAATATTTTATTTTTCTTGTTTTGTATGTTTTCGTACCATCAATACTGCAATTTTTTTGTAATTAATAAAAAATTAATTAGTTATTTAAACATATTATGTATTATTTATTCTAAACTCAAGTGAACAAATTGAATAAAGTTTCAACAAATAGAATGGTTTTTATTATTATTATTGTTTTAAATTTACCAGAAAATTTGCAAATTGGGGAGACGAAATGGTGGAAAAATAAAATAAAATTAGGAAACATTGAATATCTGAAATATGGAAACATTAACTTTTTTACATTTAATGACATTTTTGTACCGTTTTCCAAATATAATAGCTCAAATGCATATGTATTATAACTACAGAAAATATTATTTAAATCCATCAACAACTCCAATCACACAATACGTTTAAAGTTCATTAAATTTAAAAAAAAAATAAAGGTAAATTACATTTCAAGGTATAATAAAGACAAATAATCTTCACATAATAGGTGGAACACTACTCTAAGTTGGAAAAGAAGAATATAAGGAATTTATTGCATATTTTTACGCAATGATTAATCATATATTAATCAATAAAAAAAACAATTCACTGGAATTCAGTAATATGTTTTAAAGGTCGTAATATTTAGGATTTTTGTCAAAATTTGATTGAAAATTTGTATATAAAAAAAAAAAAATAGAATAATATAGAATATTTTTTTACCAATAAGTAAGACTTATAATTAACCTCCTTATTTTTTACACATATATAAATAAAAAAAAAAGCAAGAAACGGAATTATTAATTAAATTTTACTTAATTAGATGTCAAATACAAACAAATTTGTATAACATTATAATAGTTTTATAGTATATTACATAAGTTTTGTCTGGTTTTGTATGTATCAGCCCTGATTAATGATGATTGATGAATATAGTTCCAATGTAAGAAGGGAGAACGTTTACAAACATTTTATGTATGCATAATAAAAAATGTATTGTATACATCACAGAAAATTTGTTGACAGACCAACAAAAAATTTCTCAACTACTCTCCTACTACCTAAACTTAAAAGTAGAACATCTCGTTAACAGGTTTTTGGAAATCAAAAATATCAACAAGAGAATTTATTTGAACTTATATTTTTACCTATTGAAGGAATTTTTAATAAAGGTTGCTATTTGAAAATCTTCAAAAATAAGGATGACAAAAAAATAATGTAAATTCAACATCTTAAAGCTAATTTTTTCTTAAATTATTGAAAATTTTTTTTAGAAGTCAATACTTTTTAAAAATAGTCAATTAAATGGATTACTTTAAACAGTTTTGTTAAATAGCATCATTCCATGGCATTAATTAATTTATGTCTCATAATATCTTAACTATTCAAATTCTTAGAAATTGTATAAGAAATATTAATAATAAACAAGACAATTATCTAACCTAAATGTGAAAAAAATATAAGGAAAATTTTCGAAAATAATGATTTCAGCAGGCATTTTTTCATAATATAATTAAATAAATACCCAAACTTTAAATATACCTGCTACATATTTTTTAATTTAATAGTACTTACTTGACTTTGGGCCAGGCCTTTTACCAACAATATTAGTCTTGAGAGTTTTGTTTGGTGTAGTTGGCTTTTTATCAGGAGTTTGAACTGTTCTGACTTCCTTTTTATCAGTGACAGGAATTGGTCTTTTTTCAATACTTGGAGATTTTAAGGTTTTTTCTGACATTAAATCAATTTTATTAAACACATAATTTTCTGGATCTTCTCCTTCCTCAAGAAGGGCCTAAAATAATACATAACAGGTACATTAATAATAACCAATAAATAGGTATAGATAAGTAAGCAGGTGTAACTTGCTGAACACATTATAAATCATTAAAAATAGATCTTAAGAGCAAGCCTACAAAATTGTCAACTGAATATTTATACTGATTCAAAGATAAAATACAGATCAAAATATATAAGTACCTACCCAATAGTGTACTTACAGGAATGAGGAGAGGTTAAGGGGAGAGTAATACAAAAAATCAAATCATTATTTATCATGCTATTAAGATAAATATTAACTGTGATACAAGCAAGGTAGCTTACATAATATATACTTAAGAAGATATTACATTCAAATTTACTAACATACGACATAGCAAATTTACATTCAATAGGAACAAATTTTGTGTCATTAGTTTTAATATTACAATGAATTAACCTATTAACAAACTTAAAGGTATGAAGATTATCTGTGTCCTGACATTCATGTTTTTTTAATATTTTAATTTTTAAGCAAAATAATTATTAATAAGAAAGTAAGTCAGTATATAGGTAGTCATTTTAATACTAAGTACTGTTGGAGAATAAAATTTTAAAAAAATGTACCTAATAACTAATTAGGAACATTTTTTTTTCATTTTTTCAATTAAGTATTCGGCTCGGAGCTTTTAAAAATTTTTTTTTTTACACAGGCTATCATTTTATTTAACTGTAGTGTATTCGACCCTTATAATCTCACAAACTCTATGAATTCCGTAGGTTTAACATGTTAAATGTATCAGATTTAGAAATAGTACAGTTAAAGAGTCAGCTGCCTTCACCATATATGATGCAACGTCGGTTACAAACAAAAGAACATTTTCATACTTGACTCCAAACAGCCACAATAATTGCATGGCATCATTAAATAATTTACCAACAGTTTGAAAATTACATTTAAAAAGTTCCTCACTCATTAATAACCATGGCTCTGAATAATGTTCGTCGTGAAGAAAACCGATAATAACATCGCATACAAAATGATCGTTAACATCTGTTGTCTGATCTAATAAGACACAAATCGGTCAGTCACCAATTTCTAAACGAATACATGAAATAGTGTTTTCATAAATGGTAGAAATGTAATTTTTACGTATTGTTGACTAATCGAGAACACATTTTTCAGTATATTTCTCTAAAAAAAATGTTGAATGATGATTGGTTTAATTTCCATAGATGTATATCATTCAAGCATAGCTTGGCATAAATCAAAAGTAAACGATGGTTGTTTATTTCGATTTTTCTACTAAATTATTATGTTTTGGTGTTTACTTGTATTTAAATGCTGAAGTACTTGAAATTTTTTCATAAAATGAGTGATCACAAATTATATAATACAGTACTTTACCGTCGGTTTTAAAAACATCGCTAGAAAATTCTACAACAAATTGTCTTAATTTGCCACTTTCATTTTTGACTTTTGGCATTTTTAAAATAAAAATCACACTGAAAAATAGTCTAATAAACAGTGGTGCACGGACAGCTGAACAGTCTGTACTACGTAGGATTATGTGTAATACACTAATACCCGACAAATCTTATCTTGGATTTTATATTGACCTACATACTTTTATTAATTGTGTTTATCTTTCTCCGTCAAACTATTTAATCTATTATCGCATACTTATTGTACCATAGGATTGTATTTATAAAAATAAAATTTTTATTTGACAAAAAAAATCAAGTTTTGTACTTTAATCAGCAGGGCTAGAACTAAATACGAAATATTAATATTAAACTATAAATATTAATTACGAAATACACTGTAAAACATGCATTTTTTGCATTCTTATAATCGAAATATACAATAATATTCATTTTATTCAATATATGCAAAAATATCCAAAAACATGCAAAATAAAAACACTACCATTTATCTCATCATGAGGCGATTCGTGGAAATTTCTGACAAAATCAATAATCAGAAGTCACAAAAAAACATTCTGTTGCATATAAATCCTAGCCCAGCTAATGAGCCTAGGTAAGTAAATAAAAAATTAAAGAAGCACTTATGAATGTACCTACTAATAAGCTTTAAAAACCTGTGTTTAATTTAAAAATAAAAATTAATTATTGTTATTATACAAATAAATATAATGTAGTGACTATTTCCACGTCCAACATGAAACTATATTTTCACGTCTGTGTAACTCCTGATTGATTGTAATCATGGAAAACCTTGTCGAGGGTCTTTTCAATGATTGTAATTTTGATAATGATTGTGATAGTTTATAGTGAATTGATAGAATTCATGATATTGAATTTATCATAGCTAATGAAAAACGATTCTGAGAAAACTTTGATGAACAATGTTTTGAAATATCACGATTTTTACATGATTTTCATCAAAATTTAAACCTAAAAAAATCCGCATTAAAAATGATTTCAATACACCAAAATTAATTTTTTTTTTACCACTAAGGAAGTTTAATTTTTAATGAACCTCTTATTATTCACCAGAAATTTGATATAGTGAATATTTACAGTGGAGGAAACCGCGGTTCTTTGGAATCAGATGTATACAATATTCATTGATGATTTACCCTCTGGTTACAAATGTTGATAATATAAGTACCTAGGAATTTTAATCCTTATACTACTTAGGTATACAAAACACAATTCATGTTAGGTTATATTTAAGATTATATTATATGACAATACCTAGTTCCATATAATTAAAACACCTATGTAATTAAATGTTAAAAATACACTCATGGAATATAGCTGAAAAATAGAAGAAATACTTGGTCAGATGGACAAAAAGCTGACCAAAGAAAAATTGACTAAAGATCAATATGAGTAATATGAAGAAAAGAGGAATAAATAAATGTTGAATGACAGGGAAATGTGGAGAGCAAATATAAAAGTAGCTAGGTCAGTTTACGTGGGATATAATAGAAGATAAAAACATTTAACGATAAGTACAAGTCATAGAAAAATATATAATAGGTATTATTATGAAGTATCTATTCAAATTATTGATTATCATAAGAATACCATTTCTGAATACTTACTTTTTGCAAACGTTCCAATAATACTGCTTTTACTCCAGTTTTGTCCAAATCACGTTTTTCTAATTCAGAACGCAATTCAGTCACCTTTAAATCAGAAACCATACGTGAATCTAAAGTTTCTGACATTTTGATCACTCTATGTGCAAAACCAAAATCAGTAAACAAATTTTAAAAGCGTAATATATAATACAGTAATTATTACATCACTAGTACATAATCCAAAATGGAGTACAGAGTTAAAAAAAGTAACAACAATTGTATTGTAGGCTAGGAAGTAAGCAGTGACTATAGTGAACGACATAAAATGTGTTATTCATTCATTAGTGTTTATAATACGTCATACTTTCAGAGACACTATGAAATAGTCATGGAGGAAAAAAACGAATTAACACAAACAAGGCGTGGTTTCGTTATCGTGACGTCAGAATACTCAGACTAGACCTTCGTTGGCGGCATATTTAACTTACGTCTCGACACGATATCCAATTTGACAATCATTTTAATCATGTTGAAGATGTTGTAGTTTTAATCTATTGTTGTTTGCCAAATAATTATGATATTTCGTATCTTATTCGTACCCATTTTTAGTGGGTTAATAGTCTTGTTTTTTTTCGTACCTACATATACCTATCATCTATGTCATTATCAGTTTGGCACAATCATTGTTATTTGTTAAAAGACTTACAAAAACGTGTTTTTATTTTTATTTCTATATAAAATATCTACAAAAAACGGGTAATTTTATTTTCTATAAAATAACTGAATCAACTATTGTAGATAATAATTATCTATGCTCTCTAGACTATTGCAGAAACGTCACTAGTCACACATTTTAAAAGTTTTCTTCAAACTTTAAAAATCAATAAGCTTACATTAAATAATTTTTACAGAGAAATTGTATATAATTACTAATCAATATATAATAAGTTTCAATAAGTATTCATTCTTAAATTACATTTTTTTTTTTTCAAAATTATATTAGGTATATGGTTTTTATTTATTAGGTATCTAAAAGTTGTAAATAATTGACTTGTGACATTTCTGCAATCATTAATTCAACTATATTTCAGACTTCAGTCCAATCTCATAAACATGTTTATTATTATTTATTTAAGTTAATATAATAAAATTAAGTATTTATTAAAATCTAATAGAACTGACATCTCGATTGAGCAACTAGCTAGCGAATGTAACATCGAGTCACTTGAAAAAAGAAGAAAATCTCATGACGCGTTTACTGTCTTGGTTGTATAAACAACTAAACTCTCAAATATTTCACCCAAATTTACTTAGCCAAATACTTCTGAATGTTCCTCAAACTTATAATCATGTGTCAAAACATTTTATGTACCTACTTATAGTCAATTTGTGTCGATCAATAGAATGCTAATTTCTGGTAAGTCAATTAATAACTTCGATTTTTTTCATGACAATTCAACCAGATTAAAATCAATATTTAAATGTTAAATGGTACTATAAGTATTAAATACTAATATATGCTAAATAGATTTAATATTAAGATATGCTTATGTTATTATGTTTATTTTTGTTGTATCTATGAAAAATAACTGTTCTGAGCCCTAATTGTTGGGCACAAAGGCGTATCCGGAATTTTTTTTTTTGGGAGGGGAGTTGGAAAAAAATGTAACAAATGACATTGTTTTGAATTTTGTGTCTGTTATAATCATATATTAAACATTTTATTACTATTTTACAGCGCTAATTATATAAAAGTTGAAATATTTATATTTTATAAAAATTATAAATATATATTCATTTTTAGTTTTGATGTTTTAGCAAGTTCATCGAGCAAGTTTAATTTTTATTGTTTTTTCATAACATGATATATTATATTATATTATTATATATTGTTAACAAAGCATCACCATTAGCTGAACTCCACTCAGAATCGTTTTTTTGTTATAAATAGTTTACCGTTGCTTACAGGTTTACATTAAATTACCTATAACAGTGGCTACACCCGTCTCCATTATCCTAGGATAACTTTTTAATAATAATAATTTTTTTTATTTTTGACTAGATGATGCAAATTAATCAATTATTTTATCTTTTTTAAAATTAATTTGATTAAATCTTCAACAGATTATTATTAAAAATCTAGATGATTTGAGTTTTATTTTTAAAATATTAAGTTTTATAAAAATGAATTTTGTATTCAAACGACAAACAATATAGAGGAAGATGTAACAGATTTTAATACAATTGATAATTTTTTTTTGATAAACATTTTATTTAATAATATTTTAACATGTAGACTAATGATATGCAAGTGTTGCATTACAACTTCATACATACAACAACTTTTACAATTTTTAATTATAATGTTGAACTTATTTTTATTTAAATATATCCATGCATGGAAATATGAATCTGAGTCTGTGAGGTGAATAATACAAATTAATAATAAACCTTATTTATTCAGATTTCAAATAGGTATTATAAAAATAACTCATTACAATAAAGTAATAATATGAGAACATTGAGAATATTGTTTAAACTTTGTAGTAGGTACATAATATTTACTTTGTATGTGTTTATAACAATAGAAGTAGTATGTTATTTAAAATAAATGTAAAATATAATATAGTTATTATATTCATACTATAAAATTACTGAACGATGACTTCTATCCACGATCTTAAAAGAAGTTCTTCTAAGATCGTTCTACTATCTAATGTTTTAATAAGTAATAAATATTTTATATTAGGTTTTTAGGTTAAAAACAGTGCTGTCCTGCACACAGTAATATTATTTTATCATAGTATTGATGACAGAATTTAATGTAATTTTATATATTGGCCCTTTGCCGCCTGCATACAAGTTTTGTATGTCATACCTGTGTACTGCACATATTTCAGTGTTTAATTTTAAAACCATTAGTATTAATTACTACTTAAAGGTTATAAGTATAATAAATAATTTTAAAAAATGCAAGCGCACCATTTTAGATTCTGAGTGGAGCAAAGAATTTATTAGTATTACAATGACTTTTTTTTATTTATTTTTTTTATCAATGAACAACTTTTTATCAGTAATCTTGCTCCGATTTTCAAGTGTAGCAATTTTTTTAAAAGAAAATTTGTCTGGAGTGTCCTTAAGGAAAATCATTTTTTGATTTTCCCAGAGGTTTTCATAAAAAATGGGAAAATAAACAAAATTAATTATTTTCAAATTGTAAATATTCCGACCTTTCAAAAAATGTACAACCAAACTCCTCTGAGAATCTTTTTCTTTTAGCAATGATTAATCGTTAGGTATATATTAAATGTCCCCACTATCTTCCCAATTTCTCACCTACAACAGTGACTCATCCATCGTGCGAAATGTGTCCATTTGTTTTTTTCAATATAGTTGTGTACGTAGAAGTAACGACGTGTATAGATACCATATAGATAATAAAAAATTTGATCACCAACTTGGATGAAAAATTGGTTTCGCTGACCGTCACGTTCTCTGATGGATGTATTTTTTGTTATTAATGAACTTGTATCTTCGACCATATACATTAAGTGTCAATAGTGAATTTACAGAGAGGGGTGTCCAGAAGGTGTGGACCCCCCTTCTCAGACATATAATTTCAATAAAATGTCGTCCAAAAAAGAGGCATCTATTAATAAAGATACCTTTTAAATATATATGATTTTTCAGAACACCTCCCAGAAAAATGTTGAAAACCAGCTACTGCTAAATGTATGTGCAGGGCTGAGCTTAGAGGGATAAGCAATGTCTCCCCACAAAATTCGACTTGTTTATGGCCCCCACAGATTAGTAACCACTAATAGTGTGAGTTTTTTTTTTTTGCTTCTTATGAGTAGAAAAAGACAGAACAGATGCTTACTTAGTGTTTTACCTAAAAAAAGGTCTTGTTTTTCTAATAAAACATTATTTCTGGTAGAAATCATAATCCATACAAATTTGAAATAAAGGAACCATATCGTCGTAAATTTATCAATTTTCATTTTTCGTTTATTACCTGTTTTTCCACAACTACTTTGAAAATTAAAAAACTACTTATTTCGTGAGTAATAAGATTCAAATCGCAACAAAAAAGATCATTTTTTAATTATAGCAATATTTCAAGAAGAAAATATAGTTATTAAAAACACATCACATGTAGTTAATAATAATTAAAAACAATAAAATCGATGATGTTAGTGAACTGTAAATATCTGCCATTTTTCCTATAATTTTACTTGTGATTTTACTCAATTATTAAAAAAATTATGTGGAAAAATAATACATTAGATCCAAAATGCAGTAAAAAAGATTTCTTGTCGTTTTTCAATTTGAGCAATATTTCTGAAAAAATCCCTTGGGAAATCAAAAAATAGATAACCTGTTGTGTGAATTAGGTATGTCCTCTTTAGATTCGGAGCATAGCTTGGGATATTGGTTTTACTATGATGTGTATTTTTCAATTTTTTTCTTCTATCTGAACAATAACTTTTTTACAAGAAAACTTGCTCCGAAGTATAGACTTCTTTTTTTAAGAGCTAATTTTCTCTAATTGGTTTATTGGGAAGGTTATTTTTTGATTTCTCAAGGAATTTTATAAATAATTGGGAAAACCCGAAAGAAAATTATAAATAAAACGGCAAATATTTACGGCGCGTCGCAGTCTTTCATAACATGTAAATCCGAACTACGCTTGGAATCGTTTTTCGTTATCAATGGTTTATCATTGGTTACAGGTATAAATTAAATGACTTTATATATCCCACCCTCCCCACTACTCACCTACAACAGTGGCCACACCCGTCTCTAGTATCTATCCTTTTTTTTTATAATATTATGATTACACTGGTCAACAAGTTGATAGTGAATTTTGTATAGAATTTCACTGCTGATTCCGAATCTGGTCTCAGATTTGTATGATTTGCCCTTTTTTTTAAGATTATTAAAAAGTTGTGCAAAACTTGAAACTGATCTGTTAAGTTGAAATATTTTTCCGGCCCTTTAAAATTGAGTTTGATAATTATTTAATAATCAACTAAACAAATATATTCAATATAGCTTTTTTGTTTAGTTTAATTTGCAATTACGAAACAGCAACCATTTTTAAAAGCCGATTTTACAAGAATATTAAAAATATCATTGAGTTTGCTGACACAATCACTATTAATAGAAAAATATGTTAACCTACTGAAAAAAATATTGTATTATTTATGACTTTTTTTCATATATGTATGTAAATTATCATTATATACTATTACCATAGATACCCACATAGCACAGGGTTGCATTTTAAAAATTAACAATGGTGTTTTTTTTCATCCGTGTTACCAAGATAACCT